CGTCATCATTCATTATCTTTTTTTTTTGAGTTTAAGATTTTATATAAAGTTTTTTTTTATCTTTAAAAGAAAGTCAGACGACCAATTTCTATTTTATTTTTTAATTTTTAATTTTTATTTTGATATCTTTTTATTTTAATAATAATTTATTTTAATTTTAATTTATTTTGATATCTTTTTTTTTTATTTTATTTTATTTATTTCTATTATTTTTCTTTTCTTGGCTTTAACAAACAAAGCAGAAGCAGCAGCAGCAGCAGCAGCAGCAGCAGCAACAATAAAAAAAAAACAAAAAAAACAAAAAAAACAAAATTTCCTATCAGAGAGGAGGCGGTGATGGAGGAAGGAGATGAAAATGAAAAGGCAAGAAAAAGATATTGAAAAAAAGATTATCGATTATATATAAAATACAATTTTTTTTTTTTTTTTCGATATCTTTTATCGATTGAAATATATCGTGGCACTGATTGTGGCAAAGTTATATTTAATTTAAAAAAAAAAAAAATAAATTTGAAAAGAAAAGAAAAGAAAAGAAATTTTTTTTTTTTTTTTTTTTTTTTTCAAATTTTACATCTTCTATTGATGATGATATCTCGCCCTGGGCTGCCTTTAAGGATGATTGGATTTTTTTTTTTTTTTTTTTTTTTTAAAATTTTTTTGTCCACAATTTTATTTTTATTATTATTATTATTATTATTATTATTATTATTATTATTATTATTATTATTATTATTATTATTATTATTATTATTATTATTATTATTATTATTATTATTATTATTATTATTATTATTATTATTATTATTATTATTATTATTATTATTATTTATTATTATTATTATTATTATTATTATTATTATTATTATTATTATTATTATTATTATTATTATTATTATTATTATTATTATTATTATTATTATTATTATTATTATTATTATTATTATTATTATTATTATTATTATTATTATTATTATTATTATTAATAGAGCGAAAGATGAAAAAGATGAAGTAGTTGAAGTTGAAGTTAAAGAAAAAAAAAGAAAATATTAATTTTTTTTTTATATAAAAATTCTTTTTATTTTTTTTTTCCTCTTGTAAAAAGCAACGATTTTTAATTTTTTTTTTCTCTCTCTCTCTCTTTTTATAAAACATTCTGCGCATACTTCCTAAATAGGAAATTTAACCCACCTTTGAAAATTAACAAGAAACGGTCGTCTCGTCATTTTTTTTTTTTTTCCACTCAATCAGTCAGACATAATTAAATAAATAAAAAATAAAAAAAAAAATAAATAAAAACCGATAATAACCGAATATATAAAAAATAAAAAAAAAAAACATCATATTATATTTTATATATATAAATATATTTTAAAAATTGTTTTTTTTTTATATATAAATAATTCAATCAAAAAAAAAAAAAAAAAAAAAAAAAAAAAAAGTGGAGTGAAAAATTTTAAGTAAAAGAAAAAAAAAAATAAAAAAAAAAATAAAAAACCTCCGCCGGTGGGTTATTTAATTTATTTATTTATTTATTTATAATTTATTTATTTAATTTATTTATTTAATTTATTTATTTAATTTATTTATTTATTTTAAAAAATCTTCTTCTTATTCTTTTTATTCCTTTGGAAAACTTTTATTTAAAAATAAAAATAAAAATACTTACCTAAAATGGTATAGAAAAAAAAAAAATTAAAAAACGCCTTTTATTATTATTATTATTATTATTATTATTATTATTATTCTTTCTTTCTAATTCAAATATATAAATTAATATAAATACTCCCCCATCTTCCCCTTCCCTTTTCTCTCTCTCTCTCTCTCTCTCTCTCTCTTTTCTCTTCAATCATCATATCCATTCCAAAAAAAAACAATGTCTGAATATAAAAAAACATCCTTTGAAAAGGCTTACGAAGTTACAGATTCTACAGCCCAAACAGCATCTGCAACAACTACTACAAATTACCCCCCAGAATACGATGCATTCTCAACAGATGCTGAAAAGGGTGTCACTCTTAATATGACTTCCCCAGATGGCGTTGCTGTCTCTGGTGATGTTTCCCAAGGTGAAGTCAAACGTCAACTTAAACAACGCCATGTTTCTATGATTGCTTTAGGTGGTACCATTGGAACTGGCCTTTTCATTGGTACTGGATCTGCCATTTCAGATGCTGGCCCCGTTGGATCTCTTATTGCTTATATCTTTATGGCAACTGTCGTTTATTCTTTAGCTCAATCTATTGGCGAAATGGCTACTTTTATTCCAATCACTGGCTCTTTTACTGTCTTTTGCTCCCGCTTTGTATCCCCTGCCCTTGGTGCTTCCATTGGTTGGCTCTATTGGTTCTCTTGGGCAATCACTTTTGCCATTGAACTTTCTATTGTAGGACAAGTTATTGAGTTTTGGACTTTTGCTGTTCCATTAGCTGCTTGGATTGGCATCTTTTTTGTCATTTTCACTTCGCTCAACTTCTTCCCTGTTAAAATTTATGGTGAAATTGAATTCTGGGCTGCTTCTATTAAAGTCATTGCCGTGGTTGGTTGGCTCATTTATGCCCTTTGCATGGTTTGTGGTGCTGGTAAAACTGGCCCCGTTGGATTCCGTTACTGGCGTCATCCTGGTCCTTGGGGTCCTGGTATCTTGTCTTCAAACAAAAATACTGCTAGATTTCTCGGTTGGCTTTCTGCCCTTATCAATGCTGCCTTTACTTTCCAAGGAACTGAATTGGTTGGTATCACTGCTGGTGAATCTGCAAACCCTCGCAAGACTGTCCCCCGTGCAATTAACCGTGTCTTTTTCCGTATTGTTGTGTTTTTTATTGGCTCCATCTTCTTTATGGGTCTTTTGGTTCCTTATAATGACCCTCTTCTTTCATCTGATACTTCTTACGTCTCCTCCTCCCCCTTTATCATTGCCATTGTTAACTCTGGTACTAAAGTCTTGGACCACATTTTCAATGCTGTCATTCTTACTACCATTCTTTCTGCTGGTAACTCTAATGTTTACATTGGTTCCCGTCTTTTGTTTGCCCTGGGCTCTTCTGGTGTGGCTCCCAAGTTCTTTACATGGACTTCAAAAGGTGGTGTCCCCTATATTGGCGTTATCTGTACCGCCTTGATTGGTCTTCTTGGCTTTTTATCTGTTTCCGAGGGCTCTACAACTGCTTTTAACTGGCTGGTTAACATTTCTACCGTTGCAGGTCTTCTTGCTTGGGCTGCCATTTCCTTTTCCCACATTCGTTTTATGAAGGCTCTTGAGTACCATGGCATTGACCGTAAAGACTTGCCCTTTACTATGAAGGGTGGTAAATGGTATGCTTGGTATGCTTGCATCTCTGTCATTTGTGTCATTATTATCCAAGGCTTTACTTCCTTTTGGGACTTTAACGCTTCTGACTTTATGACGGCTTACATTTCCCTCTTTATCTTTATTGCCTTTTACCTTATTTTCCAATTTATCATTTTTAGAGGCCCTCTGTTGCATTCACCTGAAAATATTGACATTTTCACCGGCCGCAGAGAAGAAGAACTTGTCATTATTGAAAAGGAGAATATGAATCTTTGGGAAAAGATTCTTGAATTCCTTTTTTAAATTGTTGTTTCTTTTTCTTTTTTTTTTTTTTCTATCCTTTTTAAATTGTTGTTTCTTTTTATTTATTTATTTATTTAGTTTTTTTTATGTATTTATAGAAGTTTCCTTTTCCACAATTTAATTAATTAATTAATTAATTATTTATTCATTCATTCATTCAACCTATCCAAACGTTGTAGATCCTCCCTTTGCATTGCGCCGCTGAGCACTCAACCGCCATGAATTGGCATCAGTCGCATACCGATCAAACAAGGGCTGAATCCGTTCATTACGTTTCCTCTTTGATAGTTTGGTTGGATCCGCAACCTTGAAAAACGTAGGCGCTGCTTCCGCCAACCATTTCGGATTGATTGCTGTTGCACAATGCATGTACTCCTTGGTAGTCAACAAAAGTGTATGATAAATCACATACTCTGCTGCCTTGTTAAACAATGCACTCGACGGATGCAAATATACTGGAGTCCCCTCAATTAATGTCTTGTATCCTTCTTGTGGATCCTTGCGTGCTGCGTTCCGGAAAAACCCAGAACACAACACCTTTCGGATCGCGTCCGTGTCCCGTCCACATGACAAAATTGCGTGCTTGTAACGTTCCATGATAGAAACCAATTGCCTTCGCACATCTTGTGCCCTCTTTAACGACCGTTCCTGAATAAAATTGTCTACACACCACGTCCTCGAGTGGCCCTGCCTCTCCCATGCTTGGTACACGTTTAATAACATCAAATGGTCCCCCGTTGGATCATTAAACTTGGCTCGCTTTTGGTCTGCTTGAGCTTGCTTTTCCTTTGGCCGATAAAACACGTTTTGTACTGATAACATTGCAACAATCGTTAACATTTCTGTCGAACATCCAGCATCAACACTTGCAATTAGAACTTTGGCCAATGACGGTTCCATGGGGAAATCAGCCATTTTCCGACCTAACCGCGTTAACAACCCCTCGTCATCTAACGCAAGTAACGAATGTAGTTCCTCCAAAGCCGTCAACATAGTATTTGCCGGTGGAGGGTCCATAAAGTCGAAATGTAATAAATCATTGATCCCCATTGCCTTGAGCATCAAAATCGTATGCGACAGATTTTGTCTTTGAATCTCCGGAATCGTATTTGGTAGCATCTCATTGTTAAACGCTTGCTCCGTATAAAGCCGATAACACTTCCCTGGCCCCGTACGTCCAGCTCGGCCTGCTCGCTGGTTCGCTTGTGCTTGTGAAATGGGTGAAATCACCAAAGAGTCCATCCCGAGTTTCGCATCATACGCGTTAATCTTAACAAACCCTGGGTCCACCACATAGTAAATCCCATCAATAGTAATCGACGTTTCTGCAATGTTGGTAGCAATCACCACTTTACGGCTCCCAGGTGGAGCAGGATCAAAAATCTTACTTTGCATTTCACTCGGAAGTGCAGAATAAACTGGTAAGATAATGAGCTCAGGAACATCAGGACCTAACGCCTTCATCCGCTCATAAAGAACCTCGCATGATGTGTCGATTTCCTCTTGTCCTGTTAAAAATACCAAAATATCGCCCTGCGGCTCCGACAAGTGGATTTGAATCACCGTCATCAACGTCGCCTCCAAATAATCATACTCTGGATCCTTGGTATATAAAATCTCCACAGGGAATGTGCGTCCTGGAATGTACAAAATCGGACACTTGAGAAAGTAGTCAGAAAACTTTTCAGCATCAAGAGTCGCAGAAGTAATAATTAACCGCAAATCCGGCCGCCGTTTGGCTGCCTTCTTCAACAATGCAAATAACACATCCGTCGCAATTGTACGCTCGTGCGCTTCATCCAACATAATTACACTATATGCCGTCATGTCCGGGTCTAGTAACGCCTCACGCTGCAGCATACCGTCTGTCATGTACTTGATGCGAGTCCGAGGAGATGTCACGTCTTCAAATCGAATCGTGTACCCGACCTCGGCTCCCAGCTTACACCCGACTTCGTCTGCAACACGTTTTGCAACTGACACTGCTGCTACACGTCGCGGCTGCGTACACCCCACAATGCCCCTTTTGGTAAATCCTTCTTCTGCAAGGTACTGTGTGATTTGGGTGGTTTTACCGGAACCTGTATCGCCCACAATAATCATAATCTGGTTGTCGCGTACTGCTTGTACCAGTTGCTTGCGCAGTTGGTATACAGGCAACGACTTGCGTTGCTCGTCAATTGAAAGATTCGTCCGCTTGCCGTATGAAATTTCTTGCTTGGATGTTTTTTTGCGCCATTCGGGGATTTGATTGATAATCTCATTGGTCTTTGAAGCAAGTGGGTCATGCATCGACAACTCGTCTGCTCCCTTCTTGGCTTGTTCCTTGGATTGTTGTTGACGTTGTTCGCGGCGCTCACGAGCCAAAGAAGCTCCCGACATGGCTGCTCTGTTGAGAGATCCCTCAGGCGCCTTGACTACACGGATAGGACTAAGCTCCAAGCTTTGTTTTGTTTGGCCTGCAAGAAACGGGGGTTCTTCTTCTCGAACTTCAATATCAACGTCTTCTTCTGGTTCCAAGTCATCCGGATCATTGATTGCTTGTAGGTCTTCATTAAGTTCAGGGTAATCAGCTGCTGACAATGCTCCAGAAGCAATGAGTTGTCTAATTTCCCAGCGTTCTGGAGATGTCAATCGTTTCCTTCGGTTAGGCTGGTTAATACGTTCAGGGGCTGGTTCTCCTCTAAGACCAAAACTATTAGCTCCAGTGGCAAAGCTGGGTATAGGTTGAAGATCCTGGCCTGTTTCTTGGTCCACGTCTTTCATTGATAAACTGATGCGGTTGCCATCAATTTTGATGACTTTTACTTTGACCCGTTGGTCGCGTTGAAGTACTTCTGATGGGTGTTCCAGTCGAGCACCATTATGTATTGCTGAAATATGTACAAGGCCTGTGAAATGTTAGAACATGAATGAAATATAATAATAATAATAATATTATTATTATAATTATAATTAAAAAAAAAAAAAAAACTCACCATCTCGACGTCCACGAATGCCGTCAAGTGAAACAAACGCGCCAAAGTTGGTCATGTTGATGACACGGCCATTATAAACCTTGTTGATAACAGGCTCATCGTCCATATCTGTTTCTGGAGACGGTGATCTACGACGAGATGACCGTGGTCGTTCTGGTGATTCGCTGGATCCTCTTCTCAGTCGTTGAGATCTTCTTGAATCACGTTGGGATCGATCTTTTGAGTCTCTTCGTGACCGATCACGCGAGTCTCTACTGTGTCGCTCTCTTGAGTCACGCCTTGAATCTCTACTTGATCGTTCTCTTGAGTCACGTCTGTGTCTTTCTCTTGAATCACGCCTATGTCGTTCTCGTTCTAGTTGTCGTTCATGTGGCGACGCGTCTCGCCGGTGTCGTTCTTGCCGTGGTTTGAGCTGGCTCAACGCTTCGTCTACTACGTCTTCTTCATGCGAGACTTTAAAATCTGGAAGAGATAGTCCTTTAAATACATTTGATTTATCCTTAATGTCAGTAAAGATTGTAGGGTGTGGATGCAGTTGTCGAATGATTCGATCAATATTGTCGATAAAGTCGTCTGGTAGCTCTGCTCCAGCTTCGCGCAGTTTGGCCTTGAATTGAGCCAGAGTTTTACAAGACTTGTGGATTTCAAGAACAAACTCTGCCAGCGCCTTATCAGAGACGCCAGTATGGTTTGCCATCTCGGTCGTGAGTCTTGACACGAGCGAGATGATTTTGAATTTTTCAATTTCTTCCATGTAAAAAAAGAAAAAAAAAAGTTGAATTTTTTTTTGATTTTATTTTATTTTTTTTTAATTTTGGGAGGGATAAAAGATTTTGGAGAGAAAAAAAAAAAAAAAAATCTACGAGACTTTGAAAGATTTGAAAAAAAAAAAAAATATATTCACGTGATTACAACAAGTTACCATTATGTAAATTACAAAGTTACCCACAAGTAAGTTTCCTACATCTAAAGATCGTCGGAGAGACGGACACCATTCTTGTCAATGATTTTAATCTAGACGACGAGTTAGTTTCTTTTTTTTTTTTTTTTTTTTTAGTAATGATGATTTCTCAATTGATACTCACTTGAATGCCCTTAAAGTCCAGAGGGATTCTGCGCTTGATTTCATCAACACACAGTTTCATAAGGTCAAGACCCTCTTCCAGAGTTAAGCCTGGACGATGGTGGCGGTCGAGAAGCGACAGAATATAGTAAGACGCGTAGCCATGGGCCGCATAAGGCAGTTCGACTCCAGAGGCAAGATAATCGATCCAGTAGAGTGAAGGTTTTTCTTTTCTAACGTCATAGCTTCCAAGAAGCATGTTTACTTGGTATGGTTTCTAAAAGTGTTAGCAAAGACAAAGTCATTAATTTATTATAATTAATTGAGGTGACTTTCCAACATACTCGTGATCTTAAAGAATTGGCCATTTCATTCCGCAGGTAGCTGGCAATGGCGGTACTTGACATTTCGTAGCCATTGCGCATGCCATAGAGAGAGATATTTGCAAGAATATATTCAGCAAATTGGACTTGTGAAAAAAAATATATAGTTAGAATGAAAAGAAGTTTATTTTTTTTTAATAATAAACCAAAAAAAAAAAAAAAAAAAAAATACCAGCATCACCAGCTTCACCGGAAAAGGCTAGTGAAGATGTACTTGTAAGGTTACGTGTTTTGTCGTCGTCACTTTTGAGCACTGAGATACCGCGCATAGCAGCCTTTGAGGTGGCGAGGATGACAGCGTCGCCTGTTGTAATTCCCAATAAGACATCCATTGTGATAAGTTGTATATATATATATATATATATATTGAGGTTACTTTTTAAGTAATAATAGAGAAAGAAAAAAAGAAAAATTAAAAAAAATTAAAAAATTAAAAAATTAAAAAAAGAGAGAGAGATTTCTATTTCAGAATGGTTTGTGATTTTTGTTTGTGTTAATTGATTGATTGATTGATTGATTGATTGATTGACTGACTGACTGACTGATTGATGAATTTTGGTGATGCGGTGGTGGAGAGGAAAAATCAAAAAAAATAAAAAATAAAAAAAATCCCACAAAGTGGCAAACCCTAAACCACAAAGTCACGTTAAAGTCATGTGATCATTATGTGATAAAAATACGGCTGTATATTTTTTTTTTTTTTTTATTTATTTATTTATTTATTTATTTAATTTTACTTTGCTACAGACCGATTGGACTCCGACCCGGGCACTCAAGACCCGGTGAAGTTCCGTTCATATTAAATTTGAAATAAATTTGAAATAAATTTGAAATAAATTTGAAATAAATTTGAAATAAATTTGAAATAAATTTGAAATAAAAATATCGGAGATAATAATAATAATAAAATTAATTAAAAGGACCTTTTATTTTTATTTTTATTTTTATTTTTATTTAAAATATAAAATAAAATATAAAATATAAAAGATCCCTCGGTACTCGTCAGTACTTCCGACTTTAAAAAAGTTGAGGGATTACAGCAAATTCCCTTTTTGATTTCAATTGAATGAAATCTTCCTTAAAAAATCCTTTAAAAAATCCTTTAAAAAGTCATTTTCTTTCTTTCTTTTTATTTATATTTTATATTTTATACTTAAAAAAAAAAAAAGAAAAAAAAAAAAGAAAATAAAAAAAACTCTTAGCATTCAACCTTCCATAATAATAATCGTAATAATAATAATCATCATCATCATCATCATCACAACCACCACATACATATACCACACACAGAATTACTCTTATCATGAAAGATAAACTAGAATCTGCCCGTTCAAAAGTATGTTCTTACTCTATATTATCATCATTAGTTATTAAACTAAACTAAACTAAAACTCCTTTTCATAGAAACTCTTTAAATTCCTCGACCGAGGTGACGTCCCTTCAATCGTCCTAGATACGGCTCCTCCAATCCAAGACATCATTTCCCGTGTAGCAGCAAAAGGATACCCAATAGACATCATCTCAAAAGAAAATGCTGCCGTCGCATACGAGTCTCGATATGCTTGTCGTGATGTCGAACGTGCCGCAGAAGTCCTCGTGTACTTTCTGGACGCTTCTGATAACAAAATCTCTTCAGTCACACACCAGTGCTCCACTATTACTACTACTACTACTACTACTGCCACATCCCATAAAGCATACTGCCGGTTACTCGGCGCAGATAACCGTAACGCTGTGACGTGTTATCTCGATACACTTCTCTTCTCAATGTTTGCACGTATTAATGACTTCGAGCCTATGCTCAAAAGAGTCTTCCCAGAAAATGCAATCTTAGATAGCTTGACTGTCTTTATCCGGCTTTATGTCAATATGCTGCGTGATGGCAAACATATTACCCAAGATATCACCAAGCTTCTCATCAATTCCCTCATCAAAGCTGGCTGGGAACCCACAGGTGCAACGGCCCAACAGGATTGCTGCGAGCTTTTCAACTTTATCACAGATCTTCTTGCCATGCCTATGCTCACCCTCAAGCTCGAAATTGCACATGAAGGACTTGACTCTAAAGAAGACGACCATAAACTCGTCAATGAGCGATTACTCCTGGTAACAATCCCAGGTGACTCAAACGATGAGCCCATTTTACTCGAGCAATGTCTTGAGTCCTACTTTGCCAACTCAGTCCAAGTCTTTCGTCAGCTTGAACGACGACGTACGCTTGATTCGACCCAATCTGCGCCTCAGATCCGTGGACGTAAACGTCAGCTTTCCATCTGCGTCTCTTCAAGAGAAGTCCCCGAGGAAGAACCTCCATCTGCAACAACTCCAACTCAAACACTCACTCCAACACAGCAAAACTCACCGCAAAGTCCTCATGAACTGCTCCCAACATATTCGTCACTCTACCAGCACTCGGTCTTACAACCACCACCACCACCACCACCAGAAAAACACTCGCTTTCGACTCTCCCACCAAATACTTTATGGACCCCGAATAAAGAGTTCTCACTACCAGCTTGGATGTTTCTCCAGCTAGTACCCTTCTACACTAATCCAGACTGCAACAAAACTCCAGCAAACCCCCTCGGAATTGCACCTGCAACAGACTCCTTTGCCGGGGCTCGACCCGTCGTGGCCATCTGTCTCAAGCGGTCCAATTGGACCACCAGCAATAATCATGCAGTGTTAAACAACCGCAAGGTCATTGTGCCTCAGGTGATTCATTTCCCAAACTTTGTCGCTGATAACAATGAAGACGACGTCCAGCAATCTGAACATACAAATACAAATGGCGCAGATAAGTTTGTTCTTGTTCTTGAAAGTGCAATCTTTCACCGAGGAGCATCTACAAATGCAGGTCACTTTGTGGCCATTGCGCGTGAAAATAACTCTATTCCATACGATCCAGAAGATCCTAAAAACAAAACTCCCACAGGACCCGGCAGCCGCTGGATATTCTTTGACGATCTTCAGCCCCTTGGGAAAAAAGTTGTTGTCGCAGACTTTGAGACTGTCTTCCGCCGCGAAAACCCCTATCTCTTGTTCTACCGACTCGTCACAGTCACAGACTACACTAATGAGCAAGAGGCTGGCGGTGATATTGTCAATGGCTCACTCCCTGTGGACCAGCAACAACTTGAGCAACTGTTGCAGCCTTTACAGGAACCCGATTCCCAGGTCGAAAAAACACAATCTATGGATACACTCTGTCCTCCTCCCTCTGGGGTCGGAATTGCTTCAGAACCCTCATCACCTCGTACCTCTATGGAACTAGAACGGCCAGAATCGCGGCAAATGACTCCGTTCGACTTACTGGACAATGGAGATACGTCCGAAATCACAGTTAATGCGGTGGATAGCGATAGTGATAGTTCCATCAGTGGTATTATTAAGGCGTCGCAGATTATCGATGGATCCACTACAACCACAACAACCACTGCTGCTATACCACCTCCTACAGTCACTGTTCATGCTCCAGTTGCAGTGCATGCTCCAGTTGCAGTGCATGCCCCCGTTGCATCACACGTCTCGCATGTCACAGATGGCATGGCGCGTGTAGCCATTTCGGAACCGCCAGCTGAGATTTCAGATAAAAAGAAAAAGGGCATGAAACGCAACAAATCTTTATACAAGAGCCTGACCAGTCTACGCAAGTCACGCTCGAGACCTCCTTCACCTTCGGCATCAGAGGTGACGCCACCAGTCCCGTCAAAGGGGTTCCGCAAGTCTATGGAGGCTACATTTGGAGGATACCACAGCAAGTCATCATCACCTCAGCTTAAACCTACTGAAGGCCTTGGTGTTCCTGGGGTCGGATCCCAGCACCCCGTGACCGCTTCACGTTCGGTATCACCAATTTCCCAATCATATATGAACAAGACTCGAACAGGATCCGTTTCCACGTCGCCCAAATCGTGGCCAGGCGGGTTTGACTCGAGTGGAGTTCCAACGCTGCGTGAAAACCATAACCATACTAATCGTCATCAAGGACACTCGCCCTCAGTTTCTTCAACACTTGCACCGTCAACCCTCTCGCTGGCCTCCACGTCTCCGCCAAACACCCAGGCAGCAGCAGCTGCTGCTGCTTCTGCAATCACCTCACATAAGCCACTCCCAGGACTTCCGACACGGGTGGACGAACCCTCTAGTGGGAAAATGTCGTCGCGACTGCGGGGGAAGAACAAAGGCACAGTAGCATCTTCACCGTCTACAATTTTCTCATCCTTCTCTTCAACACCGTCCACACTCCCCTCAGGGACCGTTTCTGCAGTATCGTTAGTTCCAGGAACTCCACCGTCCAACCAGGTTCTGTTCAATGCGGTGGAGGTGCCCAGTACGTCTAGCACAGCAAGCAGTAGTTATACTAGTCTACCTCCTGGTGGGAACGTGCACTCGCGTAGTGGATATTTCCATGGGTACCATCATTCAGGGACATCTGCGACAGCAGCAGCAGCAACGTCTTCGTCGTCTCACCATGGTATGCCTCTGGGAGGTACCGGTAGTAGCATGGGACTTGTGACTGCAGAAGAAGCACAGCGACACGCGCAATACCGGAGCGAGAAGTGTACAATTATGTAGGTGATAATAATTATTAATTTTTTTTTTCTTTATTCTTGAAACCCCACAATTTGCATATATATATAGTTGATGATGATACTGAGAAAGCTACATGATGGAAGGTTGTTTAGATGTTTAAAAAAAAAAAAAAAAAAAAAAAAGTAGTTTAATTACGGATTGTATAATAATTTATATTTCATTTCATGGTCAATAACTCGGCTAACGGATCCAAGAATCAGCGAGAGATATTTGTGGGGGCTTTTATTTACTATATATATGTATATATAGTTATAAGCAATCAGTACCTGTATATACATGGTATATTGTATATACTATACAGTATATATAGCATATATTGTAACTACCCAATCTTTTTTTTTTTGATATCTAAATAAAAGCCCTCAATTTTTTTTTAGGATTTCTTTTTTTTTTTTTTTTTCTTTATACAATAACATAAACAAAAAAGTTTCTAAAGAATAAGAGTCTCAAGGGTATTATTGTTCCATGATAGGTTTGTTAGTTGTTCAATTGATATCTTGATCTTTTGATCTCTTTAATTTTAAGTTGCTACATCAGGTTCGGACCATTGGCTAACCTGTTAGCAAGTGTGGCTATACCCAAAATAAGAATTTAAATTGATTTTTTTTATTTATTTATTTATTTATTTATTTTTATTTATTTATTTATTTTTTCCACTGTGAAATATAATATGAACTTGTGGAGAGTTAAACAAGACTTATTTGCAAAGGATTTCTTAATTATTTTCTTTTGGAAACATTTATATATTATAATATCCAATAAATTTCATTTAATTAATGGAAAGTTTTTTTTTTAATAAAAAATAATTAAAAATAGAAGCCCGTTTGTTTGTTTGTTTGTTTGTTTTTATTCAAGGGATTATAAAATTATATAACATCAGAATCTGCGCTATCCTTCTTGTCCATACTATATATCTTTTCATTTTAATAATAAACTTTTAATTTTACCTTCAACATTGCATCTCCAACAGCCCGAAAATAAGTCCTGATGCCAGCTTACGAGGAACAGGGGGTTAAAAATAACCAAACCTTCCCAACCTATATCCACTTGTCTTCATCAACGCTGTAATTGTATTTCTTAATCCCTCCAAGCAGAGATAAAGCTTACAATCTTTTGTAAGCCAGTTGAATTGTTTCAGAGAGTCGATATGTCCATATCTGGAGATATCCGTTTCAGCCCATTGTTTGTTTGTTTGTTTTTATTCCTCCGTTTCAGCCCAAAATTTTGTTGTTTTTATAGACTGTTTGTTTATATCTTATATATACGTTTGATAAACTTTATTCATAAGTTCTTATTAAATGGGCGTCTGGTGTAGTTGGCTATCACGTTCGCTTAGCATGCGAAAGGTCCCCGGTTCAACTCCGGTGTCGTCCAATTAATGTAACTTAATTTTTTTGTTAATATTTTTATTATTTAATTTAACTATAACAAAGTTATTATTATCATGTGACTGTGCACGTTTTTTTTTCTGTTTAACTAAAAAAAAAAAATTAGTGACAAAAATAATATTTTTTTTTTATTTTTTTATTTTTTTATTTTTTTTTTAACTGTTTGCCGCTACTAAAAATTACACACAACACACTACACACTAACACTGCCTATTACTGCTTGTTGCTTCTATTTGTGTGTTCACCACCAAAACAACAATCTGCCACTCTTAAACAGTCAGTCAGTCAGTCAGTCAATCAGTCAGCCATACAGCAGCTGCTTGCCACCACCACTCACTTCAAAAAAAAAAAATTAAAAAAAAAAAAAAAAAAAGAAAGAAAGCTTTGCTCAGATTATTTTTTTTTTTATTTCTTTAACTTTCTTTTTTATTATCTTTGCTTTATTCAATATTTCATCTAATCTCAATCAGCAAGAAAGCTAAAATAACTAATTACTATTAAATAAAACCAGCCATTATTAGAAAAAAAAATGCCACCAAAAGAGGCACCAGGACCGTCAAAACAACAACCATCTACATCTACATCTACATCATCATCTTCCTCAGATAGTCCATTTAAAAAATGTAAGTCATTGATTCTTCTTCTCTTTTTTTTTTTTTTTATAATTGAAAGAATATACCAGAGTTACCAGTATATATTTCTTTTTTTTTAAAAAAAAAAATTAATTTAATTTAATTTAATTTGGTCTTTTACTCCACACTTTTTTATTTTTATTTTTTTTTAATTTTTAAATTTGATACAGTTTTCTAACCTTGTTTTTATAATATCTTTCTTTATTTCTTTTTTTTTTTTTTTTGATTCTTTCAATAATATAGTTGTCTATGCTGCCATTGTCCATGGGAAAACATCTTTTCTGGCTGAATATAATGCTGACCCAGCATCACAAGCAAAAGACCTGGCAGGTGTAGTTCTCGATAAGTTAGATCTTGATGATGATTCAAAGGTATGTATTATACCAATATATATATATACTAATAAACTAACCATCAAACATCTTTTACCTCCTTTAGGTATCATTCGTCTATGGAAACTACGCTATTCATTACATTACCCGTCCACGAAATAACCCCTCCAGTGCCCCAGAAGGTCTTACATATCTCGTCGTGGTCAGACGACAAACAAATATACCTGCACCTACTGCTAACCAAACACCACCTCGCTCTAACTCTGTTTCTTCAACTACCTCTACAACTTCCCCCACAGACTCGCGGCGTGTCCCATTTCTATTTCTTATGGACCTTGAAAGCATTTTCCGCAGCAAGTACTTAGGCAAATGTGTGGGCTCCACCGTTGACAAGGTGCTGCTAGAATCTGGCTCACCACCAGCAGACCTAGCCAAAGATGTGCGTGAGCTTGTTGCCAGGGCTGAGCGTGGAGATAACGATGTGTCAGGCCTGGCGCGTCAGGAGCTGGAAGATGTGCGGACCATTATGATTGAAAATGTGGAACGTGTGCTAGAACGCGGAGAGCGAATCAACCTATTGGTATCTAAAACAGACCGCATGAATGCACAGGCCGTAGAGTTTAGGAAAGTCTCAACAGCAGTTAAGAGAAACATGTGGCTGGCCACAGTCAAGTTTAAGATTCTACTAGGACTTGCTGGTGCTGTTATTGTGTATCTGGCAATGGGCTTTTTGTGTGGTCTTCCTGGTCTTGACCGATGTTTCTAAGATCCATTTTTTTTTTCTTTTAGGTCAAGTCCGGAATCCGATAGAAGGAGGAGGTTTTAAAGATACAAAAAAAAAAAAAAAAAAAAAAGAGAGAAAGAAAAAGTCGGGCACAATGTCCCGAGTGAAGATTACGTGAATGCTTAGTCATTTGAATTAATTTTTTTTTTTTTTCACATCCAAAAAAAAAAAAACAAAAGGCGGTAATTGATGGAAACTGAAAAAAAAAATTTGGAATTTGGAATTTTTATTTTATTTTTTTTAAAAATACTTGTTAACTTATTTATTTTATTAACTTGGTTTATTATTATTATTATTATTATTATTGTTGTTGTTATTATTAAATTATTATAGAGTCATAATATAGCAGTCATTATTATTATTATTATTTATCATTTATCATTTATCATTTGGGATTATATTTTTCTCAAAAAAGAAAAAAAAAAGACTTTGAAATTACATAAAGTACGTGATTTGATTAATGGAATCTACTCAAGGTGATCTACTAGCTGAACTGACACGCAATGTGACGGCAGCAGCAGCAGCGGCAGCAGCAGTTGCAGCATCGACCATGGTTAAGACGGAATCCGAAAAGCAACAAGAAGATCAGTCAAATCAAGAAATGCATAAAAACAGTAATGACCAAGTACTAAATAATATTAAAACAAGTGATGACGAAACAGATTCAAAAAAACACATTTTGTCATCATCACCAATGGACGTCAATATTCCGGAAGATACTGCAAGAACTACAGAGACTATCAACAACCATAGGAGGGATAGAAGCAATAGTAGAAGCAAGAACGGAGATAGGAATGACATAAAAGTAAATATAAAAAAGGAACAAGATGAGATGAGAAACCTAGTAAATAGCAATAGCAATAACACTTTAAATGATCAAAATAGTCGGCCGTTGACAGTTTTAGAAAGTTTGCTTAATAACTCGGTAGTATGGCGAGTACAAGAACCTATAGGTTCGCGATCACTTTTATCATCAAATATATCTATTCCATCACTTTCGCAGCAACATGGATCAACAACAACAACAACAACAACAACAACAACAATCAGTGGAGATAATACTAACTACCATTCAACTTCAAATTCAACTTCTTTGACTGAAACATCATCAGCAACAATCTATGATGGCGGAGGAAATGGGACGGGTGAAGAAGCTATTGTTGGTGAAGCCTCGACAAGGAAAAAGAGAGGAGGAAGAGAAGTTACTATGATGTCGACAGAAGCCGTTCCGAAAAGATCACGGCGGTATGTAAAGTTGAAGTATTCGATCGAGGACTAAAGGTTGGGTTGGGTTGGGTATAAAGAGGTATAGAAAATATATTAATTACTGGGTTCCCTGGTGGGATCCAATGATGATGATGATGATGATGATGATGATTTTTATGAAATCTTTATGAAATCTTTATGAAATCTTTATGAAATCTTTATGAAATCTTTATTAATAATAATAATAATAAAGACAATATTGTCTAGGAAAGCTAAAGGATTTATATATAAGAAAAGAAAGACAAAAAAAAAGTTAACGCGACACGCGTACTTTTCGCGTTTGTAACATAAAAAGGTGTAACAAAAATCTTTAGGCTTTTTTTTTATTTCTTTTTTTGTAAACTTCCGTAAACCCACAAACCCATAAAGCTATTTTGGCCAGCAAAAAAAATAAATAAACAAAAAACTTTTTATTTTTTATTTTATTTTATTTTATTTTATTTTATTTTATCTTTTCTTAAACTCCAATAAACTGTTTAACTGCCACAATATTGGGTTTTCATGATATCACAAACCAACATTTAAAGGAGGAAAAAAAAAAAACATATATATATATTCTACATTTCAGAAATGCCGCCTAAAGGATGGAGAAAGGGACCAGACGGGTTCAGACCTCCACCATCAGCCGAAGGAGAAGGACCAGCCACACCTCCTCCACAGGGCCCTGTTTCTCACAAGGAAAAAAAACCACTATACACTTTAGACGATTTACTGCTACCTCGATCAGTTGTGATGCGGATAGCTAAAGAGGCTCTTTCAGGAGGGTCTGGAGCTGAAGCCGGTACTTCGATTCCTTCAGATGGATACTTGGCTTTACAACGCAGCGCGTCGGTATTTATTAGTTACTTGTGTGCAGAAGCCAATGTCCATGCACAGGCAGCTTACCGCCGAACAATTATGCCTGCAGATGTGCTCAAGGCACTGGAAGAGGTGGAACTTGCACAGTTTGTAGGGCAGGTGCGTGGGGCTGTGGATGAGTATGAAGCTTATGTTGACAAAAAGAAGAAAAACAAGGCTTTAGATTTAGAAGGTGGAGATTCAAATACAGAGAATAATAAAGATGAGGATGTGATTATGAGTGATGGTGGTGCTAAAGAAGAGAGTTTTAATGAAAATGATGATGGGTACGATGAGGAGGATGATTCTGAAATGGAAGACGATGAGATTATTGAAATTGAACGAGCAGAAGAATCTCAAACAGGTGAAGGTGATGAATCTAATAATAATAGTATTATTATTGGTAGCAATGATTCTAATGAAAATGTTGCTGGTGAAGAGCCTGCGGTTAAAAAACGCAAGGGCAGGAAACCAGGGAGAAAACCAGGCAATGCTTCATCAACTACTACGGCAGATGGCAATGGATCTTCAGGATCTATAGCTGCTGCGAATGCGGTTGTTGCATCTGCAACAGCAGCTCCACGGAAAAAGCCTGGTCGTAAGCCCAAGTCACGACCTGAGAGTCAGCCATCTGATAGTACAACAGAAGATACAGCACCACAATCATCTTCTAATGACAAATCTGATCAACCTCAACAAATGACTCTTGATCAAGCAACATTACAGCCTGCACCACAGCGGAAAAAGCCCGGGAGGAAGCCTCGTCAAAAAGCCTCGGAAGGTGAAGCAGGAGGAGCAGAGGAGGAGTCAAGTAGTGGGAAAACATTGAAAAAGAAAGAAGGTGATGATAATACCACAGAAACAGAAACAGTGATAATAGTGGAAAGCGGGAAGAAGGAGCGCAAGAAGCCTGGACGTAAACCTAAGTCCAAATCTGAATCAACTAGTACAGAAGTTACTGGGACAGAGACTTTAACTTCTCAACAAAGTACGGAACCACAATCTCCTCCAACACTTTTGGCCATTGCGCCCCAGCCTGTTGTAGAAGTTGTGGAGACTCAAAGTACCAGAGAGGAAGAGAAGAAGATGATGAAGAAAAAGAAGCCATCAGAGGATGAAAGCACGTGATGTGTTAGATAAGCATATTTATAGTTAATATAATTATGGTTAATTTGTAACAATAATAATAATAATAATAACAATAACAATAACAAAATCTTATTAGTTAGCAATAATTTTAATTATTTGAATTAATTTAATTCACACACACACACGCCATTTTTTTTTTTTTTTAAAAAAAACCGCCAGCAAAGAGTTTTAATTTTGTCTACATCACTTTTTATCAACAACCCACGCAATAAAAAAAAAAAAAATCACCAAGAAGGCCTTTTTTTTTTTATTTATTTATTTATTTATTTATAAAAAAAAAAATAGCCTAATTAGTTTTTGAAAATAAAGCCTTTTTTTTTGCTAAATAAAAAAAATAGAAAAAATTATATATAAAAAAAAATATAAAAATCTCAAACATACAAACAGATAGAAGGAAAGAAATACAGAAAGACAGAAAGATGACGGTTTTTGAGGTCAGTTAAAATAATAAAATAAAAAAAATAAACAAAATAAAAAAATTCTTTCAAGAATTGGAATTCATGCTAACCAGTTTCTGGGATTTTCTTCCATTCATATATAGAGCATAAAGAATCTCATCCGCAATAGCAACAACAACAATACTAAACAAGCAAAACAACAACCAGCATCTTCAGCAACATCTTCCTCGACATCCAAAACATCTACATCTACATCTACTACCAACACCAACACCAACACCACCACAAACTCAAACTCAAACACTTGTTCCTCACCTACTACTCTCAATTCTGTATCTCCGGCTGTGCCGTCAGAATCACCAATTTCAATGCTTTCCGCGTCTCCTCCTTCCAAAGCAGCCCCTCCTGTCGTCACAACTACTCCCGCAGTCCCAGACGATTCCCACCACCACCATCATCATCATCATAATCATAATACCAACAATAACAACAACAACAACAATAACAATAGCAGCCAAACTTTGGGCCAACAACTCGCACCACACTCGTCTCACTCCTCAGTCGAGAGCTCCCACATTCAAGCGTCTGCAGCGCTGGCCGCCGCCGCCGCTCATCATGCGGCCAAAACTTCTTCCTCACCATACCCGGGTTTGGACCCGCGCTATAAACTTGTTGAAAAAATGGGAGATGGTGCATTTTCTGTAGTCTACAAGGCTCTCGACACACAAACAGGCGAAAATGTTGCCATCAAAGTCGTCAATAAACACAATCTTAGTACTTCTCAAGTGAGTAATGATTATTATTGTTATTATTATTCTCAATATTTTTCTAACATTCTTTAGCGATCTTCAATTCTTAAAGAAGTCGCAATCATGCGACAACTCCACCACAAAAATATTGTAGAACTTCTTGGCTTCATTGATGCCGTTGATTATTACTACATCATTCTAGAACTCCTTCCAGGTGGCGAGCTCTTTCATCAAATTGTTCGCCTCACCTACTTCTCTGAAGATCTTGCGCGTCACGTCATTGTGCAGGTCGCCGAGGCAATCCGCTATCTTCATGAAGAAGCTGGTGTTGTTCACCGTGACATCAAACCAGAAAACCTCCTTTTTTATCCTGCCCCCTTTATCCCAAGCCCAGTCAAACAGGTCCGTGCAGGAGAAGATGCAGAAACAAAACAAGACGAAGGCGTATTTGTCCCTGGAGTCGGTGCTGGCGGAATTGGTGTCATCAAGCTCGCCGACTTTGGATTATCCAAAATCATTTGGGATGCAAACACAATGACACCCTGCGGCACTGTGGGTTACACTGCACCAGAAATAGTAAATGACCAGCGATATTCCAAGTCTGTTGACATGTGGGCTCTGGGATGCGTACTATACACTATTTTATGTGGATTCCCGCCGTTTTACGATGAAAACATTCAAGTGCTTACCGAAAAAGTGGCCCGCGGAGAGTACACATTTTTGTCTCCTTGGTGGGACGAAATCTCAAAGGGAGCCAAGGATTTGGTCTCACATCTGCTTACTGTCGACCCATCCAGGCGGTACACTATTGAACAGTTTCTGGCCCATCCGTGGATTACTCAGTCAAATAAACCAACTGTGCCTGCTGTGGATTCCCCCCTGCTCAAGCCTTTAACCTTGGCTTCAGAGCAGCACCAGGTGGAAAAACTTGTTGCTGAGGAAGCTGCAATTAATGCTGGAACTGTTGGATCATCATATTTTGCAAAAGTGATTACTACCCCTGCAACAGAAGATCTTCCTCCTGTTACTTCTTTGAACTCTAACACTGATAATAATCGAGACTCTTTGCTTCCGACTTCTGGGCTTAATGTTCCTGAGGGATTTGCTGATAAGACATTTATGTCTCCTGCAGTTGTGGCCATGAAGGAAGCGTTTGAGGTGTTTAATTCGGTGCACCGGTCGGAAGAAGAAAAGGTGACCCAGCAGCGGGTGCGTGGAGTACGAGGGTCTGGCGGTGCAAAGAGTGCAAAGAAGAGAGGTCAATTGGGGCGATTAGGTGAAGAAGAGGAAGAAGAAGATGAAGATGAAGATGAAGAAAAGGAAGAAGAATCCAATGGAGAAAAGAAGGAAGATGAAGTGTTAAAAAATAAACTGGATAAACTTGCAATTGGAAGCACAAATGAAGATGCCTGTGATGACAAGTTTTTTGAGCTAAGTCTGGAGGGTTCAACGTTGATTGAGCGACGAAAACGCGTCTCATCTTCTGGATCTGTTGCAGTCATGGCCGACCAGCAATCGCAGAAGCAACAACAACAACAACAACAACAGGAACAGCTGAATCAAGAGCAATAGACACTGCCGACGACGTCTTCCAGTTAGGAATTTTCAAAAAAAAAAAATTTTTTTTTTTCTTTCTTTTTTTATAGTTAAAATGAACCTTTGAAACATAAAAAATAAAATGATGATAATACGCATAAGTTTTATATATATAATTTTTTTTTCTTTCATTATTTGTATACTTGATGCACATCCCTCAAGTTGACCGTCTTGTTTCACTGGCCTCAACTTTTACGTGGCGCACCCCACCACCATAAAAAGCCTGTTGAGCACATTAAAGTCTCCCTTTAAACCCACCACCACCACCACCACCACATCCATTACAATAATTAATGACCAACAACCTTTTTTTGGACAGACAAAGTTTTTGCCTTCCTTTTCTTCCCAATAAAACTCATTCCTTCAACTAAAATCCAATGTCTGAAGATCTTTCGGCGCACCCCCAGGCTTTGGCAACAGTTCTCCAAACTGCCATCCACCGGTTCTTAAACGCCACTGATCTGGTATCGACTTCTGCACGAGTCCATTCCTCCGCAGCTACCCTCCTCCACTTTGTCCACGAAACAACAACTGCAGCCGTGGCCACACATGGACCACCCCTCGCATCCTCGCTTTCGCGTGCAGCCTCGCTCGCATGGCTCTGGCCATTACTCCCATTCCCACCAGTGTTTGCAACTTACGCCATAATCGTGGCACTCGCTACCTCCCTTGTCGTAGTTGCATCCCGTGCAGCTGCCCGTAGACCACTCTCGGCAGGCGATCCAGACCCCACAGATAAACTGTACTACCATGTTTCGGACTCAGCAAAAGGTGCACGCGCCACGGATGCGTTCGACGATGCACTGAAAGAGCTTGTGACCAAGCGCCGGGCCAGATTGACTGACGACACCACGGAGCACCAGTTTGAGATGGCGGCCACTCGGCGAATTGTTAAGGAGCTTCGTGCGCTGCGTCATGAACGTGTATCTGCATCGGAGGCCTCACTGATGCCTGTTTTTGGTGCAGTTGCGTTACTGGGACTTTACTTTGCGTACAAGTACTTTTCCGCAGCTTCGATCCAGAAACTAATGTCTGGATACTTTGCACTTATGGCCTTTTTCTCTGTGGTTGCGTCAGCTTCCCTGGCCGTTCAATGGGCCGCGCGCAGTGTCATTAAGTCAGAAACAGATGTCCCCCACTGGCGACTTACCCTTGCGCGTGATCCGGATGCGCACGCGCCTGGAATTGAGCCTGGGTTTGATATGTTGCTCCAGGATCTGGTAGCTGAAGAACAAAAGGCTGGGAAATTGACGCGTGATGATCGTGATCTATTGAACAGCGTGCGCATTTGTGATCCGGTTAATCCCAAGTCTCAGTTCTTTAGTATTTATTGCTCTTTAGGTGACTTGCTTGGTGTCCCTATGGCTGCAGGTCTTTTGGCAATCCATTACTACTGGCCTTCATGGGTTTCCGGTAACATTCTGGCAGCTGCCGTTGCCGTTCAGGGTATTGTAACTGTTCGTTTGGATTCCGTGCGCACGGGACTCATCATGCTAGCTGGACTTTTTGCCTATGATATTTACTTTGTCTTTGGTACCGATGTCATGGTCACGGTGGCCACTCAGCTGCAAGTACCAATTAAGTTGGAAGTCCCTCGTCCCGACGATTCCGGATCTGCAGCTGCTTCGCTTATGCGCACGGCCACAGCGATGCTTGGACTTGGAGATATCGTTGTTCCGGCTCTATTTTTATCAATGCTGCTCCGGTTCGACATGTACTCGTTCTATGCCCAACACGAGAAAGAATCAGGTGAAAAGCTGGCATATGCTGCCCGCCGCCCGGTTCCTGCTCCTTACTTCTCAACAGGCGTGGTGGCATATGTGATTGGACTTGTAGTCACAATTGGATTCATGCATGTTTACAAGGCCGGCCAACCAGCGTTGTTGTACTTGTGTCCTGCCATTGCAGCAGCAGCTCTGGGTACAGCGGCTGTGCGTGGAGAACTCGGGTTGTTGTTTGCATACCGGGACCATGCTGAGGAAGATGTCGACGAGACGAAGGATAAGAATAAGAAAAAGAAGAAGGATCTGGAAGGACCCGAGTATGAGGCGTATCTTGCGGAGCACTATGAGCTTGACAACGAAGGGTTGCTGATCAAGAAGGACAAGCAGGTATCTGTTGAATTGAAGGAATCTAAGGAATAAGTTATTTGTATAGTAAAAGTCAATGGAAAGCCCCCCTTTCTTTTTTATTTATTTATTCATTCTATAAATCCAATTGATTCGGTACTACAGATCTAACGTATATATAAATGCATCACCACCAGTTTGCCGGTAGTACCCCGGGACACGGCCCGTTTCCACAAACCCTCGCCGGCTGTACCATTGCTGAGAGTCTGTATCAGTGGCTCTCACGTGAAGGTACACTGCTTTTGCATCCAACTGTTTTGCATGCTCCACAATATGGTTTAACATCATGGTGCCTGCTCCGAGTCCTCGGAACGGCGCAAGAACTGCAATGACCATGATATATACGCGGGGCCTTGTATCTGCAGGTCCATCCTTTACAGGGTTATATGGATCAAGAGCACAACGAATGGCTCCAACAGGCACACCATTGGACTCGGAGGAAGGGTGGTCGTGGTGGTCGTTTTCGTCGGATGACTCGCCGGAGTCCGGGACCTCATAGATGAGTTGGGCTAGAGGCCCCAGACGAGGAACATCTGCGTACCACTGACTCGAGTAGGAAGCTCCGAGGACAACGGAGACTATAGTTTTGAGAGTAGAGACGCGAGATTTCGGAATGTCTTTGAGAACAAACATGAGGGGAACAGAGGACTTTTCAACAGCTGGTCTGCAACAGATTGGAGCTGACTATGAAGGGTTTGTACTAACTAGCCTTGTCAAGATCTAAAAAAAAAAAAAAACAAAAAGTTGGCTGTCACCACTTTTTTTTTTTTTTTTTACCTCCAAAACAAACAAACGGCTATTACTACTATATACTACTACTACTATTCACATTTCCTTTCTCCACCACCAAATGCAAACCTGGACCTGCGAATCCGTCACCAGAGTTCTTGAAACCCTTAGCTTACTGACTCCAACTAATGCTTCTCCAGTTTTGTTAATTTACTGTGGCTCTGCATCCCAGTTCTTTGCGCTGCCTGATGTGGTCGCGTGGCCAGCTGGATTGTCTTCTTACCATGACCATCACTGTACCAAAACTTCTGAGTGTGATTTATGTGGAACGCAACAGGGCCCGCGCGTGGTACCTCCTAGTGGTGTTCGCAGTAAACGCCGGCGTCGGCGTCGTCGTTGTCATCGTGGTCATTGCCAGATACTAGAATCAACTTATGAAGGGAAAAAAGATTACAGACAAGAGGATCGGGTGCAACAGATTGTGGAGAGATTTGCTGAAAAAGTCGAGATTGTTTTTGCAGGAGCCAACGACAGTCCTATAATTTCAAGCATTGTAAGTCGGATTCTTGATCGTGTTAAAAATCCACAATCAAACAGTACTCTCCCAGGAACAATTGTAATCTGGGGGTTATTGTCATGGATGCATGATCAACAGGCTCCTGTTTTGGATGGCACTGCTACTACGTTTGGTAAAATTAATGCAATGGATCGTAGGATTGGTGCACAAAACTTGTGGACAGCTCAAACACTTGAAGCAACGCTCAGCGTGCTTTCCCAAGTTTCTGGCGAGTGTGAGTCTTTGTCAGATCATGACCAGCATGACCAATGTCGGTCACTGATTCTTGCAGAACCCGCAGCAAATGCATCTTTCCTTACAGACCCGACCCACAAAACGCTCCCACTAATCTGCACCTCTTTGGTACAGCAACAACAACAACAACAACAACAACAACAACAACAACAACAACAACAACAACAACAACAACAACAACAGCAACAGCAGAATCCACAGAACACTGTTTCGGCCGCAAGCGTGCTTCGCGCATGGTCCAGTGTATTGTCTATCTAATAATATTCTACTTCTTCTTCGTCATCGCTCGGTGGCATTTTCCCGCGCACATCGTCATCACTATCTTCTTCATCGCTCTCTTCATCGCTTGATTCGTCCCAGCCTTGGGTTCCGCGAACATATTCCACAGGCCACCACGCCCGCTTGTGCCATTCTCGTGCACCGCGCATTACTACCGCCACAATCTCGCCTACAGCTATTGTTTCGTGGGTTTTGGGTTTCGATGCACTTGATGCAGAAGTACCTGGAGTGGTGGTTCCACTTGTTGGTTTGGGCTTAAGAGTGCCGTGCAGCTTGAGCTGTTGCTTGAGTGGGTTGGGCTGTTTCCCTCGGGGCTTTTTACTCTTGGCCGGTTTCTTTGTTGCTTCTTCTTTGACTTCTGTGACTTGCTCTAGCTCTGGATCAGGTAACTGTTCTTGTGGTTGTTGTTGTTGCTGGTCCTCTTTTTCTCGCTCTACTGCTGCTCCAGGATAAACCAACTCCAAATCATCCTTGAGTCCAACCAGCACGTACCCGCCCCGTTTCACAAATAGCGTGTTTCGGAACTTGGGAGGCATATCAACAATCAATGTTAGTGGCTGGTCCTCGGCGTACTTTTCTGGGATGCGCAAGAGTTGGCGCACCATGGCAGTGGTCGATTCAGGTACACTCACATCGTAAGCGCTATTCCCACGCGGCCTCAAAACCTGTGCAACAAACTCGCCAACGTCCAAAGTCTCTGGAGGCGCAGTGCCTGCCTGGTATAACTGCTCAGCTTTTCTGCCCATGAGAGTGTAAGTTTTTTTCTTTTCTTTTCTTCCTTTTGGCTGTTGCTGGTTGTTGTACTAGTGCAGTACTTTTTTTTTTTTGTAGTTTGTAGGAAGAAAAGTTTTTTTTTTTTTTAAAGCCTTGAATGGTCCTTATGAGATCGCCATTTTGGCCACAGAATTTTTTTTTTTAATTTCAAATTTACAATTTTATTTCAAATTCATTCTATTTTATTTTCTGGTTTGTTTATTTTATTTTATTTTTTTTCTTTTTCAAAATAATACAAATTACTTTCCATTCTATCAATCGCTCGACTCCTTCGGCTCCTCCTTAGTCACACTCGCACTGTCCTTGTCGTAGTAAGCGCGTAGCTCAATCTTAAACTCGGCAACCGCAATGCCAAACTGCTTCAACAACCGTGTCTGCTTTCCCGTCAGCTCATCGCCCTCCTTGCAAACAGTGTAATCACCACCCAACATAATCTTTCCATTCTTCAACTGTGTAGGCATGCCGAGGCCTCTGAGAGTGGTTTCCAGCGAGTGTGCCATGGGAACATCGTCCTCAGCTGGGATGCGTCCTCCGGTCGAGTAAACAATGCCTTCTGGAACAATAAATGTTAGTGGGGCCTTGAGTCCTGCGCGTGCAAAGTCTGTCTTGACAAAAGACTCAAAGTAGTCTCGTACAACATCTGGTGCCTCGTCTGTAATCAGCAGGCCAATATCGCCTGCCATGTATCCGGCCTCGTCCGATGCCAGCTCATCGAGCCCAGGCAGGTAAGCTTCCTCTGGAGTGCGACCCAACGCCTTGGCCATGACTCGGGTACGTCCAAACAACAGCCGCGATCCACGCCAGTCCTGACGAACTGTCTTCAGGAAAGTATTGCGCATGTTGGCCACGCTAAACACCCACACGTATCGGTGCGCGTCCACTTGAGAGCGAATCTCATCGCCAATCCGTTCCTTATCTTCACGGGTCTTCTTATCCGTCTGTGCGAGGGTTACTAGTTAAAGATGTTAGAATAAGACACAAATATCATTTAGATATCAAACTTACTTAATTTGGATCTCTTGGACTTGGGCATTTTTGAATGGATTTTATCAGTTGTGTTGTTGAGTTGGTTGAGTGCAAAAACTTTTCTGGCCGCTTTTTTGAAAATTTTCTTTTCCCTCTTTGAAAAAAAAAAAAAAAAAAAAAAAAAAAATTTTAAAAAGAGAACCGTGCGGCGTCCACATGGGTAAGGGTTTGTACCCATACGGCTGGCTGGCTCTTGTCACTTTTGAGCTTCTCCATCACCACTCGGCACTGTCCCGACTTGGCCTTCAGATACAAGCGAGTTTGAGTGCTGTTTCAAGATACTTTCGTCAACAGTGCTAGTCAAGTCCCGAGGGAAAAAAATATCGCCATCTGAATTGGAACGGCTCTTAATTTTGATATTCAATGCAGGAGATCCCAATGAAAACGTTTCTGCGTGTTGTCGCGGTGCTTCTTCATACTTGTTTGCCAACGGTGACATCGGTGACCCCAGTGCGCTAGGCGTTGTTGGTGTTGCTGGTGTGTTTTCATCAATAAGAATAACCATTCTTCTTGGGGTATTTTCCATACACGGTGATAGTACTGTTTCTGTTGACCCTGAAGACCCTGCAGGTCTTTCCGGAGAACCCATCTTTACAGGCGATGATACCCCCCTCTTAGTCACGAGATCGGCTTGTCGAGAAATGGCCTCCAAGTCAATGTTAGGCATGCTTTTCGGAACAGGAGAGTGTACATGGGGCGGGTCTACTTCGACAACATTGGAACCTGGAGTGGCTTCCTCTTGTACAGGAGACAAGAGTTTACGCGCAAGGCTTCCTCTACGAGGTTTTTTTTCTGCAACTGTGTAACCACCAGAGTTGGTCAAGGCGCCAATACTAGATATGGTGGGTTCAGTACCTGTGGGGCTTTTCAAAACACCAGTTGTAAAGAGCCCACTTTTGATCCCATTGTCAATACTCTGGCGACGCTTGGTCCCAGCAGTCGAAACTGCACTGAAAAACGCATCGTAGTTTGTAGCTGGCGGGATCGGGACCTGATTAAACACATTAAAGTCATGCGTTGCTGAATTTTCGCTGAACAAACGGGCAAAAAAAAAAAATAAAAAAAAAATAAAGGGCCTTATGTTAGATTCTAACACAACTAGTTAATCAATCAAATCAATCAATCTACCCACCTTTCTGAAGAACAGCTGCGTGAAGCAGGTACAAATTCAATCAAATCATTTTCAAAACCTTCGTCATATGCATAGTGTAGAACATAGTTAGGGCTGTCAGGTCCGACCCGGGACAATGCTGCTGCACCAACCACGGGCGGAAGTAAAGGAGAGTGAAGTGGAGTAGGTACTGGTGTTGAATCCAGTGGAGGACTTGCTAAGCGAGGTTCCATTTGAGTTTAAGTAGATAATAAGACTGAAATCTGGTATGGTGTTTACAAAAGATTTAAAGATTGTTGATTGCAAAGGATTTGAAGGTCTTTATATGCATATATATATATATGATTTCAAAGGTTTGCGAATTTCTAAAAAATCGTTTTCTAACAACCATGTCAAAAAGCTCGTCGTGCTGGTTTTCTCATCTTGTCAAAAATTTAATTACCACTTTGGGAATGCCAATTATTTGTTTCATTTAAAACTTTTTTTTTTTCCCACTCTCATTATTAAATCTTTATTAAATCCCCAGGCTTCTTTAAGCAACAATGCCTCAAGATCCGAGTCCCGCTGGTTCTCAGGAGAAAAATCTGGTCGCTGGAAATACCGATTCTGTAGATAATCACACCTCAGAAACTGGAACTTCTGAAACTAAGAATACTTCCAGATCCAAAAGACGCACAAGAAATACCCCAGTCTTCACTTCACGGTTTGTGTCACAGCCCGTGATACCCTCTTCTCACATTGCTGGTGTCACCACACCACCCATCTCGCCAATTGAGTCGGCACCCGGGTCTGAAGCATCCAGAGACTCTTCTATAAACAAATCTCTTGACTCTGTTCCTGTTGTTAAACCAAAGGTACCTTTACCTTTACCTTTACCTTTAACTTTAACTTTACCTACAACTACAACTACAACTACCCATACATCAGTACCTATACCCATATTAGTGCCTGCACCTGACAAATCCACTTCAAAGTCTCCATTGAAATCCCCAGCTAAATTCAAAAGTCCAGCCCTTCCTACCAAGGGCCCCACTTGTGCTTCCGGATCCGTCCAACCCCACCACCATCCAACTCGGAGACTTAGATCACGACCGATATCCCCCGCAAGCTGTGAGCAATTACCCAACCCTGGGAAAAGAATTTCTCCTAGAAAGATTTCTCAAAAATGTCCAGTTTCTCCAAAACCAAATTCTCCTAAAAAATCAATAATATCCTCACCTAAGGGGGGAATTTTACCTAAAAGTCCAGTCACTCCAGTTAAAAGAAAACAAGCATCAAGAGCATCGTCTTCATCATCTTCTCCATTGGTCTCTCCATCTCTATCTCTATCATCTCCAAGAAAACGTTTAAAAACCGAATCTGTTAAACCCCCCCAAAGTCTTGGCTCTCGTGCCGAACATAAAGAAGAAGAAGAAGAAAAAGAAGATAATGATGAAGCCCCCACTAAGAATTCTTTTGACCCCACTACTCAACCGGCCACTACCACATCCAAACACCGGCTCATCAAGTCTGGTTTACCATTAGCTAATACCCCCACACGACCCAACCATTCTGGCAAAACTCTCCCTGGTCGCTCCGGTATTCCCTACATAGGTATATCCGTATTTGACAAAAACTTGATTCTTGATCTTGACCTTTTCTTTTTAAATAACCCCAGACCTCCCTTCCCTATCCAATCTCTTCCTCCTCCTCTTCACTCTGGATGTTGTGGACGTCCTGTCGATTCTTCAAGAACGCCCTTATTTGACAATCTCGGATGCTTTGCGCTCGGCGCTCACTATGGTCAAAACTGTCATTTTTTCCACATTAACAATATCCATAACTGGTTCAGCCTGTGTCTTGCTGAAACCCGTCTAGCTAACTTTTACAGATTCTTTTTAGATGCAATCAGTTTACAAGATTGGATGCTTGACCGCAGACCTTGGGACTTTGTATGTCGCCATAGGGCAGAGTGTCTCTTTGATGTTTCCTTACAAAATGCTTCATGGTCCCATTTCAAGCGCGTTTTCCCCCGTTCTTTTGTGGCTTCTCCAGAAGAGCTTGCGCGCTATTGTGCATCCCCACAAACTGCTCCTCTAGCACCCGCACGATCTTACTACCGGTTTGAGCATGATGGACTTATAATTTCCCGCAATGTCAACCCTAGTCTTGGCGTCAATGAAGACTTTGAGCAGAGCTTTTTACCGCCGTCTAAGTATCCAACTGAAATGTACCAAGTTGGAGTGCTTTTGTGTTTTTAAAAACGAAAAAATAATAATAATAATAATAATGGATGGATGGATGGAGAGATGGGGAAGAAGTGGTGGGGATTATATGTGGATTAGCATATTTTGAGAGGACCCGACTGGCGGAACTCCGGTTTTCGGAGATTGCAACCAACCAAGTTGAAAAAAAAATGATGGGCCCGATTGTTGGGTTTGTGGGGAAAAATGTCAGCAGTCATCGGAAAAAACCTCTCCCAAAAAAGGAAATGTCCCGGGACATGTCAGAAAGAAAAGAGAAACCCGATGGTGGTGGCCACCAAGACAACTGACACCATCAGCATTACCAAATTGGATACCACAAAGATCAGAAAGATCAAAAAGATCCCATAATATCACAAAGATTACAGAGACCGTAGGGACCTTAAAGGACCTCCAACACCAGCCTGTCAACCATCAATCCATCTATCCTGCCAGCACCACCCAAACACCCTCAAAGCCCAAAGCGTCTTGCCAAGGCTTGAATTTTTTTTTTGTCTGCTTCAGAAGATTAGAAAAAAAAATAAAATAAAAAAAAAAAATTTGCGCGTGAAAATGCCTCTTCTGGCGCCATTAAAAATCGTTTGCAAAATACCCCCTCAGCTAGTAAAATTTTTTCTTGAACCTATCAAATAGTGACCCTTACCCCGCTGCGGACAGACAGAAAGAAAGACATTTTATTTTTATTTTTTTTAAAAAAAAAATAAATAAATAAAATAAAAAAAAAATTTAAGTTCCGACCATAAAAAAAAAAAGTTATTCCACTACCAAATACTCTTTACCCCGTATATATAATACTGGTCTTTTTTTTTTTTATTCTCTCTCTCTCTCTCTCTCTCTCTCTCCCTTTTAAAAAAAATGTCTGCAAATACCCCCAATCTTTCAACCGGGGGCTCTTCAGATTTGAATACCTCATCATCAGTCCTCACATCTTCTCCCGTAGTATCTTCTTCTCTCACTTCAACTCCATCTGCTACAATGGACCAAGATCCTAAACAACAACAACAGCATCTCACACATCATCCTCCTCCTCCTGCAGTTATCCAACCTGCTAATACTTCAACTACCGGAAAGTCCAAGAAAGACGCCCGTGGTAGCGGTGGTGGAGGTAGCTCCTCTTCTAAAAAATCTGCTCCAGGTAAAAACGCAGATTCAAAAGACAAAAAGAAACTCGTTGTTGCTTGTATTGCCTGTCGTAAGAAGAAAATCAAATGTTCGTCTGATCGCCCAGCCTGTTCAAACTGTCTACGTCTAAATATCCTCTGTGAGTACCCCGTAATTCGCAACCGTGGCTCACGCTTCGGCTACATGGAAATGCTCAACAAACGCCTTAACCATCTCGAAAAATACATCAACTGCAGCACAAACCCAGATTACCATCCACAGTTTGTAAAGATTCATCAAAAGCCCCGGCCTTCAGCAGATTTTGAACCTGTTGCAACATCTCACTCTATAAACAATGCCACCAATGATGAAATCAATAACTCTACTCACGGAACCTCACCACCAACGGATCCAGATCTTACAATGCAAAATACTATTGCCAATACCTCGGTAGATCCAGATACCGACTCGCTAATCACTCAGCTTGGACCTGGAATTTCCAAACAGCTCGCGCCACCATCAATAACACCAAAACAAAATGCAGCTATGGATAACATGTATGTATCCCATTTTGCTCTATTTACTTTTACTTTTACTTTTATTTTTTTATTTTTTTATTTTTTTATTTTTTTATTTTCCACATCTAACTTTATAGTGAACTTCCCCCGCTTGACATCATACTTCATCTTGTCGAGCTTTACTTTCGCCACGTCCATGGCCAAACTTACTCGTTTCTTCACAAACCTACCCTTATCCCTCGTATCTACAAAAACCAAGTTAACAAGGCTATAGTCCTGGCACTATGCGGTCTCACAGCCCGTTTCTCCCGTCATCCTGCCATTACTACGCGCGTTCCGTATCTCGCTGGCGAGGAGTTTGTGAGCCGCGCACGGAAAGTTATCTCCATGGAGTTTGACGACCCCAATCTGGAAACAGTACAAGCCATGATTCTCCTTGTTCAGCACGACTTTTTCCGCTCAAAGGGTAAAAAATCCATGATTTACATCTCCATGGCTCTCCGCATGGCTGCTACTCTCGGTCTCCATGAAGAATCCCCAGACCCTAAACTTACTTTTTTGGAGCGCGAGCAACGCCGCAGAACTTACTGGTCCTTAGTTGTTTTAGACCGCTTGGGCCATTCGGGTCCTCACTGGCACGTCCAGCTCAGAGCTGACATTGTAGATATTCAAATGCCCTGCACAGACTATTGCTACGATAACTGTATTCCAGTCGTCACTCAAAAACTAAATGGCGACCCGCCACCACCAATTAAGCTCTCCGGGAATTCACAATACCCTGTTTACCCCGCAGCAAATCTCGGTCTTTATGCGTATATTGTCAAGATTACCATACTTTGGTGCGATATTAACAAATACGTCATGGAAGGATACAAACAAGAAACTGTTCCTCCTTGGAAAGAAGGCTCCAAATATCAAGAACTTGAAGCCCGCCTTCAAGCCCTTTTTGCAGAGCTCCCTAAAGACTATCAATACTCTCGTGAACGCTTGATCGCGCTAGACACAGTCAACCAAGGCGGTGCTCTAGTTCACTTGCATGGCGAGCTTCTCACGTCTCTGTGCTATCTCAACAGAGTCGTGTATCCTTACAACTATAAAAAGATGAAGTTTGACGAACCTCCTCCAGCAAGCTTTGTTGAGCGTGCGGCTATCAACATTATGGCTTCTGCTAAGGCTCAGTCCTCCATGATTGAAGACGTCCTCATGATGGAAGACTTTAACATGGCTCCATTCATTGGGTTTGGTGTGTTTGCAGTTTCTTCAGTTCATATTGCAAACTCCTTTTCTTCAGACCCAGCTGTGGCTTCTGCAGCCAAAAATAACTTGGCCATCAATCTCAAGTTTCTCGTCATTATGCGCGAGTACTGGTACTCTGTTGGTGTGTGGTGCATCATTCTTAAAGACCGCTATTTCCAAAAGGCGCGCCGCCACAAGCTTCGTATGCAGCAGCAGAAATATTCAGAAGGATCCGCGATTGACTCTAAAAAGGACGATGAAACCCCCGCCCAACAAGACAAGTCCGAAAAGAAAGGAAAGGAAGATGAAGATGATAATGAAGCAAGCCAGATTCTTCCAGATGGATTTTCGCGGCCAGGAACTCCGCCGTTGGCTTATGCCCCCGACGGTATGATGTATGTGGCTGCCAACAAATCAGGCCACAGTGAAACATCAAGCGGAGTATCATCTCCGGGTGTTTTATCTACATATGACTCATCTAGTCGTGCAAGTAGTAGTGGTGATGGGGCTACCAATGATAGGGCTTCCAAACAAGCATTACAGGAAGCTGTGGGCCGGGTGGTTAGCCAGCCTCAACATCACCAACAACAACAGCAGCCACAACAGCAGTTACAACAACAGCCTCAGCAGCAACAACAACCACAACCACAGCTGCAGCCTCCACAACCCTCACAGCCAGTACCTCTGCCTCTTGCTTCCCAGCAGTCCAATGAAGGTATCCAATCTTCCTTTGCGCGGACGTGGGCAAGAGCCGTCCCTCAGGCTTACAATGGTGATATTGACGAGAACCTCTCCAAGCGCATCAAACTGGAACATCAAGTGTATCCTAAAAGCAGTGGGGATCTTGGACAACAGGGAGACCAGCAGCAACAACAGACCCAACCTGCATCGCCTTCTCAGTTTGCTGATATTTTGACTATGCCTGCTTTGGGCCAATCTGCCAGCCGGTACTACACCAATAAGCAAGCCAAGAAGAATGATGATGGCAGTTCCGATGCTGCTGTTGCTCCTGTGGAGAACTCTAATGATAATAACGGCACTACAATTATTGGAGTAAGCAGCACCAGTCGCAACAATTTGCTCACAGACACAAGTGGTGAGTGGCTCAACTCGCTGGAGAGTTTTGATTTCCAGCAATCTGCAGCTGTGGAAAAGGGGGTGAATGAAGCTAATCCGCTCATGTGGTTCAACAATGGTATCTTTGGTAGTTTGCTGAATACCTTTACCAATAATAACGGCACCGCTTTAAACAGTGAGTCGGCACCACAGCAGCAGCAAAGATTGCAGCAGTTGTTGCTACAAAAGTTCCGAACCCAATTGGGCAATGGGACTCAGCAACTTAACCAAGAAGGTGGCCAGGTAGTGCCAGGTGGCCAAGACCAGCAACAGCAACAGCAACAGCCGCAACAGCCTGGATCAAAGCAAGTACGTCTATTGATTGATGAGGAAAAACCTCGGGATTTGAGCATTGTGGATGAGTCTTTGTTTCAGCAGTCGCTGATTCACCAGCCATTTACGCCTATTTCTTCATCAACATCTGTGGCCTCTCGGTCTAATAATTCTTCTATAATCTCGCATCATAACCAGAGTCCATGGATCAAGTCACCTTTGGAGATGCAGCAGCAACAACAACAGCAACAACAGCAACAACAACAGCAACAACAGCAACAACAGCAACAACAGCAACAACAGCAACAACAGCAACAACAGCAACAACAGCAACAACAGCAACAACAGCAACAACAACAGCAACAACAGCAACAACAGCAACAACAGCAACAACAGCAACAACAGCAACAACAGCAACAACAGCAACAACAGCAACAACAGCAACAACAGCAACAACAGCAACAACAGCAACAACAGCAACAGCAGAATAGACGATATTACCCAGCTACCAGACCTGCAAGTGCTGGTGGAGAAGGATTGATTCATGAACGCATGTCTCAGGTCGAAGCCACACCTTCACCAAGAACTGTAGAAGGCGATGATTCCAGTCGTCAAGAAGGATCTGCGAATGGCAACGTACCAACATCGAGTCAACAGCAGCAGCAACAGCAACCACCACAATTTCCTGGGTCTATTTCTAGTACCAGCTCTCCTGCACAGGGATATGTATCAACGCCATTAGAAACCGAGCAACAGCAACCACAACGAGCTCACCAGGATTCAGTGCCCATGCTTGCGTTTGACCCAAGACACATTCCTGGTTCTATGAACGGTAGTGGTGCACCCGACATGCTTGGTTTGGCAAGTCAGGCGTCTAGCCAACAGTCTTTGCAGCAACAGCAACAAGGACAACAAGGATACCCGCCTCAAGGCAACCTTTTGGATGAAATTTTCCAGCAGGTTGTAATGGACTCCATGCAGATTCCTGATGAAGACCAAATGGACTCGCCTACATCTGGGTCGTCGCCAGCCCTTTAGTATATAATAAACGGATATGTATAAAAGTTATTTGCATTTCTTTTTTTTTTTTTTTACATTTTTTTAAAAAACAATTACATATTTCTTTTCTTTTTTTTTTTTAAAAAAAAAACCACGATTCAAAATACTCATAACTCCAACAACAACCCATTACATGATAAACTGGAGATCACAGTCAAGCGGGTGGGAGCATGAAAGCTGAGGCTTTTGCTCATACTTATCCTCAAGAACATCACGCATATTATTGAGCAGCGAGAGGTAACTCTGGTTCTTGTTGTTGCGCATGACCTGGATAAAGGCATGGGACATGGCACCTGTAGCAGCGCCGTCTTCGAAACTGTCTGCAGATGTCTGGTTGTCCTTGCACCCGGAAATCATAATGACGTCAGCAGGTGACGTCTTGTTCTTGATGGTATACTCGTAGCCCTTGTTACCCTGCTGCAGACGTGAAATGGCTCCGGACACGGATGACATGACGCCCTGAATATCTCCGGACGAGTAACTGGAAAACGCAGAAAGGGCACTCTTTCCGGCATCCTTGAGCATGTTAGGCTCCTTGAGAACACCCTTGGTAGAGTATACATAGGGCAAATCCAAAACGGTGGCCGAGTGGCAGCAGTCCATAAGTGATGTCAAACGAGTACCAGCAGGCAGTGGTGAAACCAGAACCTTGTGGAGCTCGTCATCAACGATGGAGCCGGACTTGGAATAATCGACTGGGTAGATGCACTCATCAAAGCCGTCATTTTCATCACCGCTCGTGTCAGCTTCCTGACCACCGTGCCCAGAGTAGTGCAAGAAAAGTGAATCATTTGGTTGGGCATCCTTGACAAGCCACTGGCACGCACGCAAAATGTTGGCCTTGGTAGGGATAGACTGTTGATTTTGCTGGTCATCTGTGAGTATCACCATATCATCGTCCTTGTATCCGTAAACCTCAGTCAAGAACTTGCGCACATTCTTAACATCATTGATGCATCCCTTGAGCTGTGACTTTTGTCCAATGTAGTTAATACCAATCAGCAGTGCCTTGCGTCGACCAGTACACTGAGAGTACTTATAGTTCTGCATGCCCTCAACGCCAAAGGACTGTCCGTGGCTAGGTGGCGCGTTGAATCGCTGGTTTTGCGTCGAATGACTGCCACCGTAGTTAGGGTTGCCGTAGCGGCCACCAGAGACCTGGTTAGATCCACCTTGGTTGTAGCCTCCCTGTGAGCTTTGGTTAGAGCTTTGGTTGTAGCCTCCCTGAGAGCTCTGGCTGTAGCCACCTTGAGAGCTTTGGCTGTTGCCACCTTGAGAGCTCTGGCCGTAACCACCTTGAGAGCCCTGGCTCTCGTATCTGTTTTGGCGGCCACTTTCATTTTCATAGCCACCATGACGGCCATTATTGCTGTTATTATTTCCTCCATAGCCTCCCTGGTTCCCGTACTCATTCTGGCGACCTTCATTGCTATTGTATCCACCGTAACCTCCTTGGTTTTCGTACCGGTTCTGACGACCACCTTGGTTTTCGTACTCGTTCTGACGGCCTTCATTGCCTCCATATCCACCTTGCTCATAACCACCACCACCCTGGTGACGACGACCTTCATAGCCGCCATTGTTGTTACCGCTACTCTCATTTTCTTCACCCCAACGGTTGTTGTCATACTGACCACCAGGAGGCCCAGGTGGAGGCCCGCCAAACTCGCGCTGACCATAGCCACCCTCGTTGCCTCCACCGTAGCCGCCGCCATATTGGCCTGGAGGAGGTCCAGGTGGAGGGCCTCCAAAGCCGCCACCTTGGTTATAGCCACCTTGGTTGTAGCCATCATTGTTGCCGTAGCCGCCGCCGCCGTAGTTTCCGTAGGACATTGTTAAATATTCTTTTTCTTTTCTTAGTTTATTTCAATGTTTTCAAAAAAAAAAATAAATAAATAAATAAACTGGGAATTGAAATTAGTAGTACTTTTGTATATATATATATACTTCTGTAGAAAAGGAAGTTGCTGGAAGCTTTTTTTTTTTTTTGGGAAAAAGGCGGGCGGAGTCCTTTATATATATATATTTATATATATTTATACTTTTGCACTTCAAAAAAAAAAGTCAATGAGCCACTACGTAGACCGTCCTGTTGAGTGTGTCACCTGCTTGCTTGGAAAGCCTTTTTGCGCCCAATCAGAGCCGGCAGTGCGGCTGGACACGTCAACCGGTATCGCGGGGGTCTTCTAAACAATCCCGGAAAAAGGATTCGGTTATTAAAAGTTCTATATCACGATAAAAATGGAATTGTTATGTATATATATATATATAGAGAGAGAGAGAATATCATCATCATCAATGCGAAATATACTGAAACACAAAGCTCACAATATCGTTGCCACACTCCTGGCGAAGTAACAAGTCCTCAATCTTGGCCAGGCATCCATTTGTAAAATGGTTCCACGACGTCGCATCGCCGTAAAGCATGGCTGGAGCCCGTATATACTGCTTACCATCCTTGCACCGGCGACACTTGAACGTATCATGAGTATCACACTTGGTATTTGGTTGGAACGTAAAGAGCTGTCGCAGATTGTCTATAGAAAAAAGCCGCTCAACGTCCTCCTTCTCGTCAACAACGCATGACGACAAACTCTGCTTCATGGACTGGCGCTGAAAAATCTTTTCTTCAATGGTACCCGTTGCAATAAACCGGTACACAAAGCAGTCCTTTTTCTGACCATCACGCCATACTCGGGCCAGCGCTTGCTGGTCAGCCGCAGGATTCCAGTCTGGGTCAAGCAGAATCAACCGGTTGGCACCAATAAGATTGATACCACACCCACCAGCCTTTGACGAAAGCAAAAAAACAAAGTCTTGAGTGTTTTCTGCATCGTTGAACCGGTCAACGAGCTTTTGGCGTTTGTTAATAGTCAATGTACCATCTAGTCGTAAACACCCGTATCGCCGTGTACGGCACATCTTTTCGATAATGTCAAGAGTTTGTGTAAAGTTAGAAATGAGCACAATCTTGTCGTTTGTATCTTGACGAATACGGGCCAACATGCGCTCAAGTACCATAAGCTTTCCTGAGTGCCAGGTTTTAACATCACGGTCACCACGACCCCTCATATCCTTGGGCACAAAGTCTTCAGGTAGGTATGGCTCACAGCCCTCAATATCGGAAGGAAGATCAAGCAGATCCGGGTGTGTGCAAAGCTTGCGCAGCAAGCCAATAGCCTTGAGGGGTTGAGATCCGGTACCACGGAGAAGTCTTTTGATTTCCGGTGAAGAAATAAAGTGGTTGTAGAGTGAATATTGGAATGGGGAAAGGTTGCAAAAAACAACATGCTCGTACTTTACTGGGAGATACTTGGAAAGGATATCATTGGTACGACGAATAATAAGAGGACCAACAATTGCTGAAAGTTCCTGGAGTTTTTGAGTACCCTTTGTGACTTGATCATCAGTGGCATCTGCGTCACGGCCACGTAAAATATCAATTTCATAGTTTTTGCGAAACTCCACACGAGATCCAAGTAGTCCTGGGTTGGCAAAGTTTAGTAGGGAAAAGTATTCTGAAAGATCATTTTGGATAGGAGTACCGGAAAGAATGACGCGGCGCTTACAGTTGAGAGAGTCAAGAGCTGTAAAAGTTAGTGAGTCACTATTTTTCAATCGGTGGCCCTCGTCGCACAGCAAGAGACCCACCTCTGTGCTTTTAAGCTCATCAACATTTCGTCGGAGCGTTTCATATGAAATAATAAGAACAGGACGTACAACCTGGCGGCCTGTAGCTTGTGCCCATTGGCGGATAGCTGAAGCAACAGCACCGTTATTTCCAGTGCTAGACGTAGATCCAGAACCTTTCCCAGTACCAGAAGCTTTAGTACTTTTGCCACCGTCAATAGCTAGTGGAGTAAGAGTACCTTTCCCAAGCCATTTATCAAACTCGTTTGCCCAGTTACGGACAAGAGAAGAGGGACAAGCAATGACACATTTTTGGATGGTGGCATTACGGGATCCCTGTGGAGATTGCTTTAAAAGAGTCCAGAGAAGAGCAATACATTGGAGGGTTTTCCCTAACCCCATTTCATCAGCCATGATACATCCATAAGCTTTAGGGACAATACGACCAGTGCAACACTTGTAAAGGAACTTGACACCTTCTATCTGATGTGGTCTGAGGATTTTGGATAACTTGGGGTCGATGACGACAGGAACGTTGGGGTATTTTTTCTTCTTGGACTTGTCATTATCGATACCGAGGATTTCAGCTAGAGATTTTGAGTTTCGTTGAGCTATACGGTACTTTAATGGGTTTGATGAAGGAGGGGATGGGAGGGGATCTGGAGTGTCTTTTTTCGCTTCTTCATTAAGCTCTTCGTTTGTTTTATCTTGATTCTTTTCTTCTTCTTCTGCTTGTGCTCCATCTTCCTCTTCTTCTTCTTCTTCTTCTTCTTCCTCTTCATCAACATCTTTATCAATAGTCGGGTCATATAAAACTATAGCAAACTCTCCAGCTGGGTCATGAAGAGGCATAGGAACAAAAGTTGCTTGTCTGCGTGTTCCTAGTGCTGGTGGTGGTGGTCTATATGTATTGCTAGAGTCATTATAAAACTCTTTAATAGGGATGACAAATTGGGTTGCTGGAGGTGTCATTACCGGAGATTTCCCATCAAGTGATACAGTAAATGCTATTCTGCTGCGAACTCCTAGTCGGCACTTTGCTGGGTCCCGTATCACGCCATCTGCTGAGTAAGACGTGTCGGAGTCATCATCTAGAAGTTGAAAATCACCTGCATCTTCTCTGTAATTTACAACAGTACGTGTTCGACGGACGGGGCCTCCACGAAGAGAAGCAGATACAGCAGATGATGGTGTAGGACGTGGGATACGGAAAGGTTGAGATAGGATAGCCAGAGGATCAGGTTTTAATTTTTTAGTTACATGATCAAGTTCTCCACGAGTTTCGGGGAGTGTTTGAGAGCGTTGACTAGGGGCGCTTTGTCTGCGCATTTTTAAGGTATCTTTAATAAGGGAATTATTAGATGTAGCTCCGGGTATTTTTGTTTTTTTTATTTATTTATAAAAGTTGGGTAATATAATGAGAGATTTGTTGTTATTTGGGTGGTTGGTGGGAGGTTTTTTTTTTTTTGTTCAAAACTTTTGAGTAGACCGGAGCTTTTTTTCAATATTATGAATGAATGAATTAATAGATGGAGGGTTTTTTTTTTTTTTTAACTAATTAGTTTAGAAAAGTTGGCGGTACTTGTTAGAAAACTAATCGCGATAGTTTTTTTTTTTTAAAATTTTTTTAAAATTTAAAATTTAAAAAAATTCTGACGCGAAAATGACGCGTTAATTATTAAAACACGTGTTTATCATGTGATTTTATCATGTGATTTTATGGGTAAGGGTTATTAATAATTTTATTGTACGGCTTAATAACTGACCAATAAAAATTGACTTATATAAATCCGGTTACCCTCCTTTTAAATTATATTGCCGTATGCCTCTAACACACACATATATATATATATATAAATTAATTAATTAATAATATTAATAATCTTATTAAAATATTATTATTAAAATATAAATTATTATTAAAATAAATAATTATTAAAAAAAAAAACAGCCAGACAGCCTTTCATTTCCCCTAACCCTTTATTGCCCAACCGCTGTTTGCCAATTACCAATTTGCTCTTCTATCACATATAAAATTTAAGCCAGCCAGCCAAATCGCTTTAATCCTCACTGGCTAAAAATTAAAAAAAAAAAAAAAATTCCTCTTCCCCTTCCAACTACCATTCCCTTTCTCTTTTTTTTTTTTTTTTTTTTTCTCATAAAACTACCTTCCCATCATTATAAACCCCATCATAATCATCATCATAAACTACTTTCTTCACAATGAACAGACTTGCAATCTCTAAACTCATCTCTCGGCCACTCTTGGCTTCCCCCCTGAGGGTCGCTACTCGCAGCTCACACATCATTTCTGTCCACCGTGATACACCAGTAAACAACCCTTCCATCATCTTTGAGTTTACCCCCGAGAACCAGAACCGCGCTCGCGAAATCATTGCTAAATATCCTTCCAACTATAAGAAGGCTGCCGTCATGCCTCTGCTCGACCTCGGCCAACGTCAGCTTGGCTTCACCTCCATCTCCGTCATGAACTACGTTGCTAAGCTCCTCGAAATGCCACCAATGCGTGTCTACGAAGTGGCCACTTTCTACACAATGTATAACCGTAACCCCATGGGCAAGTACCATCTCCAAGTTTGCACCACCACTCCTTGTCAGCTTTGCGGCTCTGATAGCATCATGGCTGCCGTCGAAGAACACCTCCACATACACCCTGGTGAGACTACCAAGGATGGTCTTTTCACTTTCTCTGAGGTCGAGTGTCTCGGTGCTTGCGTCAATGCTCCTATGCTTGCTGTCAATGATGACTACTTTGAGGACCTGACAGCTGAAGGCACCAAGGAACTCCTCACCAAGCTCCAAAAGGGTGAGCCTGTTACCATTGGCCCTGAGGGTGGTAAGAGAAAAGATTGCGAACCTTTCTCTGGTCAGAAGGTTCTCTTAAACAAGGAGCCTTACAATGTCGCCGACTTTACTCGTGCTGATCTGTAAGGGACAAAAAAAAAAAAAGAAAAAAAAATTGTATAAAAAAAAAATATCAAGTAATGAAATGAAATAGAGGATAATAATGTTTTTTTTTTGTTAATATAACTGTCAAAGATACTACTACTACTCTTGTTTCTTGCCCCATTTGATACCCCAGAAAAGACCAGATGCTGTCTTGCGTGCAGGTTGTGGAGTCTTGTCAATGAGGTAAATGCGTTCAAATCCAGGAACTTCAAGCACCAAGTATCGGTACTCAAAAGTATTGGATCCATGTGGGTCCCGCACCATTTCCAGTCGCACAAGACCAGAATTCTTATCACCTTGAACGTGGAACTGCATCCACATATGCTCACGTTCATATTTGTCGTAACCACGATTTGCTCTTAAAAAAATATCAATAGTTAGCAAATGATTTGAATAAAGCAAATTTTTTTTTCATTTTTTATTCACTCACGCAATTGGACGGCTGCGAGCCCATTTGTTGGATTGTTCCTCGCCATGAGCCTTGATCCGATCACCCAAAACTTCAAGACAAACAGGGTCTTTTTCAATGATTGAAAACGTCTTATTGTAAAGTGCAACGTCTGACGATGGTAATAAAATCTCAGACACAAACAGGTATCCCACAATGCCCTAGAATTGTTGTTGTTAGAATTTGGTATCTTTTGTTTATTTTCTTTTATTTTCTTTTATTTGATATTTGATATTTGATCCAAACATACAAGAGCACCAATGCCACCAATGATCAAACTAGCATAAAAGGAAAATGAAATGGCACGAGATATACGGTTAAAAAAACCACCACTGGATGAACTACTACTACTATTACTACTGCTGCTTTTACGGCTTGTAGATATTGTGAATGGCCGGTTGTTATTATTATGATTATTAATATTATGGTATGATGATAATTGAGGTCTTAGGTATCTTGTAGTAGAAGAAATGCCCCGGTACCCGATCGGACGGGTAATACATGAAGTGACCAAAAGGCGTGACGACCTTAACAGGTTGGTATTAAAGACAACAGCTGAAGACATTTAATTATTGATTTTTTTTTTTTCGGCAATAGCCCGTGTGACTAGTTGCTTTGTTTAATTCGATTTGGAATATTTAAAAAAACCAAATTTTGAGGGTGTGGAGAAGAAGAAGAAAAAAAAATGATGAAGAAAAAAAAAAAAAAATAAAAAAATAAAAAATATCACATGATTGTCACATGATTATATGTTATATAATGTCTTACTAATCTTGACTAATCTTTGATGTTTATCATTAGGAAATCAATTCTGGCCACGCTGGTGGTTTTTTTATTTTTTTTTTTTTATAAACCCACCAGAAAACTCCTTTTCTTATCACCAAATAAACATCAACACTCAAACCCAAACATAACAAATCCGCCACAACCGTCACAACAATGGCTGAAGAAGACACCATCTTTTCCAAAGAAGAGGTCGCTCCCTTTTTCCAAAAGTATGCTGCAGTTTCTGCAAACAGAAAATGTTTTGACTGCGGTACATCTAATCCTACATGGTCTTCTACAACTTTTGGTATCCTCATCTGTTACGACTGCTCATCCGTTCATCGCAACCTCGGTGTCCATTTGTCGTTTGTACGCTCCATCTCACTTGACGACTGGTCGTCTTCTAAGCTCCGCACCATGCGTGTTGGTGGTAACCAGGCCGCACGGGAATTTTTTGCCAAGAATGGCGGTTCTCGCTTTTTGACTTCTGGTGCTAATGCCACGGAAAAATACTCGTCACCTTGTGCGGAAAAGTACAAGAAGGAACTCCAACGCCGTGTTGTTCTCGATATTGCTAAAAACCCTGGTGATGAGGCTCTTCTTTTTGAAAATATCAAGCTCGACGATTCTCCCTCGCAATCATCTACACAATCTGCCACCGCTGATGATGACGATGACTTCTTTTCCAGCTGGGAAAAGAAGAAACCCACCCCTCCAGTCTCGCGCTCGCAAACTCCGATATCGCGTACAAACTCTCCCTTGGCAGACTCTTCCTCTGCATTACCCACCAAGGCCAATGGTGCCTCTACTGCACAACCCACTCGCGTGATACCCTCTAGTAAGCCCAAGGCTTCCATTCTCTCATCAAGAAAGACAAACTCAATTCTTTCATCTAAGTCTAGTTCCGGTGCAAAAAAGCTTGCAGTCAAGAAAATTGCTACCAGTGACATTGACTTTGAGGCCGCCGAACGTGAAGCCAAGGAAGAAGAAGAAACAATTAACAAACTCGGCTACAACCCTAATGATCCTTCCTCAGCTCCCCCCTCTTCCAGTGTCAATGTCAAAAAGCTGGCCACTGCTTCTACTTCGTCATCTACATCTAACGCTTCCTCTGGATTCAGCACCACCCCATCTACTACAAAGGAGGAAGCCCCCAAGCCTATCAAGCTTGGCTTTGGCCAAGTATCTATCCCCAACTCGGGTGCATCCAAGTCTTCCAGTGCATCTTCCACGCGCCGCTCAACTCCAGTGCCTGCATCAGACGGTTCTGTGGTGGCCAAGTTTGGTGGCCAAAAGGCCATTTCATCAGACCAAATGTTTGGTCGCAACAATTACGATCCTGCGGCTGCTGCTGAGGCTCGCACGCGGTTGTCTGCATTTGGCGGCGCAACTTCTATCTCTTCTTCCAGCTACTTTGGTGAAGATGAAAACGCCGAAGGGTCTAATAACAGATCAGGTGGTGATGTGTCACTTGAAAGCATGGCCCAGGACATTGCAGGCCGTGTTCGTGGAATTGCTGGTGAAGATATGAGTGCGCTGAGAGATGCATTGGAACAAGGTGCCACTAAGCTTGGTGGATTTATGCGTGATTATCTGCGTTAGTTGTAATTTAAAAAAAAAAAAAAGACAAGTGTAAAGATGAAGAAAAAAAAATAATAATAAAAGAAAAAAAATTTTAAAATTTATTATTAGATGTATATATATTGTACTACTAGGGTTCTCTAATTAATCAAGATGAAGGGTTAAAGAAGAAATTAAAATATATATTTTTTTGGACTTTAAAAAAAAAAATGGCATCAATTGAGGGCTTTCTTTGATAAGTTGATTGTAAAGAATAGATCAGTCATTACAGATTTTAAAAAATTAAAAAAAAAAAAAAAAAAAAAAAAGGTTTTAGCAAATCCTTTGATTGAGATCAGTACACATGTTTGTGAAAGTATTTGAGAGTCTTGAGATACTGATTAACCAAAAATACAATAAAATAAAAATAAAAAAATAACCCTTACCCATATATACATCTCTCTCTCTCTCTCTCTGTCATTTCTCCTTTATTTTTCCAAAAAGGGTAATATTGGGTGTTTCTTTTGGAAAGTACTTTATGGACCATTTTATCACCTCGTCAAAATTTCAATTATTTTTTAAAGATCCCACAAGGGTAAGGGCAAAAAATGGTAAAATATATCCTAAAATGGACATATTTTTGCCCTTACCCTTGTGGAATCTTGAGATTTTTAGATCATTTTTGAATTTTATAGGGAATAAAAAGTCAATTCAAATTAAAAATGTGAGAAATTCCGCAAGGGTAAGGGTATATATAATTAACTTTTTTTTTAAGAGAGAAGTTCTACAAAAAAAAATAAATACCCTTACCCTTGTGGAATCTTTCAAAATTAACTAAACTTTTTTGGTTTTCTGAACGTTCAGAAAAGCGTATGGCCCACATCTCGCCCAGTACACTTCACCAAGACAAAACGATTAGATTAAGCAATTGTTATGTACATCTAATATTAAAAGATAAATTATTATTATTAAAAAAAATTTTTTTTTTTTTTTTTTCATTTCCTTTTGAAAAGTTATACATGTAAATATTTTTCGTTTTTGTTTTTATTTAAGGATTATTGAATTATATAACATCAGCATCTGCGTTATTCTTTCTTACATTGTCTGACTATGTGAATTTGCTGTTTCCCATTTGTACCATTTTTTTTTTTTTTTCATTACGTGTTATTTTGATCTGTGCGTCTTCAGTAGCTTGAAAGATGGATACTGATGCCAGTTCACCGAGAACAGGGAAAGCTTGTCTGTCGGTCCTAAACTTTTCCTAACTCATCTCCCACTTATCTTCAGGGACATCTGTTAGCTAAATAAAAAAAGAGTCGATATTTCTATAACCAGAATAGGCTAAGATTTCAGTTGAAGTGTATACTTCTATAAAATCCTTTATGAAATAGCAAATACATCTAAATAGTATTTTTCAAGTCACTGGAAATGGTTCTTGTTGACCAATTTCAAAAAGGTGTTATAAATTATGAGCACGGCAAGATGCCACTAAACTTTGTGGGTTTATACATAATTATATGCGTTAGATATAATTTTAAAGGAAAAAAAAAAAAAAAAGAAAAAGGTTTTAGCAAACCTTTGGATTGAGATCAGTATACATGTTTGTAAAAGTATTTGAGAGTCTTAAAATATTCTGTTGACTAAAAAAGGTTGAAATAACCCTTACCCATATGAACTTCTTTCTCTCTCTCTTTCATTTTTATAAAAAGGGTAATTTTTTGGGTGTCCCTTTTTGGAAATTTCTCTATATAGTGTTTATAGAAACTTGAAATTTTTAAAAAATTTTAAAGATTCCGCAAGGGTAAGGGCAAATTTTTGAGAAAAATTACCCAAAATGGACGAATTTTCGCCCTTACCCTTGTGGAATCTTAAGAATTTTAAGAAATTTCTGATTTTTATAGAAAATAAAAAGTTTATACAAATTAAAAATATAAGAAATTCCGCAAGGGTAAGGGTATATTTTTTTTTTTTTTGAACGAGATTCTTCTATCTTAAAAACAATTAATTAATTTGCCCTTACCCTTGTGGAATCTTTTAGAATTAACAAAACTCTTTGGTTTTTAAAACGTTTAGAAAAACGTATCGCCTACTACCAACCCACTCATTACACTTCATCAAGATAAAATGATTAGAATTAAGCAATTGTTATTTATATTTGATAGTACAAAATAATTTTATTTTATTTTATCTTTTTTTTTTTTTCATTTCTTTTAAAACGATATACTTTACCTGATCTGATTCTTGTTGACCGATATCAGAAAGTTGTTGTTAATGATGAGCTCAATTAATTTAGAAGGAAGAATTAAAAATTAAATAAAAACTTATATACAACTGAAATAAACCATTTTTTTTCTATTCTTTTTAATTCTTTCATTTTAAGGCATTTTATAATCCAGTTTTTTTTTTTTTAATTAATAAAGTTTTATTTCTTTTAAGCTTATGCTTGTTTTTTTAAATATTCTCTCTCACATATACGTAAAGAGAAGCTCATAAATTTTTATTTTTCTTTATTTTTTTTTTTTTTTCGGATCGATAAAAGTGCAGATGTTTATAAATAAATGAATAACATTAATATAGGGTTTAATACTATTTATATATTCTTTGGCTGCTTTTGTTTTGTAGTTCCCGCATACCAATCTCTTAAGATCTAAAATGAATGTACGTAATAAAAATAAAAATAAAAAATATTAATATTAATATCAAATCTCCTTCTCTATTATACTTTGTTAATCTTTTTTTTAAATCTTAAGATTAATCATGATATTGAAATAAGTGATGAGTTATTATCCCATGACCATAAATGTATTATAGGAGTTTTCTTTTATATTATTTTTTTTATTATTTTCCCCAATGTTTACGCAGTTGTTGATTTACGTAGGCTTTTTTTTTCATTTTCTTAAAAAAACAAAAAAGAAAAAAATTAAGAATTCAAAATTAAGAATTGAAAATTGAAAATTGAAAATTGAAACAATTTTGAAAGTTTTTAAAAAAAAAAAAACATCTGTTTAGTAGGTGAAATGTTTTGTTTATTATTTTTTTTTATTGTTTCGTCATTATTACGTGGGTTTAAAAAAAAACAAAATAATTAAATAAAATAATTTGTTTGAGAAAAAAAACTACAAAAGCAGATTGGCAAAAGATAAGACGATGATGATGATGATGATGATGATGATGATGATGATGATGATGATGATGATGATGATGATAATAATGATGACGACAACGACGACGACAACGAATTACAAGTATAAAATTAATTATTTTTTTTAACATAATTTTATTAAGATTTTTTTTTTTTTTTTTTTCAATTTTAAGACTTGGTAAATGTCAAAAGCCTTAAAAAGAAAAAAGATATTTTTATCCCTTGCAATAAAAATTTTTTCATTCTATTTTTCTTTTGTTTTTATTTTTTTTTTTGTTTTCTTTTGTTTTCTTTACTTATTTATTATTCCATTATAATAATAATAATTATTACTGAAAAACATTTTTTTTTTATTATAACAATTATAATTGTTATATTCTAGCATTAGATAATATTACTATAGTACGACACTAACATTATTTTTTTTACATTTACACAAACTTATTTTTTTTTTTTTTTTTTTTTTTGACGATTCTTAATATAACCAACCTTCTTTTCAAATCGGCTGCTTTGGATGAATATCGGTATATCAGCACATCATTTCTTATTATTCCTTTTCTTTAAAATTAAAATTAAAATTAAAATTAAAATTAAAAATAAAAATAAAAATAAAAATAAAAATAAAAATAAAAATAAAAATAAAAATAAAAATAAAAATAAAAATAAAAATAAAAATAAAAATAAAAATAAAAATAAAAATAAAAATAAAAATAAAAATAAAAATAAAAATAAAAAAAAAAAAAAAAAAAATAAAATAAAAATAAAAATAAAAATAAAAATAAAAATAAAAATAAAAATAAAAATAAAAATAAAAATAAAAATAAAAATAAAGATAAAGATAAGAATAAGAATCAATCAGTCTTGATATAATCATTAACTAAGCTTGTAAAAAACAAGAATAAATTTTTTTTTAAAAAAAAACCCCCCCAGGATATACAATGCCGAGACTAAAAAAAAAAATAGAATATATAAAATTGAATCGAAACGAGATTTTAAAAAATCTCTTATTTTTTTCAATATTAAAAAAAAAAAAACTACCGAAATGCAAATAATTAAATCTACTACATTTGAATTGAATGTCATTTATATTATTACTATAATAATATTTAAAAAAAAAAAAACTTAATGATTTCCAAAATTGAATTAGATATTCTTTTTTTTTTTAAAAAAAAAAATTTTTGATGTATATTAATTTATTTGAATAATTGTGTTATTATGTCCTTAATTAGTACTCAATTGATAACACCGTTTTTTTTTTTCTTTCTTTCATTGCCTCAATTTTTTTTTTTTTTTTCATCAATACTATCAAAACTACCTTTTATTTTTTACTCTAGAAAACAAATTTTAATTTCTTAATCTTGTACAACAACTTTAAACTTGATCAAAAAAAAAAAAAATAAAAATATAAATATAAAGATTTCTTTCTCTCTTCTTTTCAATTTTTTTAAGCCTTAACTTTTCTTTCATTCTTTCTCTCTCTTTCTCTCTCTCTCTCTCCATTATTAAGTTTTCTTTTATTGGTTTATTAAAACATTTACTAATATTCCAACTTCCAAATTCCAAATTCTTAATAAAGTCAGGACCAATTTTTTATATAAATATCTCCATCTTCTAGTATAAAAAAAAAACTTCTAAGACATTGCTTGCCATTAATTTTTTTTTTTTTTTTTTTTTTGGTTTTTTCAACAATCAAACGTTAAATTTAAAAACTCTCAACTTATCCAAGATTTACCTGAAATTAACTTAATACATACATCTCCACTTATTTTTTTTTTTTGGCTTATATATATTTATGTCTATTTATCTGCTTAATTGTCTATCTATATCTGTTTACTCTTAATTATATCTACGTTTTTTGTGTATTTTATTTTTATATTCATTTCTTTCTTTCTTTCTCTTAAATATTAATCTTTATGTCGACCAATATTTTCTTCTTTTTCATTTCCCAATTTTTTTTCTAGTTCGCTCTTTCTAACGGTTCCTTAAAATAAAATAAAAAAATAATAATAATAAATTCTAGTCTTTTTATATATTTTAATATCTTGTTTTTTTTTTACTTTTCCCTCTTCAACCGAGAAACAAATAAACAACCGTTGATATATATATATTCTATAAATTAATTAGATCACTGATTTTTAATTCTACTCTTTCCAATTCAACCTTTCATTTATTCATTTATTCATTTATTCATTTATTCATTTATTCATTTATTCATTTATTCATTTATTCATTTATTCATTTATTCATTTATTCATTTATTCATTTATTCATTTATTCATTTATTCATTTATTCATTTATTCATTTATTCATTTATTCATTTATTCATTTATTCATTTATTCATTTATTCATTCATTCATTCAAATTTTCCTTTCTTTTAAACTGACAACTCAATCAATTATTTTCTTTCTTTTCTTCCTCAAAGTCCACCTAACCTTGTCCTGTATTTTTTTTTTTTATAAACGTTTAATCTTGCTTGTCAACCGCCCCCCCCCCTCCCCCACAGGCATCCACTGATCGTAAAATGAAAAATTAAAAAATTTAAAATTTAAAATTTTAAAAACTTTCTTTTTAATCCTTTTTTTTTGTTTGTCTTTCTAATTAAATTTCCCAAATCTTTAAAAAAAAATAAAAAAAAACTCTATTTTTTTTTTTAAATGAAACACTCCACGTAATTCCAAAAACCATTTTTTTTTTTTTTATTTCAAAACTTAAATTTAAATATAAATAAAAAAATAAAAAAAAAACTTTTCCTTTATAAATTTAAAATAAAAAAAAAAAAAAAAAAAAAATATTCAGGTCCTTCCTGTCTTGTTATTCTCTCTCCCACTCTGTTTTAGATCCCTTTTATTCCACTATCATTCTAATTTTAAAAGTCAAATCAATCAAATTAATTCATCCATTTATATTATACCTTCTTTCTTCATATTTTTTTGTCTCACATTTAACAATATAATCAATCATACCTTTCTTTCCTTCTCTTAAAAAAGAAAAAAAACTTACAAGAAAAATTAAAAAAAAAAAAAAAATCACTCGTCTTGTTATTAACTCAAAGTGTAGAAAAGAAAAAATTCAAGTTTAAATTACAATAGCATTTAATTTTTTTTTATATATATAAAAATAACAATAAACAAAATAGGTCTGTACTTTCGAAAGAAAAGAAAAATAATTGATGAGGGTGGGGTGAAAAAAAGGAAAACACTGCTGATCAATGCAATAATAATATTTTATTTCCCTGGGGGAAAAAATGCACATGGCAATGATATTCATTAGCCAGTGTCATTTCCCAGGTCGTCAAAGCCGCAGTAATTAAAAAAAAAAGGGGGTGAGTGAAGAATAATATAATAAAAATACAAAAGAAGCAGTCGTGTATCAAAGGTATTATGCTTGCTTATGCATTTTTTTTATCTTGTCGTAACATTAAAAGAAAAACACACACAAAAGAACGTAAAAACAGCTGGATATCTAAAGTTGCTGAAAAAAAAAACAGCAATGAATAGGTTGGTGGTAGTGGTAGTTATAAGGGGAGTCGTCATTATTAATACAAATTAGTCGTCATCATCGTCATTAAATTGAGAAAAAAGAGGAAAAGAGATCATAAAAGTTTTTTTTTTTTTGTAATGTCGTCATTCATGCAAATAGTTTCATGTCCAGCCAAGCGAGTTTTCACTCATGACTGGCTCCGAGATTTGCTCCCGCGGAATGTGCCCGCCACGCAGCGACGTCGGACTCAAGCGGCTGTTGTATCCCGGAGAGCCGCCAACACCAGCCATGTACTCAGGACCACCTGTCGCCAGGTATGGTGAGTCACGACCATCTAGCTCAATGCCATTCTTCTTCTTGCGGTACTTTTTCGCCGCAAGGAACATGAGCCCGGCGTATGCAAGGGCCCCCGTCACGGTACCCACTGCAATTCCGGCCGTCCGCCCACTCACAGGCGTAGTGGCTTGTGTCGGTTGGTCAAGCGAGCCAGAGTCCTCTAGTCCGGCTCGGTTGGCCACTGGGCCGGCATCAGCTTGCGTTGGCTTCGATTCGCCAGACGCGGTTGTGCCGGTCGCTGCTGTTCCTGTGCTGGTAGTTGCGGTTGAATCGCTATTGCCAGGTATCAGGGGAATGGTAGAATCAATGAGATTCATTAAAGTGTTGACACTATCGTTGGGATTTTGATAAAGCTGAGAGTTGGAGTTCTGAATCAACGACTGAAGCGTGGAAACGTACTCGGTGGGTATATAAGCCATGGCAACAGAAACAACATAACTAGCACTCGACGACTGGTAGGGCTCAATGCTGCGCATGGATACATTGCCCGAGTCAATGCTAAGGCCGTAAGCAAGACCGATCGGCAAGTAGTTGAAAATTTGGGCGACCGAAAGAGGGTGGGCAACGATAAAGGGATAGTTGAGAGAATAGCCAAAGCCAATTTGAATCAAAGTGGAATCTTCAGGGGTCTCAGGAATGCCACCAGATGGAGCAATAACTCGGGGAAGCGAAGACGCAAGCGTTGGCGTTCCCGTCGTAGTGGTCGCAATAACTGAAGAGTCTGATGTGGGCTCACTGGACTGTGTAATGATAGATTGTGGAAGCCAGGCGCTAAGAGGAACCGATGTTGAACTGGTCGAAGAAGAAGAAGTAGCTGGCTGGTCAGTAATTGGAGCCTGATCAGTGGTTCCAATAACAGTGCGGAAAGAGCTGGGTCCAGTGACAGAAGGTGTAGTAAAAATCTCTGTCGGGGTGATAGATGTTGGCTCAACTGTAGCAACAGTTCCAGTAGCAGTGTCGGACACACCAGACACTGACAAGCCGGAAGAGGCAACAGAAGCAACAGTACCCGAGGGCGAGTTAGAGGCAGACTCCGTGAGAGCGCTAGTAGCCGTTCCAATGGGGATACTAGTGGCAGACTCTCTAAGAGCACCAGATCCTGTGGAAGATCCAAGAATAGAGCCAGTGGCAGCAGTGCCTGTGGAAGATCCAGTGCCAGAGACAGAGCCTGTAGATGATCCAGTGGCAATGCTGGTGGCAGACTCAGTGATAGATCCAGTAACAGAGCCAGTAACAGTTCCAGTGGTGGATCCAGTGGCAGAACCAGTGGCAGAACCAGTGGCAGAACCAGTGGCAGAACCAGTGGCAGAACCAGTGGCAGAACCAGTGGCAGAACCAGTGGCAGAACCAGTGGCAGCGCTAGTGGCAAAAGAACCTGTAGTAGAGCCAGTAATGGATCCAGTGCCGGCAGCACTAGTAGAACCGGTAATTGAACCGGTAATTGAACCGGTAATTGAACCAGTGACTGAACTAGTGGCTGAACCAGTAGCTGAACCAGTAGCTGAGCTAGTGACAGAGCCAGTACCAGTGACTGATCCAATAGTTGACCCAGAAACTGATCCTGTAGAAGACTCCACAGCAGATCCGGTGGCAGACCCAGTGACTGGCCCAGTAGCCGAGCTCGAAACAGAGCCCGTAATGGTTCCAGTAACGGAGCCAGTAGCAGCACTAGTAGAGGATTCAGCAACCGAGTCAGTAACTGATCCGGTAACTGATCCAGTCAGTGAGTCGGTGACTGGCCCAGTAGCAATACTGGACGCGGTTCCTGAAATGGCGCTGGTGGCGACAGAGCCTGTTGCAGAATCAGTTACAGGGAAAGTAGAAACAGAACCTGTTGCTGATTCTGTAAGGGCACTTGTGGTGGCCGAGCCAGTAGCAGATTCAGTAGCCAAAGAGTCGGTAGAAACAATGCCCGAACCAGTGGATGATATGGGGGCCACAAGAGAAGTTGAGTCAGAAACAGAACCAGTAAGGGTGCTGGATGATGGACCAACTTCTGAGGCAGTAAGAGAGCTGGAGATAACAGTAGCAGAGGGTGTGATTTCTACCGTAGACTCAGTTGGTGTGGCAAAAAGGTTAGAGGTGAAAGAAGAGGAGGAGGAAGAACCAAGTTGCTCGGTTGTTTGGGTGGAAAGAGGTACTGAAGCCTGCTGGTCAGTGGTGGCTTCAAGAGACGTGGTGTCTGAAAGAACTGAATTGGTATTGAAGACAATATCAGTAGAAGCTGTAGTCTCAGGGGAGAAAGATGTGGTGATAATACTTTCCTGGGGGAGTTCTGAAGTCAAGTCAGTGTTTGTAGTAAAGATGATGGTAGCTGCTGGAGTGGAAGTCAGATCAGAGGAAGGTTGGGAGGAAAAGGTGGAAATAAGACTTGGGGTAGACAAAGGCGCAGTGAAGGAAGTTTGGGTTGAAGAATCAAAGACACTTTCTGCAGAGATTTCGATATTTGTGGAGTAGGAAGGAGGGAAACCAGACTCAACTGGAGAAGTGAATTGTTCTGCCGTGGACTCGGGAGAAACCACAGGGGTATACTCCGTCGTGGTGGCAGGAGTATTAGTGGGTTCTTGACCAGGGCTTGAGAACGATTCCTCAGGGGCAGAAAAAAAGGTGCCAATTGACTCTTCAGGAGAAGAGACAGGGATGACAGATGAGGTGGTACCGAAAGTGGTGCCAATTGATATTTCCTGAGTGGGCGCAACAGTGCTAGGGGTCTCGAAAGTAAGTTGTGTGGAGATGGGGAGAGTGGTTTGAGTGTCTGTAGGAGAAAAAAGGTTGGTTTGAGTATCAACAGCAGTCTGTGTATCAGTAGGAGAAGACAAGTCAGTTTGAGTGTCAATACCAGACTGGGTGACTTCCTGGGATCCGGTTGCCTCAGTAGGAGCTAGTGTGTCAATTTGTGTGCTAGTGGGCGAGGCAGACTCGGTATTGACAGTGGAGGCAGTGTTTCCGATAGGTTCACTGCCAATAGTTGTGCCGATATCTTCTGGGGAAGAAGTGGTAGTATCAACGGCAGGCTCACTTCCAATCGTAGTGCCAATGACTTCCGGAGTAGAAGTAGTGGTGTCGACAACTGGCTCGCTGGCAAGAGTATTAGTGTCTACAGCTGGCTCGCTGGCAAGAGTGTTAGTGTCGACAGCAGTTGGAGTGGAAGAAGTAGTGTCGATAATAGGCTCGCTAGCAAGGGTGTTAGTATCAACAATGGACTCGCTAGCAATAGTGGTGCCAATGGCTTCTGGAGAAGTGGAGGTGGTGTCAATAGCAGGTTCGCTTCCAATAGTGGTGCCAATAACTTCTGGAGTAGAAGTAGTGGTGTCGACAACAGGCTCGCTAGCAAGTGTGTTAGTGTCGACAGCAGCTAGAGTGGAAGAAGTAGTGTCGATAATAGGCTCGCTGGCAATTGTAGAGCCAATGACTTCTGGAGTAGAAGTAGTGTCAACGACGGGCTCACTTGCAATTGTTGCCTGGGACTCGACGGCTGAGGGCTCTACAGATTCAGTGGCTGAAGTGGTGGCGGTAGTAGCTGTTGGCTCCAAAAATGAAGAAAGCAGTTCATCTGTATTGGTAGAGGTGCCAATTGCTTCTTGAGATGTGGAATAAGTTGTGTAAACTGAAGGAGTAGCTTCAGATTGTTGTAGAGACTCTGTTGATTGAGTCGATTGCAATGACGATGACGATGATGATGACGACAACGACTCAGGCAGCAGAGACTCTTCTGATAATGGCAGGAATGTCTCAGAGGATGTTTGAGAAGTGATTTGAGAAGAAGAAGAGCCGCTTAAAGAGGACTGTGACGCTTTTTCTTCTTGTTGAGCTAAGCTACTACTGCTAGATAGAAGAGGTTCTTCCTTGGAGGTAGGAGTATAAGTTGTGAAAATGGAAGACTCTTCATTTTGAGAAACAAGAGATTCCAATGGGGAGAAGGTTGTGAGAGGGGTTTCTTCAGTGGTGGTGGAGGAGGAGGAAGAAGAAGAAGAAGATTGAGTAGACTCAGAAATGTATTCAGAAGGAGAGACTGATTCCGAGACTAGTTCAGGAGAAGTTTCCGATGCTTCTTGCGGAGAAGAAGATGAAGTGGAAGTGGATAAGGAGATGGAGGAGGAGGATGTTGAAGTCACTAAGTTGAAAAAAAAAAAAAAGAAAAAAAAGAAAAAAAAGAAAAAAAGTTAGAATTGTGGAATGCAAAGGGATGATGATTAACAACAAAAAAATTTCTTTGTTTAAACACATACCAATAGAAGACTCAAAAGAATCTTGTGATTCTGAAAGTAAAATGCTTGAATAGATTTGTGAAAAAGAAGTCAAAGGAGTTTGTTCCTCTTGCTGCTGAGAGGAAAGATACTCGGAGATACTTGACGATAGCGGTATGCTGAAAGTTGTGTATATTGGTAAAGAAGAAGTTAATGAAGTGAATGCTGAAGAAGTTGAGGGAGATAATTGAGAAGATTCTTGAGTGACGGGGGATGAATCATCTGTTGTTGATTCATATATCGAATCTTCTGTAGAAGAAGTGTATATTGGTGATTGGAAGGTAGTTCCAATAGTATATTCTTCACTTGAAGAAGTTGAAAGGAATTCTGATGAAGGGGCAGGAGTTGAAGTATTTGCAGAAAAGATTTGGCGTTTTGAATTGTGGTAATAAGGCCGGTAAGAGTTATGTGCTGGGCGCTGGTAGTAGGAAAATGTTGAAGAAGCGGCCGCTGGATTTGGAGGTTCAGTGGCAACACGCTTTGCTTTGAATGGGATGTGTAGGGCGGAAGCGGAGTGCGCTAGCAGCAGCAAACAGGCCAATACCTGGCAAAGGCGGTAAAGGCTTGCCATGGTAAAGGGGTGCTAATGCTTTAAGAGAGGGATTGATGTGAGAATGGTGGGAAAAGATTGAAAAAGGGTTGAGAGAAAAAATAAAAAAAAAAAAAAAAAAGAAAAAGAGAGAAAAGAAAGAAAAGAAAACTTGAGAGAAGAAAGAAAAGGATTAAAAAAAATTCAAAGACTTAAAGAGAAACCTGGTTTTGTTTTTTTTAATTTTTTTGTTCCTTAATAAAAAAAAATAAATAAAAAAAAGGTCTTAATTCTAGGTTATTAATTGTGTGTTGGCTTTAGTGATGAATTTCAATATAAAGAGTGGATAATTTTGAGAATAAAGTTGGAATGCTGAGAAAACAAGATTTGCATAGAAAAGAGTTATTAGCAAGAAAACAAGATTAAGGCTGAATAAAAAAAAAAAAAAAAAAAAAAGAATGGCTGGCTGGTTAAAAGCTTGTTGTAAGTACACACAAAGTAATGAATCCCAAAAAAAAAAAAAAAAAAGAAGGTTATTTGGGAAAGAATAGAAGGTTTTGTTTCTTTTTTAGTGGATTGAATTTTCTCTCTTTGATGTCAATGTTTCAGATGGAGCGGTGGTGGTGGTAGTGATGATGATGTTGATATTTGTTGAATGATAATAAAAAGAATGTAAAAAAAAAAAAAAAAAATTTGAGTGAGTGAAAGACTATGTGAATATAATATTTGATTAAACGAGCGAAATAGTCTGTTGATATGAATATATATAATTAGTTAAAGATATAACAGATTAACCTGTTCTATTTTTTTTACAAAAAAAAAATTTTTGGATATATGTGATGTTAGTAGGAGGTTTGAAAGATTTTGAAAAGGGGGGGGGCAGCACTCCTAATATATATATTATTATTTAAAAAAAAAAAAAAGGTCCTATTTTTTTTTTTTTTTTTTGGTGACCAAAGGGCACACACACTCAAACACGTATATCACCGTGACAAGAAAATTTGATTTTTAGCGTGTTATGTGTAATAATAATAATAATAATAAAATAAAATAAAAAAAAAGGGGGGATTAATGGTGATGAGATTTTTGACTTAATTGAATAACTAACTAGCTACTTCTTAATAAGGCTTAGGCGTTAAGGGATAGAGAAAGTAAGGGAAAAATAAAATAAAATAAAATAAAATAAAATAAAATAAAATAAATTGTAATAAAGCAAGCGGCTGTTGCTTTCATTTATGCATTTATTTATTTATTACACATATATATATTTTATTTTTATTTTTATTTTTATTTTTATTTTTATTTTTTTTTGTTACAGAAATCCGCACTAAAAATATTTTTGTTAAAATGAAAAGTTCATGCAGTTAGCCTAATTTGGAAGACTGCGCAGACTGTTGCTGCTTTGTATATATATGACAAGAAAAAAAAAAAAAAAAAAAAGGACTGTTTTGTAACAACCAAGGATTGCAGCAACTTGTAACAAGCAAAAAAAAAAAAAAAAGGCAGGGGTGATTGTGTGTGTAGATGTGTTGGTTTTGGAAGTAATAATGAACCAATTTGAATTTCTTTTTTTTTTTTTTTTTTTTTTTTTTTCAATTGAGGCTATTTCTTACAGTTAAATAAATAAAATAGATTATAACCCTGGTCTTTTTATATATTTTTTATATATTTTAAATCCTCAATTGGATTTTGTTGTAATAAATTAATAAATAAATTAATAAATTAATAAATTAATAAATTACTAGCAAATGCCATTTTTTGAAATCGCAAACTTTTAAAGGTACACTTTACGTAAGGCTGTGCCAAAGATATTTTCCAAAAAAATAAAAAAAAAAATTAAAAATTAAAATAAAATTTTAAAGGTTGCCATAGAAACTTAGACGCTTAATAATAATAAGTACTAACTATAAAAGTATAACTAATTATAACTTACTAACTATGGGAAATCTTTTTTTAGTAGTAGTAGTAGTAGTAGTAGTAGTAATAGCAATTTCTTAGATTTTGAATTTTTTTTTTTTAAAAAAAGAAATGGCTGGACTGTTTAGCCAGTTTTTCATACTTTGAAGATTCGTTTTTTTTTTTTTTTTTTTTTTTTTTCGGATTATCAAAATGAAAAGAAAGCTATTGAAAAAGTTAAAAAATAGAATGATACTTCTAACTTCTCTTAATAATAACAATTATAATAATTATAATAATTATAATTGTTATTATTAATATATATATTATCCAAGTTCAGGTTTTGATTCCCCTTTTTTATACTCTTTGTTGACAATCTGAGACGAGCTCTGGCTAAAAAGGGTATAAAAAGTGGTTGGTTGGTTGTTGTTGTTGTTGTTGTATATGTGACCAAGAAAGAAAATAAAAGAAAAGAAAGAAAGAAAGAAAGAAAGAAAGAAAGAATCCTGGAGTAACCAAAAATGCGACATTTCTACAAGGGCCCTTCAATAATAATAATAATAATAATAATAATAATAATAATAATAATAATAATAATAAAAAAAGAAAGTAAAAAAGAAAGGAAGAAAAAAAACCAGATTATCTTCATTAAACTTGTCTCATCTGTAAACGGGGGGGGGGGGGAGTTTTTGGTATATTTTAATCTGATGCTTTTTAAATTGATTAAAAACTCTCCTTAAAAAAAAAAAAAAAAAAAAAAAAAAAAATTTTAAAAAGAGGGAAATTTTGATAGAGATATAGAAATGTATATATATATATATATATATAATAAATCACATCATTATCAAGATTATATCGTTTCAAATGATAAAAGAAATAAATAAATAAAATCTTTAATCAATATATTTCTTTAACATTGTTTATTATTTTTATTATTACAATATAATTCAATTCATATATAAATATCATAATACTAATCTCCGGGTATTTAGAAACCATTAAACCCTTTTGAAAAAAAAAAAAAAAAAAAAAAAAAATTAAAAATTAAATAAATAAAAATAAAAAATAAGCCCTCTCCGTATTTTAGTCTAGATTTTTTATATATATTTTTTCTTTCACTAAAATCACTAAAATCACTAAAATCCTTAAAAAAAAAAAAAAAAGTCCTTCATTCTTGGTAAGCTAAAGACTTGTTTTTTTTTTTTTTTTTTCCTTCTCTCTGCTAAACTATTCCTTAGATTATTAGTTGAAGTTTAAAAAAAAAAAAAAAAAAGATTTTATGGTAACATTTTTTTTTTTTATGTCCTTTATCTTTAATGTTTATGTTCCTATCCATATTCATATTCATATTCATATCCATGTTCATGTACCTAGTCTAGTATATTTCCTAAACGGCCCATCATCACAATATAGATATATTTCTATATAAATATAAAAATTCTGACCTAAAATCAAAATCGGCAATTTTTTTTTTTTTTTTCTATTGTGATGATGAAGAAGATGATAATGATGAAAAGCTTTTTTTTTTTTTTTTTTTTTTTTTTTTTTTACCAGAAAATAAAATAAAATAATATTTTTTGTTTGTTTGTTTGTTTGTTTTGTTTGTTTTGTTTATTCTCAAACATGCACCAGCTTTATACAAAGAAGTCTGGACTTAAATATAACTGTCACATTTCTTTCTTCTAACGTTAACCAAGGAAACCTCCTCTCGTTTGTTTCTTTAAAAATAAAATAAAAAAAAACTTGTTGCAGCTCAATCCAATAGCTTCATCTGCTTTGCTTGTAAATGTGTCACTGTTGTTAAGTAGAAATGATCAAACTTTTGATACAAAAGTCCGACACTTGACATACAAATTTTTATTTTATTTTATTTTATTTTATTTTATTTTATTTTATTTTATATTATATTAATTATAATTATAATTAATATCTATCTTTGTTATTTTGTATTAACAACCAACTTGATAAACCTTTAATCATCATCACAAAGGACTTTCTTTTAGAACCTATCCGAGTTCCAAATGTTGTTGACACTACTTTCAAATATATATGAAAAAAAAAAATTATTATCACATGATATACCCTAACCCTATTAATAAAAAAAATCAAAAAACTTTTAATAATTTTGTTAACTTAATACTTTAATTAAAAAATTTCTTTACCACTACCACAACCTAACAAAACTTTAACTTTAACTTTAACTTTAACTTTTGTTATTAATTCCCATATTTATATACAGCCATAATTAAGTCTCACCGCTAAAAAAAAAAAAAAAAAAAAAAAAAAAAAAATCATTTAATTTTCCATCAATTTTTTTTTTTTTGTCCATCACTTCCTCCTCCTTCAACAAGCTCAAAATAGGTTTTTTTTATATATATATATATATATAATAAAATTTACTATTTCTTTTTTCTTTCTTCTCCCTTTACTGCTCATGTCTGCTCTTATCAAAAGATCTCCAGCAGCAGCAATCAAATCTGCCGTTCTGGCCCGTCAATCGGTCCTTTCGGCCACTCGCAAATACTCCCGAACTATTACCCCCCCGCACTTTGCTCTAACCCAATCATCATTTCATTATAAATTCAACAACAATAACAATAATAACAATAATCTTCATCTTCTTTTTACTTCAAATCGTAAATATTCTACAGAATCTTCGCCATCAACTTTAAGTGAACCAGACCCAGCACTTGAACGGAAACTTGTTAGAGGTATGTCCCCACCTTTTTTTTTTTATTTTTTATTTTTTATTTATTTTTTTTTTGCAAATTCCTGTCTTCTTATTGGCGTGATGACTGACTTTTAATAGACCCTGTTTCTCAATATGATTTCCTCGTAGCCAACGGAAAGATCCGTAACGACCCTCATCAGCGGCGTAAGTGAGTAAATCTTCCATCCTGTTTTCGTAGGATTCAAGTCAAAGTAATCCCCCCTCCCTCCCTTTTTTTTTTTTTTTTTTTCTAACTTTCCAGTTATGCTCTCAAATCTTTCATCACTCCATGAAGAACTCCTAGCCTACACCCCACCCAAAATTGAAGTCGACCCTCCAGCATCTTCCTCCTCCTCATCTTCAGGGTTTTCCTCATTCTTTGGGAAACTCCTTGGATCTTCCTCCAGTAACTCTGAAACTTCTCTCAAAAGCTTTCAGGGTCCCTCCACGTTGCCCATTGGCTGCCAACCTAATGGCATTTACCTTTTTGGTGACGTTGGGTCTGGTAAAACAATGCTCATGGACATGTTCTACACAACTGTCCCCCCACACTTGACTAAAAAACGAATCCATTTTCATGCCTTTATGCAAGATGTCCATAAAAGATCCTTCAGACTTCACCAGCTCCATGGCCAGGATTACGATACCGCCCCTACAATTGCCCGTGAAATCGCCAGCGAAGCTAACGTCTTATGTTTTGACGAGTTCCAGGTTACAGATGTCGCCGATGCTATGATTTTAAGACGAATTCTAGAAAACTTATACTCGCCCCAGCTCGGTACAGTCATCTTTATGACCTCAAATAGAGTCCCCGATGAGCTCTACAAGGATGGTATCCAGCGTAAATCTTTCATTCCAACTATCGAGCTTATCAAACTCAAGTCTCACGTCATGTACCTCGACTCCCCTACTGATTACCGTAAAATCGAGCGCCCATCCCAGGGTACTTATTTCTCTCCACCCCATGGAAAGACTCTTGACGATGTCCGCGAAGAAGCCACTGCACATGCAGACCGCTGGTTTCATTACTTTGCCCACGGCAAACCTGCAGAATATAATGTTGCGCTCCACATTTGGGGTCGCCCGGTAAACATCCCCAAATGCGTTGTTGGTGCTGTTGCTCAGTTTTCGTTTAAAGAACTGTGTGAGACTCCCATGAGTGCTGCAGATTATCTCGAAATTACACGTAACTTTGATTCCATTGTTATTACAGATATCCCTCTTCTTTCTGTTCGCGAACGTGACGTGACCAGAAGATTTATCACCTTTTTGGATGCCGCGTATGAGTCCCATACCAAAATGGCAGTCACCTCGGCAAGACCCTTTGAGCACATTTTCATTGATGAAATCCCCACCTATGGCCAAAAATCACGTATCGTGCTTGAGGCTGAGGAAAAGGCTCGTAAAGAGGCAAAGGAGGTCCGTAAAGAGGCTCTCGAAGATGATGAAAACGACGACATTTTGTCAAAAGAAAACATGTTTTCCGGAGAAGAAGAACGCTTTGCCTTTGCGCGTGCTCTATCCCGTCTCAAGCAAATGGCGTCCAAGGAATGGCACGAGTACGTTGTTCCCAAGTAATCATTTTTTTTTTATTATTTTAGAAAGAAAATGATATAAATAATGATATGAATAATAAATAATAAATAATAGAATGCAACTTGTTAAAACTTGTGCATGGCCAACTCATATGCATACCCTAAAGTCAACCGTGCGTGCTCAGCCATGTGCTCAAATGACAACCGGTCAATTGTATCCATGACCGAGTGAATATAAGGGTTCGATTTCTTCATGGCCGACTCCATAACAAACGCAGAGGGGTATCCGACCTTGGTGGCCGATGCATGGTCGCTACATCCATACCCACACTTATCGCGTACCAGCGCCGTCGATGTGTACCCGGCAACAACTGATTCCACAAACCGCGTCAGAGCCAGGTCCACATAGTCTGTCATGACACCAAATGCTGCACCCTCACGGTCAGGCCCCACACCCATTCCAGGGAACCCTGTCATGTCTTGCTGGAGCAGCGCACGCACTGCCACACCACGCCGCCGGTACTCGTTAAGAACTGCTTGAGATCCAAGAAGCCCGCCCTCCTCGGCGCTGTACCAATGAAATTGTAAAGAGTTGTGTGGTATAAATGTGCCACTTTCTGCAGCACTTGCAAGCACTCGTAGCACTTCTAGAATCGTAACGCTGCCCGAGCCATTGTCGTCTGCTCCAGGCGCAGGCAAAATCCCAGGAAGAAGCAAGTTGGTCGAGTCTAAGTGTGCGGAAACTACAACAATGTCGCCATCGGCGTGGTACATGGTTGCAGGCGTACGCATACCGCTGCTAGCCTTAGAAATCTGGGACCCTGGTAGAGTTGCAATCACCGACTTTTGCCCCCATGGGTGCTTAAACGTCTGCACAGTGATGTTTGCACCCGAGTACAGTTTGGCAATATCGTCGACGGCCTCTGCAAGCCATAACGACGCGTTGCGGCCGTACTCTGACTTGTAATAACGAGTTTTAAATGACGACATTGTGGCCAGTGCAAGTTGCATGTTTGCCTCTGAAATGTTGCCTAAAAGTTTGCCTGCCTCTTTTAGGTATTGTAGCGATGTTGGGTATGGAGATTCTTTAGTTTCTGGTTTATCTGTTTCCTTGCGCGCTTCGAGCTCTGCATAAAAATCAAGATGATCCGTCACATCCATAAAGTTGATGCCACGACGTTTCAGCCGAATCTTGAGCAAGTCGCCACCAATATACATGACCCCGCCTTCTGTTTCCAGCACACGCTTTTCGTCAGAGGGTCCTGTAAACCAGTTCCAGACTGATTTAACAGGGTTTGAATTAAGAACATGCTGAAGAACTTCTTGAGAGGATGTGATTGGGACTGGAAGAACCAGTGCTGTGGCCGGAATGGCCCATATTAGAGATTGAGTGATTTTCATTTTAGAAAGTTTACAGTTGAGAGTGAAAGGTTTTGTTTTTTTTTTTTTTTTTTTTGGGATTTCCATTAATTTATACTTTTTTTTTTTTTGTGATTGCTATTTAAGGTTCTTATGTAAGTTTTCTAATGGTTGCTCAAGCAAACTTAAAGCTTTGGTACTTGCCATTCTTCTCAGCCTTAAGCTCACGGCAGTACTGTGGAATGCCGCCAATATAATTATAAGCGCCAATCTTCTTACCAGGCACATTGCCACCATTGTACCAGGACTTGGTTCCATGGACCAGAGTCTTTTCTTGAAGAGCTGTGCAAGTGTCGGACCATTTTTGTTCGGCTTCAGCTTTAGGATCGGCGTACTTGAGGCCAGAAGTATCAACATGTTCAATAAGATCAACAATAAAGTCAGTTTGAACCTGAGCACATGTGGGGCCATTGGAAAAGGCTGTAGGGCCTTGGGGACCATACATAAAGTACATGTTGGGGAAATCTTGGACTGCAACACCCAAAAGAGCACTCACACCATTGGGAGCCCACTTCTCTCCAAGAGTTTGACCAGAAGCACCGCGAATGTCCATTTGCAAAAGACCGCCAGTAACGGCATCAAATCCTGTGGCCAGCACAATGATGTCGTACTCACGCTCGCCTTCTTCAGTTTTGATTCCGGTCTTGGTGAACTCCACAATGGGGGTGGCCTTCATGTCAACAATATCAACATTGGGCTGATTGTAGACCTCGTAGTAACGCTGCTCGAGACAGGGGCGCTTGGCAGCATAGGGGCAGGGGGCCACAGAAGGTGCGAGTTTTTCAACGAGTTCTGGACGAGTGAGTCTGGCCAAAACTTTCTTGCGCCAAAAGGCGTACTGGTATTTGTCAGCCTCGAGGTCAGTCCAGACATCGTGGAAGGTGGACACCCAAAAGTTGAAGCCTCCTGCAGCCCACAAACGTTCAAAAGTGGCTTCACGCTCTTCATCGGAAACTTCCAAGGCACTGCGAGGATCGAAACCAAACTCAAAGCCAGCAGCACAAGGCTCGTGGAGAGTAGCCTCAAAGACTTCGTCGTAGCGTGGTCGGCGGACTTCTTGTTCCTCATGTGTCACAGGGCGTTGACGCATGGGGATGGCCAAGTTAGGTGTGCGCTGGTAAACGTCCAAGGACTTGACAGTGGGGCCAACTTCCTGGATGACCTGAACACCAGAGGCACCAGTACCAATGACAGCCACGCGTTTGTTTGTAAAATCAACATCATGGTCTTGGGGCCATTCAGCAGTATGGTGCATGATACCCTCAAACTTGTCGAGGCCATTGAAATCCGGAATAAAGTTTTTGGATGCAAAGCCAGTGCAGATGATCAAATGTTTGCAGACATAGGTGCCAGCTCCTTCTCCAGTTGTAGTAACGGTCCATTTGTTAGTTGTAGTGTTGAAGTGACATGAGGCGACAAATGTGTTGAAGGAGTAGTTACGAGAGATGTTGATTTTCTTTTCGACATGGGCAAAGTATTCGCGAAGCTCTTTCCAACCAGGGAAACGCTCCTTGAAATCCCAGTCCTTGTAGATTTCCTTGAGCCAGAGTTGATAGATGGGGACGTCCGAGTCAACACGAGCGCCAGGGTAGCGGTTCCAGTACCAAACACCGCCAATTTGGGGGCCCTTTTCAAAGGACTTGACATTGTAGCCCATGTTGCGGAGCTTGTAGGTGGAATAGATGCCGCCAAAGCCGCCGCCAACAACAATTGCATCGAATTCAGTAGACATTTTTTTGTGTGATTTAAAAGTTGAAAAGAGATGTTTTTAAAAAAAAAAAAAAAAAAAATAAAGAGTTGATTGTAAGATTGATATAGAAGAAAGTGATGAAGAAAAGAATGAAGAATAAGAATATAAAGAGAAAAAAAAAGAATGAATATCCTGCTTCAATTGACTAATTTATATAGTTGAGGATCTTGAGGGGTTATTGAATTGAAGCTATAGTTGAAGTAAGCCGCAGATGAAAAAGGAGGATGTAGCGGGGTGGACAGAAACTTAAAGGGTATATCAATCAATGGCGGGGTCCATTATGAAAAGAAGTTGAGAGGAAGGTCAACTAACAACAAGTATATACATATTTTGGGAGGTTCTTTCAAAACTGAGTATTTGAAAGGCAGTACCCCACGTATAATATATTTGAGTCTTATCACTTGAAAAATACTATTACCAGCTGGTTATTTCTGCTGATGTTACTGCTGCTACTGCTGCTACCTGCTATTGCCAGCATTTGTTTCTCCAGTTTAACTTCCCAAAACTTCTTGACTTGCCTGTTTAGGGTACCCGCAAGGCTCAAATGGAGGTTCCCCGGGTCTTGACTTTCCCTAGGCAATGCCGTTTTTTTTCTTTTTTCTTTTTTTTTTTTAACCTATTCTCTCTCTCTATCTCTTTATCGAGATGCTCATTTAATTTATGCCAAACATACTTGGAAGCGGTCAGTTAATCAATCAATTCAAAAAGTTGAAGTTGAAATTGAAGTTGAAGCTGCCCCACACCACGTGACAGCAACACAAAAAAAAAAAAAAAGTAGAATTTCTCCGGCACGCCGGACGGCTTAACTGTATGACAGGGCCTTTTTTTTTTTTTTTTTTTTTCATTCTCTCTCTCCCCTCTCCTCCCCACCTCCAAAAAATACAAAAAAAGAAGAAGTTTAGTTTTTTTTATTTCAAATTAAATGAATTTTTTATTTAAAATGAAACTGAAAAAAAAAAGAAATTAAATATAATAAAATAAAATAAAACCCACTTCAGGCTTACTTTTTCCTTTTGGGTTGTGGTGGTGGTGTTTTTTAATGTGAAAATTGTTGCGTGGGGGTTCTCAACAAACAAACAAAAAAAAAAAAAAAAGTGGCTGTTACTATCAATTACAATGTCCATCCATTCTATTCATACTATGAAAATCACTTGAAATCATCAAAAATCATTCAATTCTTTTCTTTTCTTTTCAAAAACTTTTATTTTTTTAATTTTTTTTTTTATTAAATCAAATAACAGTTGATTTTTTTTTTAATCTATTGTATATTTCATTTCATCAACATTTCTCTTCAAATTCAAGATCTCATCAGCCGAATAAGGTCCCGGACGTTCGGGTTTTTGGTCCAATCCACAGTAATAAATATACTAATACTAATACTAATAATTATTGGTATTAGTATTAGTATTAGTATTATAAAACATAGTACCTCCTAAAAGGCCCTTTTTCCCCCCTTCTCTCTTTCTTCCTTTCTCTCTTTCTTTTAACTCCCCGTCAATCGGCCCCACAAGCCTCCGCTTCCTCCGGATGTTTCTCTTCCGATAGTTGACCGTTTCCAAATATCAAAATAGATGTAAACAAAAAAAAAAAGTGTACCTTTCGACGACTTTCAAAATCAAACATACATAGATGATCTTCATATCATCTTCATCTTCATCTAAACTCCCCTCCCTCAATCCTCCTCAATTGGTTTTTTTTTTCTTTCATGTAGATCCGTTCTTTATTTGATCTCCCCACTCTTTATAACTTCACTTTTAATCAATCTTCCTTTCTTCTTCCCTATCTTTTTGATTTGTTTTGTTTTCTTTGGTCTTGTCATGTCATGTCATGTCTACTACAATCTCCTCCTCTTCATATTTAGGTCCCGGAGCCACCGGACTGATAAAGTCTCTTTCTTTTCTTTCCCTCCCCAATTTCATAAAACTTTATCTTTTCATAAACCGAGAAAAAAAACTCATCAAAAGCCTCTTTTTCTTTTTTTTTTCTTCTTTTTTAAAATATATCCTCCCCTCTTAAGTTCTAATCTCTGTTTTCATATATCCCACTCAAGAACCCAGAAGATGGTACCACGGCTACTCGGCAAACACGCTTTCGTCATAGCTAGCATGTTCTTTGAAAATGATGTATGCACCTTCGGTACTAAATAAACCCATTCCAGCCCTTTCCTTTCCTTTCCATTCCTTTTTTTTTTTCTTCCTTCTCCCTCTCTTTCTCCCCACACACACACACACACTCTGGTCCATCTCGCTTTAAATTGATTCACCCCCGCGGATTTAGCAATGGAGAGTTTTTCCAGAAACACAAACAAATTACAGAGGAGGGGCCGTTTCCCCCACCTCCTCCTTCCTTATAGTAATATTATTATAATATTATTCCTGTAACAGTTAATTCAACCAAACCGGCACATGAATATTTCATGTTTTACAAAATATTAAAAAAAATATAAAAATAAATAAATAAAACTAGCTTGTCTATGAAAAAAAAAAAAAAAAAGCAATTCAAATTAAGTAATTTTAAGACTTATAAAAGTAAAAGAAAAAAGTAAACTCCGATACGGGGAATCGAACCCCGAACTGCTCGGTGAAAGCGAACCGTGCTAGCCGTTACACTATATCGGACTATTTGTTGAAAGTTTTACACATGTAAATATATACCCTATCCAATATCAGTATAATAAAAGCATCAAAAATCGTGAAATTTTTAATTGTTGAAGCCAAAATTAAAAGTTTATTATCAAAATGAAAAAATATATAGTATGGACAAGAAGGATAGCGCAGATGCTGATGTTATATAATTCTATAACCCTTGAATAAAAACAAACAAACAAACAATGAAATTTTTAATATTTCATTTACTTAATCATCTAAATGACTATTTTAAATTAAAAAGATCAATAATTTATTAACAATTTGAAATCTTATAATGATCTAAATTATAAATTATTTATTTGTTATATTCAACAATTATTCAAGTTTAACATCAGCAAATTACAAACATGATTCTTCTTATTTAAGAAAAACCCTCCATATTTGATATTAAATTTTGGTTTATTTTAGATAAATATTTCTCAATTACCAATGAACAATTAAAAAGTAATTTTATCCGATTTTAATATAAAAAAATAATAATTAGATAGAGCCTACTTTACTTAATCATCAAATGCTCTCAAAACATTTTCAATAATCTTTTTTTTTCTACAACTAACTTTTCAAAATATTTGAAGATAAATTAAACACTTTTATTAAGTTTTAAATAATTAAAAATTAAAATGGTTTTTACCTTTCTTTTTTTTAAAAAAAAATAGAGTGTGCTTGATCCTAAAGTCTACGCAGCTGTTTCAAATTCACCAGTTTTTATTAGCAGAACTTTTAAAAATATTTAAATAATTCAAATTTAATAGTACATATCAAGTTATATATTACATTTTTTAGCCCCGTTTGTTTGTTTGTTTGTTTTTATTCAAGGGTTATAGAACTATATAACATCAGCATCTGCGCTATCCTTTTATTGTCTGACTATGTGACTTGCCGGTTTTCATTTGTACCTTTTTAGTACGGGTGGTTTCTGTTCTGTGCGTCTCCGGTAGCCCGGAAGATGGGCCCTGATGCCAGCTTACGAGGAACAGGGAGAACCAGTCTGTCGGTCCCAAAACCTTCCCAACCCATTTCCACTTATCTTCACGGACGCCCATGTATTTCTTAATCTCTTCCGTCAGAGATACGGCCCGCAATCACCTGCAGGCTATTTAGACTGTACGGAAGAGTCGGCATTCCTGTAACCAGGGTAGCCTATGGTTTTTCAGTCTAGGTGTATACTCCCGTACACATCCTCAGGAAAAGGGGGTATTCTGGGAATCGAACCCAGTATCTTCCGCTTTCGAGCGAACGTGTTATCCTTTACACCATCCAGCCCTTTCCCTCTATTTTTAGCCCCTAAAATGCCTAAATTGTACATTTTAGAGCATCTATGATTAGATTTCCTCAGTGGTCACTTTTTCAACAATTCATTTGGCTCGATGGTTTAGTGGTATAATTCTCGCTTAGGGTCATCTAAGCAATTTGCGAGAGGTCCCGGGTTCAATTCCCGGTTGAGCCCTGTTTGTTTTTACATTTTTAATAACTTTTTGAAAGATTTTGCTGGGGGGATTAAAAAAGTGTCAAGGTTAGCATAGTATAATTTTTTTTAATGTCAAATTTCTGGTGTGTGGAGGTGAGAAAAAAGAAATAAATATATAAATATTTTTTTGAAGCCCTTGCCCTAGCGTATACTGTTGGAATTGGAACCATTTTTTAAAATTTTGTCCGGATTTTGTATGCAAATGTGCTGCTTGCTAGTAGTTGGCACAATTAGCACACAAAATCCGAACAAAATCTTAGATTCTCCATACTAAAATACACACAAGAGGCTCACCACACCTGAACAAAATAGGGAAAATATAAATAAATAAAAATCCGAAATTATGAATTACAAATTACAAATTACAAATTACAAATTACCAATTAATACAATCTTGGATATATCTTATTTTTTTTAATTGATAGTTATATTTGAGAAACTTTTGATATAAAACTGCGAAACACGACTCCGAACAAAGGTCCCCATCACCCGGTTGCCCAAACCCATCTCATTAAATACCAGAATTAACGCATGTCTCAAAAATAGTTCTTTTATTTTAGAATGTGTTAAATATTCCAGTAAATATTTCATCTTTGTTCAATTCAGATTACAAGTAGGTTGCTTGTTAAAAGAGAAAGTGTAGAGGTTGGTTTACTGTCAATAGTAAGTCGTATGAATGAGTTCTAAATTTTTATTTATAGCTATATAACAAATTATATCTTTTTTTAAGAATTTAAAAAAAACTGTTAAATACAGTTATTTTATCTTCTATTCCATTTAATTTTTGAATATATAAATCGAAAATTTTCATTTTGAATGGTTTATCTTTTTTTTTTTTATCAATGTCAGGTTTTTGAAAATGGTTGTTGATTATGTAATACACTGTAAAAAATTAAGTTTGGGTAGAAAGTCAAAGTTCTTTCCTAGATTTTATATACACTAATTTTTTTACTAAAAGTAATTAGTGTAAACCTACATTAACTTTGTATTTTACCCCCAAAAATGTCAGAATTAAATCGTTGTAGAATGACCACGATAACAAGCCCTCAGATGTTACTTTTTTACAAATTACCTCGGCTCGATGGTTTAGTGGTATAATTCTCGCTTAGGGTCATCTAAGCAGTTTGCGAGAGGTCCCGGGTTCAATTCCCGGTTGAGCCCTGTAGTTTTTTGCTTTTTAATAAAGTGTTTTTTAAAATTTATAAAAGATTTTGTTGAAGAAATGAAGAATATCTCAAGTTTTATAGTATCTTTTTTTTTTTTGAAGTAAATAAAACATTAGAATATTGCTGTGATGTGGATAAATATTATGTCATAAACTGTTTGTGTAATATTTCAAAGTTTAAAGGTTGACAACTAATTGTCCCATTGCTTTGCCAGTTACACTGACAATTTTTTTTTTTCTTAAATATATCTTATTTTATTCTATTTCATGTTTTTTTCCTTATCAATCTATCCAAATTCTTGTTCATTTTTGATTTCCTTTAATATCAACTCCCAATATCATATTATTTTTGTGGGAAGTGTCCCAATTGTATTGTGCAAAAGAATCTAATCACTAATTATTGACTAATACTTTTTTTTTATCTTTACCGCCAAAAAAGGAGTTGTCTCGCCAGGTGATTCAATCACAGATTTTTAATCTAACTTTCACAACCATTCATCCCATCATCCCATAATCCCATCATCCAATAGAAAGAAATGAAAGAGGAAAACATTAATCATATACAAAGCCTATCTCTAAATGGATTCTTTCCAAGTATGCCATATACCACAGTAACCACTGACGTTATTGTCCGACCCGTTACTGATGACAGCCGCATTTCAAAACCAAGTCCCAGACCACCAGCTTCTATCTCTGATGATATCATTTTTAAAAGAAATGGACTCCCGGACGTTTCGATTAATAAAAAGGTTCTGGGCCACTTTATTCAATACTGTTGATGAAAAACAAATGGTTAGAGTTTTTCTCAACCCCTCTAGAAACAGAACAAATCAAAATCACCACCCTTGATATCGGAAAACTGCAAAAGGAATGCTGCTGGGACTCTACCATCTCCTTTGATGAATATAAGAAATTAGAATCCCACAATGGAGTCAACTTTATCCCATCTAAACCCACGCTTGTATCGTTTGCAACCTTTGGGGATTATAAATCCTTGGAAACAAAACGGCTTATAAACTACCTCTCAATGAAAGAAGTATCCCCTTATAACTATAACTTTGATGAAGTCTATAGATTGTACAATATTGCATCATGTCTGATTTCTTTTATCCAGATTTTCCAAACCAAAAGCCAAAAGGAGTTTTCTCTAGAATTATCGAATTTCATCGACACCTCAGCACCCGCTAACGTGAAAACTGACATTGAACGCTTATGGAACATGTTAAATACAGCAAATTCTAACAGACTTCACAACATGGGAGATTATAATACCTTTTTCACAGGGGCTTTGGTTTCTGCATTAAAGCACGTTCAACCCTCCTTAGTCTTTGTACAAACTTACAAAAAAGCCATGAGGATTGTTGCCCAAACGGTATCTCCCTTTCTGAACAGTAATCTTCAAAAATACTTGGATACCCCAAACATCTTGACTTTTGATTACATTTGTTGGGTCATTAGTAAAGAAATTCCTCGGAAACTCAGACCAGAAGTTTTCCTGTTTATGGATGAAGCATTTTTTGGTTCGGTTTTGACCATTGCGCCTGCTGTTTATGAAAACATGAATATCCAAAAATCCTTTTTGGAAACTTCTAATGGTGCTATTTCATTTTCACGGCTGCTACGCAAGTCTTTTAAACTAGAGCCTATAATTTGCCCGAAGCAAGAATTGTGCATGTTGATGCACATGGTTAGCCATTCTGTTGTTTTTGATTCTTACACCAATATAGCTGATCAAATCTCTGAAAAACTGACAAGTATTGAGAATATGGGATATAGTAGCGACCCCAATCATTATTTTGAAGCTGATGATTATGACCATTTTATTTTTTCTATGATTAGCTCTCTTCAATCGGCAAGCTCCTCACCAACCATTATTAAAGCCGGGGATAAATATGTCAATAAGCAAGTGTTTTCTCCTAGCTTCGTGCCAAATGATATTAACAATTTACCGGAGGAATACCAAAGTGAGGTTAAAAGAAGACAAAATGAGTCTGCTAAAAGCACTAATAATAATAATAATAACAATGGCAATGGCAATGGCAATGGCAATGGCAATGGTTACAGAAAACGCCAAAGATATCGATACAATAAATATTATTGATTATAAAAGCCTAGTATTTTTTTTTCTTTAATAATTAAAATGATTGTAAATATATTGTAAATGTTTCACCAAAATGGCAACTTAAAAGTTACAATTTTGGACTAATTTACCTAACAGTTTCTCTTATCGTCCATCCACTTTTTTTTTTTATTTTTTTTTTTTTTTTTTCAAAGTGTGGTCTTAAAATCCAACTTTTTTTTTTTTTTCAAATCCATTGTATTTTTATGTACGACTTGCATGCCAAAAATAGTTGTTGAAGTTTTCACTTAACCAGACTATTATATAATCCATTTGTTTAATCTTAAAACAGGAGTAATTTTCAGAAATTATTCTTTATGTCACAGTTTCGTTTTAAAGATTTTTTTTTTTTTCCCCAAATAAGTCTGACTTTTTTATTAAAAATACAATGCCATATAAATAAGATTACTTTTGAATACCACAAAAAAGATAAGTATAAAAATAATTATAAAATAAATCAATTAGTTAGTTAATTAATTTGAATTCTATATATGTTTTTATAAAAAAAATTCGAGTTTTGAACAGTTTTAAAAGGTTCATTTTTAGAAATAAGAAAGTCTATATAGTCTAGTCTCTATGTTAAATTGTTATTGACGCTGACTAGCAAAAAAAAAAAAAAAGAAGGAAATAAAAATAATAAAAAAAGAAATATCTCAAATAAAAAGATACTTTGCTTTAATATAATTGACATTACAAACACATCATTGCTCAAACAACCCTTCTTGTTGCAATAATAACAGATTCGATTAGCATAGATGTTAGAAAAAAATAAAGGTTACCTGATGAAAAATTTTGAAAATATATTTATATAACACTTTATATAGTTTAAATTAAAATTAAAGCATATAAATAGAAAATAAACAAAAATATTTCCAAATTGTTTGTTTGTTTGTTTGTTTTTATTCAAGGGTTATAGAACTATATAACATCAGCATCTGCGCTATCCTTTTATTGTCTGACTTATGTGACTTGCCGGTTTTCATTTGTACCTTTTTAGTACGGGTGGTTTCTGTTCTGTGCGTCTCCGGTAGCCCGGAAGATGGGCCCTGATGCCAGCTTACGAGGAACAGGGAGAACCAGTCTGTCGGTCCCAAAACCTTCCCAACCCATTTCCACTTATCTTCACGGACGCCCATGTATTTCTTAATCTCTTCCGTCAGAGATACGGCCCGCAATCACCTGCAGGCTATTTAGACTGTACGGAAGAGTGGGCATTCCTGTAACCAGGGTAGCCTATGGTTTTCAGTCTAGGTGTATACTCCCGTACACATCCTCAGGAAAAGGGGGTATTCTGGGAATCGAACCCAGTATCTTCCGCTATCGAGCGAACATGTTACCCTTTACACCATCCAGCCCTTTCCCCTAATATTTCCAAATATTGATTATTTTTTTTACAACTCTTAAAGGTTGCAAATATATATTTCCATTTGTAAGGAATAACAAGGGTTGTATAGTGTAGTGGTGAGCACATCGGATTTTGATTCCGGTAACCCCGGTTCGATCCCGGGTACGACCTTATCTTTTTGATATTTTTTTTTCTCTTGTATAGTATATATATTAAAATTATATATTTTTTTGTGATGTGTTTTGATCTGAAACATCCATTAACGACCTCATTTTATAAACATCATCAATTTTTTTTTTTTTTTTTTTCCTTGAAACATTAAAAACATTAGAACCATTACAATCGGATCCCTTTGTTTTATTTAAATGAAAAAAAAAAAACTATGGGCTGACCCCTTTGGTTATCGAGACTGTTGAAACAAATAGCGAGGTGGCTTTGAAATTCTTAAATGTATAATTTTTAAGTATTGAATAGTGATATTTTTTTTTTTCACTTTATTGAAATAATAAAGGAATATCATAAAAAAAAAAAAAAAAAAAAAAAAAAAAAAAAGGAAAGACAACTTAAACCCATTAAAATTAGAATTATAAGAAGTATTCATAAATCAAAATGTGAAAACAATCTCGAATCATTCAAACCCAACCCATATTTTTTTCAAATGCTCATTATAGTACTGCTTATATAAGTTTCTTCGTTATGCTTAGATAACACACTAAATTTTAAAGTTTTGATCTGGAGACTTTTTAAAGTTTAAAAAAAAAAAAAAAAAAAAGTTGGCATTCTTTTTATACACAACAAATACACAATTTTGAATCACTATAGATTTTAATGAAAAAATATAAATATATATAAACAGGAAAATAAAAATATTTTTCATTCAATGTTAATAAAATTTGAAAAGACAAAAAGTTAATTGCCTCGAGCCGGATTCGAACCGACGATCTCGTCATTACTAGTGACGCGCCTTACCAACTTGGCCATCAAGGCAAGTGCTCTGCTTATTTTACCAGTGAGAGCATCAAATTGTTACTTTCTATAAAAAAGAAAGTAATTTTTTAATTATTTTTATAATTATTTTTTAAAAATAAATTGAAATTTTTAATATTTTGTTAATATTCATAAATACTAGTTAAGAATCTTTACATTGGCTTAAAAATTTCTAGATAAAGTTGCTTGATATTGACCTTGAAAAGTGGATTAAATACTCGTGTTATTGGTTACAGTAAGTCCAGTGTACACTCATTTTATGGTAGCTAAATATCACTTGTATACCTTTTTTGAGTTGAAAAAACAAAAAGAAACTCTTTTTTTTTTTTTAGTGGTCTTGCATCAAAATAATTTCTCTGGGAATTTTTCGTGAGTGAGTTAATCGTGTTTACTGTTAAATACTACAGGTTTGTTTGTAAACAACCAATAAAAACATATCATTCCATTAATTTTGAGACTTTTGACAAAAAAAAAAAAATAAAACCTTAACAGTTGTTAGTTAATTATCTATTTAGTTACTTTGTATTAATTGGATTAAAGTATTCACAACTACCAAGAAAAATTTTTTTTTTTTTTTTTTTTTTGATATCAAACACTTACAATTAATTCATTCAAAGTCTGAAAATAGTATACTACGAGAAAAAAAAAATACATGTTTGATCTTTATACTATAATTTTTAATTCCATTTTTTTTTTAATTAGCTTTAAATATATTAAATGTTTTGAACTGATTAGATATTAAAGTCCTGGCATGTCCATCGTATTAATAAATGTAAGAGAACAGTGTATGGGGTGTATTTGTTGTTGTTTGTTTACTTGAATTTTTATTTTTATTATTAGGTGTGTGTAATATTTCCCATTAAACTTTTCATCTAAACAGTCCCCCCCCTCCATCTTTAGACCTATTAAACATCTATGAAAACGTCATATTTTGTAATATTTTTTTTATGATTAAGTAAAAGAAAAAAAACAAAAGAGATAAGAAACAAATGTACCAAAGTATTAAGAAAAAAAAAATTAAAAAAGAAGAGAATTCTAAGGCATTGAAGCCAACTGACTCCCACTAAGGGGCTCGAACCCTTGACATTTCGGTAACCCCCGAAGGTGTTAAAAGCCGAACGCTCTACCGACTGAGCTAAGCGGGATTTCTCAGGTTGTTGTTAGTAATAACTTATACAAGTATTTAAACCTTACTAATAATAAAACCAAAAGTTTGATACCAGTTTCACAGATTTTAGATATACTTTAAGATCAATTAGTTAATGAAATGATATTAAATATAAGTTTTATATAATCAAAATTTGATTAAATGTTTAAAAAGGACTTCTTTTTCTTGTCTTGAGTAACTATTCTGGGCAATTTTTATTTTAAAATTTAATGAGGTTTTTTTTTTTTTTATATTCTTTTTACATCATTTTCTTCAACTGTTTATTAAATATATATATATAAAGTTCTTCATTCCCATTCTACAATGCTTTCCATATTCTCTACTTCTTCAAATCCTATTTGTTTATAACTATTTCCAAACATTGGCAAATAAATCATCATCCATAGGATTAGTTGGAGAAGTAGAATTAAATGCAGCTGCAGCTTGAGTTCCAGAAGACCGAGGAGGAATGGCTCCTGACGAAGCAGAGGTGAAATCAGCCCAATCGTTATTGGTATTTTGCACAGTACTTGTACTGGAGTTAGCAGTAGAACCAAAAGTATTAAAAGAAGACGATGAAGAAGAAGGAGCAGGAGCAGCAGCAGGAGCAGCAGCAGGCTTTGGAGTAAGACTATTACTAAAGCCAAGGTTGTTGCTAGTAGAAGTATTACCGTACGATCCCTGGAGATTCATTTTAGGAGGAAGTGCAGGTGCAGGAACAGCTGAAGAAGTCTGTGGCTTGACAGATGCCCATGCAGATGAACCACCTGAAATCAAATCGTCAAAGGCAGATTTAGGCTTGGAGGCCTGTTGCTGTAATGGTTGCACAGGTGGAGCTTGAGTCTGGACTGGAGATCGAATAGGCTGCACTGAGGGGGCGCTTGAAAAGCCTCCACCAAGTCCCAAGAGATCGTTCAAGTTGTTATTACCACCAGAAGAGGAAATGGATCCTGAAGGGCGGTGACTAGACCCAGAGCTCAATGACAAGCCGCTAAACCCAGCAAGAGGGTCCGATTTCTGTGCAAAAGATTGTTGTTGTTGTTGAGGTGGTTGCTGGTATGAGGATGAAGTTGGGGTAGAATAGAGAGAAAGAATTGACTTTTTCAAATCTGGTCTGCCATTGGTCTTTGGCGCAGGAGGTTGTTGTTGTTGTTGTTGTTGGAGATGTTGGAGATGTTGGAGATGTTGGAGATGTTGTTGGTGTTGTTGGTGTTGCTGGTGTAGTTGGTGTTGAGCAGGGGCTGAATGAGAGGGCTGTTGATGGTGGTGCGTAGATTTCGAGGTTATAGGAGCCGGTCCAAAGTCAAGACCAATCAAGCTTGAAGTAGTTGGTTGAGGAGGAGGTTGTTGATATTGTTTCTGGGGCTTAAGCTTAGACTGAGGGCTTTCGGTTACGCGATGGTATCTGGTTGGGGTAGGTGCAGCTTGAGGCTGACTGGATGAAACCCGGCCAGAACTAGAGACATTTGCGTATTGAGTGGCTGTGGTAGGAGCCGATTTCTGAGAAAGAAAGTCATCATCCAAGAGATCAGGAATAGAGCTTTGAGGAAGCTTTTGTCTAGGCAGTTGCTGTGGTTGTGATGGTGGTGGTGGTGTTTGTTGATGAATATGAGGCTTTGGGATATGATGATGACCAACAGCTCCGTTTCTTGCAACGGTGGCAGAGGCGCGTTTTTGGACCTCTGAAAGGGGGACACGCTCTTCGGCATCAATGCTTTTATCAAGAATTGATGGGTCTGGCATTGTTGGAGAGAGGGCCCAGCGCTTCATTTCGTACTTTGTTCTGATAAAGTTTTCAATCTTGCTATCATCGGGGACATATTTATCAGGTAGTTTTGCTTCCCAGTATCTATTACAAGCAAGTATTGTTAGTATGAAAAGATTGTGTTTGTTTGTTTGTTTGTTTGTTTATGTTTGATTGATACTTACAAATTAGCGCGCCTGTTACCCCATTTAACAAGAGGTTCGACTTGTTCATCGGACCAACTGTCGAGGTCAATGGAACGGACTTTAGAATATTAGTAAAAGGAAAATATTAGATTAACAATAAAAACATACCTTTGCTAATGTGGGTACCCATACTGCGGTGAATACCCGAGCAGCGGATGCAGACAAAAATACCGAGACTCCAGCTGGCCCAACGAGGATGGCCGGAAGTTTTGCAATCTGCGCAAAACTTGTTTGAAGGTTCTTTGAGCAGAGTACGGAGAATCTGTTGGTTGCGTTCGGTGGTTGCCTTGCGCTGGGTGACTGAAGGGGCTGATGAAGAGCCAGTTCTTCTTGAAGTGTACATTTTAAGGAGCGGTGGGAGAGTCTATATATTAAAGGTGATATATATAAGAATTATATATATATAGATATTCTAGAGTTTAGGTATTCAACAACCTGAATGCGGGGAAAGAATTGTATATATATATATATAAAATAAAGAATTAAAAAGAAGGTAATAACAAAAAAAAAAAAAAAAACAAAAAATCAACAAACAACACCAAGACACGGCGGTTTGGCTGTGATGGTTTTTTTTTTTTTTTTTTTGGGTCTGCGTTGGAAAAAACCAAAAAAAAAAAAGGTTTCTTTTTTTTTTTTATTGGGATTTTAATTTTTGGCGGCGGTGCTAAAAAATTAAAAAAAAATTAAAAAAAAATTAAAAAAAAAAAAAAACTTGAAAAGAAAATGCTGTGCTGGTGATAACAACCTTACATAATATATTAATAATAAACACGTGACATCTTTTTTTAATAATATAATAATAATAATAATAATAATAAATTGTATATGGAAGAATTTCTTTGGACAAATAAATTCCATATAAAATATATAAGACCAAATTGAAGTTTAAAAAATCTTTACAATCTACATTTATAATTATTATTATTATCAATTCAATTCAATTCAATTCAATTCAATTCAATTCAATTCAATTCAATTCAATTCAATTCAATTCCTAAATTGTTTTTTCTTTCTTTCTTTCTTTCTTTCTTTCTTTCTTTTCGTCAAGTTTAGTCATCAACTTTCGTGGCTTCGTATGCGGTTCTCGTATTTACAATGTTTTTTTTTTTTTTTTTTTTTTTTTTTTTTAATATGCTGTTACTTCTGTTATATTTTATGTAATCTAGACTAGACTAGTATATATACAATTAATGAGAAATAGATATAAATTCTTATTTTATAATATAATATTATAATAATACTTAGTATATATTATATTATTATAATATAGTTAATATTAATTACTATTCAGACTAGAGTTTTAAAAGAGAACAAATTTATAAAGAAACTAGGCAATTAATTAAATATTAATAATAATAAATTTTTTTTTTTTTAAATATAATAATATAAAAATAAAGGGTCTCTCTCTTTTAGGATTTTAATTAAGTGTAACAAATGTTGTAACAAAAACAATCATCACCACGTCTCAACAAAAAAAAAAAAAGTTGGTCTTTTTAATTTTTTTTTTTTTTTTTTTTGCTAAAAGTTTTATATATATATTTTCTTTCTATTCTGATATATACATATATACAATCATCTTCAATCCATTTCTTTGAATAAAAAACTAGTTTCTTATCTGTTAGATTTTTTTTTTTCCCACAAAGATACCCTTTTTTTTTATTTTTTTATTATCATCATCACCAATCTTAATCTTAATTTAGATCAACAATATACACAATGTCAGCTGAACAATCAACAGAAGCTCCTGTCGAGACTAAAAAGACCTTCATTTCTACCTCTGAAATTGAAAAACACATTGAGAAGGATGATCTCTGGATGGTTATTAATGGCAAAGTCTACGATATTACTCCCTTTGTTGACGAACACCCGTAAGTGTGGATATATCTATACTTTTTATTTTTATTTTTATTTTTTTTTCAGTTTCAGTTGTTATCTTTAAATGAGAACTGAGTAAAAAAAAAATTCAACAGTTATCATCATCATGATAATTCAGTTCAATATTATATCAAAAAAATTTTTTTTACTAACAATTTTCTTTTCTTATACAGTGGTGGTGAAGAAGTCCTTGTTGACTGCGGTGGCCAGGATGCTACCACTTCTTTCGAAGTATGTTTAGAATCAAACAAACAAACAAACAAACAAACAAACAAACAACAAATATCAATCTTAAACTAACACAATTTTTTTTTTTTTCAAGGATGTTGGCCACTCCGATGATGCCACTGAAATTTTGGAGAAGCTGTATGTTGGTGATGCCAACCCTGAGGTATGTCATTTCTTTACAAAATCCCTTTTCCCAACAATTTTTTTTTTTCACGTGTATATATATATATATACTAACGATATTTTTTTTTTTTTTTTTAGGAATACAAGGTTAAGATCCCCAAGCCTGCCGTCAAGACTGCTTCTGGTGAATCAAGCTCATCATCGTATGTTACTTTTTTTTTTTTTTTTTTTTTTTTACAAATTTTTTTACAATTTTACTCTTTTTTTTTTTTTTTTTGTAATACCATAATTGCCATACTAACATTGTTAATCAGATCGATTCTTCTCCTGATTATTGCCGCCGTTGTTGCTGCTGGTGCTTTTATTTACCTCCAAACCTTCAAATAAAGAGGATTTAATACCAAAAGATAAAATACAAGATGATGAAAGGATTAAAAAAAAAAAATTAAAGGAATAATAAAGAAGAAGGAAAAAAAAAACAAAAAATAATAATAATAAAATAAGGAATTTGTTTGTGGGCTCCCAGATCACAGCTAACATCAATTTTTCTTTTTTTTTTTGTAAAATATACTTGAGCAGAGAGATGCATACATCACATACAAACTTTTTTTTTTTTTTTTTTGGTTAAACTGGTAATCAATGTAAACTGGATATGATAATGATAATACTAATATTTATAATATATACACAATTTTTTTTTTTTTTTAACAAAAACTCTACGTTTATTCTTGATTTATGTGTAATTTTTTTCTTTTTTAAGTAAAAAGGGAAGAAGAATGTGTGATTTTTCAGTTGATATTTATTTGGCTGGACAAAATTGCTAATACCAGCTGGCAGATTGGCCAGCATTTTCAAATTAATTTTTTTTGGGCTGATAATAATTATTGACAGTCTTACTTTGCTCATCGCTCCTCTACCCCCCCTTTTTTTTTTTTTTTATATGGTCGGCAACATTAAAACGTCTGTAAAATTCATATACAAAGAGTAAATATCAGAACGACACTTTTTAATTGATTTTATTTAAACAGGCGATTATTAACAAAATTATTTTTTTCACTTAAACTTATTTACTTATTTACTTATTTACTTATTTACTTATTTACTTATTTACTTATTTACTTATTTACTTATTTACTTATTTACTTATTTACTTATTTACTTATTTACTTATTTACTTATTTACTTATTTACTTATTTACTTCTATATTTGAAATTCCCCCCCTCGTTTTTATAATATATATATCGTCGTCATGAAAAATTTAAAGCAAACCTTCAAAATATGAGCCATTTGTATTGTTCAATAAGGTTAAATCGCCTATTCTTATTTTAAGATAATCTACTAAAGTAATCATTATAATAAGTTCTATCCCCGCATTTTCAAAAAAAAAAAAAAAAAAAAAAAAAAAAAAACAATCATGAAATACACTAGAATAAGAAACTGATGAGGATAAACAATCAACCTTAACTTCATTGTATATCTTTGTTTCCAACCATAGTCGTCTCTATAATCAATCCTCATTCTATACCCAAACATACTATACTACACTAACTCTTACAATTACCCATAAAAACATTTTATTTCACATAGACTTGACTCAATTTAAAGTCTCCATTTACATATTAATACATACAGGAGGGAAAAAAAAATCATTAAATCATTAAATCATTAAATCATTAAATCATTAAATCATTAAATCATTAAATCATTAAATCAACTCTCTTATTTCTAATCTTTTCCATCATTTCCATCACTTACTTTTTAAAATTCTTCTGCATATTCAAGTCAATTGGATGATCACTTGGTGACATGTTTCGCTGTTTATAGACATTTTTCTCCATTTCTCGTGTTAACCCGTAATCACCACATATACCCAACAATCTTCTTGCATCCTCATTATTAAGACCCTTAATCAAGTTTGCTAGCATTTTTTTGCATAAATCCTGAAGCATTTCAATGGTCAAAACATTGGCAGCTACCACAATTGCAAACACATATGATGGCGCAACATGCATCGATTCATCTTCAAAAAGTGATTTGTCCCAAACTGAGATTTCTAACGACTGTCGCATATACGAAGTATCTAACGTATAATCAGGGCCTCGTTCAGCAATCTGAGTCTTGACCCAAGATTCCATTGATTCTTCCTTGTGGTATTCCAGGTATTCAACGACTTTAGTCACGACGTTAGTTGCAATCATAGATAGACTAATTTTTAGTGTTTCATTTGGAGGAACACTATCTTCATGGGTTTTAACCATATTCTCAAGGGTTTTGCTTAGTTTGACTGCTTTGCGTGACAAGGGTATTTCGTCTCCATTAGCACTGACTAGTATGATTTTACCGTCACTAGGATTAGTCTGAGGCTCAGTTGGGGGTTGGACTGGTGGAATGATATCTGGTGCTGGCATAGTATATTATTTTTAGGTATGTTTAAGTAAATATATATATAGATATATATAAAGAAACATTCAAAATTTTAATGAGGATAAGTTTATATATATATATATATTCAATAGATAGAATTACATTGATGATGAAATGGTGATCACATATAAAAATTAGAAATGAGTTTAATTATTATACCCTAGTGATAGTAAATTAATAGACAACAATTCCCACAATGAGTTTGGATTAACTATGTCAACTTTCCATGGAATATATCAAAAAAAAAAAAAAAAAAAAAAACTCGGGTTAAATGAAGTGAAAGGGAGTTTTAAAAATATTGTTTTTAAAAGTTTACAACAGGAATTTTGGATGTGTTTATTGATTGAAGATGACTATTTATTATTTAACAATTAATAAATATATTTTTGTTTTAACGATAATTAACTGAGATTACTTGACAATTATGACCTCAACACTATTAGTTAGTACAATAAAAGAATATTTTTAAAGAAATAAAAAAAATAAAAAATCTTCTATCTTATGATTTTTGGTACGATTTAGCCAAGTCTTAATTTTTTTTTATCTTGTCAGAATGGAAACAGTTGTATAAAAGTACTTATGAAGTGACAGACATTGTGGCTTCACTCAAGACAATTGTAAATAAATCTTTATGAATCTTGGGACCTTCTTCAATAGGCTAACTAATATATATATACTAGTTAAATATACTGAATTATGATTATTTCCTGTTTTTTTTTTTTTTTTTTAAAAGAGATTTGAAATCTAATCGGTTGACCATTTACTAACTCGATTAGATGGGGGCTTTTTTTTTTTCTCTTTTTGGCCTTGTAAAATAAATTAATAAAAACAAAAAAAATTGTAATAGCCAATTAAAAGAATAAAAAAAAATACAGATAGCAACCTTGGCAAATGATTTTTTTAAAAAAAAAAAAAAAAGTGTTTATAATGTTTACTTTAACCAAGAAAAATGGAATGAATTTGTAAGTATACATGCTTTTCTAGGCAATGACGAAAAAAAAAAAGAGCCCTTGCTATCGATTTTACACATTATTAAATATGATATTTTAAAGAATTAATAGTGAATAGAAAATTAAAAAAATTTTTAATTAAATAGGGTTTGTTTGTTTGTTTTTATTCAAATTAAATAGGGAATTACTATTTTTTTAAATATAAATTATTATTTTTTTTTTTTTTTCAATAAAAAATAATTTTTTAAATCTTTAATAATATGGTAATTACAAAAGCCAATTTGAGGAATTGATATAAATATTAAATAAGTTTTAACATTTTCAACAACTATTCCTTGTGGCCCAATGGCAAGGCGTTCGCCTACGATCATTAATGGTTACATAGCGAAAGATTCCAGGTTCGACCCCTGGCAGGGAAGTTAATAATTTTTTATTTGTTTTTAAAAATTTAAGACAAAATTTTTTTTTTTCAGTTTCATTGTTCTTTATTTTATATTTAAAATTATACTGCTTCTATTTTTTTTTTTTTTTTTTTTTATTTCCCATTACTAACTAAAATTTCAATAATTAATCAAGTGATGTGCTTTTGGAGAGGGGAGAGAAAAAAAAAAAAAAAAAAAGAAAAATACGGGTATTTTTTAACTTTGATTTGTGTTTTTTGTAAACGTTTGTTCTTTGTCTTTTTTTTTTTTGTTTTCACAAATTTAGAAAAATTCTTCATCATAGATCAATATGAAATAATTGAATTTAACCAATTTTTTTTTTTAACATTTATAATAATAATAATAATAATGAATATAATTCATCTTATATAGGAACACTTGATATTTAAGTACAACAGTTATATACCATGACTCAGTCATCTGAATTGATACACATTTTGAGTATATATATATATATATATATATATATATCATCACTGTACATTTTTTTATTTTAATACCCCACCAACAACCAACAACTTTTACATTTGCCTAGTTTGTTCGGTTGAGTCCAAGCCGTCCGGACTTTTCTTTTTCAATAAAAATAAAAATAAAAAAAATAAGAAGATAAAACAAAAGGCCCACTTTCCTGTTTACTTTTTTATATTTTGTTTTTTGTTCCCGAGTAACACGACGAAAAAAAAAAAAAAAAAAAAATGAACCCAAACTTTTCAAGTGAGTTTTTTTTTTTTTTTTTTTTTTTTTTTTGAATAAAGACATCTAATTTGTTTTTGAAATGAAAGTTTAACATGTTATTAAACTACCGGAATATGGGCTATATAAAAACAAGTTTTGATTTTATTTATTTATTTATTTATTCTAATAAACTTTGATTTCAAGTATGAAGTTCTTGTAGTCCTAGACTTTATATATATTTTGAACTATGTGTAGTAAAGTGTTTGCAAAGTTTGCAACCTTTTCATTCAAGAATGCTGCAAAGTCCAGCAGCCAACCAGAGAATAGTTTTTATTTCTTTTTTTTTTTTTTATTAAAATATATATATATATATATAAATTTAATTTCTAGCATTTGTAAAGGAAAAAAAAAAAAAAAAAAAAAAGAAAAAAAATATGAGTGGTTGGTCATTTTTATTTTATTTGAATATCTCCATCCATTATCCTTAAAATTAGAATTATCTTTACAACCTTCACATTCTTTTTTTTAATTTAATTTAAAATATATCCAAAACTTTACACACATGTAAAATACAACAATATCTTATAAATATATTTTTTTTAAAAAGTTCTTCCTCGAGAAAGTCTTTTTTTTTTTTTTTTTGGTTAAACATAACCAGGTGACGTAGACTGTACACGTAAGATTTTCCTAGTATTATCAATAGCCTATTGTCTTTTTTTTTTTTTTTTTTTTCCCCTTTTCCAAACCAAAGCGGCGCAAAACCTTTCGACCCTTCCCATCTCCACAAATATATATATATATATATATATACACCCATAAGATTCGACCCAGAAGGTTTCTGGCACACGTATATATATGTGCGTGGGGTATATAAAATGACAATAAAGAAGATAATTATAACAATGATAACAATGAAAACAATGCGTATGAAATATATTATTCCCTAATCGAGAAATAAATAGGATTTTCTTCTTCTTCTTCCCTCATTCTTTATAGAATAAAAAAAAAAAGGAATACAAATCTTGTTGTTCAACAAGTGTCTGCTAATTTTTTTTTTATCCTGTTTTTTTCTGTTTATTTTTTTTTTTTAAAAAAAAAAGTGGACATAATTAAACAAAAAACCTAAAAAAGCCCTCAACTCACGTTTTTAAAAGTGCAAAAAACAACCAATGTCAAGGAAAAAGAAAAGTTCACCCGTCTACAATAGTACTGGTATGGATAGGTGTAGGCGACGGCTGCTCTTGTTGTTGTTGCTGTTGTTGTTGCTGCTGCTGCTGCTGCTGCTCCTGTGCTGGTTGTATTGGAAATGGTGGGAATGGTGGAGCATTAGGTCCCGGCGGAGCATTAGGTCCTGGTGGACCTGGCCAAAACCTATGGCCTGGCCAAAACCGGTTACCTGGCCCAAACGGTGGACGTCGATGACGACCGTCTAGAAATTCGTATAAGTTGGTATTGACGCGGACGCAGTACATGTAATACAGCGCAATGAGGACCAGTCCCAGCGCAAGAAATAGCGACTTGGCTGTCAGCGGAATCCCGAGAAAACACGAGCGGTTGTGATGATGGTGGTGGTGGTGGTTGTGATGTCGCATGCGGGACCTTCGTGCACGGTAGCCGCAGAAAAGAGTGGAAAGACAAGTCGAGGTGACTGAGGAGACGGAGGAAGAAGAAGATGAAGAAGATGAAGAAGATGATGACGATGACGATGACGATGACGATGACGATGACGATGACGATGACGATGACGATGACGATGAAGAGCTGGTTGTGCTGATGGAACTGCGGGTCGTAGTAGTTGTCAGAGTACGAACAGGTGCTAAAACTATAACTCCAGGAGTAGTGGTGTAATCCGGAGCACGAGGTTCTTGGGAGTTCAAATGAATATGCTGGTGGTGGTGGTGGTGATAGTAGTGATGGTCGTATTGATGCTGGTGATGTGCAAGTCTAAGAGAGTAGGGGAGCAAACCCGGGCCAAAGTCTTCATCAGGTTGGGGCATGGATGTTATGTATGTAACTTTAGCCAAAGGTTGATTGATGAATATACAAACAGAGGTTTAAAAAATGGAATGCAAAAGATATATAGATATAGATAAAGGTTTTTTTTTTTTTTTAATATATATATATGAGACCAAATAGAAAAAATAAAAAATAAAAGCCCAAGAATGGCAGGAAAAAGAAGAAGAAGAAAGTCCTTGTGGGAAGCACCAAAAAAAAAAAAAAAAAAAAAAAAAAAAAAAAAAAAAAAAAAAAGAAAAAGAGAAGGGCGCCAAATGTGAAAGTCTTTATATATATATTTTTGTATTTGTATTTGTATTTGTATTTGTATTTGCAGTTGTATTTGTATTTGTAGTTGTATATATTTGTAGTAGTAAATATTATTATTATTATTATTTCCACACACACAATTGGAAATTTTAACCTGCAAAAATCTTTGGCCGATAAACCAAAAAAAAAAAAAAAAATTAATAAAGACATCAGACTTAAACCTTAAAATAAAAAACTTAACATACATATATATATATATATATTCAAACCTACATATACTTTAATAATCAAACCGGGTCGTGCGACGATGCCATGAAAACAACCGACGCAACTTGTCCCGACGACGACGACCCGGACGCCTCCAATCTTCATACTTTTCCTTCTTCTTCTTCTTTTTAATAACTTCTTCCATATCAGATACTCCCCCCAACCTTTCATATTGCTCCCAAATCGCATTGTACATCCCAGGAGCAACTCCATACTCTTCCTCATACTCCTTTGCAGCCCGGCGCTCTTCAATCTCCTTTACCATGGGGTAATCCTCCCAGTAAAGCTCTAGACTAAGCTCCTTAATCCGAACGTCTTGGCAATTGGCCAAATCAGGATACCGCGTCAATCCTTGACCCAAAATTCCTACAGTGGGCATCGTCACATAAGTGGTCATCCGACGTCTATTTAATCCATTCAATGCACACCAATCCTTATGCTCCTTTTTTTCTCTTCTCTCAAGTTCATTAACAATAACATTGGCATGCCCTACAACCATTGGATTCAAACTCCACTTCTTAGCCTCGGACTGTTGCATTTTAATCTTCACTTGTTGCTTCTGCTCTCGCTCTCGCTCTTGATCTTCATATTCATACTTTTCCTCAAGCTCTTTGGCAACAACACTCACAAAAAACCATTGACTTGCAATATTGCCCTTTGTTTGGTAAAAAAGTCGCTTGGTGTTATCGCGCTTCCACCGCTTGGGCATCGATCTTTCCTTCATGTCTTCAATAACTGTAACTGCAACCTCTTCAATCACAACCCGCCAATTTGAAGGTAACGTAAAACTTTGAGCAAAAACAAATTTCCCAGCCTTGGTCAAGGCCTTCATAAATGGATGCTCAACTCCAAACTCCTCCCCAAATATAAAGTGTTGTTGCATGATGGGCGTCATCAACGTGCGGCTCAACAATAATTCCAAGTTAAACCCGGGGAAAATCCTCAAAGGAATTAACTCTTCTTCATTCATCCCACGAGAAAACTCATCAGTATCTAATACTGTCTCACCATTCATCTCGCCATTTTCAGAAATGGACCCCACTTCAGATGATGGTACCGATGATGGCTCGCTACTAATGTAATGCGTGCTACCTCCAGAATCCATTTGAGACCTTCCAGAATCAGTATCACTCCGCGTATCCGAGTCTGATGATGAAGAATGATCATGTCCATTTCCTTCTTCAGAACTTGAATTACTAGATGAATCATTTTCATCAGATTCACTGCTATAAGATGAGCTGCTCCACATATCAGTTCTAAAAGTGCTAATTGTCCACAAGCTTTCAACCTCTTCTTCTTCACCATCCGCTTGCCCAGACTCACTAAGTGACATATAATTGTCATTATTATCATCAGTATCAGAATTTTCCAATCGTTCAAACTTGTCGTCAAAGTTTTCTGCCTCGCTAGCAACAGGCAGGGGTTCAACGTCAGAATTTTCATCAAGATCGTTATTAGAATCGCCCTCAAAATTGTCCTCAGAGTCGTCATCAACACCCTCCGATAAAAAGTTGCGTCGGGCTTTTACTATGTTGTTTATGGGATTTGGCTCATCTTCAGAGTCATCTAATGACACAAACTTTTCATCACAATTTTCCTCAGACTCACGGAAAGGTACAGGCTCATTGTCAGAGTCATCTTCAGAAAAAATTCGCTCAAAACATTTTACCAAATTACTAATCAATATTGGTATACTATCATCATTTTCATCACTGTCCTGCTCTTCTTCTTTTTCTTTCATTTCCACCTTATTATTTTTTTCTTTTTTTTCCACCTTATTATTTTTTTCTTTTTTTTCCTCCTGTTTATTTTCTTCTCTTTTTTCCTCCTGTTTATTTTCAACGTTCTCCATAGACACAGGAGGATACTGCTGAGATACAAATTCACCAGGAGCAAACCCAATATCTGAAATACTCTCGGCATTATGCCACGCCTCTTGGAATGGGCATCGGAGCTCACTGCGCTCACTCAAAAACTGTTCTAAAGTGTAGCCTTCGGGCAAAGGGTTTCCCAGCTCATCTTCGCGCAATGGTCGTCCGCGGCGTTCATCTGAGCGGCGAGTGAATCCAGAATGGATTCTAACTTCGGTTTTCCTAGGCTCAGGAGAAGGAGCTGGAGCTGGTGGAGGCTCATTATGAACTACCAATGATGGCTGGTCCAAACGTGGGAGAGGCATCAAAATACCATTATTGTTATTGTTATACCCCAAGGGAGACAAAGAATTATGAAGATGAGCCATCAACTGAGACTGACGTAGAGGCGAATTGACATTGCTATTATTTTCAAAAGAAGAAGTGAAGGGGAAAGGCTCGTGTGGTCGAGTCATGGCATGGTGTCTGCGGAATGGTGAGGCTGGTGCTTGGAAAGAAGTAATTGATTTGGGTAAAGCCTCATGTGGGCGGGTTCCAAACCGGTACTGACGTTGGGTAGGAGTTTTAAGAGAAGCGTCACGGCGAATAAGAGGAGGTCGACCAAACATAAAGTCCATTTCGGAACTTTGAGGGGCAACATTTTTCCAAGACTCAGGAATGCCACCGTTTGCAGAGGAATCTGAAGGTGAGGAAAAGGAAGAAGAAGAGGAAGAAAGAGAAGGAGGAGTATGTGGTGTGGAGGGAGAAAGAGAGGAATTGTTTTGTGGATTTTGGGGTGAAGAAATCGCAGTTCCCCAGTTGTCACTGTCATTGTTTACTCCAGTGTTTTCAACATGCTCAAAACTAGGAAACTTTTCTTCAAACTCTTGTTCTAAAGATGAGATTACAGAGTTGTTACTGTTGTGAGTTTCACTATCTTGGGACATGCCGGTATCAAAATTAGTGGGAGAGGTCATAGTTGATTAATTGACAAAAAAAAAAATTGATTGATAAAAATCGATATATTAATATTTGTTTTGTAGATCATGAAAAAAAAAAAAAATTTCAATTTTTTGACTAGAAAATACTTCATTTTTATACTCAACATTTTAATTACTTCTTCAAAATATCCTGAATCTATAAATTTTTTTTCTTGTTAAATGCTTCTAAAAATTAAGCATAAAATTTCTTTTCAATGCTGTTTTATTTTTCTAAAAATACATATTTAACTATACATACAAGTATTTTGTTGAAATACCTTTTTTTTTATTTTTTTTTACTAACCTTTGCATTATTTCAAGGTTTGAATACAATTTCCTTATCATGCTTTCTACCTCGACTTGATTCGTTTCCCAATTCTGCTCTCCCATCCTACGGCTCGCTCAAACCCATTTGTTCCAGAGACATAATCATCAAAAGCCTTGGTGACACGTTTTGCAGATGTCTCTACAAACGGGCCCCGCTGAACAATGGGCTGTGTAAGAGGTTCGCCTGCAATTATGGCCACCCGTGCTTGAGTACCCGCATTATCTTTTACGCACACATTAACCCGGTCACCGTCTGTGTTTAAGAAAACGGTATGGTGTGCTTTGACTTTTCTGTTAAGCACTGTCACTTCACCTTCCAGCACGTATACAAATGCATTAAACTTTTCCGGAAGAGTTTGGTCTACCATACCACCAGGAGCTATTGTACAATCCAGAAACCAGACAGGAGTGTATGCCAAATTTTTAATTGAATCAACACCATAAGACTCACCGGAAATCACTTTAATTGTAACTTTATCGTCAGGCTTGACAATAGGGATTTCAACAGCTCGTAGATCGCGGTACCGCGGCTTGCACATTTTGAGCTTTTGTGGTAAGTCAACCCATAACTGGAGGCCTTCCACATGCTTAATGTTCCCGTCTACCGCCTTGTCTATTCGCGGCATTTCTGCATGCACAATACCTTTTCCAGCTGTCATAAACTGAAGGTCTCCTGGACCAAGGGTTCCAGAAGAACCAGTGAAATCTTCATGGTCCACGTGGCCCTTGATCATGTAGGTGATAGTTTCCTGGCCTCGGTGAGGATGGTCTGGGAACCCAGCATCTGGAGAGACCTTAAAATGATCAAGCATGAGAAAGGGTGTAAAGTTTGAAATGGTGGATGAACCTCCAATGGATCTGCGGACCCGAGCACCGACACCTTCTGATTGTTCACGTGCCGGGACCACCTTAAAGATTGACCTTGGGGTATCTTTTGTAGACCCAAACTCGATTTGAGCAGTGTCATCAGTTTTAACGGCTTGGTTCAGACGTTTGGTATTCATTTTATTAACCATTGTTTTAATTGATGGCATTATCTTTATTTTATTTATTTATTTTTTTTTTTTTATATATTTACTTGATTGATTTCAAAGTTCTTCCAAGTTCTTTTTATATTATTGCTGAGAACCACTCTTTATGCTCAATCTGGGTTTGCGCTACAAATTGCGATTACAAATAGCCATGAGTAAGGCTTTAGTAACCAGCCTTACAGTTGTAATTTCCTGTATTTAGCAACATTATCAACCAGTGACTAATCACCCGTTATTACTAACAGACAACAAATTAAATCTGGGGAGGAGAACGCACCGCCAGTCTCCGGGGACCAAAAGGCTGTTGCTGCGCTTTACAAAGATAACTGGTAATCCAGGTAATCCTGGTAATCAAGGATCTCGAGAGGGGTAGACCAAAGACGTGGAAATTAGTAAATAGAAACTAATCTGAGTTTTATTGAAAAAAAAAGGGAAACCAAAAAAGTATATAAACAAGTCAACTTTCTTAAGTTTTTAATTTTTTTTTCCTTCTTCTTTCCTTCTTGTTTAACTTCAACATTATATCTTCAATACTATATATCACTTCCAGAGCAATCTTTAAAAAAAAAAAAAGAAACCCTTTCATTAAAATCCAACCAATAAAACAACTTTTATACTAATGTCTTTTATTCCTCGATCAATTTTAAAATCGATCCCAGCCAGAGAACAAGCTGAGGGTGTTGGAGCCCGAGTGCGCAGATCAATTGGTACTGCAGCCATGAGAAATTTTACCCCATTTCTTATGCTTGATCATTTTAAGGTCTCTCCAGATGCTGGGTTCCCAGACCATCCTCACCGAGGCCAGGAAACTATCACCTACATGATCAAGGGCCACGTGGACCATGAAGATTTCACTGGTTCTTCTGGAACCCTTGGTCCAGGAGACCTTCAGTTTATGACAGCTGGAAAAGGTATTGTACATGCAGAAATGCCACGAATTGATAAAGACCAAGATGGTAATATTCAAATGGTTGAGGGACTTCAGCTTTGGGTCGATTTGCCCAAAGAACTCAAGGCATGCTCTCCACGCTACCGTGACTTACGAGCTGCCGAGATTCCTGTGGTTAAGCCCAGCGACAAGGCCACAATCAAGGTGATTTCTGGCGAGTCTTACGGCGTTGATTCGGTCAAGGATCTTGCATATACCCCGGTTTGGTATTTGGACAATTACGTGTCACCTGGTGGAAAGGTTGAGCAACCTTTGCCCAAGGGATTCAATGCGTTTATGTATGTTTTGGAGGGCGAGGTGATGGTCAATAATGAGAAGATTCCACAATTTACCAATGTGTTTTTTAATGATGATGGCGATGGTGTCGAAGTGCGTGTTCCTGAGACTTTTGATAAACCCGCACAGTTTGCTATAATTGCAGGGCAGAAACTGGATCAACCGATTGTCCAGCATGGCCCCTTTGTAGAGACTTCGCGCGACAAGATTATGACTGCGTTCATGGACTACCAGAATGGATCCAATGGCTTTGAACGTGCAGTTGGCTGGGAAAGCGAAATTGGCAAGCGCATGCTGCGATGAGAATCTACAATATGATGTCTTTTATTTTATGAATTTTTAATGACCTATATATATATATATATAACTCGAATGAATTTTAATTGAACTTTTTACATTGAACTGTTTTTTTTTTTATTTACTAATCATTATAATGGAGGTTTCAATAAGAACGGCCTGTTGACATTTGTAAAAAGCACAGCCATTTAGGTGCTTTAATAAATTAATCATCACTCACTTTATAAACTGTAAAACTAATCCTATTACTCTCTGGAATTTTACTCCAGTAATTCTAAAAAAAAAAAAATGTTTAAAATCTCTATGGCGATGTTAAAGGGTCCCTTGCGAGACATAATTAATTGTAAAGCAACAAGCAAACAAACAAGCGTTATTGTCCAAATAATACCATTTAAACACGCTTTATCCACGTGACATAAACATTTCCGGATCTAGAGTACCGGTACTCGAGCCATGTACCGCGGAGGATGCCGCCACTTGGTCAACGTGAATGTTTGTCTGATGATGATGATGATCAGACAGTATTTTTATTTCCTTAAAGAAGAACTTGTTTCCACAATCTTCTCAAAACTTTTTTTTTTCTTCTTCTTCTTCTTCTTCTTCATCATCATCATCTTCTTTTTGTCGTTATTCTATCACAATCATCGAGACCTTTCCCCAACCCCAGTACCGCCGCTTGCGCTTGATATACAACACCAAAGGTATCATGAGATAGCATAAAATTATTGTGTAAAGCATTTCGCATGAGCGCGACCGCCAGTCGAGATATCCAGCAGAGAGAAGGACAGCCACGCAAAGGAAAAACATGGTAAGGTACTCGAGAATCTGCTGATACCCGAATTCCATAGCATCTAGGACCAGACCTATTTTGGGGTGTTGGTCCATAAACTCTTCGTACTCCTCGTTGGCTAAAGAAAACAAATAAAGAGTGGTTAGTTAAAAAAAAAAAAAAAAAAAAAAAAAAGAAAAAGGAAATAAGAAAAAAAATTAAGAATTAAGAATTAAGAATGAAGAATTTAGACTTAAAAATAAAGATTAGTCCCTTAAAGCAAAGCAAAGCAAAGAAAGGAAAAGGATAGCCTCGCACTTACCCGCTTCGTATATGTCTTGGTTTTCATCTGGAATTCCGTAGCGTATTACAGCTTGGGCCACCTCCTGGTCGAGATCCATAGCCACTCGCAGTTTCTTTTGTCGCAGCACCTGCATCTGTACCAAATGGTGAATAGGATCGTTTGCTTCTTCCATGGGTACGTTTGGGACCTTAATTGTTTTGATTACTTTGTAGTTGATATTACAGATTGTTTTTATGCTAGAGTTTGTCTTGATACGTAGCTGCAAATATTGGTGCTTAGTTTCTGCATGGGCATCATGTTGCCCACATATCCTGCTATTAATGTCTTTGTCGAGAATTATTCCAAACTTGGCAGCTCCTCGGGTGTTTGGGTCGAGTAAGACCACAGGCATCTGATACCGGATCATGTTTGTGGATGTGGAAGCGGATGTGTGTGTGTTAGTAGTGTTTGGTGGTGGCGTAACGGATGTTGGTTTTGAGTCTATAACTAAAAAAAAAATTAAAAAAATAAATAAATAAAAAAATAAATATTACAGCAAACAGAAAAAAAAAAATAAATATTAAAAACATAAACAAACAAAATAACCACCATAAAATATTACGTAACAATTACTTACATCATTACTAAGCAACGATAGAACAACCCAGACCTTCTTAAAGATCAAAAACCAAAAACCAAAAACCAAAAAAAAAAAAACGAAACCAAAGTCAAAAGCCAAGCAGTGCAGAGCGTATCGATATTGGCTGATAGAGAGCGTTATGGGTGGGGTCTTCTCCGCGATTAACTGATACGTTGTAAGTTTGTAAGCTTACCAAAATAACGCCTGATCTTGGCTTTCCGGCAATCTGGCAAGTACTAAATCTTGTAGCAAAAAAAAAAAAAAAAAAAAAAAAAGAGGAAAAAGTCTGTCAACGTATTCAAGCAAAAACATACTTGAAAAAAATGAAAAGTGAAAAATTAAAAATGAAAAATTAAAAATGAAAAAAAAAAAAAAAATTATTTTTTATTTTTTTGATCTTTGATCTTTGAGTTTTTATTTTTATTTTTATTTTTATTTTATTTTATTTTATTTTATTTTACTTTAAATTCTATTCCGTCCTCCCCGGGTTTTGGAGAAGCTTCTATTTTTCATATGACGTTCCATTTTAATTTAATTTAATTTAATTTATTTTAATTTATTTTAATTTATTTTATTCTCTCCACCTTTTTGTTGTTTATTTTTCAAATACCTTTTTTTTTTTTTGACGTTTCTATTTTCCTAAATCATCTTAAAGCAAAATTTTTTTTTTTTATTTGCTGTCATATTTATTTATTTATTTATTTTTTTTTTCTTTTGCCTTTCTTCCAAGTAAATTTGCAAACTTTCTTTCTTTCATTTTTTCTTTTCTTTCCATCTGTTTTTTTTTTTTTTTTTTTTTTTCTGTAGACCAAAAAAAAAACCACAAAGTGCGGCTTAGCCTCGGAATTCTTTACTTAAAATAGAAACTTCTTTCAGCCGTATGGGCGCTTCAAACCGTTGAAAATTTTTTATCGCGCACGTGCAGAAATCTAATCGCAAGCCACGTGACTTTGGTCTATAGGCTTGGCTTTTAGCAACAGGAAATGTCTTTCCAAACGCGGTGTTTTGAGAGGGAGGGGGAATGTCGGCGGCTAAGATGGAATGAAAAAAAAAGAATAAAAAAAAAGTTCTGTAGAAGTTTTTTTTTTTTTTCAAAAAGAAAAAAATGTAAAAAAAAAAAAAACTTTCATTTAGTCTTTTTTTTCTTTGCTGTGATGTTTTCTTGGCATATGACGAATTTCCAGTGGGGAAATTTCGTGCTATAACCTTCATGACCACACATTTTGAAAAAAAAAAAATATATATATATATATATATAAAGAGATCCTTTATGCTCTCAAATATTTCAATTTTTTTTTCTATTCATTATTCCAATCATCTTACACTCTTACAATCTACAACTTTAAAAGTTCTTCTTTTATAATAAATTTAACACTTACAAAAAAACACACAAACAAACTACAATTCAAAATGGTCGGCATTGGACGTGGCGGTTTCGCAAACAGAGTTCTCTCTCCCAAGATTCAAGCCAATGACATCCCTGATTCTCCTGAACTCGAGGCTTCTCTTCGTGTTCCTTCTTCTCCTGCCCCTGTTCTTTACTTCACATCTCCAGAACAGACAGTCCGCAGTGGCCGCGGTGGCTACGGTAACCGTATCCCTGTTTCCAAAACTCAAGCTGCTACTCCCTTAGAATACCTTGCTGAGGTCCAGAATGCAGCTTCAGAACCCAAGACATATTCCATTGGCCGTGGTGGTGCTGGAAATACCATCTTTAAGAAGAAAGATAATGTCAAACCTGTTCAGTCAGAAAAGTCTTTTCAATAAGATCCTTTAAAGACTTGTAAAGAAAGATTTTTTTTTAATGATTTTAATGACGGTTATGACTTTATGGATATGCTTTTTTTTATATAATAATATGCTTATTTTTATTTTTATTTTTATTTTTATTTTTATTTTTATTTAGAATTTTAATTTAAAAAAATATAGAAAACTACTAGAGTAAAAAACACCAAACACCAAACAAACAAACAAACAATTTAATATACACAAAAACTTTTTTTTAAAAAAAAAAACAAATCTAACAAACTTTTTTTTATTGGTTGATACCATCTCTTGCCTCGAGAAACTCGTAGTACATCTTTTTCGTCTTCAAGCGACACGTTTTCCCCTTGGCAATCATCAAAACAGTCAATAGGAAAAAAAACAAGTTGAGTGAGCCCAGAATCAAATACGTCTTGAAGGTACCATACCTGTCAATAATGTGTTGCGAGAAAAAGGCAAAAGTACCAGCAATTATATTGCTAATGAACGCCGCGCCAACCATGTTCTCGAGAACCATGTCAGGGTAGGCATCCATAAGATATGACAGGCTCAAGTCTCCAGCACATCCCCATCCAATCCCCACAAACAAAAGCCCAAGATATGACACAAACCAGTGCCATTTAAAATGAGTCCCGCAACCAAACAAAAACAAGCCAAGAGGAGAAATCAAAGCAGTTGGAATCAACATGTACAACCGGGTCTCGGGCTCAAACACAACTCGCCGTCCATTCTGGCTACATGGAAACATATCTGGAATATCCTTCATCAAAGACTCCAGACTGGGATTGTAATACGGAATGTCCATCGTTTCATCATGGTGTGTACGGATTTGAAAGAAAAACGAGCGCTTTGGCTTAGCAATGGATCTCGCTTCACGGCTACCAATCATGTAAAGCATATTTCTCTTGGACTCCTCAGCAAGAGCACGCAAACGTTCCCGCTCGGCTCGTCTCGTATTGAAAGCAACCACATACTTAATCAACTTGTTTGCAAAATACCCGCCGTAAAAACACCCAATAATTGAACCAATGAACCAGCTAATGCCCATGAGTGCAACATCAACACTGGTATAACTATAGGGCTTGACTCGCCAGTCTTCAGCCATGGTGGTCAAATAAAACACCAGCCATGCATTTTGCGAACCCCACTGGATGCCTGCATAAATAACCGGTGCAAATAAAAATACTCTCATTCCAATCCACAGTCGGTGCCGGTATTGCTTGGCTCCATAACATTGCATGTTTGTAGCAGGCGTAATTAATGCAACCCGCTTGTGGTAGGGAAGTAAAGGCTCATCGGCCCCAGTCATACTAGCGCGCGTAATAACCCTTGAAAGTTGAGACGTCACATTGCAAGAGGTGCAGTCATTGTTTTGAGCAATTGTAGGAGGATTGTAAGACTCTGCACAAAAACCTTCTTCCAAATCACGGGGGGACACTTCAGCAGACGATGCCCAAACAACTCCATCTACCAGAATTGTATGAGCAAGCTCATCATGAAGAGTACCATCATCGTCATTATGATCTTCCTTGTGTCTGTGGTGAATCAATTCTTTATCTAATGCATCATCTTGCTCATTTTTAGCCACCTGTTGCTGTGCCTTTTTTAGGTATTTTTTCCTATCAAAATATGTTTCTTCTAGTCCAAAAATCATAACCACAAGCAACAGGCCAGAGCAAATCACAGCCCACCAACCAATCCAGCGCCAACCTGAAACCATACTAAGTAGTTTGTTGGCATGTACAGCACCATTTTTAATTTGTTCTTCTTCAGATCCAGCCAAAATATAGCATGAAACAAAGGGTCCCATAAAAGTTCCCAGTGCAGATGACAAGACATAAACACCAACTGCAAAACTTCGTTCATGCATGAAAAACAAATCAGAGATGGATTGCTGAACTTGAGCTTCAGCAGCTGCTGCCGAGGCTCCAATTAACAACTGTGACATAATAACGCTACCAATAGACCCAGCCTTTGAAAAAGCAATCGAGCCAGTGATGCACATGAGAAGACATATAATGTACATGATTTTGCGGCCGTAGAGGTATGATGAGGGAGACATGAGGTAACATGAAAAGGCAATAGAAAAAAATAAAACACCACCAGCCATATTCATGGCTTCATCAAGGTACTCGCCAAGTTCTTTGTGCATTACTTCCTGTGCACTATAGGTAGTATTAGAAACAGCAGCAGCTAATGCAGTAAACACAACAATAATTCCAAGGTTCCAAGCCTTGCGAACTTTGGACCAATTAAGAGGGTCATTGGGGGAGTCCGAAGGTTGTGGTACCAAAATAACGTTGCCAATTTTTTTGACCACGGAGTCAGGGCAATCTGGTAAATGGGAATCTGATTCATCTGTCATGAGGTATTGTGTTCCGGGAAATTCTTCATAATCTAGGGCAGTACCATCGAAGCAGTAGTCCCAAGCACGATTAATCAGGCCTTTGATTTTTCCCAACCATTTTGAGGTTTTCACTTGCTGGTCATCATCATCATCGTCATTATTATCATCATGTAACAGTTCCGGATCTTGACTAGCTAGAGAAGTCAAAGAAAAAGACGCGATTGTTACTTTGTGGTTTGGGGTTTCCATATGAACAAAAGAGATGTGAAATCAATCAGATAAAAAAAGGAAATACCAAAGAAGTTTGAATCAAATAACCATAACAATATTAAAAGGACACAAGGATAATAAGTATTAAAGAAAATAAGTAAATAAATAAATAAACAAACAAACAAATAAATAAATAAAGAAAGAAAGAAAGAAAGAAAGAAAGAAAGAAAGAAAGAAAGAAGAAAACAAAAATGGTGGGGGGAAGTTGGACTTTATATTTAAATTCATTTCGCTGGGATTATATTAATTAGTTTGTGAATCAATAATGATTTTAATATTCTTATATTCATGTGGGTATGTTTTACAAGACTGTAAATACCAACGGCTTATAGAATGAAGAGAGAGAGAAATAAAGCGTACTATGTGTATCTATGAGACACTTTCTATGAAAGTATGGTCCCGATAGCTCAGCAGGTAAGTAGCCAGATATGTCAAAGTGATGCCAAAAAAAGAAGAATTTAATGCTTCCAAAAGAATTTCAATGAAAAAGAGAGAAAAAAATATTTTAGCATGTTATCTGATTCCGAGAGATTGTTATCAAAAACATAGTATTGTTTGACTTAAGACAAATGAAATTAAAAAAAAAAAAAGAATCAACTCGGAGTCCTATAATTCGTCCGTTCCTTCATGAAATTTTATAATTTTTTTTTTTTCAAAATAAAAAAAAAATGGATCATATACGACTATATTCATTTATGTAAATTTACCAATAACTTCATATTCAGGCTACACATTTGGACAGACTTTTTTTTCTACCTATTTAGAATCCCAATCTAGGCTTTGGGAACAACAAATGCTGCAACCCTAACCCGCACACGTGATACCATTTAGTCTTTATTTTATTTAATCAGTTGCTGCTGCCAAACTTAAAAAAAATTAAAACAAAAAATAAAAAAAAAGTGTGGCGTCTTCTTTTGTTTTTTGTTTTTTGTTTTTTGTTTTTTTATTTTTTGTCTTTTTTTTTTTTTTTTTGAATAAAAATCTCGTTTTTATTTTGGTCTTGACTTCTCCACATAAAAACAATGTCGACACTTTCTCAGTATGTTCATGCTATTATACACCTCTCTCTATTTTTTTTCTTTCTTTCTTTTCTATATAGACCTTTACTAACTTTATTCTAGGTTTCAACAGTAAGTACCCATATAGGGAAAACCCTTTGTAGGCTCTTCCGTACCTCACCAACCCCTCGCGCAACATCTGACTCTTATAGACTTGAAAAGCTTGGAGAAGGAACTTATGCAACCGTTTACAAGGGCCGCAACCGGGCAACAGGCCAGCTGGTGGCTTTGAAGGAAATTACACTGGATAGTGAGGAGGGTACTCCGTCGACTGCGATTCGTGAGATTTCGCTGATGAAGGAGCTGCGGCACGCCAACATTTTGCGATTATACGACGTGATCCACACAGACAATAAACTTAATCTAGTGTTTGAGTACATGGACCGCGACCTTAAGAAATATATGGACACGTATGGAGTCAAAGGTGCCTTGGATCCCAAGATTATAAAGTCATTTATGTTCCAGCTTCTAAAAGGTGTTTATTTCTGTCACGAAAACCGCGTTTTACATCGTGACCTAAAGCCCCAAAACCTGCTCATCAATGCACGCGGACAACTCAAACTTGCGGATTTCGGTCTGGCTCGTGCATTTGGTATCCCCGTCAACACCTTTTCCAACGAGGTTGTGACTTTGTGGTATCGTGCGCCGGACGTGTTGCTTGGGTCACGCACCTATTCGACTTCTATTGACATTTGGTCTGCAGGCTGCATTTTGGCCGAAATGTTTACCGGCCGTCCGCTTTTTGCTGGTAACTCTAACGAGGACCAACTGCAGCGTATTTTTAAGATTATGGGTACTCCTAATGAACACACTTGGCCCAATATCTCAGCACTCCCTAACTACTCGGCCAGTTATCCTCAGTACCCCCCTCAAGACTTGCGTTCTATCATTCCACAAATTGATCCTGTCGGTCTTGATCTGCTACAACACTTGCTCCAGCTCATGCCCGAGCGCCGCATCTCTGCACAGCAAGCCTTGCAACACCCGTGGTTTGCTGAGTATAATACTGTTCCTGCTGCTGCTGCCGCATCTGCTGCATCTGCTGTTGCAGAATATGGCCAACAACAGCAACATCACCAACAACAACAACAGCCGATTCAATATTAGAAGGTGAATTTGTGTAAATGTTAACAACAATGGGAGGAAGTTATTTTTTTATAGGGATGAAAACACTGTAAAAGAAGTAGCTCAAAAAATGGGCTTAGGGATACTCATATATAATGATGACAATAATTTTAATAGTAATAACGATAATGATAACGATGATATGGAACCCGACTGCGATTGCGATTGCGGTTGCGATTACTCCTTTTTTGTTTAGAAGCTCCGGGATACTTGCTGAAGCGTCCACACAGCTGTTAATTTTTGGCCACACCGCTCTTTAATTAGTCATTGATTAGTCATTTCTGCGGCTCAACATGTGCATGGCTGCTTTTTTTTTTTTTTTTTTTTTTTTTTGAGGATAAATAAGGAAATTTTTGGCTTATTGGACTTATAAATAATAAAGCTTATCGTTCCAAGCCTCGTTGGCGGGCTCCGGACACCATCGGTGCCTCAGCGCTGCGCCTTTGCCAAGGTGGTAAGGGAAACCTTTAAACTGGTAAGCGGCAAAGACCAAAAAAAAAAAAAAAGATGAGAGGGAATTTTTCCGACTAAAGGGGAGTAGAAACAAGGAGTATATTCATATAAAAAGCTCGGAATATCTCTTTGCTTTTCTCCTATAACAAGTAACCATTTTCTAATGAGTTTTGCTCAACTCCGAGAATATTTGGGACAGACGGTTGAAACTGTCAAGCGCTTCTGCACTGAAATCAATTTTATTAAAATTCATTGTGAGTACTAAAAGATTATTACTTGGTCTTTTGAGGTCACCTTTTTAATAATAATATCCAAGATGCATCCTTTCTTGCGCTGGCATTTGTGGCCTCCATACTCATCTACCCTAACCAAAACTTGCCATACATCGATGCACTCTACCTCGGAATGTCAATGTGCACTCAGGGAGGACTTAATCCAGTGGATCTCAACGCTCTCAATTCCTGGCAACAAATTGTTGTGTACATTTTGCCTATGCTGACAACTCCTATATTTGTAAACACAGTCGTGGTCTTTGTGCGGCTGCACTACTTCCGTGTCGAGTTCCGCAAACACGACAATGTTGACATTGCAAAGCTCTCGAGCATGCAGTCAAAGTACCGACGAACTCTTTCAAGGTCATTTATGGAGGAATCTAAAAGTAATCAAAATGAAGAGGAGGAAGAAAAAAAGGAAAAAGGAAAAGAAAAAGAAAAAGAAAAAGAAAAAGAAAAAAATGAAGACAGAACACAGGATTTTGAAAAAACTGGAGGAATAGTTATCTCTGAAAAATTCATCCCATTGACCCGGCAAAGAGAAAGCTCACTAGGCAGTATTCATTTTAGCTTACCTCCGCCTCGACGATGTAGAGATCCCGGTGATATTGCGCGGTCGATTCGGTTGATGCAACACACCGACCAAATGCGTGCTGTAGATGACGGACCCGCGCTTGTAATTGGTCCACCACAGGGTGATTTACCAGATACCCCGGTGGCCGTACGAGCATCGACTTTTAATACCCGTAGCGATGACCCATTTGATGTGAAGCACCGCAAACTCGAGCGCTCAAAAACAATTGGTGCGTTGTTGACTCGTCGCAGTAGTCGCACTCACGACACACCATTGCATCCAGCCATGAGCACAGGTTATTTATCATACAAACCACACATTCAAAGCAACTCTGTATTTGTTGATCTTACAGCCGAGCAACAAGTCGAGTTGAGCGGAGTGGAGTACCGGGCACTGTTACTGCTTTCTCGAATTTTGGTTGCATACTATGTTGGCTGGCATATTTTAGCTGTGGTTTTTTTTACACCCTGGGGGGTGCGCAAAGACCCAGCTCAAATGTTTCGCGAATTGGGATTTGCACCAGCTTGGTGGGGAATTTTTACAGCTGCATCTTCATTCAACAACTTGGGGTTGACCTTGACACCAACTTCAATGTCAAGTTTTGCCAGTTCTGTTTATATGTTACTGGTGTGCCCGTTTTTCATGATTATTGGAAATACTGGGTTTCCTATTTTTTTGCGGTTCATCATCTGGATACTTTTTAAACTCACAGATTCATATGGAAGAATGCACGAGAGTCTTGGGTTTTTACTAGATCATCCACGCCGCTGCTTTACCCACTTGTTCCCTGCTGGACCCACCTGGTGGCTTTTTGGTGTTATTATGGCTCTCAACATTATTGATACATTCATCTTCTTAGCACTTGACTTTCATGCAAAAGTGGTGGCTGTAATTCCGGCTGGCTTGCGTGTTTTGACTGGTTTGTTTCAAGCGGTGGCTACACGGACGACCGGCTTTAGCATCATTGATATTGGAGCGCTACATCCAGCTGTGATTGTGAGTTATACCGTAATGATGTATATAAACATTTTCCCCGTGGCCATGTCGGTGCGACACACGAATGTGTACGAGGAACAAACACTTGGGATTTATGCAATTCCCAAGAAGCTTTCTGGAGTGACGACCCACATTATGCGACAGGTTTCGTATGACTTGTGGTTCATATTCATTGCGCTATTTATTTTGTGCATTAGCGAAGAGCAAAAGCTTTCAAGCGGGAAAATATCCATCTTCAATGTGTTGTTTGAGGTGACTAGTGCGTATGGAACAGTTGGATTGAGCACTGGATATGCTGGAACAAATACATCCTTATCTGGTCAGTTTTCAAAACTGGGAAAATTTATAATTATTGTTTTGCTTTACCGCGGCAGGCACCGCGCACTTCCATACTCTACTGACCGGGCTATCATAGTGCCTTCGGAAAAGTTACGAGAAAACGATCGAGCACAAGAAAATATGATGCATTTCAAAGAAGCATTACAAAGCGAGCAGGCCTTGCATTGATAAATATTAGCATTAAAAAGAACTTAAACTTTTATTATTTAATTTTGACCGTCTCTAATTTTGATAAAGTCCTTGTACATTTTACTGGTCATTTTGCGGCACCATTTGCCCTTGATAATCATGGGGAATGTTAAAAGAAAAAAGAAAAGATTTAAAGAGCCCAGGGCCAGATATGTTTTGTAGTTACCTTCATTATCGACCCACTTTTGGCAGAAAAATGTGAAAATGGCTGCAATTCCATTATTGACGAGCGAAACACCCACCATGCCTTCGAGAACCATTTGTGGGTATGCGTCCATAAGATATGACATGCTCAGGTCTCCTGCACAGCCCCAGCCAAAGCCTATGAAAAGTAGGCCCATGTATGAGACGGTCCAAGGCCAATGTCTGACCGTCCCAATTCCAAACAGAAACATGCCGAGGGGCGAGATGATGGCTGTTGGGACTAGCATCCAGAGGCGTGTTTCTGGTTCGAGAATGACACGACGGCGGCGGTTTTCCATAAAACGCTGGACGCGTTTGTTCCGAAAGCGGTCTAGGGCAGCACTTAGGATGCTCCCGGAGGAGCCCGTGCGGTCCTGGTGAAGGCCGCCCATTTCCTGGATACGGCGCTCCATTTTTTCTATTTTGGCAATGTTTTTGCGGCGCACGTAATTGACAAACTTGTCAGAAAGAATACCACCATAGGAACACCCGAGTAGAGCTCCAATGATGCAGGGTAGATTCATGAGACCAATTTGGCCGCTGGAATAGTTGTATGGTGGTTGGGACCACACGTCGGCCATGGTGTTGAGGTAAAAGGAAAGCCACGAGTTTTGGGCGCCCCATTGGATGCCTGCGTAGATAACGGGAGGGAATAGTAATACGCGAAGAGTCAAGAAAAGGCGGCGAATATATTGTTGGAACCCGAAACCAAGGAGGTTGGAAGCTGGGGTGATTGGAGCAATGCGAGTAAAGTACTTGTTTGGAGGTTCGTCTGCTCCCATCAAGCCAGTTCTGACTACTGGGGTTTGCGAGACAATTGAGTCCGAGGTATTTGAACGAGGAATATTTGAACCTTCTTCGAGAACTGCTGGCATTAAGTCTGAATCTTCGAGACTATTGCGGACACTTTTTGTAGTACATTTTGTGTTTGTTTTATCTTCTACTAAAGTCACATCACTGTTTCCTTCACTGGGGAAAAGTTTGGCGGCCCGATTGTAGTATTTTTTTCGATCAAAGTATGTTTCCTCGAGACACAGGGTCATGAGAAGGAAAAGAGCCAGTGCCACAGCCATTGCCCACCAGCCGATCCAGCGCCAGCCAGAAACGTACCTACGGAGAGCAATTGGAGATTTACCCAGCCGTTCCTGTTCTGCATCTGAGCCGTCCACAATGAAACCTGCAATTAGGGGGCCCAGATAAGTTCCGAGAGCGGTTGTTAGGACGTATAAACTAACAGCAAGACCCTGTTGATGGAGGAAAAAAATGTCAGTCACTGAGAGCTGAACTTGGGCTTCAGCAGCACCCATGGCAGCTCCGACTAGCAACTGGGACCAAAATGCATCCACGGAGCCGGAGAGTTTACCGAAAAGCACTGAACCTGCGATTCCAAGGGTTATACAAATGAGGTATGCCATACGTCGACCGTAGAGAAAAGCAGATGGGGATAAAAGATATGTCATAAGACCGATTCCAACAAACAAGATTCCATTTGCATAAGTCATAATATCGCCCATGTATTCTCCAATTTCGGCATTCATGAGCTCTTGCGCACCTGCAGTGATGTTTGAAATGGCAGCTGTGAAGCCGGTGAACATCATAATGATGGCCAAGTGCCAAGCTTTTCTAGCAAAAGACCAGTTGAGGGGGTCATTTGGGGAGTCTGAAGGTTGTGGTGAGAGTACCACATCTCCGCGACGTTTGAGGGCCATGTCAGAGCCATCTGGGAGAGTAGTGCATTCTGTTTCAGCAATGTAATATAGAGTTCCTGGGACTTCTTCATCATCATTTTCAACGTCGTCTTTTGAGGGGTTATTGATATTATCATTATCATTACTATTATTATTGGTACTACTAGCAAGACTACTTGAGGAGCTATTTGCAGAGTAGTAGTGTGTGTTTTGAGGCTCGATGTCGTCGTCAGAAGAGTAGATTGACTTTATGGAAGCACTTCCAGTCATGGTTGTAGCATGGTCACAGAGAAAGTGTGATAAGAAAGAGAAAGAGGGAAAATCAGGGGAGTCATTGTGATGATCATGATTAATGTTGGTATATATATTTTAAGAGTAGATAGAGTGTATGAATGAAATGAAACGGAGAAACGAAGAAAAAAAAAAGAGAGAGCTCATTTCAATAGAGGCAGTGTGAGATTCATGCATCGGTTTTCATCTATCTCACACAGACCAAGTTTAATTAAAAATAAAAATAAAAAATAAAAATTAAGTGAATATAAGTTGAATATATATAAACTATATAGTTTATGTTTTACTAGGCGATAAGTTTTGAAATTACAAACTTGGGGAAAAGGCAATGAGGGATGATTCTCCGTAAATCATGATCAAAAAGCGCCGCTCCCCAAAGAGGTTATAAAGCCTTTAAGCATTTGCTTTTTATTATTATTTTATTTTATTTTTAATTATTTTTAAAATGGCGGCTACGGGATCCCGTTGAAGAAAGAAAGTAAGTAATCTACTGAGTAGAATGAGAGAACATTGAACATCGTTTTGTAGTATATAGTAGTGGACAGAAGATGTATCTTGACCGTTGAGGATATTTGAGGGCTGAATAAAAAGGAAACTATATAATATATATATTGAAATAAATAAATAAATAAATAAATAAATAAAAAAAAAATTTTTTTTACTAAACGAAAATCCGGCCCGAGTCATTCGGGACACGTAACGGTACCTAGTGAGAGACCCGAAGAGACCGAAAAGGTGTTGTTATTATTATTATTATTATTATTATTATTATTATTATTATTATTATTATTATTATTATTATTATTATTATTATTATTATTATTATTATTATTATTATTATTATTATTATTATTATTATTATTATTATTATTATTATTATTATTATTATTATTATTATTATTATTATTATTATTATTATTATTATTATTATTATTATTATTATTATTATTATTATTATTATTATTATTATTATTATTATTATTATTATTATTATTATTATTATTATTGTTGTTGTTGTTGTTGTTGTTGACCAATCACAGTGCGATTAAGAAGGGCCAATTACTGGTTCGGACCGGCTGGTTGACTGACTGGTTGACTGACTGGTTGACTGACTGGTTGACTGGCTGGTCGACTGACTGGCTGGTTTGATGTGTTGTGTTGTGTGTGAGTTTTTGCGTGTGTGGTAGGTCGGTAGGGCTCGCGCGCGGCTCAATGAGTGCTGCGATTGGCCGAGGCTGGCTAGTGGATATATATATATATATATATATATATATATTTTTTTTTTTTGTTATGTGCACACACATACACACACACACATAAAATAAAAAAAAATAAAAAAAAATTAAATTAAATAAATTAAATAATAAAAAAAATAAAATAAAATAAAAAGTTCCTTTTAAAATACGTCCGCGGGGTGGTTTAAACGGTCGGAATTCCTTTTTTTTTTTTTTTTTTTAAGAAAACTCCGTTTAAATATATAATATATCTTCTTTAATAATTTACAATTCTATATTATTTCCCTAAAAATTCATTATAGAATATTATATTATATATACTAATACACTTTATATATATAGATATAGATATATATATGAACTCGTGGATTCCTTTGGTTTCTAAGAGACTTAGTATCCCCCTTATTCCTTTCCAACAAGCTTAACACGAAACATTAACCACCCCATTCTTCAAGTCTTTACCTTTCAACCTCTCCTTTAAAAAAACTCGTTCCAATACCATCAAAGTCCCATATGGCCACACGCGGCCGACTACGCATACGCTCCCGCCTCTCGCTTGCCTCTCGCCATGGCCGCCGCTGAAAAGCCTGGCTCCAGTTCGTCCAATCTCAATCCCGCTTCATCCAACTCCTCCAATTTCTCCTCCAACACCACCTCGTCCTCCAGTCCCAACCTCAATTCTCTCAATTCTTCCGGCTCTCCAGCTTTTTCATCTGCTGCTGCCACTACTGCTGCTGCTACTACTGCTGCTGCTGTCGCTACAGTGGTTTCATCTCCATCTCCAAAAGTAGATGTTAAAGATCATTCTTCTTCAACTTTTCCTGGAAATGATAATAATGACAGTGAACGTGAAAATGACAATGACAATGGCCATGACAGTGTTAAGAATAACTCAAATGAAAACGACGACAATGACAATGACGAAAGTGCTCGCAATGCTACACAAGTAAACACAAATGATAGTAGGAGCAGGAGCACAAGCACAAGTAAAAGCAGAAGTAGAAGCGCGAGCACAAGCACAAGCACAAGCAAAAGTAGAGGCAAACTTATAAGTAGAAGTAGAAGCAAAAGCAGAAGCAGAAGCAGAAGCCACAGTCCTTTAGAAGCAATTGCTCCTGGATCTACACGTATCACCGAGTATGAAGACATTGCAGCGGCAGCGGCAGCCGTGGCAGCTGTATTTGAAGCTCAGAACCTCAAAGACTCACAGCAGCAGCAACAACAACCACAGTCACAGTCACAGTCCCAATCACAAGAACCAACTATCCCTTCAATTGAGCATCCAGTGGAACCTCCAACAAATACAGTAAATGAACCATCGTCATCTACTTCTCTTTCTTCTTCTTCTTCTCTCCAGCACACTGCATCAAGTTCTAAGGAATACTTTCAGGCACTGTTGCAACCTCTACATCACGCGACTGCAGCTTTTGAAATTTTCCAAACACAAATGCGCAAGACTTTGGAACTGTGTGGCACTGAAGCCAGCATTGATGAAGAGCCTGTTCATGCCAATCTTCGTGTTGCTTCTGATGTCTTGAAAGCCTTTTCCGGGTTCATCACGGCGCGTGCGTTCCCGGAAACAAGTCATTCTCCTGGGCCTAGCTCCCAAATGCAGTCCTTAATAGTTGAAACTCCTCCACAAAATAACACCACTAACACAACCACCACCCACACCAACACCAACTCCAATACCAACTCCACCACTACTTCCAAACTTTCAAAAGATGGCAATGGGGCTTACCGCTGGACCTCAGTAGAGACACCAGGCAAGTGTCATTCAAAGTATCGGCAAGGTGAGTCTTCTATGCAACAGCAGCAACAGCAGCAACAGCAGCAACAGCAGCAACAGCAGCAACAGCAGCAACAGCAGCAACAACCGTTTCATGGATATTTTGCTCCTCTTCATCATTATTCTCCTCGTGAGGCTACAACAACTTCCGATGATACCACTCAAAGTAACCAGCCAACCACACCGGAGGAAACGCATTCCGGCTTACTTGCCGAGGAAGATACCACAAGACATACACAACCTGAAGTAACGGCAACTACTGTAGGTGCCACTACTTCAACTGCTGCTGGCACTGGTGTTGGTACTAGTGCTGGCACTGGTGCTGCATCGTCGTCTTCACCGGTACACAGCGCAAGTACTAGCAATACCACAAGTCCTGGTCCTGATACCGCGATGAGTCCGGTTCCAACTGTGTCTCGGCCCAAGCCGAATCGGAAACACGGCCAACAATCCACCGAATTGAGCGAAGTACCGCAGTACCGAATGAACCGCAAAATCTCCACTCTACAGGAAATGGTACAGGAGTGGTACCAAGGACTTGGAGGGGGTCCGAGTGTGCGGAGCCTGGAAGCACAGTACGGATCTAAATGGCGCACTAAAAACGATGCGGAGCGTGTGTTTTTAGGGCGACGTAAGGTTATTATTAACCGTATTGAACAGGCAATTCGCACAGCCAGTGGGAAACGCGGGATTGATGAGATTGTGGAGGAAATGGAAGCTGAACGAAAGAGATTAAGGAAGTCAATTGATGGGCTTGGAAGATACTACAGTCAACAAGCAGCGCGTGATAAACATGCTTCGGCAGCTAGCCAGGAGCGAGCAACAGCCGCCGCGGTTGCTGCTGCTGTAGCAGCTGCCACTGCTCACCAACAAGCCATTATGCATGCGGCGAGTGGAAGCGGTAGTGGGAGCAATAGCAGTAGCAGCAGCGGCAATAACAATGATAGTAGTAGCAGTAGTAACAACAACAACAACAACAATGGCGATTCAGGGAGTAACTCTGGAGGGGATAACAATGAGAGAAATGCTGGTCTAAATACGGATGGGTCAGGTGCAAGTACTTCAGGAGGTAATGTTGGAACCTCAAATAATAGCCTGCAGACACTGCTGGCTGGAACTGAAGGAATACCTGGATTTGGTGGAGATAGTGGTGAGAGCTCGTTGACAGCTGTTGCAGCTGCAGCTGCTGCTGCTGCCGCTGTTGCGGTCCATGCTGCTGCTGCCACAAGTTCTTCATCTGCCGCTGCAGCTGCTATAATAGCAGCTGCGACGAATAGAACTGGGGACAAGCTTAAAGGTGACGACAACAAGACAGGGGAAGAAGAATTGAGAAACAAAGGCACAGTGGGATCCAGTCTTCACCAACAGCAACCGGCTGTGTCTTCGCAGCAGCTCATCACTCGGCCACAGTACGAGTACGAAAGCGTGTTAGATTTTTCACCTGTTAAACGGCGCGGCGGTGGTGGTGGTTCTCGCGCACGAAAAGCACCCAACACTATCAAACCATATACACCATTACCTCTGCCAGTACAGATGCCAGTACCTTTGTCTGCACACGAGCCGGTGCCAGAATCTGAGTCTGTTGTGGAGCCAGAGACGACGGTAGCTACTAATACTACAGCTGCAGAAGCAGCAGCAGCAGCTGTTGAGACCGCTGTTGCTGCAGTAGAAATGGAAACATCAATGGCAGGACATGCATCTGGATCATCTCTATCTTTATCAGTACCTTCTGAAATTTCGTCTGCGGAGACTAGTGAGGTTCATGAGGAAAGTAATGGAGGCGGGGAAGAAGAAAGGACCCAAATATCTACAGAGAATGGAGAAGAAGGGCACTCGCACCAGAAAGAAGATTCACATCATCAAGAGCACCAGCAAGAAGATTCAAATCATCATGCGCACCAGCAAGAAGATTCAAATCATCATGCGCACCAGCAAGAGGATTCAAATCATTCAGAGCTCCCACATGAGGATTCAAATCATTCAGAGCTCCCACATGAGGATTCAAATCATCATGAGGAGCACCAGCAAGAGGGCCAACATGAGCATGAACATGAACATGAACAAGAGCATAGCCACCATGCTGAAGAGCTTTTGGAGCATACACCGGAACAAACTGGTGAAGTTGTTGATTCATCAGCAGCTTCTCGAGTGCTACAGCAATTAGTAGAGCATGACTCTGGTGAACAGATTTCTGTTGTTGCGGCTGATGAGCCTGTTGAGTCTGGTGAACCTGATCTTGATGAGCGTCAGCATGAGAGCTCTCAACAAGTTGACCCCCAGAATGAGGAATCTCACAACGAAGAGTCTCAACATGATAATAAGCATGAGCATGAGCATGAGCATGAGCATGAGCATGATGGTGATGGTGATGATGATGATGATAATTCTGATTCGCATGTGGAAGCTGCTGTGTTAGCTGCTGCAGCGACTGTGGTGGAGGAAAATTCCAGGCCTTTGAAGTGTGAAGAAGAGGAGCAGGAGATTCTTCAAGACGTTGTCATGGAAGACAGCAAGGAGCATATTCATATTCATATTTAAAAGAATTTTTTTTTTCATTATTATTATTATTATTTTTTATTATTTATTATTTTGTTATCATTATATATTATCAGGTTAGTTTTTTTTTTTTTTTTTTTTCCTATAAAAATAAATTCAAAAGTAAGGTATTTCAAGTTTAAACTTAAAGATTCAAAGTATTAAAAGTTCAAATATTCAAATATTCAACTTTTTTAATTAACCCCTAACCCTAATTTAATAGCCGCACAGTTTTTTTTAATTTTTAATTTCTAATTGCCACAAAGTGTATCCGGAACTTCCAAAAAAAAAAAATCCCAACCAACATAAAAACTCTTCCCACCAAACAGCAGCAGCAGCAGCAGCAGCAGCAGCAGCAAAATGTCTTCGTCGTACCAGCAGGAAGAACAAGTAAGTTAGAGTGAGAAATATATTAGCTTTTTGGATGCTTTATGAATTTCTTAAGTTTTTTTTTTTTTTTTTTTCTTCCCCTCCTATCTCCTGAAGAACGCTGACAAAAAGAGCCACATTAGAATGACCACCGGTTGAACGAACTACACAAAAAGATTACCCAGCTGCGGTCCGTGACCACCGACATTTATGAGCAAGCGTCCGATCATAGCTTCATTGATAGTGCGGTAAGTTTGAATACATATATATATATATATAATATCGTGATGTACTAATATCTTTGAAGACCGAATCTATCAACACACTATTCACTGGAGTGCGCGCGTCGTCGGGCCGGCTGGCTCGCTCGGTGACCTCTGGCCACCCCGTGTTTAAGACAGTCGGCCTGGCGCTGGCTGTCGTTCTTGGGATTTACTTTTTATATCGTGTATTTGCATGATTCTTCTTTTTTTTTTTTTATTAAAAAAATAAAGTACTATATATATATATATATATATTTATAAATTCATCTCTCTCTTTCTCATTTTTGTCTAATTGGCACCGCCAATGTCCTTGCCTAAACGGTAGTTGCCGAGTGCGCTACCCCAGTTCATCTTAGACCGGGTGACAGGTAGCTGTCGACGCAGAGCTTTGAAGGGGCCTTCATTAAGTCCCACGAGTGCGCGGTTCAGTTCTTCCTGGTACTCACTTTCGTAGTTTGCAATTTGGGCCACAACAGCTGGGGGGTCTTTTGCATCTGCAACTGTGAATCCGATTTCCTTACGAGTTGTCAGGCGTACATTACCATCTTCAAAATAGTGGATATCAAGCTCGACAGAGCCAGAAATAGAGCCGCTGGCAGGATCCAGAAGATACCACGAGCGCCAGCGCCCGTTCCAGTAGTTGGCGGCACTGTACTTGCTATCAACAATCACAATGGCAATGGTCTGGTCAGGCTGCGGGAATACACCAAAGCCGGAGGAGGATGGGAAGTGCTCGGCCACGTAACGCGAAACCGAGTCGTGTAAGTCGTCCCTATCAAAAAAAAAAAAAAAATAAAAAAAAAGAGTTAAAAAAAAAGAAAATCTCTCAAAAAAAAAGGTTAACAGGTAAACTTACACGTCGACATCTGTAGAGTATGAAGAAACATTGGTTGCTTTCTAAGAATCGAGTTAGAATAAAGTGTGTAAGAAATTGAATTGAATTGAATTGAATTGAATTGAATTGAAAATATACCTTTGCCAGGTGGTCGTATTCAAACTGTTTTTTAAGCACGGGGTCAAAAAAGAGATCTTCTGCTTGGTTGAATGGTGAAAGAACAGTTTTTTTAGATCCTTCAAGAGTTACAATTGTGAATTGATCCACATTATATTTGGCGACAGCAGTCTCAATGTTGCGGGTAAGACCTGAAGCTTCCTGGGACAAAATGTCAAGATCTGATAAAAGTTAGTAGTGTTCTTGCAACAACAACAACAACAATAGGAAAAGGAATAATAATAAATGCACACCGTCAAGGACATTTGAAAGCTGTTTTAGTTAGTCAAAAAGTTTCACAAAGTAAAAGATTCAAATGCTTTGACTTACCTCGCCGGGTGGGGCGTCTGCAATAACTTTGGCAGCAAATTCAGAGGCCATTGTGTGGGGAGTGTCGAGTAGTTTTGGTGGTGGTTTTGGTGGTTTGAAGTTTATGGGGAGATGATGAAGTGGTGACAACGTTTGGCGGTGCTAAAAAAAATAAAAAAAAAAAAAAAAAAAGGCGCAGGTGGTTGTTGTTGTTGTTAGTGTGTGTGTGGTGGTGGTGGTAGTGGTGGTGGTGACAGCTAAAAATTCTAAAACCTGCCAGGACATTCACAACAACAAAATATTCCACAGCATCGCCACAACTAACAACAATCATTACAAAAATTACAAAAATTATTATCAAATATCCATCACCCGTATCATGGAGTATGATGACGTTTTGCTCAATCAGCCCGTCGTCTTCGACAATGTGAGTTTTAAAACCTATATGGTTAAATCGTTCTTAGACTAACGCGTGTGTGTGTAGGGATCCGGCACAATCAAGGCTGGAATTGCAGGCGAGGAGCAGCCCCGAACATTTTTCCCATCATAGTAAGTAAAGAATTTATTTGTAAAAGTAAAAAAAAAAAAAAAATAATAATAGCAATGGCAATGGCAGTCTTCTAACAGATCTAGTGTTGGTAGACCAAAGCATTCTCGAATAATGGCTGGTGCGCTCGAGGGAGACACATTCATTGGGTCGCGCGCTCAAACAAACCGTGGACTGCTTAAACTGCGGTATCCCATGGAACACGGAGTCGTGACCGACTGGGATGACATGGAACGCATCTGGGCACACGTCTACACCGACGAACTACGCGTATTATCTGAAGAGCACCCGGTACTACTTACAGAAGCTCCACTAAATCCGCGAGCAAACCGTGAACAAGCTGCTCAGATATTTTTCGAAACCTTTAACGTACCAGCTCTTCATTTGGCAATTCAGGCCGTGTTGGCTCTCTATGCATCGGGTAGGACATCTGGGCTGGTGCTTGACTCTGGAGATGGAGTATCACATGCAGTTCCTGTGGCTCAAGGATTTGCTATTGAAAATGCAATTATGCGCGTAGACGTTGCCGGCCGTGACGTGACGCGACAACTTCAAATGCTTTTACGACGAGCAGGAGTTGTACTTACTACTTCTGCTGAACGTGAAATTGTGCGAGATATTAAGGAACGTGCATGTTATCTGGCAATTGATCCACGGCGTGAGGAAAAGGAATGGGCTGCTTTACGTATGGATAGACTTCATCCATTATCAACATTGACAACTGTTACGGCCACTGCAAATATTACCCAGACAGGTACAACAGATACCCAAGAAGATCTTGGAACAGGTGGAGGTGATTCCCAAATTAATAGTGCAGGTCCTGGATCATCTCAAGCATTAGCATCTAATGTATATAGATTACCTGATGGTCGTGAGCTTAACCTTGGAGCTGAACGGTTCCGTGCACCAGAGATTTTGTTTCGCCCAGACTTGATTGGATCTGAAGAAATGGGTGTACATCAGCTTGTAAGTTCGAGTATTTCACGTACCGATCTTGATTTACGTGGAATGCTTTATGGATCCGTGGTACTTTCAGGTGGATCAACACTCACCCGTGGGTTTGGAGACCGGTTGCTCTATGAATTACGCAGAGAAACGCCACCAGGGACCAAAATTAAAATCTATGCGCCACCAGAACGCAAGTACTCGACATGGATTGGTGGGTCCATTTTGGCTGGTCTCAGTACGTTTAAAAAGTTATGGGTTAGTGTTGATGAATGGCATGAAAACCCAGATATCATCCATACAAAGTGCATGTAAAATAGAAGTAATAATGATAATAAAAAAAAAGAAAAAAAATTTTATAAGCATTTATAACAATCTATTTTTTTTTATATATATAATAGATTATTTTTCACGCTTGGTATTGAAGTTGACACTGATGATAAGATTATCAATGGGCTTACCATTAAGTGCAGCTTGAGCTCTGCGAGCAGATTCCATATCAGTAAAAACAGCAAAACCAAAGCCCTTGGAGCGGCCTGACTGGTAATCGCGGGCAATGGAGGCTCTGTGAAGGTTGCCAAATTTTCTAAACAGTTCACGGAATTCTTCATCAAGCATATCAAGACCCAAGTTAGTAACACGAAGGGTATAATTATCGAAATCACGGTCGTTACCGTGACTTCCATGGCCTGCCTCAGAACCGCCGGCGGAGCCAGCCCCACTGCGTCGAAGGTGTGGCGCAACGTACGCGCTCTTGACGGCACCGCCAGTCTTTTCTGTAGCAGGTGCAGGGCCAGGGACACCATCTGACTTGGGTCCTGGGGTTGAGGTAGAATCGAAAAGCTTGCGCATAGGACATTTTGCTGTAAGATGTTCGCCGCCACAGTTACGGCAGACAATAGAGGATCCTGCAGAGAGTTTAGCAGCGTTACGAGCAGCTTGACTCTTTGCTGCAGATTCTGCTTCAGAGGCATGTGAGCGGATTGCCAGTTTAAGTTCGAAAGGTTCTGTAGCGGTTGTAGTAAAAGAGTAATCGGAGGAAGTATTGTCTCCAGAAGAACCAGCTTGGTTAGCTTGGCCGTATTTTGCCCAGCTCTTACGTTCAGCCACTCGTGGATTGACACGTGCTGTTGTCACAATGGTCTTGATCTTTTGGGTAACTTTGATGGTTTTGCCAGTGGTTTCATCGCGACGGTAGCTCACGACAGTTTTAGTTCCATCTGGGTTTGTTGTAGTTGTGGAGGGAGGCAGTTGCGAGTGTTCTTCATCCTCGAGGTCATCAGCCCAGTCGGACTTTTTGCTAGAGAGGAGTTGAAAGGGTTAGAATTTGAATAATAATATAATATTGATAAATTGATAATAGATTTAAAGACTTACTTATCGATTTCAGCCATTTTTTTTTTTTAAAAAAGATATGATTGTGTTTAGTATTTTTAAAGGGGGTTCAATAGCTGGGTAGAAAAAAAAAAAAATTCCCTTCTATTAGTAAAAAAAAAAATTGATTTTTTTTTTTTTTTAATTATTTTTTTGGGCTTATTTTTTTTTTTATGGTTTAGGAGAGTGAAAATTTTTGATTTTATTTTTCTGATTTGGTGGTGGTGGTGGTGGCAATGAAGAAAATTTTCTATTGAAAAAAAAAAAAAAAAATTGTCACGTGTAAATTAGTCAGCAATGTGTCATGTTATAATATCTAAGATTATCTAAATACCTTAAATGCATGATTTGTCATGTTTATATAATATTGTTGTATCTTCACAGTTATGTTATTATATAATCTTATTTTTAAATTTTCCACAACCTTTTTCTATAAACCCTAACCCTTAAACCCGCCTTTTTTTTTTTTTTTTTTTTATTTATTTAAAAAAAATAAAATAAATAAAATAATATAAAATATAAAAATAAAAATAAAATAAAAAAAAATAAAATAAAAAAAAAATAAAAATAAAAAAAATAAAAAATAAAAAATTAAAACTCTCCTCCTCCTCCTCCTCCTCCTTTTTTTTTTTTTATTTTTTATTTTTTTTTAAAAAAAAAAAAAATCTCTTATCAATATCATCTACACCACCACCAAACTTAACTTAACTCAACTCAACTTCTTTTTAATCAACAACTCAAGTCATTCAAATATTTCCCCCTCTATTCATGGTGTCAATTCTAATCCAATCCAATGGGCTTTCTTAGTTTTATGCCCTCAATTAGGCTCTTTGAGAATCCTCCTTCTCAAGTCCAAAGCACCTCAGCCTCTCCTGATGACCTCCCTACTGCATCGCCAGTCGTAACCTCAGATTCACGAACAGCTTCTTCATCATCCATAGATCACAGACCATCTTCAGTTTCAACTTCTGTCCCTCCATCTCCAGCTACTGCTATTAACTCTTCATCTGCTGCTGCTCTCGGTCCTAGTTACTCGGCCTCTACTTCTACGGGTAGTCAGTACGGATCTTCGGTCATCGGATCCTCCGCCTCCGCATCGTACCCACTTGAATCACCTACCTCACCTTCATCAACCACCTCGGCAAGTAAGTTTTTTTTTTTTTTATTCATCATCATTATCATCAATAATGGTCCTTTCATTTCATGCATTTGATCTAAATGGCAACTAACCTACCTCTTTTTTTTTTTTTTTTTTTTTTTTTTAAGACCGTCTTACAAACTTTCTGCAAGTCCCGGGAGGTGATCTTGCAGAGTCGTCCGCAAGCACCAATTCAAGTATCCGGACAATCATTCATCCGCAGCTCCATCTACAGCAGCAGCAACAGCAGCAACAGCAATACCAACAGTCCTCTCCGGCCACCTCGGGTTTCTCAAAAAATTCCGACCCGCAAGTTGACTCAACACCAAAATATATTAATAGACCAATTCGTTCTTCAATGATTATCGATGATGATGATGATGATACGGATTTTACTAAAAATCCTTCTTCACATCCTCAGTCTCAAGTAACCCACTCAAATCCTATCGTTAAATATAGCTTGAATCTAGACTCTCCAACAATCCCAGCAACTTCCACAATCCCTAAAGTCTCAACAACAAGTAATCCTTCTATACGTCCCATCTCAGCTATTTCAGCTGCTTCTGCCTCCTCAGCTACCTCTAGTCAAGCCACTTTTTCATCTGCAACCCTCAGCTCAAATAACTCATCAAATAATTCCTCTTCCCGTGGATTCTTTTCTAAATTACGCAGAAACATGTCAAGCTCATCTCGCAATAACCCTTCAAGATCTTCAGAAGACCTAGAAGAAAATGATGTTCAATTCAGAGTTCGTGATGAAGGCTGCAATTCTCGAGTCTTTGGCTTTGTTCCAAGCTTCCCTACTCCCCCCAAATATATTTGGGTTCATGCCCATAAGAAGAAAAATAGAGAGTTTACCCGCATGTTTCTGGCTCAGGAACTTGTCACTGAAGATTCCCCCCGACCCAGTAGTGAAGATTCCTTTTCTCAAATTACCTCCGGCTCTTCCTCAGGCCGTTTTGGCCATCGCCGCTCATCTTCAACAGGATCCGGAACAAGTAGCTTAGGTTCAACCCCATCTAAGCAAGCAGACCCAAAACGCCGCGCCATTTGGTGCGCAAAATTCTCTCTCGATGGTAAATACCTCGCAACCGCAGGAAACGACGGCGTAATCCGAGTCTGGAAAGTTCTTTCCGACGTTGCAGATCGTGAAGCATTTGAAAATTCCATCAATGATTTAATGAGCGACGATGAAATTGACCACCTCACCGTCCCTCAATCTCCACTCCTTAACCCTTCAAACGGTCCCGCATCCCAATCTTCAAAACCTTACCGCCGCGGATCCATGCGCATCAGTAACCACAAACCCAAAAAACAAATTGTCTCAGCACCAGTCTTTTCTCCCAAACCATACATTGAATACACAGGCCACATGCAGGGCGTGCTAGACCTGTGCTGGAGTAAAAATAATTTCCTTTTATCCGCTTCCAAAGATAAGACAGTACGCTTATGGCATGTCCAACTCCCCAATTCCATCAAAACTTTTGTTCATAATGACTTTGTCACCTCCATTGCATTCCATCCTTCTGATGATCGCTTCTTTCTTTCCGGTTCCTTAGACTCTAAAGTTCGTCTCTGGTCTATCCCGGAAAATAAGGTCGAGTTTATCCGCGAGGCTCCAGATTATATCATGGCTGTCGCATTTGCCCCCCGTGGTGATACCGTCGTGGCTGGTTGCTTTGGCGGTCAGTGTCTTATTTATGATACTGATAATCTCCGTCGCAGACTCCGCATTCTCGTCCGCTCTACCCACGGGAAAAATTCAAATGGCTCCCGCATCACTGGCATTCAAATCAAAACCATTCCTAAAAGACATGATCCAGGAGCCGCTCTTGGCCAAGTAGATGATGAAACTTATCTTAGTGAAACTAAAATGCTGGTTTCCACTGGTGATTCTAGAATCCGCATGTACAATCTCCACACTGGCTTACTCGAAGCCAAGTTTAAAGGCCACACCACTATTGATGGCCAAATTCACGCCTTTTTTTCAGATACTGGCGATTACATCATTTCAGGAAGCGAAGACCAAAAAACTTACATTTGGCGTACGCGTGGCGGCCATCCAGGCACTAAGAGTAGCCGGGACGAGGAGTCATCCAAAACAAAGGAATCTTACGAATATTTCCACTCAAACAAGGCCCCCGTTACAGTAGCCCTTTTTGCTCCTTCTGCCACAAGAAGTCTTCTCTATAATTCAAGAGACCCCATTTATGATTTGGCCATTCCTCCTCCAATCATCTTGACCCCATCATCTTCCTCTGTAATTGAAGATGGTAGCTTTGAGCACCTTCCTCAAGAACCATCACTTCTTGATCCTGCTACTCTTCAAAAAGTTAGCTCACCCTTGGATGGCAATATCATCATCACTTGTGACGAGCTCGGCATCATCAAGGTGTTCCGTCAAGACTCGGCATATGAGCGTCGCAAACAAGCTTCCGAAACTGCCTCGTTAATTCAAAAGAAACGCATTGGTGGCATTTCTCTTAGTCCCACACAAAGTCGACGCACAATGGCCTCCTTTGACTCTACACCGCCACCGTCAACTTTTTACACTGAAGCCGCTACCGCCCGCCATGCCACACTACCTGCTGTTATTGCCTCCAGTTCCCGCAGCAACTCGCCTATTTCCTTACATGCTGCCCGGTTCTCGGATTTGTCGTCCCAGGACAGTAACAACAACAGCAACAACTTTGTCCGCCCGCAGTATGGCTCCAATACAAGCTTAAGTGCAATGGCCCAATCACAGTCTCTTAACAGACGCTCTTCTCTTAGAAATGATGCCCTTTCACCACCCCCCATTAACCAGCCTGTTTCATCATCATTACACCGGACATCCAGTATTCGTGTAAGAAGTAGTAGCTCGGGACCAGTGTCTTCAGTCAGTTCCAATAATAATGGCATGGCACGATCCATGTCATTTAGTCCCGGCCATGGACCTAACTCGGTTGCAGCTCGGCAGTTGCTTCGGTCCGAAAATGGAACTTCTCCTGTACCTCAATACCATCCAACACTACAACAACAACAACAGCAACAACAGCAACAACAGCAACAACAGCAACAACAGCAACAACAGCAACAACAGCAACAACAGCAACAACAGCAACAGCAACAGCAACAGCTTCATCCTCAAATGAACCAGCGCATGTCGCGTGCCGAGTCACCATCCAGTATCAGTTCTCTCGAGTCCTTTTCACCCCGCCAGTTTATTGCACAAGCTCTTGCAAACTCTGGGCTTTCGGGATACTCGAGCGGTGCAGCATCAAGCAATGCTAGTTCTAATGAGTCTCAGTATATTGCATACGGCGTGCCCACTCCACCTTCTGGGGCTCCTCTACAGCAACAGCGCCCCCCTGGATCCAGAGACTTGTCACCTGCACGGCGACCTGTTGTAGACACTCAAGTAGGACAAGCCACGGACTTTTTGCACTGTCCCAACTGTGCATCACAAGATTTCAAGGTAAGAGCCACACCAAGAGGACCCGCAATGATGTGCACGCAGTGCGGCACTGTAATTAATTCATAGATTTCTTAATTTGTATTATTTTTCTTCTTCTTCTTCTTCTTCTTCTTCTTGTTCTTGTTCTTCTTCTTCTTGTTCTTGTTCTTGTTCTTGTTCTTGTTCTTCTTCTTCTTCTAAAGTCTACTACGTTACTATAATGGCTGGATTTGGTTGGACAACCCCACCGTTACCACTACTACTAGACGCACCGGTATTACCAGCGCCGCCCATTTCATAACCGAGGCTCTCGAGAGCTTCCTCAATCATCTGACTACCCTTAGGATCTAAATTAAGCGCCACGGTAAAGGCCTTGACGGCATCCTCCTTTTCGCCTAGTAGCTTGTACACCTGGCCAAGCAAAAAGAATACACTAGCCTCGTCAGTCGCCAGCGTTGCCAGCACGCGGAGTTCACGCAAGGCCTCATCGAACCGGCGCAGTTTGACCAAGAGCCGCGCGCGCTTGTATCGAGACATTGCGCTGCTGGGTTGCATGGCAGTCGCACGGCTGTACTGTGCAAGCGCATCTTCATTCTGGCCGCGCTTCTCAAGCACCATGCCGATACAGCAAATGAGCACCACATTGATGGGGTTGATGGCTGCTGCGCGTCGGAAATGCACCTCGGCCATGTTGGTATTGCCGAGGCGTAGAAACACCATCCCCAGTCCGTACCACGCATTGTAATGCAGCTTATCAGCCTTGAGAGCCAACCGGTACGAATCTTGCGCGTGTTCGTACGAGTCGTTGGCCACATACTCATGTGCCTGCAACGTGTAAGGGTACGGCGCGCTAGGATCTACTTGCGAGGCTCTTCGAAAACATCTCAAAGCCGCATCAGCCTCGTGTTGCAGTGAGCACGCGTTGCCAATTGCGCACCATGTTTGGTACTTGTTGCGTGCAAAGTTTGACAAGTCGTATGCAAGATGTGATAGCTCATAGTCCTTATGAAGATGCCATAGTAATGTCGAGTAGTAGTCCATGTCCTCTATGCGGAACCGGTCTGTAACCCTTAGTGCCTCAAAATATTCAAGCGACTTTGCATACTCGACCTTTTCAAAATGAATTCGTGCATACTTTGCCAAGGCCCAAGGTGTTTGTTTTTGAGATTCAGGGAAATCTTGTAAAATAGTTAGTGCAGTTGTACAGTCATATTTGCAAAAGTGTAAGCATGCCTTGGCAAATAGGGTATAAAGATTAATAATAAATACAAGTGCGTCTTCGCTTGTTTGGTCTTCGGTGGTATTTTTAGTTTGTTTGGTTGATGATCTGCTTTTGAGTCCTGGAACTGTTGTAGGTGGGCCCATTGCAAAAGTTGGTTTGGAAGAAGTGGAGACATTTCCATTGGAGCTCACTCCAAACCGTGACGATGATGATGATAATGATGATGATGATGCTGAAATGTTTTTCTTGGCAACTTCGGCTGCCTGGCGCGTGCTTCTGCGTGGCGCAAATTCTGTTGAAGAATTCATTGCTGATGATGATGAAAGAGAAAGAGATGCTGGTCCGCCTTGGGGTGCTCGCGCGCCACGTCTAATGGGTGCATTTTGTAGTGCTCTGGCTGCAGATGCGCGCGAGTCTGTAGGCGTTGTAAATGCTGGGTCTGAGGTATCCTTCATTGGGGTGACAATAGGAGTTGAGCCTGAGCCAAAGAGAAACTTTGGAGCCGGGGTACCCCCCATAGCTGGAGTTGTTGGCTGTTGTTTTTGTCTAGTTCTAGTTGTTGGACGGCCAATAAATGTGCTAGGGTTGAAGTTGAATGAGTCCGACTGTTTGCCAAAGGAAAATGGAGTTGATGTTGTTGCCTTTTCCGGTGATGCTGGCGGGTCTTCTTCTGCGGGTTTAGGCAACACATCTTGTGTTATGCTATTGTAAATGGATGAAACTTGCAAGTCAACGCCATAGTGGCAGAGTGCCTCAACGGCCTCCCAAATGAACGGATCAAGACGTAATGCAAATGCAAAGCTGCGAATAGCCTTGACGTCCGATTCAACTGCACGATAAAGTTTGCCGAGAAGCGTGTGAATCATGGCAGCTGTGGGGAGAACAAGACGCGTGCTTGTTGAAGAAAGCGAACTTGTGGGTACGTTTTCCCATAGCGATGTGCTTTTTTCTAATGCAAAAATGGCCTTTGAGTATTCTTTAAGCTCAAAACATGAAAGAGAATAAATGTAGAGACACCCCAGATGCGAAGAGTTGTTAATGGAGCTTGTATAAAAACTGGCTGCCTTGTTGTATTCCTGTGCACGGTAGTGAACAAGGGAAACAAGGTGGGCTGTATCTGGGGACGTGCCATCCATTCCGTAAAGACGCTCTGCCGTGAACAGTGCTGTAGGCAACAAATTTTGATCCAGGGCATGCCAGATGGTGTTTTTTAGACACTCAATGGCAAGCGGATTGGGTTCCTGGTCCATTTGGGGAAGGTTTGCCTTGTTGTTTGTTTGTTGTATGAAGATAGAGAGAGATTGGAAGTTTGGTGGTAAATAAATGGCAAGGAAAAAAATAATAAATAATAAATAATAAATTAAATAATACCTTTGTATATATAAAAAAAAAAAAAGAAAGTAAATAAACTGACTAATCATTAGTAATTAATATTAAATATTTACCGGGTATCTTATAATATTTTTACCTGGTAAGTAATTAATGGTAATATCCCTTTCATCTGTTAATTCTATATATATTTATTATATGGCCCACCCTCTCCCCCCTTTTGGTCCAACAAAACAGCCACCAAAACCCTTAATGCCTTGATTTTCTTTTTTTTTTTTTTTTTTTTTTTTTTTTCCTTTTCCAATCTTAAATAAAACATCCCTTTTATATCCTCCCAGCTTGCTCACTTTCTTCAATGGCTATAAGGCCAAGTCTCAACAATGGTCTATAACATTCTTCTTCTGCTTCTCACGTCTCTGGCGCAAATCCATGCCTTCTACATTCCAGGTGGGTTCTCAGCTACTCCCTCCCTCCTACCCTCTCGTGGTGTCTCCTACATCTCCTACTAACTGTTGTTTTTTTTTTTGTAACTAACTAGGTTGGTCAATCAAATCCTACAAGGACCATGAAAAAGTCCCATTGTATCTCAATAAAGTCTCGTCAGGTCACTCTACCCTCCCATATTCTTATGACCGACTCAAATTCACATGCCCATCATCAAACGCCAAAAACCACGTGGGTCTCAATCTCGGCGAAGTTCTTCGTGGAGACCGCATCTTCATGTCCGACTACAACATTGAAATGCTCCAAGACTCAGCCTGTAACGAACTTTGCACAAAGACCTTAGGTCCCGATGAAATTAAGCAGGCTCAATCTCTCATCATGCAAGACTACCAGTCTGAGTGGATCATTGACAACCTTCCTGGTGCCACCTCTTTTGTGTCACTAGATCGCAGCACACGTTATTACTCTGCTGGATTCCCCTTGGGATACTTTGACGAAAAAACAAAAACTTCATATCTTTACAATCATTTTATTCTTTTGATTCGTTACCGCCGCGCACCTAAGAATCCCGACGAGTACGTTGTAGTTGCCTTTGAAGTTTACCCCAAGTCGGTAGCTGCCAACTCACCTGAAAAATGTCCAGGAAACAAGGACAAGTTTGCACCATTAGTCCTGGACTCGGCTGCTGAATCTATTACCGTTCCTTATACCTACACTGTTTATTTCAAGGAGGATGAGTCCATTGAGTGGGAGTCACGTTGGAACAAGTACTTGTCTTACATGGATGACACGTCACACATTCACTGGTTGTCATTAGTCAACTCTCTTATCATTGCAACTCTACTTGCCACGTTTGTTGCCATCATTGTGATTCGCACTCTCAATAGAGATATTACCAATTACAACAAGCGTGCAGATAACGATCTTGAAGACAGTGTTATTGTTGGAGATAGCAAGGATGTTGAGTACTCTGGCTGGAAGCTTGTGTTTGCCGATGTTTTTAGACCGCCCATCAATTCTTCTCTCTTTGCTTCTTTGATTGGATCAGGCATGCAGTTTTTCGTCATGACCGTTACTGTTGTTGGATTCTCGTGTCTGGGTGTTTTGAACCCCAGTTACCGTGGTGGTTTGCTCTCCTATGCACTTTTCCTCTTTGCCTTTTCAGGTGTCTTTTCAGGCTACGTTGCTGAACGCATTAGCAAAAACTTTGGCAGTGAGCGATGGGGCAAAATCGCCATTTTGACTGCTCTTGTTGTCCCTGGTGCTTTTATGTTGCTTGTTATTATTCTCAACTTTTTCGTCTGGTCGCAAAGTTCCTCGTCTGCCCTACCTTTTGGCACATTGTTGGCACTCATGTGCATCTGGGCCTTTATTTCATGTCCTCTTGTGCTTTCGGGTGCCTTTTTGGGCAACAGAGTCAAGCGTACCCCAGTTCCTGTGGAACCCACGGCTATCCCACGTCAAATCCCGCGCCAGCCGCGGTATAAGGGTCTGGTGTTTTCTGCACTTTTGGGTGGACTGCTGCCATTTGCCGTTATTTTTGTCGAGCTACGATTTGTACTTATGAGTGTTTGGCAAAAGTCGACGTACTACTACATGTACGGGTTTCTTGCACTTGTGTTTGGAGTGCTAGTTGCAACTGTCATGGAAATGTCAATTGTTGTCACATACTTCCAGCTCAGCTCGGAGGACTACCGCTGGTATTGGAAGTCCTTTATTGTGGGTACAGGTTCAGCATGGTGGATCATGCTCTACTCAGTGTACTATTACGTGGTTCACCTCAACATTGACGGCTTTATTGCGTCACTCATGTATTTTGCCTACACTTTTATGGGGTGTGTGGTTTACGGTCTTATTACCGGGTCCATTGGGTTTTTGGCCTCTTATTTTTTTGTTTTCCGGATCTACAGTGCCATCAAGGCTGATTAAAAAAAAAATATATATATATATATAAAAAAAAAGAGACAAAAAATTAATAAAATACATAAATAATAATTAAAATCTGGTTGCATTAGTAGGGCCAGTTGGCGCGCTTTGAGGGGCTTTGTTATAATTGTTACCCCTGTTGTTATTATTGCGGTAGTTGTTATTGTTGTTTCGGTCATTGTAGTTTCTTCCACGGTTGCCTCTGCCGCCAGAGCCCCATTGGTTTCTATTGTTGTTGTTATTCTGGAACCGGTTGCGGTTATTTTCCATGCGGTGTTGTTGCTGGTTTTCCTTGATTTGGTCGAGAAGCTAAACAAGTTAAAGTTAGAATGGATTTTTGGAATAGACTTGGTATTATGACTTACAATATCGGGTACTTGCAGGTATTTGATCTAGAGAGTTAGAAAGGGTTTGCAATTTAAAAATTAGTAGTAACTTACAAAACTACCCTTGACGTAGCATTCAGGGAGCTTCTTAAACTCTGTGCCTTCCTATAAATTGTTAGTCTTGGAAAAAGTCATTATCGCGTTTTGGCATACCTTGTTTGTCAGAACCACGTCCTTGAGTGTAATGTTCATCCAGGTATCACATGCAACCAGGTTTCCGTTAAGAGTAGCACCTGATTTAAGTTCGACCAGTGTAGGTCCGTTAGAAGCAGCTTTTAGGAGTCCGAGAGGAAGCATTTTTTGTGTGGTGTGTGGATATTTTTATTTTTTTTTTTTACAAAAGTGGGTTTAGAAAGTCCTAGTTGGTGATAGTGAAGATGTAAAAATTTATGGAGGTTTCACCAGAAAATTAAAAAAAAATTCCATAAAAATCACGTGCGCCTTATATAATTTTGGCATTTTTTTTTTTTTTTCTCTCTTCCCACCATTTAAGCTGGAAATTCCTGCGACTAGTTCCTGCCAAAGACTTTTTTCTAAGAGAACTCTCTCAAAATCTATTTTTTTTTTTAAAAAAAGTTTGTATTTTAAATTCATGCTGTAAAATGGGCTTGTTGTAATACCTTCCAAACCCTTTTTTTTTTTTATGTTTGGCCCTACCCTTCTTTTCTAACACCCTTTTCCTTATAGCTTAGATGAACCACGTCCCTCAAGTGTGTCAAGCCACCTACTCGGGCGTAAGTCAGGATTTTTCTCCTACCATCTCTTCTTTCTAACTTTCCAGGTTCCGGTGTATGAGTACTCTTTGCCAACGGTCGCAGTAATGCGCCGCAAGCACGATGGCTGGGTCAATGCAACACACATCCTTAAGGTGGCCAACTTTGATAAGCCCCAGCGCACGCGTATCCTTGAAAAAGAGGTCCAAAAAAACACCCACGAGAAGATCCAGGGTGGATATGGACGTTACCAAGGTACATGGGTCCCCATTGAGATTGCACGTCAGATTGCTACCCAATACCATGTTTCTGATGTTCTCGAACCTCTTTTTTCCTTCACTGAAAGTGAAAACTCTCCACCACCATTCACCAAAAACGTTATGGGCCCCAAGGGTGGACGAACAAGAGGCACGTCAAGCACTTCTGGAGGGTTTGGAGGCAAAGGCCGCAAGTCAAGGTCTGCTCCAGCACCGCAACAACAACAACAACCACCTCCTCCTCCTCCTCCTCCAGTTGTGGCTAGTACTACCTCGTCACGGCCACGGTCAGCTGCCACCTCGGAAGCTTCGTCCAGAGCCAACTCTGTAGCCTCAACTTCAATGCCTGCAGTTGCAACTGCGTCTTCTTCGGTTGCTTCGTTGGTCAGTGCTGGCTCTGAAAATGCTCCACCACCTGCCTCTGCAGCTTTGGCAGCAACTGCTTCTGCGGCAGCCAATGCCGCGGCTGCGGCTGCATCTCTGCTCCCCATGAAGCGTGGCCGTGGCCGGCCCAAAGGTGTACCCAACAAACCCAAAAATAGCCACCACTCAAATAGCACGGCAGCTTCGTCGGCACCCTCATCTAGCGCTGCGAGCTTGGCCTCACCGGCACAAAGCCATGCAGCACAGGCGGCAGCAGCGGCAGCGGCAGCAGCCCTAGCTTCGGCCTCTGCTCATCGCGCTGCGTCGTCTGAATACCCTCCATCCTCTAAAAAACAGAGAATTGGCGACTCATGGATTCACTCCCCCAAAGACGCGTCGCAAACTCCTCTGCGCCAGGTGGACCCTGAGAATTCGCTTTCGTCTAGGTCAGCATCCCCTTCAGATTTCTACTCGGATGATGACTCCTCGTCGCACCACCATAGCCATCATCGGCACCTGCAAAACTCTGTGCTGGGCCGGCCCAGCCCTCGACACGACCCACGTGGGCCTCAGGAAATTACCGACACGCCTAGCTTCTCGCAACAGCACCGGCAACAGAGCGTTGGCGAGACTTCGCTACGATCACCAAGCACAAACAATTTGCTAGGGAATACTAGTATTCAGCCATCACCAGCCCCAGTGTCAGCCAACACGTCGATGAGTGATGCTGGAATGGCTAACTCGCTTGTGTATGGCAATGAAGCTGCTGCAGCGCAATATTCGACGCGTTTGTTGGACTATTTTATTGCGCCAGACAGTGACGAGGTCCCCGATTCGCTGGTGCACCCGCCTGATGGATTGGATATTAATCATGTGATTGACGATGAGGGCCATACTGTTTTTCATTGGGCATGCTCCATGGGTAAGCTCAAAATTGTGGAGGCCCTTTTGCGGGCAGGTGCTAATAAAAGTGCGGTGAATCTTCAAGGCCAAACGCCATTGATGAGATCCATCATGTTTACTAATAACTTTGAGCTGCGGACGTTTTCCAAGATTGTTGGATTGTTAATTGACACGATCTTTTTGCAAGATAATTCGCAGCGCACGGTGCTGCATCATATTGCGGACTCGACGCTATATAAAACAAAGCGGTCTGCAGCCAAGTATTATAATGAGATGATTTTGGCCAAGCTTGCTGAACGTGAGACGCGTGATAGCCTGGCTAACTTTATCAATAAGCAGGATTCTGCTGGGGATACTGCATTGCACATTGCTGCGCGTAACCGGTCGCGTAAGTGCGTAAGAGAACTTAAAACGTATGGAGCTTCGACGACGATTATGAATAGGAGTGGGCGCACACCTCAGGATTATATTGATGAGTATGGTGTAAGTCGGAAAAAGCAGCAGCAACAGCAACAGCAGCAGCAGCAGCAGCAGCAACAGCAACAGCAACAGCAACAACAACCACAGTCACAGTCACAGCCACAGTCACAGCCACAGTCACAGCCACAGCCACTACCACAATCACAACCTCAACCTCAACCTCAACCTCAACCTCAACCTCAACCTCAACCTCAACCTCAACCTCAACCTCAATCACAACCTCAAACTCAACTTCAACAACAGGTGCAACAACAGGTGCAACAACAGGTGCAACAACCCCAACAAGTGGCTCCACCCGCTACAGCTGCAACCCCCCGGTTCTACTCTGGAACCATGGGCCCTACAAGTACACCGTACCAAGACCGACCGGTGGATGAAAGCACACCTGGGTTCCATGGGTCATCTATTGCACGAAATAACGGAGACTTGTCGTCTGTGCGGTCTTCGACAAACGGGCGATTCAGCATAAGTAGTACGCCTATGGCTCCTCCACGGTACCAAGATGTATCTACGCCAGTGGGTGATACTTCAATGAGTGTAGCTGGAGGGCCAGGGAATACGACATTTGATGGGCTTGGTCCGATTTCGACGTCGTCGCCTGCAGAGCATGTGGTGAAGAAAAGTTCTAATGTGGGTATCGAGGAATATAAGTTTAGCACGACTGCGCAGAGCGTTTTAGACAAGAGTGTGCCTGGGTTTCAAGCGGAGCTGCGGAAACTGGCCAAAGTGTACGATGCCGAGCTTGAGAACAAGAAGAACGATGCACAGCAAGTGCAGACGCTGTGCGAGAACATTGAGAAGGATATTGCGGTGCAGGAGGTGTCTGTGCGGGCAGAGATTGCACGTATGGACGATGGCGCTGGGAACGTTGTTGAGCGAGTAGAGGAGAGGCTGAAGCAGGTCAAGGCGACGGTAGAGATGCGGGTTGTGCAGCTGGGGAAGCTTCTTGAACGGTCGCAGGCCCGGGATTTGGCTGGGATGGTTCAGCAAGAGGAAGCTCATAGTGCTGGAGAGATCCATGCGGAGATTGGAGGGGGTGGGAGCATAGACGAAGAGCAGGTTGACTTAGTGCTGGAGCTTGTAGGGCTTCAACGGCGGCGGCAGCGGTATGTGGCAGAGATTGTGGGACTGTGGGCATCAGCTGGAGTTGAGATGAAGATGAACAAGTACCGAAGATTGATTTCACTTTCGTGTGGAGTCAAAGCCGAGGAGATCAACGAGGAGCTGTTGAGTGGGATTGAGCAGGCGCTTGCCGAGTCGCAAGAAGATGGGCGGTCAAGTTGAGGGATGTGTGGGGGGTGTTGTTGGCACGTGATTTGTAGATATATATATAAGGGATGTTTTCATCAATTGGAAAAAAAAAAACCCCCAATTTGGCCTTTTTTACTTTTTTTTTTCCTCCTCATCAAATCACAACAATCAAAATGAAATTCTTTAAAAAGAGCTATATTGGAGTAATCTTTTGTCTACTGGCTACAGTTGACGCCAATATTATTGTAAAGCTATCATCGTCGAGTACAATTGGGTCTTTTTTCCATCGGTATCCTCAGATTATGCGGCATGTGGGGCAGGTATATTCGTTTGGAGACTTTATTGGGTTTTCAGGGAACTTCAACTTGAATGTGATTCGTGCACTACAACACAATCCGTTTGTGAAGAGTATTGTTCCGGATACTCAAGTGATGACTACGGAAGAAATGGAACTGCGGGGTGCTGATGGAGAAGAAGAAGAGGTGGTTGTGTTGGAGGTACAAAGAAATGCGCCGAGGCATTTGGCGCGGATCCAACAAAGACAGAGGCTTCAAGTGACTGGTAGAAGATGAAAAAGAAGAAGAAGAAGATGTGATTAATGAATGATTTACTAACGTATTTTTTCTTTTTTTTTAATGAGTTTTTTCTAGATAAGTTTACGTACGAGTATTTTGGAATACCAAAAGAATTGGTGGACGTTTATGTTGTGGACACTGGTGTGCGTAAAGACCACCCACAACTTGAGGGCCGGGTTACTTTTCAAAAGGACTTTACAGGTGAAGGCATTGGTGATACCAATGGACACGGTAGGTTTTTAAAAAAAAATGAAAATGAAAAAAAGGAAAGAATTCTTGGTACAAGTCTAACTATCAATTTTTTTTTTTTAGGAACTCATGTTGCTGGACTGGTGGGCTCACACAGATACGGTGTGTTTAAACAAGCCCGGTTCATTGACCTTAAGGTATTACAGGGGACCGGCGTGGGAAACTTGTCAACAGTTATTGCAGGGATAGACTATGCAGTGAACCACCGGATGGGGACCCGGCACAAAGCGGTTGCCAACTTGAGTGTAGGAGCCACTTATAATGTGGTTTTGAATGACGCTGTGAATGCAGCCGTTGAATCTGGGCTGCTTGTTGTTGTGGCTGCTGGGAACGCCAATAGTGCAGCGTGCAACTATTCACCAGCAAGTGCGAGCCGGGTAGTGACAGTAGGAGCTGTTGATGATCGGTACGATGCGGTGGCGTCATTTAGTAATTGGGGCCGGTGCGTTGACATTTTTGCAAGCGGGGTGTATGTGGTGAGTTTGTCGCCGCACCAAGAATCTCCCACCATGGCACTTTCAGGGACTTCCATGTCTGCACCGATAGTTGCTGGGATTATGGCTCAGTTTATGGCTCAAGGAGATGGACCGGAGGAAGCAATTGAGAGACTGTTGAGTCGGGGGACGCATGGAGCTATTCCTCGGTCGTCCTTGTTTTTGAGACCAAGAACCATTAACTTGTTGGCGTATAATAGAGAACCTGATGAAGAAGTTGGGGGAGGAGCTGGAGAAGATGAAGAGGGAGAGGATGATGGAGATGATGAAGATTATGAATGAGATGGGTAGAAGAAACTCAGATGGATGAATGGTATTATTAGTATTAGCATATAAAGTAAATTATTTAAAAAAAGGAAAAAAAAAGGAAAAAAAAAAGGAAATTCAATTATCATCATCGTCATCACTACTGATGATATCATCTTCTTCGAAAAAGACACCTGAAGACACGGATTTAGGAGATTCTTGTTTCTTTACCGGACTAGGTGTTTTGTTATCAGCTTCTGGTTGATGGGTGGAGACTGCGGCCAGCGTAGACTCCTTGATTGCAGCAGTAGCAGATTCGACATCATCCTGAAAGTCAGGGTCGACAAGAGCTCTTCGAGAGGCGTTTATATTATCTGCTCTTTTAATTTTTTCTTGCGCCTTTTCCTTTTTGGCAGCCACAGCTTCCTGACGTTTTTTATCACGCAAGTCCAGGTACGCTGCCAGTTCCTTTGCCTGTCTAAAAGACTTGTACCTACGTCCATCAAGTGTTTTAAAGTTATCATTAAGCGTAGGGTCTGGCCCATTACCACTACCCGAACCAGTGCCCTTGTGTCGTCGTCGCTTGGACATCTTGCCACCTTGGGCCTTGAGCATAGTACCAAACCCACCTTTGCCACCACGCAGGCGCACGTTGATGCGCACACGTACTAGAGTTGTGTCATTACATGTGTCAAAACATGTGGAGGGTTGGATTGGTTTTCCAGAAGAGTAAGACCAGTAGTATTGGGATGGGTGAAGGGATTCTGGAAGAAGAGAGTGAGAAAGTGTGGAAAGCAGGGAAAGAAGAGGTTGCTGTTTTTCAGAAGAGTTAAAAGTGAAGATTCGGGATTTAGAAGAAGAAGAAGAGAAAGAGGAAGAGTTTTCCGGGCCGAGTAACACGGGCGACTTATCGATTATTAGAGTGTGCATTATGGTGGTGGTGATTTTAGTTGAAAATTAAAAATCAGAAAAAAAAAAAAAAAAAAAATTATTGGGAAGGTTTTAAGAAATAATTTGTTTATGGGTGTTAAATTTAAAGTGTATATATTTCATAACCTAATTACTAATATATTATATAATAATGATTTAAACTAAACCTTACCTAAGGCTAGGTTTATAAGCCAAGCCAAGCCAACAAAAAAAAAAAAAAATACCAGCCGTTTCTTCACCAAAGGAGGAGGTTTTTTAAATTGTTTTTTATTTATTTATTTAAAGTTAATATAATTCTGAAGGGGTCTTTTATGGAAGGGTCTTTTGAAAGAGATATCTCCTCTTTTATTAAAATAAAAAAAAAAAAAAAAGAAATGGAGTTAAGGAAAAAGGAGGCTTATTGAAACTTTGAAAATACGCGTTTATTAATAAATAACATTTTAAGATTAAGAAAAATAAAAAAATAAACAAAACTTTTTTTTTTCCCCTCCAAATGACGTTTGCCTGTTGACGTTGCCTTTTCATTTTTAAACGTAGAAGTCATTATTTATTTATTTTTGCTATTAAGCCCTGATTTGAATACCAGAATTAAATTAAATTAAATTAAATTAAATTTAATTGAATTGAATTTAATTGAATACCAGATTTAAACTAAGTTAAACTGAATTAAATTTAATTTAATTGAATTCATACTACACACACACACACACAAAAAAAAAAACGTTTAATTACATAATATATGACTAACAAAATAATAGATTAAACGGCTGTGCTTGACACACGTGATATAAAAATATTTGTAAGCCCACGTGATATTTGCAAAATTTTTTTTTTTTTTTTTTTTTTTTTTCTTCTTTCAACAGTAGCAGCCTGGCAAGTCTTCAATTTGCCCATAAAACTTTTCAAATCATTCGAAATTTTCAAAATCAAAACCTTTACACTATTCTAATAGTAATAGTAATAATATTAATAATAAAAATAATAATACTAAATAATGTCGCGACCAGAGTTCACGGCTCCTCCTGAAATCTTCTACAATGAAGATGAAAGTAGAAAGTATACACAGTCAAACCGTGTCCAGCAAATCCAAGCTACCATGACTCTGCGTGCCTTGGAACTCCTCAACCTCCCCCCACACCAACTAATTCTTGACATAGGATGCGGATCCGGCTTATCTGGTGAGATTCTCACCGAAGAAGGTCCGCACGAGTGGATCGGGATGGATATTTCAGCATCGATGCTGGCGAATGCGCTCGACAGAGAAGTTGCTGGCGACTTGTTTCTCGCAGATATGGGTGCTGGTGTGCCCTTCCGAGCAGGTGTGTTTGACGCAGCAGTGAGCATCAGTGCCATCCAGTGGTTATGTAATGCTGACCGTGCAGATGCAGAACCTAAGCGTCGTTTGGCAGCATTTTTCGGGACTCTTTTCGCAGCTCTGAAGCGTGGTGGGAAAGTGTGTTGTCAGTTTTATCCTACATCTCAAAAGCAAACAGATGCCATTCTTTCCGCAGCAAAGACTGCTGGGTTTGGTGGTGGATTGGTAGTTGATGATCCGGAGTCTAAGAAAAATACAAAGTATTACTTGGTGCTAACTGCCGGACAGGTGGAAAATGAGGCCGAGCAGATTAATCTTGCTGGTGTGACGATGGATGAGGCCGTAAGACGGTCAAAGAAAAACGGTAGTGGGAAGAATGGCGAGACCCGGAAAGATTACATTAAGCGCAAGAAGGAACTACAGAAGTTACGTGGCAAGGTTGTCAAAGAAGACAGTCGGTACTCGGGACGCAAGCGTCGGCCACGGTTCTAAACGAGTGGACAAAATTTTATATATAAATTTATATATAAAAAAAATAAAAATTTGCATTTTTGGTAATATAAAATTTATATATTTATATATAGGAAGACTTTATATTTTTATATAAATTTTTATAGGGGGGGGTAAAAGAAAGTGGGTTATTTACGTAACTGCTTACGTATTGAAATTGAAATTTGCGTGTTTCTGTGTGAATTTTTTTTTTTTTTTTTTTTTTTTTTTTTTTTTTTAAAACGCGTTTGTTTGCAGCAGCCTTATGGGCAATCCAACCAGCTATTTTTAGCACCCAACCAGAAAATTTCAAAATGGATATAAAAGGGGGCCGCAATCCGCGACTTTTTTTTTTTTTTTTTTTACAACCTTTTTGGACCCTCTCCTTTTTATTTTTTTTTTATTATTCCCTTTTTTTTATATATATATATATATATAATATACAAATCCATCTAGAATTATAGATTATAAACAGTCATACACTCATACAATTCTATAAAATATACATCTATATATATATATACCCCTTAGTACACAATGAAACTTTCATACTTCATCGCCGGATTGATCCCGGCAGTTGCTCTTGCCGATAGCATCTCCTGCGACGCAAACAATAAGTGCCCGGAAGATTCGCCATGCTGCTCCCAATACGGTGTTTGCGGTACCGGTGCGTACTGTCTCGCAGCTTGTGACCCGCGATTCTCTTACAACATCTCAGCTTGCATGCCCTTACCCGTGTGCCAATCCAAGGATATTACCTTCACTTCTATTGACAATATTATTGACCAAAGCAAGTACCTCGGTGATGCTTCATCCTACGACTTTGTCACTAATGGTGACGTGCTTTCCTACAATGAAAATGTGCTTCTGACAATGGCCAATGGCTCCTACGGTACCGTTTTGTCATCGACTCGTGCCGTTTGGTACGGTAAGGTTTCCGCCACTCTTAAGACCTCTCGTACTCAAGGTGTTGTTTCTGCCTTTATTCTCATGTCTCCAGTCAAGGACGAAATCGATTATGAATTCATTGGCTCCTACCTCGAATCGGCCCAAACTAATTTTTACTGGCAGGGTGACCTCAATTATACAAACTCTCGCAACGTTTCACTTTCTGACACTTTTGAAAATTACCACACTTATACCGTTGATTGGACTGAAGACTCTATTACTTGGGCCGTCGATGGACAAACTGCTCGTACTCTTTACAAGGCTGATACTTATAACGCTACCTCTGGTGTTTACGAGTTCCCCCAAACCCCCTCTATCATTCAGATTTCCATTTGGCCCGGTGGCTCCAGCTTGAACCCCCAGGGTACTGTTGATTGGGCTGGTGGTTCCATTGACTGGAACGCTGCCGATATCCAGGACCCTGGTTACTTTTACGTTACTCTTAAGGATGTCTCCATTTCATGTTACGATGCTCCTTCTAACACTTCTTCCACCGGCAGTAACTCTTACAAGTACATTGACGTTGAGGGTCTTGAATCCAGCATTCAATTGTCAAGCGATGGCACTGTTCTTGGCTCCTTCGAGGCTGTTGGTTTTGATGTTAACAAGGGTTCCGACTCTAACCTTGAAAGTGTTTCCGGTTCAGTCCCCACTGGCGTTGCTGCTGGTTCTAACCAGAACCGTTCTGGTGACAGCAGCACTGAATCCGTTGCTGATGCTTCTGTTGTTTCCATTTCTTCTAGCACCTCCACTTCCACTTCATCTGAGTCTTTGGCTGATGCCACTGGCTCTGCTGCCAAAACCTCTTCCAAGTCTACTTCTTCTGCTGCTTCTTCTTCTTCTGAGTCTCTTGCTGAGGCCACTGGTTCTGCTGTCAAGACTTCTTCCTCTTCTGCTTCTTCTTCAGCCTCAGCCTCAGCCTCAGATTCAGCCTCTGCTTCAGATTCTTCTTCTTCTTCTGCTAAGGCTACCACTACTGGTGCTGCTTCTTCCTCTTCTTCTCCCTCTTCTACAGGCGCTGCTGAGTCCTCCTCTGCTGCTGCCACCACCACTGCCAACCAGGGCTTTGACCAGGGTAGCAGCACCACAACTACTTCTACAGCTGCCACCGGTGCCGGCTCCAAGCTTGTGGCATCATCTTTCTTGGGTCTTGCTGGTTTTGTTGTCATTGCCATGCTGACTGCTTAAGAGATAGATAGAATGAAGAGATTTTCAACTATGTTGTACAATGTCTACTTTTTTATCCCTCTTTGTATATTTTAATTTTATCCTTTCCCCCCCACCCCCTCTCACCCTTTCTCTTCTTCTCTCCTTAGTTGCACACGTTTTTTTTTCTTCTTCTTTTTGAGTTTTATAGAGATTTATAACTTATTTTTTTAATATATATTTTTACAAAAAAAATCAAAAACAAAAATTGTAAATGTATTAATTTTTTTTCTCTATATATATATATAAACTCTTTTAAAAGAGTTCAAGAAGTCTAATTGAATTTTTTTTTATTATTTCATGTGCCATGTGTATGAGAAAGAAAAAAAAAACAAAAGATTATTTTTAAAGTCTTTGCGCGTAGATTCATCGGAATGTAAACAAGAATAATTCCTCTTAACTAGGCTTAGACTCAAATATTTTAAATAAACCCCGCTAAGCCCATTAAAAATAAATAAATAAATAAATATATATATATAAATATATATTAAATGTTCTTTTACTCAGATCATTTTTGTTTTTTTTTTTTTTTATTTTTATTTTGCGGGGGAGAGAGAGAAAGAGAAAAAAAATAGAGCGAAACATGATAATAATATGAATGGTTTTTTTTTTTTAGTTTTTAGTTTTTAGTTTTTTCTTTTTTCTTTTTTTAGTTGTTTTTTTATAGAAAATAAAAGTTAATGATTTCATTATTTCATCATAGCTTCTTCTTTTTTTTTTTTTTTTTTTTTTCTTTCAAAAAAAATTTATAGTTTCTAGCATTCAAAGTTTTTTTTTTTATAGTAAGTTTTGGAGAGATTTTGTTTTGCATAATATATGTCTATAATCATCATCAACATTGTTCCTCCCTTTTCCCCTTATAATTATAATCCATTTGTTTGACCAATTCTTTTTTTTTTTAATAGCAAAAATGATTTCATTTTATTCATAAAAAAAAAATAACATCATTATTATTCTTTAAAGTGTAATATTCGAAAGGAGTATTTTAAATTTTTTTTTTTTGAGAGATTCCTTTAAAAAGAATATCACCATATCACCTATATTTATATCTTGGCTACTTTTAGTACAACAAACTTTTCTTTCCTTCTTTACTCTTTGTTGTTATTGAATGTACGCATCACACATATTATATAGCTATAAATATATATATATTCATGAATATCAAACGCGCGATTTTTTTTTCTTTTCTCTTTCTCTCCCAAATCAGGAAACAGAACATCTATTTTAGGGTAGTAAGTAGCTATTAAAAGTCGCCCAGCATTTATTTATATATTTAGGTCTTATGGGGGGGGGGAAGAGAGAGAGAGAGGTTTTTATTTTATTTTATATTTGTTACAACAATATTACTAACTACTTAGTTATAACTATGGATGAAAAAAAAAACCGTTTTTTTTAATTATTATGTAATTACAACTACATACCTAGTTTGTTACACACTTCGTTTACATAACAATTGGTAATTACTTACCTCATTTAATACCTTCGCGAACCAACTTTAATATCTCTTCTATTCTTCTTCTTCAAATAAACAAAAAACCTTTAAATTTCAAATTTCAAATTTCAAATTTTTTTGTATTGCTTTATAATAAAAAAAAAAAAAATTAATAATAAAACTTATATAAAATGATATTCAATTAGAAAAAAAAAATATTTAGTAAAATAATATTTACACAACAAAGAGTAACTGACTCTCTTACTGCTCAAGAGCAGGCCCTGGAATGGCCCCTGAGGGAACACCCACTACAGGCTTTCTACCCTTGTCCTTATCTCCACCATCCCGTTTATCTCTAATATCCTCACTCTTGACTACTGTGTTAGTCACTGTCTTTTCCTTATCAAGCTTAGACCCTTCAACTACCTTCTCAATCTCCTCCTTGTCAAGAGTCTCATACTCAAGTAACCCATTGGCCAACCGCTCAAGCTCAATGTGCCGCGCCTTAAGCATCACCCGCGTGCGATCCTCAGACTCCACCAGCAACCGTCGAATCTCTTGCTCAGCAGCGTGCCGTGTACTTGCCGACCAGTCATTCCAATCCTCAGACAACTGTACAGGTCCAATCTCATCTGACATGCCAAACGACGTCACCATAGCACGGGCCACCTGGGTCGCTGCTTTAAGGTCCGAAGAGCATCCAGAAGTCACATTCTCAGGACCATTCACCATTTCTTCTGCAACACGGCCTCCCATGCACACATCCAACCGGGCCAACAGCTCCTTGCGAGTTTGATCGTACTTGTCCATCTCTGGCAGCTGGAAAGTAATGCCCAGAGCAGAGCCACGGGGGAGAATCGTTGCCTTGTATAGCGACGTTGCGCCAGGGGTATACAGTGCCATAATGGCATGGCCAGCCTCGTGGAATGCTGTGTTTTTGCGCGACTCTTCCGTCAGCACCATGGTTTTACGTGCAGCACCAAGTAAAATCTTGTCCTTAGCCCACTCAAAGTGTTGCATATTCACCGACATGGCCTTCTCCTGGGATGCATGGATAGCCGCTTGGTTCACAAGGTTCATCAAGTCAGCACCGGAAAATCCAGAAGTACCACGAGCAATGACGGAGGGGTCCACATCTTTAGCCGTTTCCACCTTCTTCATGTGGTGCTTGAGAATGGCGATACGCCCGCGCACGTCGGGTAGATCCACGTGCACAATCTTGTCAAAACGGCCGGGTCGCGTGAGCGCCTTATCGAGCATTTCTGGGAAATTTGTTGCCGCAATGAAGATGACGCCAGTTGTTTGCGAAAAACCATCGAGATCAACAAGCAGTTGGTTAAGAGTTTGCTTTGAGTAGGCATGGTCTTTGGGGTTTCTCTTGCCACCAATGGCGTCAAGCTCATCGATAAAAACAATAGCTGGGGCTTTTGCGCGTGCGGCGGCAAACAACTCACGCACACGCTTAGCTCCCACACCAACGTACAGCTCGTCAAATTCGGAGCCACTCATGAAAAAAAAGGGCACGCCAGCCTCGCCAGCAACTGCACGGGCAAGCAAGGTCTTACCAGTACCTGGGGGGCCAGTCAGCAAAATACCCTTGGGGAGTTTGCCTCCAAGGCCAGTGAACTTGGAGGGGTCTTTAAGGAAATCCACAACTTCTTCGAGTTCGGCACGGGCTTCATCAACGCCTTGGACGTCTGAAAAGCGCACTGAGGATTGGGTTCCGTTAGGGTCATCAATGATTTTAGCCGAGGAGATCTCTGGCGAGGCACCACCTTTAAAGATGGACGGGGAAGATTCAGAAAAGAAGGAAAGTCCAGTCATGATACCCCAACCAGCAAGACCCATGGGGATGAGCCATTTAAGCCATTTGAGAATGGTGGCCAGGGGTGACTCATTAATGACGACGTGGATGGGTTCTGCAGAGGTTCCACGAAGAGCAGCAAGCGCAGAGGCTGAGAAAGCGGATGCTGCACCGGCACCGGCACCAGCACCAGCACCGACGCCACCCTGGTCCAGAGAAGCTGCAACCTGAGCAGCCTTGTCAAAGTCGCCAATGGCTCTCAGGGCAGCAATATAAACCTGGGCTGCTTCTGGGGATCTAGCGACGGAGGGTGTTTCATAACGTGAGATGACCACATGGGGGTAGTTTGCTGCAAGCAGGGTCTTGAGGAAATCAGCCTGGATGGCGGGGTTTGCGAGGGCTCTATTTGCCTGAGTTTCTTTAGCATGGAGCGACGACGATAGACTTTGAGGCGACTGTTGTTGTTGCTGAGACTGCTGTTGCTGAAATGGCCATGGGAATAGCGACAGCGATCTATTCTGGTTGAGCAGCAGGCGGGCCGCCTGTCGTTGTTGTTGCCGTAGGGCAGATTTTGTGGTGGCGATTCTGAGCATTTTTGGTGGTTGTAAAAGGTGTGTGGATAAAGAATGGGAGGTTTTAAAAAGTTTGGTGGCAGTGATTTATTTTTTTATTTTAATTATTTTAATTATTTTAATTATTTTAACAAAATTTAACCAAATTTAATAATTTCAATAATTTTTAATTTATTTTAATTTATTTTAATTTATTTTAATTTTTTTTAAATTTATTTATTTTACAGTCACATGACCAGTCTATTTCTGGAGAGTGCGGAAAAAGTCCATGCACGCGGTAAAGACCACCAACAGAATACCACCGCCGGGTCCAAGACGCAACACCTTGGGGAAAAAGCCCTTGTAGAGTGCCCCAAAGCCCTCCTCCTTGTAAACAAGTGCAACTGAAGGAATTGTCCAGTTGTACTTGGGAATAACACCGGCAACGCGGGTTGTGTTTTGGATGCGGCTCTTGACGACATCAAAGGGTGTATTGAGCATGGTACCGACGGTACCACCAATGGCACCAGAGATGAGATCGTTGCGGATCTTAGCAGAGTTGTTTTCGGGTTTGGGCAGCATGTCACGGACAGAGAAAATGATACCAAAGTAACCAGCGTTCCAGGAAATGTGGCGCCAGAGAGTAGCCTCAAGACCGTTGTAAAGAGCAAGCAGACCCTCTTGACGAACAATGGCTTGGAAAACATCAATCATGCCCTTGTACTTAGAAGACTTGTCCTGGAGACGGATCTTGACGAGCTCGAAGGGAACAACGACAAAGGACTCGGTAGCACCGGCAGTGGCACCTGTAAGAATGGCCAGAGGTTGGTTCATCTTCTCCACTCCAAAGAGATTGCGGTAAAACTTTCCCCACTCATCATTGGCAGCAAACTTAGTGGCACGCTTGGGAGCCTCCATGAGGATAGGAGCACTAATACCACGGTACAGACGGGAGAAACCTTCCTGCTTGACAATCTTGGACATGCAGTCAAACATATTTTTGTAAGCCTCTTCACCATTGGGGCCCTTGACCTGGAGTTGCATGCGCGTCTTGACCACATCCAGAGGGTACATGACGAGAATCTCTGAGATACCGGCAACGGCACCGGCAGCGAACTGGAAGTGGAAAGGAAGAGGTTCTAGAGATGGCGTTAGAATTGGCTTGGAAGGATTGAAGAGAATGACTTACTAGCGTCGTTGGACATTTTGGTGATGGTGGTGGTGGTGATTTTGTTTGGGGGGGTTCTGGTTGGAGGAGGAAGAAGAAAAAAAAAAAAAAATTAAAAGGGGAGAATTTTGAAGACAAAAAAAAAATTCTCGGGAAAGTGGAGTTTTCAATGTAGAAAGAGGGGTAAGTTACCGGGTACGGTACGGGACGATAATAATGGACGGGTCACGAAAAAACGTAGTTAGGCACGAAAAGAGAATGGAGTTACTGAAGGTAACTTGTTATCAGTTATCTGAAAAAAGCAGAGAAAGAAGGTGGGAAATTTTTATTTTTTTTTTTTTTGCCGCGCCTTTCTTTCTAAAGACTTTAAATGGATTTAAATGGATTTAATTAATTTCAATTAAAGGAATTTTTTTTTAATTTTTTAGAAATAATTTTCAAGTAATGTTAAAGAAAAAGAAAAAGAAAAAGAAAAAAGAAGAACTTCTGATAAAAAGTCAGTGTGATGGACATAATTATTTCATAAGAAAAAAAAAAGTGGGCCGTGTAAAAATATTCGATATAACAGATATTAAAATAAAATAAAAATAAAATAAAATAAAATGATAAGATTATTATAATTTGGACTTTGATGACTTTGATAAAAAAATAAATAAATAAACAAAGTGATAACAACAGAATGGTCTTTTATTTTTATGGACATGAATAGATAAAACGCCTATGATTTTGTACGCCAAAGAAAGTCTACTAATACTATCTATAATATCTTTATACAAGTCTAATCGGTTGCAACAAACTTGTTAAACTCTTACAAACAAGCAATACAATCCATCTACATGGTCATGTAGATGTGATTTATTTTTTCTTCTATTTCAAACGAAATAAATAAAAAGCCTGGTTGATGCTTATTTACTAATTTATTATATTTCTCTCCAGATTCTTTTTCAACAGCTCTGAATAAAAAGATAGAAGCGTTTCTAACTAGTGCAGCGCTTATCCGATCAATTAAAAATGTTTGTCTCTATCTGGTCTGGAATAATATGGAAAACAGCCCACAAAAAAAATTGCAGCATCTTAGCACTATATCAGTTTTGTTCTCTCTATTTTAATATATATATTAAAATAGAGAGAACAAAACTGGTTCTATATAAAAATATTGTAAAAAAAAAAGAAGTCTTAATTGATCTAAATCAAGGATGATCAAAATTGATTTAAAAGATAAACTAGGTTTTGATTATTTTTTTACTGGCAAAGGTGAGGTCAATCCTTTTCCAATTATTCGGCAATTAAATGAAATAAAAACAAAGAAAAAAAAAGGGTTGACATGAATAGACAAAAGTCAACGATGATCATCATAATAACGCTTAATGGTTTTAACGTATAGAAGTTGTGTGTCTTTAAGTAATTCCAAGATGAGTAAAAATAAGAGGTGGAGGAAGTAGCATTGCTACACAAACAACGACAATAACATGGAGCAAAAAGCATACAATTAATTGATTTAAGAATTAGTATTCAAAAAAATAAATTAAAAATAAAGGTTCAAATATCTAAGGGTCTAGATGGATAAAGGGATAAAAGGAAATGTATATCTATATATATTTGTTGGGGATGGTGAGGGGAATACTAATATCAATTTCGATACCAATTTCAATATACAAATTAATAATATATTGATCATAATACAGATGACGGTGATTACAGGAATATTAACGTTCGCGCCATTATCGATGACAACACAAGCAGCCTCAATATTGTGAGAATGGAAAAAGAAGTAACTAAAAAAAAAATTAAATGAAAAAGGGTTCAAGAGGACAACAGAATTAGAAAATTGGTTAATGAATAATCACCAAAATTCAAAGAAATATTCAAAAATAGCAAAATAGGAGTTAGGGGGTAAGGTGTAAGCCCACAAACATGATAAAATAGGAGAACAGAAAGGACAATGGGTTGATTCTCCACAACACAAAACAATCGACAAAAAGGCTGCATTATACTTTCGTCAATGGTAAACGTGGTTCCTCTGGTAATCCAAGAGGTGGTCAATATGCAGGGTAAAGGTCGGCACTCCTTGATTAATCTTTGACCAATCATCAAATCATTGAGTAACAGAAAGCACAATGGGTCGATTCACCACAACATAATCGACAAAGAAGCTGCATCACACTTTCATCAATGGTAAACGTGGTTCCTCTGGTAATCCAAGAGGTGGTCAATATGCAGGGTAAAGGTCGGCACTCCTTGATTAATCTGCGACCAACCATCGAACATTGAGTAACGGAAAGCACAATAGGTCGATATAATGGTGTTGTAAATTGTAGTGAGGTAATGGTATGAATGTGAGTGTGGTAGTTGCTTGCAGAAGCAGTTGCCGGTTGTTACAAACGATCTTCATAAGTTCCTTTAGTTTATCCAACATGTGTCTGCGATAATGAATGCATGATCATTAACGATGGATGTATAGAGTTGTTTTGATTGAGGAGCCGATAAATGAACCTTTTGTGGAGAACCATGACTGTATAGCTTTGGAGTTGAGAGAATTGCATGATTGTCTAAAAGAGAGTTAGTTCAATGAGCTAAGTTTTGGGGGTATTGGAATGAGTAGACTTACCAAAACACGACTGCAACAATAACAAAATCAATGATGGCAAAGGATGACGGTAGAGCTTTGGAGTTGAGAGAATTGCATGATTGTCTAAAGAGAGTTAGTTCAATGACCTAAATATTGGGTACATTTGAATAAGTAGGCTTACCAAATGATGACTGCAACAATAACAAAATCAATGATGGCAAAGAATGATAGTTTAGTCTTGAGGTTGAGCAAATCATATATTTGTCTGGTAAAGGGTTAGATCAATGACCTAAGTATTGGGTGCATTGGAATAAGTAGACTTACTAAAAGACGATTGCAGCATGTTGAAAGTAATAATTTTAAAGCAAACAAGGATGCTAGTGAGTATGAATATCGTATGATATGGTAATTAATAGATCATAATTGATAATAGTGATAATAGTGATAATAGTGATAATAGTGATAATAGTGATAATAGTGATAATAGTGATAATAGTGATAATAGTGATAATAGTGATAATAGTGATAATAGTGATAATAGTGATAATAGTGATAATAGTGATAATAGTGATAATAGTGATTCATGGTTGGCAGTAGTGGTTTACGGTTGGTAATAGTAAATAATAGTTGATAGTCGTAGAAGGTGATATAGTTATAGGGTAAAGATTAAAAAAATAAAAAAAAAATAAATAAATAAAAGAATAAAAAATTGCCGAAAAGAATGAATGATAATTGAAAATAGATAAAAAAAAATCAAAAAGGCATGAGGACAGCCTTTTATTTATAACTCCATAGCTCTTTATTATTTTAAAATTTGACTTCTTTATATTGGAATTTCTCAACCAAATAACATAATTATGAGAGAATCAATAGCGAGGGGCAAGGACGATACTCTTCAATTAATGTACCACCAACCATCAAAACATTGAATAAATGAAATCATAATGGGTCGATGTACCACAACACAAAATAATCGGCAATGAGGCTGAATCATACTTTCATCAATGGTAAACGTGGTTCCTCTGGTAATCCAAGAGGTGGTCAATATGCAGGATCAAGGTCGGCACTCCTTGATTAATCTGCGACCAACCATCAAACATTGAATAACTGAAAGCATAATGGTGTTGTAAGTGGTAGTTAGGTAGTGGTAGTAAGGTAGTGGTAGTAAGGTAGTGGTAGTAAGGTAGTGGTAGTGTAGTAAGTGGTACGTGAAGTGGTACGTGAAGTAACAGTTGAAATCGTCGATGTAGTTGAAGTCGTCACGTCTGAATAACCGTAATGATAAATCCCTTGAATTTACCTTGGATGAGATGTCAGGTTTGGGACATTCAGTGATATAGTCATATTGATTATCTCGATTACAAAGGAACCTATGATAATTAATGTTGAAGATTTAGCATTGACCTCGAGCCGATCGTATATTTTTTCTAGTAGAGAGTTAGATTAGGAACCTAAATATTAGATGCGTTCGTATATGAAAACTTACAAAAAGTAGGCTTTAATAATAAAGGAATTAATGATGGCTTGATATGATTATATGCTTCCGAGGTTATGTTTAGGGGGTCTATTAGAATGTTAGATCAATAACTTGGGCATTGGGTGCATTGGGTGCATTGGGTGCATTGACATAAGAAGACTTACCAATAGACGACTATTATGTATAAAGGGATAATAGTGAAGAAATGTGAGGGAGAGTGTTTGTGAATAGTGTGGTGTGGCAAATAGTTGTTGATCATAGTTGATAGTAGTTGATAGTAGTTGATAGTAGTTGATAGTAGTAGATTGTATTAGATGGTAGTAGATGGTAGTAGATGGTAGTAGATGGTAGTTGATAGTAGTAGATGGTAGTAGATGGTAGTAGATGGTAGTTAATAGTAGTAAATGATACTGGATGATATTTCTAGAGGTAAAAAATAAAAATGAATAATAAAATTTGAGAAAAGTGAATGGTAAAAGAAAAGAAATAAAAATCAAAAAGACGGGGAAAATCACTTTTATTTATACCTCCTTACAAATATCTTCAATAACAATAAAACTTCTTTTTATGGAAATTTTTTAATAAAATAAAAACCAATATATCATTGATCCTGTTGTGGATTTTTTTAACTATCCATTTTTTTTCACATGCTAAGATAAGTTTCTTAGAAAGCCAGCCTAGTATTATAAAGGTTCATACTCCTCATAGAAGTATAAACTAGAAGCCATACAGACATTCAACAATTTGGGGTATTGGATATAAGTTTTGAAAATATAAAATAAACAATAAATTTTAGAACGAAAAAAAAACATAACAGATTTGATTTCGAGCAAGCTTAAATGCAAATTGTAAAAGGGAATCATGGACAAGTATTTGCAGGTGGTTAATCTAGGTTCGTGATGAGGATCAAAATAAGGATTAGGAATAGGGCTGTGGTAGGGCTGTGGTTGTAGTTAAATTTTAATATGACCACTAAAAATCCTGTCTCCCAAAGTTTTTTTTTATTTTTTTTCTTTTGTTAAATCTCTATATTTTTTTATTCTGATTTTTTTTTCATTGATATTAATTGATTTTGATCTTTATTACCGTTTTAAATATAATTCCATTAACAGTCTTAATACTTTATTTTCTCGCTCTGTTATACCTCTCTATTTTCCGAATTTTTCTCTTTTGGCATCGAGGTTTACATTGACAACTTCCCCAAATATGGCTTAATTGCAGCTCATAAGAACTATGAGTTCTACAATATAAACTCTACACCATCCTATTAATTGATTTTGTAATTCCTTTTAGTGATATTTAGACTTTAAATTTCTTGAAAGTTACTCCGATTAGTTTTAGAGAGCCGATATATCTATCACAAAAGATATCCTCCTCAATCGGTTTCTATCATCTTCCAGCAAAAGATTCTTAGCATGAAAGTGCATAAATGTTTTTTAACTTAAAATTTTTTTCAATGAGAACCAACAAAATAACTGTTTCCAACTTGCTCCACTTGCGGTTGTAGCTTTCCTTTTCAATTCCAAACTTTTGTAACCATTAACCAAAATTGTTTATGACCCACATCAAACTGAACAGTGGTACTCAAAATCTCATCAAAGTCCTATTCCGGTTTTTTGATAATGTAGAAAATTTAAATTAAATTATAAATGTACCATCAAATCGATTTGGATTGTTTTTTTATTTAGATCAGTTTCAGCATGTTCCTTCTATAATTTGATGATTCATGAAAATATTGGTACGAAGTATATATTTTGTAAAATTAACGGCGAAACTGTAAGGTGTGGGGGAATTTTAGTATATATTTTTTGAACTAAAGATTTACTTCTGTCTATCCACATACCGACTTACCTTTTACTTAAACACTTATACATTTATTATATGAGATCAATTATAGTTTCAGATGTTTCAATTGAAGAGCCTAATTATTTCTGATAACAGTTATGGAAGCATAATCAGAATTTTTTTATTTTGGACATATTAAAATATATTTTAATTCTTTGCACAGTATTAAAAACAGTCCCAGTAAAAATATATCCTAAGTTTCCTCAATGTTCTTTCTATGGAAAAATTTTAAAAAGTCATTGGCTCCTACTTTTTGTATATTTAAGAGGAAATGTTAAGCAAAGAAATTGGTTAGTAGTCTTTTTCCTATTAACTGTAATTTTTTGTAGTTTATTTGTGACTGCAATAATACCATACCTCGAAAATGTTCAGGAATATGCAAAATTCACACAAGTTAAAAGAATCTTGGAATTATTTATTTGGTGATATCTTACCAAGATAACTTTTAAACTTTGCCAATAATTTTATTATGTCCTGGTACTTTTGAATCTCGGGTATCAGTAAATGCTGAGTCAACTTCATCATGATGAAGTAACTTATCAGTTAAAAATTTGGACTATCTAGAATATCCTACTTAAAATCACTTTCTATAGTATAAATATCTATTGCTAGAGGCAGTGATTTCAAGACATTAATTTTTTTTTGATTCGTAGAAGCGAGTATGCAGTCTTATTGAATAATTTAAGACCTAATGATATAACAAGACATATATTTATTGCACTACTCAAAACAAGCTTCACAAATACCATAATGTTAAAAAGTTTTCCTCTTTGCTGTGAGTTTTCTTTCAAGTGTTATAGAAATACATAACATCAACATCGGCGCTAGCGATTTTATTTCTACTATATAGCTATCCGTTTTAACAATCTACTTTTGAGTTGACTTTAACATTTGAATCGACAAAAGCCCAAAAATAAGCCATGTAGGTTAAGAGTTGGATATAAAAATCTATTGTTTTATCAAGAGATCTGAATAGGCATAAAGTAGAGGTATAACTGTTAGGCAAAGACAGCTTGGCGCAACGAAAAAAAAGGGTGTAACCAAGAACAATAATGCTGGGGAGGTTACCCCTATAACCTCCCTTCCAATTTAGTATTACGAGAGTTTAAACTTCAACTAAGGATCCAGGGTACTACGGTAAACAGAATGGTCGACTCTTTATTCAGTATAATTAAACTCAGAAAATTGCAAGTTTCATCTCCAAAAGAGAAGACACAGAATGAAAGTGGAAATAGATCCAATAGTTTTGAGAGGATAAAATTTGGTTCTCCCAGTTGATCGAATCCTTGAATCAGGGCTAATCTTCAGGAATAGCCGTAAGAGGCAGATCGAAAGAACTGGTGGTGAAAGAGACAAAGAACGATTAAAAGAATATCATTGAAGGCCATAACCATGGAAACGGTAAATATTGCTCTAGAATTAAAGTGAAAACAAACCAAAAAAAGGTTACTGAATTGATGAATATAAATTATATATAAATTATATATAAATTTATATATAATTCCTTTAAAGGATAAATTAAAGATTGAAAATATAGTGATTTAACGAAAGAAAAAAAAAATAAGAAAAAAACTTTGGGAGACAGGATTTTTAGTGGTCATATTAAAATTTAACTACAACCACAGCCCTACCACAGCCCTATTCCTAATCCTTATTTTGATCCTCATCACGAACCTAGATTAACCACCTACAAATACTTGTCCATGATTCCCTTTTACAATTTGCATTTAAGCTTGCTCGAAATCAAATCTGTTATGTTTTTTTTTCGTTCTAAAATTTATTGTTTATTTTATATTTTCAAAACTTATATCCAATACCCCAAATTGTTGAATGTCTGTATGGCTTCTAGTTTATACTTCTATGAGGAGTATGAACCTTTATAATACTAGGCTGGCTTTCTAAGAAACTTATCTTAGCATGTGAAAAAAAATGGATAGTTAAAAAAATCCACAACAGGATCAATGATATATTGGTTTTTATTTTATTAAAAAATTTCCATAAAAAGAAGTTTTATTGTTATTGAAGATATTTGTAAGGAGGTATAAATAAAAGTGATTTTCCCCGTCTTTTTGATTTTTATTTCTTTTCTTTTACCATTCACTTTTCTCAAATTTTATTATTCATTTTTATTTTTTACCTCTAGAAATATCATCCAGTACCATTTACTACTATTAACTACCATCTACTACCATCTACTACCATCTACTACCATCTACTACCATCTACTACTATCAACTACCATCTACTACCATCTACTACCATCTACTACCATCTACTACTATCAACTACCATCTACTACCATCTACTACCATCTACTACCATCTACTACCATCTACTACTATCAACTACTATCAACCACTATCAACTACTATCAACCACTATCAACTACTATCAACCACTATCAACTACTATCCACTACTATCCACTACTATCCACTACTATCCACTACTATCCACTACTATCAACTATGATCAACTATGATCAACTATTCCCCATACCCTACTATCCATAACCAATCCCCCTCAATTTTTTTTTACTATTATCCCTTTAAACATGTTACAGTTATCTATTGGTAAGTCTTCTTATGTCATTGCGCCCAATGCCCAAGTTGTTGATCTAACATTCTAATAGACCCTCTAAACATAACCTCGGAAGCATATAATCATATCAAGCCATCATTAATTCCTTTATTATTAAAGCCTACTTTTTGTAAGTTTTCATATACGAACGCATCTAATATTTAGGTTCCTAATCTAACTCTCTACTAGAAAAAATATACGATCGGCTCGAGGTCAATGCTAAATCTTCAACATTAATTATCATAGGTTCCTTTGTAATCGAGATAATCAATATGACTATATCACTGAATGTCCCAAACCTGACATCTCATCCAAGGTAAATTCAAGGGACTTATCATTACGGTTATTCAGACGTAACGACTTCAACTACATCGACGATTTCAACTGCTACTTCACGTACCACTTCACGTACCACTTACTACACTACTACTACCTTACTACCACTACCTTACTACCACTACCTCACATCCACTACCTAACTACCACTTACAACACCATTATATCAACCCATTATGCTTTCAGTTGTTCAATGTTTGATGGTTGGTCGCAGATTAATCAAGGAGTGCCGACCTTGACCCTGCTTATTGACCACCTCTTGGATTACCAGAGGAACCACGTTTACCATTGATGAAAGTATGATTCAGCCTCATTGCCGATTATTTTGTGTTGTGGTACATCGACCCATTATGATTTCATTTATTCAATGTTTTGATGGTTGGTGGTACATTAATTGAAGAGTATCGTCCTTGCCCCTCGCTATTGATTCTCTCATAATTATGTTATTCGGTTGAGAAATTCCAATATGAAGAAGTCAAATTTTAAAATAATAAAGAGCTATGGAGTTATAAATAAAACGCCGTTCTCCTCCCTTTTTGATTTTTTATCTATTTTCAATTACCACTCATTCTTTTCAGCAATTTTTTTTTATTCTTTTATTTTTATTTTTATTTTTTTTCTTTTATTTTTTTTAATCTTTACCTTTACAACTATATCACCTTCTACGACTATCAACTACTAATATTTACTATTACCAACCATAAACCACTACTGCCAACCATGAATCACTATTATCACTATTATCAATTATAATCTATTATTTACCATATCATACGATATTCATACTCACTATCCTTGTTTGCTTTAAAATTATTACTTTCAACATGCTGCAATCGTCTTTTAGTAAGTCTACTTATTCAAATGTACCCAATATTTAGGTCATTGAACTAACTCTCTTTAGACAATCATGCAATTCTCTCAACTCCAAAGCTCTACCGTCATCCTTTGCCATCATTGATTTTGTTATTGTTGCAGTCGTGTTTTGGTAAGTCTACTCATTCCAATACCCCCAAAACTTAGCTCATTGAACTAACTCTCTTTTAGACAATCATGCAATTCTCTCAACTCCAAAGCTATACAGTCATGGTTCTCCACAAAAGGTTCATTTATCGGCTCCTCAATCAAAACAACTCTATACATCCATCGTTAATGATCATGCATTCATTATCGCAGACACATGTTGGATAAACTAAAGGAACTTATGAAGATCGTTTGTAACAACCGGCAACTGCTTCTGCAAACAACTCCCACACACTCACACACACTCACACACACTCACACACACTCACACACACTCACACACACTCACACACACTCACATTCATACCTCACTACAATTTCCAACACCATTATATCGACCTATTGTGCTTTCCGTTATTCAATGTTTGATGGTTGGTCGCAGATTAATCAAGGAGTGCCGACCTTTACCCTGCTTATTGACCACCTCTTGGATTACCAGAGGAACCACGTTTACCATTGATGAAAGTGTGATGCAGCTTCTTTGTCGATTATGTTGTGGTGAATCGACCCATTGTGCTTTCTGTTACTCAATGTTTGATGGTTGGTCGCAGATTAATCAAGGAGTGCCGACCTTGATCCTGCATATTGACCACCTCTTGGATTACCAGAGGAACCACGTTTACCATTGATGAAAGTATGATTCAGCCTCATTGCCGATTATTTTGTGTTGTGGTACATCGACCCATTATGATTTCATTTATTCAATGTTTTGATGGTTGGTGGTACATTAATTGAAGAGTATCGTCCTTGCCCCTCGCTATTGATTCTCTCATAATGATGTTATTTGGTTGAGAAATTCCAATATGAAGAAGTCAAATTTTAAAATAATAAAGAGCTATGGAGTTATAAATAAAAGGCTGTCCTCATGCCTTTTTGATTTTTTTTATCTATTTTCAATTATCATTCATTCTTTTCGGCAATTTTTTATTCTTTTATTTATTTATTTTTTTTATTTTTTTAATCTTTACCTTTACAACTTTATCACCTTATATGACTATCAACTATTTTTCACTATTACCAACCGTAAACCACTACTGCCAACCATGAATCACTATTATCACTATTATCACTATTATCACTATTATCACTATTATCAATTATGATCTATTATTTACCATACCATACGATATTAATATTCACTATCATCCTTGTGTTCTTTAATATTATTACTTTCAACATGCTGCAATTGTCTTTTGGTAAGTCTACTTATTCCAATGCACCCAATACTTAGGTCATTGATCTAACCCTTTACCAGACAAATATATGATTCGCTCAACCTCAAGGCTAAACTGTCATTCTTCTCCATCATTGATTTTGTTATTGTTGCTGTCGTATTTTGGTAAGTGTACTTATTCCACTTTACGCAATGCTTAGCTCATTGAATTAACTCTCGTTTAGACATTGACACGATTCACCCAACCTCAATGATACAGTCATGGTTCTCCACAAACGGCTTCTTTACCGAAACCTCAATCAAAGGGACTTTATCTGTGTATAGTTAATGATCATGCATACAACATTGTGGTCACATCTTAAATAAACTAGTGGAACAGGTGAATATCGTTTGTGACAACCTGTATGTACCACTTCTACTTCCACTTCAACTACCCTACGTCCACACACACACACACATGCACATACACACTCACATACTCACATTCATACCTCACTACAATTTACAACACCATTATATCGACCTATTGTGCTTTCTGTTATTCAATTTTTGATGGTTGGTCGCAGATTAATCAAGGAGTGCCGACCTTGATCCTGCTTATTGACCACCTCTTGGATTACCAGAGGAACCACGTTTACCATTGATGAAAGTGTGATTCAGCCTCATTGCCGATTATATTGTGTTGTGGTGAATCGACCTATTGTATTTTCAGTTATTCAATGTTTTGATGTTTGGCCTCAGAATAAACAAGGAGTGCCGACCTTGACCCTGCATATATATGCAATATATTGACCACCTCACGGTTATTGAGACGTACCACGTCGACTATGAATGATTCATTTTATGCTTCATTAGTTTATACAGCTTTCATTATGTTTTAGTAATCTTGCGTAGCTTTAGCATTTTGTATATTTTTTTTATGCTTTATATTCCCTACCTTGACTAGCTTAAATTCTCCAAAGCTGTGAATAAGATTTTAATTTGTTTGCTAGGTTTTAAATCATTTAACATGATGCTGGGGACATTGAAATTCTTTGGAAATTAATTTGAACTTGTAACAGACATGAGCTGAATTGAAGCATTGAAGGCAATCTGTTACAACCATCTAGTGGAGAGTTCCTTTGTTGGTGATGATTTGCAATAATGTAGTACCTTAATCTTTTATTAATACTGGACGCGTTAAAGCTTTTGAATCAATCAATATAACCTCCTTCTATTTCTGGCTAAAGGTTCAGAAACAATATTTATAAACTTGGAGTTGTATGTTGAGGTTCTAGTAACTAATATTTTCTTTTTTAAACAACGTTTTCCCTGTGTTGCCAGTTTGTGACTATAACTTGATATATATATCTCTAATATTTTGACCAATTAATAAGCTCTTGCGTGGAATTTCTTTTAATGGAATTTAGCAAAACTCAGTTTATTTCACTATAATTATAGTTTTCATAAAACACTTTTCACAGAGAGTTTCAAGATTTTTTCAATATTTTTTTTTATACGTCTTTTTCTCAAACAGCATGTTTTGCCCATAAAAAAAGAAAAATAAAAAATATTTTGATAGAAGTCCAGGTTGAGTTAGTTTTAGAAATTATGGGCCAGCAGAGTTTGAACTTCCCACCCCACAAATATCCAGCAATAAATAATATTTCAATTCAAGATAAGAAAAAGTAAATTTACCATAAATCAACTTAAATATTTTTTATTTATTTATTTTTTTATTTTATTTTATTTTATTTTCATTAAATTAATTGATAAAAAAAACTACTAATACACTTTACATAATGACCTCGTTCTTGACGTCAGTCTTGATTTCCTTGTGGGGTAACACAAGGACGTTTTGGACATGGACTTCATCGGCCACAGAAACATTGGACGCAAGAATGGTGACACCATCGGGAGCGCCAGATGCAGGAGTATGATGGCCAGTACCCTCGACACGGGCCCATGCGCCAACTTTCGAGTCGGATGAAACAATGGAGTTGAGAACCACAGAGTCGTGCTTGAGCTCGACGCCGCCGAGAACAATAGAGTCACGAACACGAGCACCAGCGCCGATCTTGGCATTGGGGCCAATGGAGACGTTAGGACCCAGTTTAGCAGAGTCGTCGACTTGAGCCGAGGGGTCTACAAATACAGGGGGGACGATAGTAGCAGAGGGGGCACGGAGACCAGGGGCTGAGGGGTTAGCTTGGAAGAGTTTTTGGAGGTAGAGGGAGTTTGCAGGGACGGCGGAGCCTGCAGTTTTAATTTGGAGCCAAAAGTCTTTAGTTTCATAAACATAGAAGGAGCCAGTTTGAGGGAGACGCACAAGAACGTCTTGTTCGAGACGAAGAACGTCTTGGTCGTCATCACCGAAACGAGATGCACTAGCTTCATCACGAGCAGTTTTAGCCTCTGCAATGGTGTCGAAAATAGTTTTATCAAAGAGGTAGACACCAGCATTGATGAGGTTTGAGACTTTAGACTCTGGTTTTTCCACATAATGAAGAACACGGCCAGTTTTGGGTTCGGCCACAATGCAACCATAATTGCGAGCCTCATCCTTGTGGACGCGAGTTCCTAGAATGACAGCCTTTGCCTGTTTTTCGAGGTAAAGAGTGTCAATTTCTTTAAGGGGGAAAGAGCAGCAAACATCTGCATGGATGACGAAAAACTTTGAGGGATTACCCTTAAGGATTTCATCACGGAAGTGGTAAAGGCCACCTGCGGTGCCCATGGCTTTGTATTCACGGAGATACTTGATAGAGATACCAGGGTATTGTTTTTGGGAATCGGCAATGAAATCCTTAAAAACTGCGTCATCATAGAAACCAATGAGAAGAATTTCTTTAATAGAATCGATACCAGCAATGGCGTCGATTGCATGGGACACAATAGGTTTGCCAGCGACTGGGAAGAGGACTTTAGGGATGTCAAGGGAAAGGGGGCGGAATCTGGTACCACGGGTTCCACCACCGACGAGAATGAGAGCTTTAGAGGGCATTTTTTTTATTAAGGATTTGATATTATTTGAGAGAAGTTTGAAAGAAGTTTAAAAGAAGTTTTAAAAGGATTGTTGTTGTTGTTGTTGTTGATGTATAATGGTTGGAATGTACAAGTTGGCAATTTAAATATAAAAAAAAAAACGTGTTAGGAAAGGAAAGGAGGTTTTTTTTTTTTTTTTGGGGGGGGATTTTTTTTCTTTTTTTTATTATATGAGTAACTCAAAAGCAATTAAAAAAAAATGTCATTACCATCATCATCAACATCAACATCAACTACTACTACTACTACTATTATAGTCAAATTTAGTACACCAAAAGTCCCAGATTTAACTGTAGATGTTCCAGATATTTCAGCTGCAACAGTACCTTGGCTTAGGGCTACAATTAGAGAAAAGGGAGGAGGTATTTTAACTAACCGTCGGTTACGATTAATTGCAAATGGACGTGTATTAGATAATTTTGCTTCACTTGTTCCGCGGGTCGGAGCTCCTCCAAGAGTTTATATTCATTGTGCTGTTGGAGATATTCTTTCACCAGAAGATTTGGAACGTGAAAGTATGGAACAGCAACAGCAACAGCAACAACAGCAACAGCAACAGCAACAGCAACAACAACAACAACGAGAGACTACATCTACAACAGAAGAACCAAGAGGATTTGACCGATTGGCAGCAGCTGGATTTTCACAAGAAGATGTTGCACAATTACGTCAACAATTTTCAAGGTTATATGGAGATGTTGCTGATGCAAGGGATGCTGATCGTCAAGCTTTACAAGCTGCAGGTGGTGCAGCTCCGGAGCTTTCAGGACCATCATCTGATCTTGCACAATTAGAAGAACGATGGCTTGATTCTGCTGCTCCTGTTCCTGCTCGTGGAGATTATCTTGATGATTTAGTTGGTTTACTTGCAGGAATGTTTCTTGGAGTTTTTGCATTATTTTTATTAAAAGAACCGAGTTTGGCGTCTCGTCGAACAGGTCGGTCGGTACTTGGCGGAGTTGCCATTAACGTGGCGTTTGCTGCTGTGCGGCTATTTTTCTAATGTGTGGGTTAGGGTTTTATATAAATAATTAAAATAATTAAAATAATTAAAATAATTAAAATAATTAAAATAATTAAAATAATTAAAAAAAAAACTACGCACTGCCACCAAAAAAATTAAAAAAAAAAATTAAAAAAAAAAAATTAAATAAAAAAATTTTTTTTTTTAATTTTTTTTTATTTTCCCCCACCTCAACAGAAGCTTAAAGGAACTTTTTTTTTTTTTTTTTTTTTTTTTTTTTTATCTCTCAACCTTTCACAACCAACCAACAAACAAATAAACAAACACCCGCCACCCGTCACCACCACCACCACCACCACCACCACCACCACCCCTTTAAAACTCATCACAAAATGGCAACAATTGCTGACACTTCTAGAGACCCTTGCCCAATCGTCATTCTTAACGACTTTGGTGGCGCCTTCTCAATGGGCGTCATGGGTGGCGCTGTCTGGCACGGTATTAAAGGTTTCCGCAATTCTCCCTATGGCGAACGACGCGCTGGTGCAATTTCTGCAATCAAACTACGTGCCCCAACTGTTGGCGGCAACTTTGGTGTTTGGGGTGGTATTTTCTCCACTTTTGATTGTGCTGTCAAGGCTGTCCGTAGAACTGAGGACCCATTTAATGCTATCATTGCAGGATTCTTTACTGGTGGTGCCCTTGCCATTCGTGGTGGCTGGAAAGCTACTCGTAACGGTGCAATCACTTGTGCATGTGTCCTGGCCGTCTTTGAAGGTGTCGGTATTGCCTTCCAACGCATCATGGCCCCCCAGAGCATGCCTATTGCTCCAGAGATTCCTGAGACTCCTCTGCCGGCGGCGTAATCGGGGGTTTCCTTTTTATTATTATTTTATCTCATTTTCTTCTCTCTCTATCTCTCCATCATGAACCCATTTAGATTGCACTTGGATCGCATCTAGGTAACTCCTAGATTACTTCTAGATTATTTCTAGATCACTTCTAGAATACCTCTACCTCCAATCATCCATCCTCTACCTCCAAAAATCTTTTTTTTTTTATGTTTTTTAATGAAGCCCTTTTTTTTATGTTGTATTATTTGTTGTGATTTATCTGTCTGTATATAGTCCATCCCTATAAAATTTGAAATTTTTTTTTTCTTGTCTATAAAAAAAAAATCCTTTCCTTCAAGTGTAAAAAAAAAAAAAAAAAAATTTTTTTCACTCCAAAAAAAAAAAAAATTTCTCTCAAAAAAAAATCAAAATCAAAAAATCTGCCAAATCCTTTTTTTTTTTTTTTTTTTTTTTGACTCTTTCAAAGCTTTTCCATTTCATCTTGGAACTTCCAAAAGTGTTTAGAAGAATCCTTACAATGGCCAAAGGCCAGGTCTCGTCAGTTCCCGTAGCCACTGCTGCTGCTGCCGTTGCTGCTGCTCCGGTCGCTGCTACTGCTACTACTACTACTACTACCACTATCACTACTACTAGCATAACCACACCTACTGATACCACAACTCCTACTACCACCCAACAACAACAACAACAACAACAACAACAACAACAACAACAACCAAAAGATGTCCCGGAAGGCATGTCAGTCGTTGCTGAAGGTTCCGCATCTATCCTTATGCCTAAAGACAAAGTCTTTTATAATCCTGTCCAACAGTTCAACCGTGATTTATCAATTGTCGGTATCCGTGCATGGTCTAATCTACACCAAAAGACCCGCTCCAAAAAAACAAAACCAGACTCGACCAACGGACCTACCAATCAAGACTCCAATTCTTCTTCAGAAGTTTCTATAGAAGAAAAAAAAAATACCCATGAAAATGCTCATGAAAATACTCATGAAAATATCCTAGATGATAACCCAAGAGATGCTAAAAAACCACGTGTCGATGAGCCTCGGTATCTAGAAATCCTCGAGGCCCTTTCTGCATCGGGCTTACGTGCAATCCGGTACGCTGCAGAAATCCCAACTGCTAAAACAGTCCTAGCAAATGACTTTTCTGCAGCTGCTGTTGAATCTATTCGCTCAAATGCTAATTTCTCAAACGTCTCTACACTCGTCCAACCCGTCCATGGAGACGCTAATGCTCTCATGTACTCACGCAAATCATCTCCTGTCCATATTGTTGATCTCGACCCTTATGGATCTGCAACACCATTCCTTGATGCTGCTGTCCAAGCCCTTGTCTCTGATGGTCTTTTACTTGTAACTTGTACTGATCTTGCTGTCCTTGCAGGAAACGGGTATCCAGAAAAATGCTTTGCTCTCTACGGTGGACAAACCCTCTACGCTGATGCACGACATGAGTCTGCTCTCCGATTGGTTCTAGGAACTATTGCAAATACTGCTGCCCGTTACGGTCTTGCTATCGAACCCCAGCTGTCTCTTTCCATTGACTTTTATGTCCGACTCTTTGTTAAAGTCAAACGATCTCCACAAACTGTCAAACTTAATGCTTCTAAAACAATGACTGTAGCTCATTGTCAAGGCTGTGGTGCAACTACTACACAACCTTTAGGCAAAGCTACCTCCAAAAAAGGCCAAACTAAGTTTGGTTATGCCCGTGTTACAGCTCCAGGATCAGAATGCCCCCTTTGTAAGGGCCCCGTGGTTGTTGCAGGTCCCATGTGGGCCGCACCAATCCATAACCATACCTTTATCGACGAAATGCTATCTGTCCATGCTTCCATTTCCAATGACCCAGCTGTTGCTCCATTATATGGTACTCTCCCACGTATCCAAGGCATGCTTTCTGCTGCACGTAATGAACTTGAGGATGTTCCATTTTATGTCAATGTACAATCTCTTGCATCTACCTTACGCGCTTCATCACCACCACATCGTACGTTTCTTTCTGCCTTGTGCAATGCAGGCTATCGTGCTTCTTATTCCCATGCACAGGCTGGTGCTGTCAAAACAGATGCTCCTTATAATGTTTTACTTGACATTATGAAGGCATGGATTATTAAGGACCAAGATGGGAAACTTTCTAAAAATCTTAAACCTGGAAGTCCTGGGTATGCAATTTTGCAAACCCCCAAGCCTACTATGGAAATCAACTTTGAAGACCATCCACGTGCATTAGAACTTGAAGAGTTTCGCAAATCGAAACTTGTTCGGTACCAAGTTAATCCCACCAAGAACTGGGGGCCTAAAGCCAAAGCTTCAGGTTAAACTTTGAGTTTCCATAATTTTTCTAAAAATAAAAATAAAAAAAAAATTAATTAATTTTAAAATAAAAAATAAAAATAAAATAAAATAAAATAAAAATAGACTTTTGCTCTGATTGAATGTATATATTCTTTATATATGAAACTTGTCGTCAAATGGACTCGTCAAAGGAGGTCCGTCTTCTCGAGGATTCAAGTGACGCGGTGGAAGATAGTCCCGGGTCGAGGAAGATGATGAATTTTCCTCTCGTGCAGACTTGTAGCTCACAAAACTATTTGTTGGGCTTGTTCTAAGACTACTACTACTAGTTGTAGCAGCAGCAGCTGCTGCTGCAGCTGCTAGATTTGGAGCCCCGACTGGAGTACCAGTCACAAGTCCAGGCCGGGTTCTTTGGGCCATACTTGTAATTGTAGTAGTACTAACCTCATGAATTTCATAACCTCCATCTTCATCACTCTCGGATTCTGAGGAATCATCTGAGGAGGAATCATCCGAATCTGAATCTGACGCAGGAATAGGTTGTACTATGATATCACTGCTACTACTTAAAGCCCCCTGAGTATGAGTCCTTGCAGAATTAGAAGAAACCGATTCAGTTGCTGCTGGTCCAACCCTACGTACTTGATGAACTTGATACTCATCATCATCATCATCATCATATTCTTCCTCTGGAATTAGGTCTGCCTGCAGTCCCAGTCCTGTCAGCGCACGGCCAGCCGGCGCCACAGGTGTCACAGATATCCCACCAGGAGACCGAGGAGTACCTGTTATTTGATCCACATTTGTTAATGTTGTTGTTGTTGATGTTCCCGATCCAATGTCAACAAGCATTGGTCTTGCAGGGATAGCAGTCACGGTGGTTGCTGTAGCCATGGCTGCAGTAGACCCCCTATAATTGGCTGTTGCAATCGAGCTCCGATCCGGTGTACCCACACTACTTGGAGGAGTTCCTGGAATCGGTGTAAGAGCTGCTGTAAGACCCACACGAGTCGTAACACCTGGGATATATGCGATTGGAATGACAGTTGAAGAACGGTCAAGAGAAGCAGTTGAGATGCTAAATTGGGACATTGTAGTTGTTCTATCTCCGGGGATTTGTTCTTTAGTATTCTGTTCCTTTTCTTGCATTTCATCTTCGGCATATGCTCCATACTCTAAGGGACCTCCTTCCATGGCCTGCACGGGCTCAGTCCCCAAGGCACTACTATTTGCAGCCAGGTATGCATTATGACGGTTGCGTCTGCGCGGACGGACATAGAACCACCAGACAAGTGCTACAACTATCGCAATTGCAGCAACTCCTCCTACAGCACCACCGACTATTGCACCTGTATCTGAGGAGGAAGAAGTGGAAGTAGTATTTGTTGTTGTTGTTGTTGAGGAAGATGATGATGAAGAAGAAGATGAAGTAGTAGAGACTTTTGCACAGTAGGTTGTAGGACATGAGTCGCAAGATTGGGTAGTCATTTGGCAGATTTCATCATCTGAACAGGTAGGACATGATGGGACATCTGAGCAGACTACACAGGCCCTTTGAAAAAGATTTTTGAGGGCCAACGGCATTTGTATAATGAAGGAAAAGTTGTTGGTGATACTTGAAGATGATGATTAAGAAGAGGAGAAGGTTTTTTTTTTTTTTTTTTTTTGTATATGGGGGTTTGGAAAAAGAAAAAAGGAAGTTTTATATAAATGTTTGGTGGCAGAACGAAAAAAAAAAAAAAAAAAAAAAAAAAAAAAAAATTGGGAAAAACAAAGAAATAGATCACGTGAAAATGTTTCAGAAGAAATTTGAGACAAAAAAAAAAAAAAAAAAAAAAAAAATAAATAAATAAATAAAGAAATAAATAAAGAAGATGAGGAGGACTTTGGAATAATGAAGTTTTAAAAAATAAAAAGGGATTTAAAGATGAAGAAGAAGTTATAAGAAAAAAAAAGTTAAATGGAGGATATTTAAATGGAAAAAAAAAGAGGAAGTTTTATGAGAAGTTAAAGGATTATAAGTTGAATAGTGGAGCAGATCAAATGAAAGATTGTTAAGATTATATATATAGAATAGAAATGATTATCAGACAGTTCAAAAGTTAATCAATGATTCAGTTTTAATCTCGATTGACAAGTTAATCTATGATAATGATATTCTTAAAATGGATAAGAACAGAGACAAAAAAAAAAAAAAGAAAGAAACATTTTGAATATTTTTTTTTAAAAAATATTCCAAAAGTTTTATTTTCAATTTCATTTTGGATCTGAATATTAGTTGAGAATTTTTTTTTTTTTTTTTTTTTTTTTGAAAACTGTTATTTATATCATTTTATTGTATTTAATTTATTTTAAAAAAAGAAAAAAATAAGATTCTATTCAAAAGTATTTATATTGATGATTTTTATTTCAATTTTTATAATTATAAAATGAATAAAAAAATTAATTTTAAACAATTTTTTTTTTTTTATTGTTTTTATTTATTGGACGGAAAAACAATTTGTTAGTTATTAGTTAGTCCATTACAATCAACAAATTTTTTTATTTATTTTTTTTTTTTAAAAAAAAACTCAGCCTTCATTTCTTTATCATATATAGAAATATATTTTCAAAATAAAATAAATGAAATATAAAAAAAAATAAGGAAGTTTAAAAGTTGGGAAAAAAAAAATTTTTTTTTTTTTTGAGTCCTTATAACAATATTGCTATTTTACTTTTACTTTTACTTTTACTTTTACTTTGTACTCTTGTATTTAATATATTTAATATTTGATATGTGATTATATATATATATATATATATATGTGTGGGGGGTTACTTTTTGTATATAATAAAAAGATATAGATTTCATAATTATGATAGAAATATAAAAAGATAATGTAAAGTTAATTTCAAAGATTTCAAAGATTTCAAAGATTTCAAAGATTTTAAAGATTTCAAAGATTTCAAAGATTTTAAAGATTTTAAAGATTTTAATTATTATTTATTTTGGTTATTGAATTGGATTTTTATATATTTTTCATTTTGAAGTAAATGATTTATTAATTATATTATTATTATTATTCAACTTTTTTTTTTATTATCAATTAAACATCCATTAGTCCATCCAATATTAACATTAATTGTTATAAAATCATAAAAAAAATTCTTTCAATAAAGGAAAAAAAAAAAAAAAAAAAAACCAGGCTATGCTTTTATTTAAAAAATAATAAAAAAAAAATAAATAACTCTTATAATTATAGTTAAACTCATATTTTAACCATTTAAAAATCAATTTTTTTATTTTTTTTTAAACTATTCAATCTTTTTATTTCTTAAAAAAAAAAAAATAGAAAACCAACATATCACTTTGAACTTTTCTTTGGTGGCTGTGTTTGTTGCCTTTTAGAAAAATAAAAATTTAATAATTTTTTTTTTAAAAAATTTCCCATTTGGGCTATTTCTATTTCCTATTTAAAAAATAATTCAAATAAATTCAAATAATTCAAATAATTCAAATAATATTCAGCATCATCGTCATCATCAAAATTCAAAAATTCAAATAAATTCAAAAATCAGTTTAAAAAAATCAAACATCGGATAATTCTTTAAACGTTTAAACAAAATATACCTTAAAAAAACTCAAAATTATGAAAAAAAAAACCTTTCTTCTTTTAATATTTTCAATAAATCAACCAAAATCAACCAAAATCAACCAAAATCAACCAAAATCAATTAAAATCAATTAAAATAAATCAATGACGTCTTTATTTTTTTTATTTTTTTTTTTTTTTTTCATTTTCAAACTAATTAGTTAATAACAAAATACTTGCCTCGTTACTCCCTCCAATTCAACATCCCCTTTAACAGCACCCACCAAGGAGGCTGTGCACTTTACTTGTACATTTAAGTAATTACTTATCACTAAAGTTCAGTTCAGTTCAGTTCAGTTTAATTCATTCATTTCATATATATTTTATTTTTTTTTTTTTTATATAAAAACTTTTTAAAATCCACTTTCCCTTTATCTAATCTTTCCTATTTTTATTTTCATTCTTTTTTTTCCCCCTTCCCCCCTCCCACCATCCCACTTCAAATGTCTTTTGTTACATTAGACTGCCCTTCTATCTCATCTATGGATATACTAACTACCCAACAAACGGAATCCCTGGCAACTACTTGGCCTATCCGTCGAAGAAATCAAGTCCGCGCCTTATGCCGTAAAAACTTAACCCTTCTCTACCGCTCTTGGTGGTGGACTCTCCTAAGAGCTTTCATCATCCCTATAGTAGCAACCTTCTACATGGTAAGTCTTTCTTCAATTATTAATTAATTAATTAATTAATTAATTAATCACTACCTATCCTTCTTTCAACTCTCTCTAACCTTTTCCTTTTCCTTAGGGTATCATCAAATCCCTCTTCTACCCAACTCAAAACTATGGTATCGCATCTCCAAACCAATCCATTATCTCCCTCCCTGAAGCCGTCGGTACAATGCCAATCGCTTACTACTCAAACGACCTCTCTCTAGCATCTGTCTCCCAAATGCAAGCCATTATGGAAACTGCTACCCAAAATATCCCCTCTTCCCAACTCCAATTAGCCGCCTCTGCAAACGATATCTTCACAATCTGCCCCCAGTCAATCCGTGGTGTCTCCGTCTGCTACGGTGCAATCCAATGGAATGAAATTGACCCAGAATCTGGAATTTACAACTATACTATCCGTAGTAGTGCTGGCAGAACTTCAATCAATGTCCTTGATAAATCAACAAGCATCGACAAGTATATTCTCCCCCTCCAGCTCGCTATCGATAACGCCATTGCAAACACAACTACCACTGCAAATTCAATCCCATTTACCTCCATCACAAATGAAGAAAACTCCCGTAAACGCGATCAAAACTATCTCAATCTCGTCCGTAACTGGGTCTCTCCATTCATGTACATTGGTCTCATTGGTGTCGTCTACCAGCTCGCCGGGTTTGTCGCAGAAGAACGTGAACTTGGCCTTACTGACCTGCTCGACTCTATGGGTAGTTCCTCATTCTCCCGAATCACCGCCTATGTCTTCTCCTACTCAGCCGTCTACCTAGCCAGTTGGATCGGTAACGGTATCCTCATGTACTTTTTATTCTTCAAACACTCAAATGCTGCTATCCCTATTGTTTCCGCCATCCTTAACGGCGCTGCCTCTGTCTCCTGGGCCATTCTACTTGGTACCCTCTTCAAGCGTGCTCAAATGGCTGGTATCATTTCTGCCTGTGCTTCCTTTGTTCTGGCTCTCCTTACTGCTGTTCAAACTCAAGCTGGAGATGGACCCAACTCCCCAGCAGCACTATATGTCCTTTCCTTTCTCTTTAACCCCATGAGTTACTCCTTTATGGTCCAGCTCATGGCAATTAATGAAGGTCAGTACCTCCCTCTCAACCTTTTCCAACATGGCTACAATAATACCACATACCCCTTTGTCGTTTTCATCGCCCCAATCTTCCAGTTCTTCTTTTACATTGCTTTAGCTCTTATTTTTGACCGCTTTCTCTATGGGAAAATTAGAGCCTCCAAGACCCTCAGCAACTCAGAAAATGCTATTGAGATTTCAAACCTTACAAAAGTTTACACTTCAACAAACTTTCAACTCAAAAAGTCAAACTTCACTGCCGTCGATAACCTCTCTCTTTCTATCGCTTCAAACCAAATCTACTCTCTCTTGGGTGCAAACGGTTCCGGTAAAACAACCACTTTGGAAATGATTGCTGGTATCCAGAAATCTACTTCAGGCTCCATCGCTTTTAAACCTGGAACACGTCTTGGTATTTGTCCTCAAAAGAACGTTCTTTGGGAAAACCTTACTGTTGCTGAACACATTCGTATCTGGTCAGAAATTAAAGGCGTCCCCGTTAGACATCTCCCCAGAATCACTGACCTTTTCATCGAAAAGTGTGGCCTTGTTGGTAAAGAAAGCACATTTAGTCAAAATCTCTCTGGTGGCCAGCAACGTAAACTCCAACTTGCTGTCATGTTTACTGGTGGTACCAATGTCTGTTGTATTGATGAGGTTTCTTCCGGTGTTGACCCCCACTCTCGCCGTCTCATCTGGGACATTCTTATGATGTTTAAGCGTACCCATACAATTATTCTCACTACCCACTTTCTAGACGAAGCTGATATCCTCTCTGATCACATTGCTGTTCTTTCCAAAGGTGTTCTACAAGCTCAAGGAAGCCCAATGCAACTCAAGGAATCCTTTGGTGAAGGTTACCGCGTTTTCATTGACCGCGCTGGCACTGGCCAAGAAGAAAGTTACTCTTTCCCCAATGCCCAAGCCGTTATCCCCTACATTTCTGAACTTGAACAAAATAATATTTCCTACCGTGTTGCTGGTCCTGAGCTTGAAGACGCCTTTTTGAAGCTTGCCAGAAAAGACCATGATGGTATTTCTTTAGAAGAAATTGAAACAAAACTGGTCAAACAAGATAGTCCTTCTGGTTCATCCGTCGTCCAGAGCAAACAAATTGGGTTTTTCGTTCAGCTCCAAGCAATGATTCTCAAAAGACTCATTATCCTCATGCGCTCACCCTTTGCCGATATTGCTTACCTTCTCCTCCCTATCATTGTTGGTGCCGCTTGTCACAGCTTTTTGCAACACAATGAACCCACTCTTGTGTGCAACGCTTTATCCCGTTACAGTGATCAAACTTATACCCACCCTCAGAATATCGATTTTAACATGCCAATCACTTCTGGACTTTCCACAAGTGACCTCAAATCATTTCTCACCGCCCAATCGTCCTTCCAAAATATCACTTCAAACATCACCAACGGCATCCACTATGTTAACTCTTTTGACAATTTCTACAACTACATCAAATCAAACTTTTCTTCTGTCAAACCAGGTGGTTTGTCTCTCGATAATGGATACACTCTGGCTTACCAGGCTGATTCTAGCGATACAAGTCATTCTGTCTTTTACGCTTCCTTCATGATGAATATGCTCTCCAACGTCCTCAATAACAGAACTCAAACAATTGTTACTTCTTACTCACCCTTCCAAAACTCTTGGGTCGTCTCAACCAGCAAAGACCTCCAGTTTTCCATCTTTTTCAGTCTCGGTATGGGTATTGGCCCAGCTTTTGCTTCTCTCTACCCTACCTTTGAGCGTCTCAGTAAGGTCCGTGCCATGCAGTACTCCAATGGTCTCCGAGTCTTGCCTCTCTGGACTGCTTATATTTTGTATTACCTTGTCATCATGCTCATTCTTTGCGATATTTGTCTTGGTATTATGGCTTCTGGTCTTAACACAATCTACGCAGCTGGCCACATGTATCTTTGCTTCCTCTTGTTTCTCATTTCCGCTACACTCACTTCCTTCATTATTTCTCTTTTTGTCAAGTCTCAGCTGGCAGCTTTCGCAACTGCTGCTGCTTACCAAGCGGTCGGTGTGCTTCTTTACCTAATGGCCTTTTTATCTCTTCAGGCTTTTGGAGACCCTACAACCCTCAACAGCACTCTTCGCGTCGTTTACTTTGCTATTGCTTCTGTTTCCCCCATCCAAAGTCTTCTGCGCTCCATCTTCCTTTCTATGAATTTGTTTTCCGTTTTCTGTGACGATGATAATAATATCTACCCCCCAGCTCATCTTTTCGCCTATGGCGGCCCCATCATGATGCTTTTCCTCCAGTGTATCGTTCTCTTTGGTATCCTAATTTGGTGGGAAAGTGGCTCTCCTTTGCGTGACACTTGGCGCCGCCTCAAAGCCTTCGTCTCCTGGCGCAAAAATTGGATGCAGTTTGAGGACCAGGAAATGGGCGAGTTCCAAGCTATCCCTGAAGAAGTCTTACAGGAAAAAAACGAAATTGAAACTAATTTGGAACGTTATGCTGATGGGCTGGCCCTGAAAAATGTGAGACGTGAATACAGCGGCAAGTTTGTGGTTGATGGTGTATCATTTGGTGTCCAGCGCGGTGAATGCTTTGCTCTGTTGGGTCCCAACGGTGCCGGTAAAACTACAACTTTCAACATGATTCGTGGCGAAGTCACCCCCACTGATGGTGACATTTTTGTTAATGGTATTCCTGTTGTGCGCAATAGAGCTTTGGCCCGTACCAAACTGGGTGTATGCCCACAGTTTGATGCCATGGACAAGATGACTGTTGTCGAAGTTCTTCGATTCTACGCTCGCTTGCGTGGAATTCAAGGTTCTAAAATTACAATTCATCGCCACATTGAAGAGCTCATTGTTGCTGTTGATCTTGTTAGATTTCGCACACGCATTGCACACAAGCTCTCAGGTGGTAACAAGCGCAAACTGTCCCTAGCTGTTGCCCTCATTGGCAACCCCGATGTTTTGCTGCTTGATGAACCGTCCACCGGTATGGATGCATTTGCAAAACGTATCATGTGGCGCACACTATCTAAAGCAGCTCCAGGTCGTTCCATTGTGCTAACCACACACTCTATGGAAGAAGCAGATGCCTTGGCCAACCGTGCAGGTATTCTTGCACGCAAGATGCTGGCCATTGGATCGGTCGAAACGCTGCGTGCAAAATATGGTAACGTGATTCACGTCCACCTTGTGTGCAATAACGCACCAGCTACATCTGAGGCAGAAATGGACGTTGTGGTTAATGTTGTTCTGCACATGTTCCCTGGTGCCACTGTGGAGGATCGCATGTATCAGGGTCAAATTAAATTGGCAATCCCTACACGCCGCTCGGCTGATGACGCTGTTTCAAGTAACATTTACTCTCAGGAGTCTATGATAGGAACTTCAAGCGCTGCTGCCAACGAAGTAAACCAAACACACAACTCGGTGGCGGATGTGTTCAAGGTCTTTGAAAATAACAAGCAGCTGCTGGGTATCCAGTCTTACAGTGTATACCCCACTCGTCTTGAGGAGGTGTTTTTAAAGCTTGTTGGTGATTATGTTGATCATAATGAGTAAGTAAGTAGACTATATATAAATGATAAATGATAAATGAACTTTTAGATTTTTTAAATACAAATAAGTTAATCATTTACATCAAAGTGAAATTTGGGTATTATACTTAGCGGTAGTAGCTTGAAATTTTAATCAAATCAATTTAGTAACATATGCTTGTTTCTCTTTATTCAAAGATTATTGAGGTAGATAACTTAAACATTAACTATTTAATATTTAGTGTATAAACTCTCTAAATGATTAATAAAAACTTCAATTTTTCCCTTATCAATTTAAACTATTTAATAGAGTCGGCGTGTCTATCTCAGGAGATCCATTTCAATCATTTCTTTTCCTTTTCTAGCAACCAAAATGTCTCTAATTATTTCCAGCTAGTCTATTTATAATTTTAAGCTATTTTGATAAATATTAAACTTTTTAAATTTCATATAAAATCTACAATATCTTAAATTTTTTTAATGTTTTTTGGGGATTTTAATGATTTAACTTCTATTTCAATTATTTCAAGATTCATGCCAGTGTTAATACACTAACGAAAATGGCACTATGGCCGAGCGGTTAAGGCGAAAGATTAGAAATCTTTTGGGATTTCCCGCGCAGGTTCGAGTCCTGCTGGTGTCGATAACTTTTTATAAGTTTTTTTTTGAATGACTTTAGACTTTTATTTTTTTTTTATCAATTGAAAGAATGATGATAAGTGTGTTTTTTTTTTTAAAATAAATCTTTGGGTTAGAAGTCAAAAATAAAAAAATAAAAAAAATTTGGATTGTTTTGCATGTAGTTGGTCAAAAGATAAATCAACCTTTAAATTAAATGTATCCTTATGGTTTTTATAGATATAATTATAAAAATAATTTATTTATGATTATTGTAAAATTGTAAAATTTTTTTTAAAAAAAAAAAAAATTTGGAGAGGTTACTACAAATTTTTTAGTGTACAAAAAAAAAAATTCTTTTAAATAGCTTATAAAATAGTCTAATTTAATTTAAAGTTAAAGTTTTTTTGAGTTTAAAATAAAATTAAATTTGTAATTAATTAAATATTGTAATTTCAAGGCAAATTTTTGGACGTTTTTTTATTTTTCTTGTTAAACCAATATTTCAATTTTTTGATAGCATAAATTTCTAATAATTTAGGGAGTTTGGCCGAGTGGTCTAAGGCGCCAGCTTCAGGTGCTGGTCTCTTCGGAGGCGGGAGTTCGAACCTCCCAGCTCTCATAATTTATTTTTTTTTTGTAACTTTCTACGTAGTATACTACTTTTTTTTTAGAATCACAAGTTCATTTCTATTTTTTTTTTATTTTGTTTTGTTTTGGAAACTACAAAAAAGGTGTGCATCCGAGTAAATTGTTATTTAAATAAATTTGGATATTTTGAAAAAAACTGGTTTTTTCTCTCTTTTTTTTTTTTTTTTCAAGCTTATAAGTATAATTATAAAAGTTTAGATATATATATATAACATTGAACATCAAATTAACAATACAACTAAAAAAAAATAATTATAATAATAATTGAGCTGAAAAGAAGAAATGAAAACAAACGAAAGACATAAAAGAAACTAAAGAAGACTATATAGATAGAATATTTATGGGAAATAAGACTAAGGATTGGGCCAAAAAAAAAATACTTTAAAAACAGAGAGACGTTATAATTAAAAAAAAAAAACGAAATAAAGAAAGCAAGAAAGAAAGAGAAAAAAAGAAAAAAAAAAGGGGGAGAATCTTTATATAAAGACTTCAATATATTGAATTCTTTCATTTGTGAATTCTTTCATTTGTGAATTTTTTTTTTTTTTTCTTTTTAATAGCCGCAATATAAGTAATAATTTGTCGTAAAAAAAAGTAAATCAAAAAAAATTATCAATCATTAACATCTCCTTCATAACGACATTGTCAACCATTCCCATTGAGAACTACCTTCCTTATTAGGACGAGCCCCGCCAGATTGTTGTTGCGGCTGCTGAGGAGGCTGTGGCAGTGACTGCTGCTGAAGAGGCTGTTGTTGTTGTTGTTGTTGTTGTTGTTGTTGTTGTTGTTGCTGCTGCTGCTGTTGGGGAGCTGCAGGTGATCCCACACCAAGCATAGAACCTTGGGGTGATAACGCAACTCCCTGTTGTTGTAGCTGAAGTACAGCCGAAGGAATCTCTGCTACACGATCAAGTCCACCCATGCGAGCTCCTGCTCCAGCACCTGTGCTTCCTGTAGACAACTGTTTAGCAAGAGGAACTCCACGCATCGCGTTGTTGTTACTCTTAGAAACAGCTGCAGAGGCTGATGTGGGCCGCGATTTGGAAGATGCTACTGCACTTGTTCCTTGACCTATTCCAGAACTGAGTGGTGATGCGCCAGCCCCACCAGGACTTGACGAAGTGGTAGACGGACCATTTGCAGTGTTAGTAGAAGCCCCGGCTAGCGCCGAGATTCGCGCAAGCGATGCAGATGAAACTGAAAGTGTAAGCATTGTAGATGGTGAGTCCGTAACTCCAGCACCACCACTTGATCCAGGAGTGTTCCCTGCAGACCCGGCATTGGACGCTGCACCACTACTGGCACTTACGTTGCTTGCACTATTGTTTGCACTGTTGCGTGTCGACGACCCGCGCCGCGACCGACTCTTGGTCGGCACTCCACCCTCAATGTTATGTGGCCCAGAAGTCCCGTTAGCCACAGACCCGCGCCGAGACCCGGCTTTACGGCCTGTGGTTGGAGTTGCACCATCCGGCGAAGACCCACTGCTAGATCCATTGGCGGCACCAGCTGCATTTGCAGCAGCTGCTGCGTTTCCTGCCAGCGATCGCTTGCGTTTTTTGATCACGTCTGTTTTAAGAGATAGTGGCCGCACGACACCGTGAAGCTTAAGGAAAAGACCACAGGCATTGCACAATGGTTGGCCGGCAGGGTTACGGCGCCAAAGAGGTGTTGTTTGGGTACCGCAATTAGTGCACGATGTAGGCGTTGATGAGGTCGATGAGGAACCGTTTCCGCTAGTATTACCACTGCTGCTGCTGTTATTATTATTGCTTGAACTTGTTGACGGAGTCTTTTCTTTCTCATCCTTCTTAGCACCTGGCGTTGGTATTGAAGTACTATCACTATCAGAAGAAGGCGACGTACTGTCAAGTTTAAAGTTTCCACGCCGTGCTGTTGAACCTGTTGCAGAAACATTTACTGCCCGGCTGTTTCCGCCGTTTTTGCTAGTGCGACGGTTAAGACCAGAAATATTTGTAGAAGACCCACTATTTGCCAGCATCTTAATGTTTGTGGCACTTGCAGAAGTCGTGATCTTGGGCGCAATTCCACTGGAGCCTGCCTGCTGCTGCTGCTGCTGTTGCTGTTGCTTCGAGTATAGGCTAGAGGCATTGGTTGTGGATGCAGTGCGTGCAATTTTGGTGCGGTGGACATTAACTGCACCAGTATCGCCATTATTATTAGAAACAGTGCCAAACGTGACAGGAACGCTAGATGATAACAGCTTGGGATTGGATAGCAGTGGCGAAGAGCCATCATGAAGAGCATTGCTATTGTTAGCACCCAGAGGTATAGAAATAGCTTGGGGTGTGCTGCTGTTGCTGCTCATCATGTTGACTGAAAGAACCGGCGATGAAGCTGCTGACGAATTTGGATTGTGGGAGGCCGTCGAGTCCATAAGCATGCTTGAATCATCAACTGCAAAAGACTCATGCATGCCAAACACGTCCGAAAACTTGGTATAAAGGTCTGAGTCGCCAAAAGAGAACTTGGCAGACTGCGTAGTTAGGTTTTCAACACGTTGCTGTTGGTCTGAAAAGATTTGCGATGGCTGAATATGCTGGGGGAATCCAAACGGCGAGCGGGTTTGATTGTCCTGTTGTTGTTGTTGTTGTTGTTGGGAAAGATGCTTTTGGTGGATATTTTGATGGCCTGGCAGTTGTTTCTGAGCAGCACTAGACATTGGCGCCTTGTCTGCGACTTTACTATGAATATTCTTGGAACCAAACTGGGAGCTCATGGAGGGCGATGTAGCGGTGTTGTTTGGAATCATGTTTTGTAGAGCAGAAAAAGAAGTTGTATCAAGTGCATTAGAAAATGACGACATTTGTTGTTGTTGTTGCTGCTGTCCTCGCTGCTGTTTAGTGTGCTGCGATTGTTGCTGCTGTTGCTGTTGCTGTTGCTGAAAATGTTGCTGAAAATGTTGCTGGCGCTTGAATCCCTCTTCTTTGATTTTTTCAGACAAGTTCATGACAGACATGGAATGGCCACGGGAGGCGCCGTAACGCGCACCAGAATGGCCAGTGACGACCGAATCCATAAACCCGGTTTCGCGGGCTGAAGTGGAATACATTGGAGTAGATGCACCGCTGGTTGTAGAAAAGGACATGGCATGAGGCGAATAAAGTTCATTAAGAGAAGTGTAAGATGAAGATAGCGACAACGATTCGTGCATGTCAGAGCCACCAGTATATGTTCGGATATGGTTGTTATTGTTATTATTGTTATTATTGTTATTATTGTTATTATTGTTATTATTGTTATTATTGTTGTTGTTATTATTGTTGTTGTTATTATTATTATTGTTCGGACCATTATTGCCGCCGTTAGTCTGTTGTTGCTGCTGCTGCTGCTGGTCCATGGGGGTATTACCATTGGTGACACTGGTATTAACTGCCGTGGATGCACTTGCAATAAGATTTGCAACAGAGGACACGGCTTCGGCAACGGCTGATGCTAGATCGGAACCATTTTGATTATAGGCAGATGAGTCGAGAGATGAAGGCCCTGTGTTGGCACCAGGGGAAAGCAGGGACTTAAAGGCAAAGTCCTGTGGTGAGTCTGTGGATTGAGACTCTGCAACAAGATTATTATCGAGACCTTCTACTGCCAAAGGATCAAGAGAGAAACGAAATGAGTTGTTTGTGGCGCTTCCTGGGGTATTCATAGCAGCAGGAGATGGAGTATTAAGAGCGTTATTATTGTTTGAGTTGTTCTGGTAAATATTTAAAGGTTGTTGATGCTGTTGTTGTTGTTGTTGTTGTCTGCTTGAGATCCAGGTAGAATCATGAGGGCTAGTTCCATTTTGGTAAGGAGTGTTGGCATTATTGTTATTGTTGCCAGTGTGATCGGGATCTCCTGGTTTGGAAAAGCCATTTGCAGAGAGTGGAGAGGCAGGCATTTTACGGAATCGGTCACCTGAATATCCGTCTGTGATTTTTTTGATATGAGTTGCATAATCAAATTCTTTCTTATTAGCCACAGGAGAGGAGACCATATTTTGGGGTTGTTTGGGAGAAGAGTGATTACTGCGAAGATTATTTGCACCTGGGAAGCTTCCGGAGAGTTGTTGTTGCTGGATGATTGTATTGCGAAGAGGAGCTGGTCGTTGTCGTTGTTGTTGTTGTTGTTGTTGTTGCTGTTGCTGTTGCTGTTGCTGTTGCTGTTGCTGTTGCTGTTGCTGTTGCTGCTGTAGCTGATGTTGCGGTTGCTGTTGCTGTTGCGGTTGCTGTTGTTGAGAAGGAACATCTTGTGGAAATTGTTTTGTCATCGGAGCTGGAGATCGCTGAGGGAAGGCAGAAGAAGAAGGGGTTGAAGAAAGACCCATATTTGCAGTATTGTTTGGCGATGGCATGAATGATGCCGGAGAATTGATGGTGGAAGAAACGGGAGTGTTAAGATTAGTATCTTCAGCAGCCAAATTGATGAATCGAGACCCAGAAGAGTCCATAGGAGAGAAAGTGTTGATGAAAGCGTCAGCGTTATGGGAGTCCCAAGAATCCATTTCCATTGGAGTCATTTGTGGGTAAGAGTGAGTTGGATCCATGTTGACTAATTGCATAATGGAATCGTTGGCAATCACTGCTGTAGTTGCAGCATTAGAAATGTTTGAAGTTCCCGGACTATGCAAGAGCATGTTAGTATTATTACTATTGTTATTAATGAATCCGGAGTTTTCCAAAGTGGAGGTTGTGACAGCAGCTGCGTTTTCTGCAGCGGCATTGTCGAAACGAATTGCCATGAGTCGCCAAGTTAGGTTTTCCATTCGTTTTTGGAATGGCAGTTGAGCTCTAGCTTTTGAGTACATTTTCCAAAGCTGAGTTGGAAGGGAGTCTTCCCAGTTTGGTACTCGCAAATTATTGTTTATATCATTATTGTGACAAGAGTTTTGGATATTAATAGTGTTATTATTATGTTGATTTTGGATAAGATGATGTTGGTGATGAAGTTGATGAAGTTGATGTTGTTTTGGTGGTATTTGGGGCGTCAAGTGGTTGTTGTTGTTAGTATTGCTGGAAGATGGGAATTTTGAAGCCAAATGAGTTTGCAATGTAGTATGTGGGTTTTGTTGATGAGGCAAAGAGGACGATGATGAAGAAGAAGATGGTGTGAATATTGGGTTGGACATGTCGAGAAAGGACTGGATAGTCCCTAGGTCCGGGAAAAGGTTTGATTTTGGGGATATGTCATCGCCAAAGTCCCAGGCAGAGGGAGTTGTTAGGCTCATTTGAGAAATGAGTTGGCTATGAGGAGTCGTATGCAGCAACGTGAGAGAAGGGAAGATCGAATGGATTAGACTTGTTGATTATAGATATGAATGGTTGATTTAAAAGTGGGATTTTCAAAAGTGTAATGTTGGCTAAAGAAAAAGATGTAGAATAGAATGAAAAAAAAAAAAAAAAAAAAAAGCAGAGTAAAAGGATCTATATATTTTTTAAAAAAAATAAAAATATAAACCAAGAACAAATAAAAATGAAAAAAAAATAAAGGGCAATAAAGTTAGAACTAATGATTCAGATATTCAGATTATTATTAAATTCAAGGGGTTTTATTTTATTATTTTGAAAGTAAATGGATATTTTAGAAAATGGTAGTTTTTTTTTTTTTTTTTTTGATGGTGATGTTGAAGTTTGGAGTAGTAAAATAAAAAAAATAAAAAAAATAAGCAGAAACAGTCAAGGGATAGTTTATTTATTATGAGAACTCATCATACCAAATAATAAAAAATAAGTTAAAGCTGAGTTGAAAAAGACCTAAGAAAAGACCATTAACTTTGAAGAAGAGAAATAAAACTCGTGAAATGAGTTCTTATTATTATTAATATTATTATTATTATTATATTATTCTTAATATTATTATGATGATTATTATTTCTTGCTGAGCGGGTCTTAAATATGTTCAAAAAAAAAAAAAAAAAAAAAAAAGGATTTTTGGTTGTTTAGTAGTAGTAGTAGAATGGATTTTTTTTTTTTTTTTTTTTGGGTGGTGGTGGTGGTGGTGGTGACGGAAATATTTTTAGACAAAAAAAAAAAAAAAAAAAATTAAAGCCAGTCAGCCTGCGTATTTATTTGGGTGGTTGTAAGTAAGTAAGTATGTATGTATGTGTGTGTGTTTGAATAGGTAAGCATTAATTAATTAATTATATTTATATATTTATATATATATACTGCACTATATATACAACAATAATTAAATTGCACTGCTCTGTACAAACACACATTTTATTTATTTATTTATTTAAACTACAAAATTCTCAAAATAAATAAATAAAAATCATTCAGTTGCAACCGAAAAAAACTGGCACTTATCCGCTTCATTGAAAAAAAAAAAACTAAAAATTTCATTGTTATTAAGTTTGACTTAACAGGAGCACAAGCTAAAGACTTTAATGATCTAAAAACTATGAATTCCCTTTTTTTGTTTTTTTGTTTTTTTATTACATTAGTACATGTGTTATTGTCTTGATTCGCAACCCATTAATGTTATGATATATATATATATGTATATATATAAATACGAAAAAGAAGAGTCCCTGAAAAGCTGAGCTTAATGGAACACTCCACATAATGCCTTTCCCGAAAAATCCGACAGTGTAGAAAATAACACGATGTTAAATACTTTATAAATATATATATATATAAAAAAAAAGCATTAAATATAATACATAATGTTATCAACACTCATTCAGTCTTTACACAACTTTTAAATTAAATCATATTTAAATCACAATTCCTTCCATTCAAGGCTGATAAAAAGTTTCTTCGGCTACTTAATAGAAGAAATTTATTTTTAAAAAAAAAATAAATAAATTTAAAATAAATAAATAAATAAATAAATCCCGGCCGATGCGGATTTTTTTTTTTAAGGTTTTTTTTTTTTTTTTGATTCTGTGCAACGTTAATGTACGATAAGAACAGACCTAACCCTTAAAAGCTTATCGGGCCAATGGTAGCGTGCGCTTATTCAAGTCTACGAAAAAACCTTATTCTTGTAATAATATTGTCACATAATTAATAATACCAATGGTTCATGTCATACGTCTTAAGTTATATGTTTAATCCCAAGGTCCTATTTTTTTTTTTTTTTCTAAACTTACCCCAGATTTTTATATTTTATTTTATTTTAATTTTTATTTAAAATTGCCGCCAAGCGACAAATCTTCAATGCAAACAAACCTTTTTCAAAAGAAGAAAAAAAAATTTTCAATTATTATTAATTATTAAAATACATTTTTTGTTTTAAAAGAAATAGTCATTTTGATTTTTGATTTTTTTTTAATATTATCCCAAAAAAAAGAGCTTAGCCTAACACATCCCATTTAAAGAAGAAAGAGGGCAGCGGCAGCACCACCAAGAGCAATGATCTGGACAGTATTCTGACCCTGACCATTAACCTGAGGAACAGAAGAAGAAGCAGAATGAGATGCACTGCTAGTGTGAGTGGTAGCAGAAGCAGTGTGTGTAGTGGTAACAACAGCACCAGAGTCAGAAGCAGTGGCAGCAGAGCTTGCGGCAGAAGCAGTGCTGACAACAGTAGAGACTGAAGAAACAACAGAGGGGCTGACAGAACCACTGGCAATAGATGATTCAGCTACACTTGAAGAAACAGCAACAACTGAAGAAGAAACAATAGTTGAAGAAGAAACAACAACACTGGCAGTCTCAGAAACAGAAGAAACTGCACTAGTGGCAGGGGCAGCAGAAGAGCCATCAAGACCATACTTTGCAACAACACCCTTGGCGGCATCAGTAAGCTGGTTAACGGCAGAAGCAACATTCTGATCACCAGCAGAAAGAGAAGAAATCTGGGGGATAACCAAATTCAAAACAGGTGAAAGATTATTGGTAATAATAGTGTAAGCCTTAGGTCCGTCCAAATCAGAACCGTGGGAGGAAATCAAAGCCTCCAAAGTCTTACCATCTTCAGATCCCTGAAGAGCAGCAAGAGAAGCTTGAGCAGCAGAAGCAAATGAAATAACACCATTTGAGTTAATGCCACCAAGAACAAGACCTCCAGCCTCAGAAAAGAGATTCTGAACATCAGAGTTACGGTTGATAACGCTCAAAATCTCACCAACCTCAGAGGCAGCCTGGGATTCAGGAACGCCATCCTTTCTGCCAGAAACAAGGCCATTGGAAATCTGAGCTGCAATTGAAGAAATAATACCGTCAAGCTGGGCATTGGCGCCAACAGCAGCAACAACGGCAGCAGTGAAAAGAGTCTTGGAAACCATTTTGTTTTTTTTTTTCTTGTTTTTGGTTTGTAAATTTGAGTGATAGTTTAAAATTAATTTAGCTGGATAAAACGAGCGAATTCAAGAGTTAGAAAACTTATAAGTATATTGGTGATAAAAGAAAGAAAAAAAAAAAATAGAAATTTCAACGAAATTCCAGCTATATTTATACTTTCTTTCTGAAGTGAGCTTTACACGATTTGGTCCATAGAAGTTTAGGCCTTACCGGTTTTTTTGTTTCCTGCAAATGAGTAAAACTCTGTTTTTTTTTTTTTTTTTTTTTTTTTTTTTTTTTTTACCCCCTCCTCCTCTTTCTCCAACTAACACAACCACCACCACCACCACCATGAAAAATTAAGCTCATAAACTTAAAATGTAAGAGAAAGTAAAAGAGAATAAAATTAAAGAAAAATGAATGGCAGGTATCTGGCATTGGAAGTCTAAAAAAAAAAAAAAAAGTTGTATTTTTATTGCATCATTTTCAAAATTTGCCAATGAGATAGATCTAGTAGTGTGTATGTGCATAAGCACATCATGGCTGGATCTTTAATGCCAAATAAAAAAAAATGGCAGATTTTTTTTTACTTATTTGATCGTTATATCTATTACACAAATATATCAAAGTCTATTTGTTACTCAATGAATACTGTTTATCGTTTGAATCTAGTTCTAACATGAAATAGAGAAGGTCGTTGTTTCTTAAAAAATTTGAAAAATTCATGTCTTTTTTTATTTTTTTTCGTTTCTCTTGTCTTTGAAGTATGCTAATCATCACATCTTTCTCTTTTTTTTTTCAAATTAGTCTCATTTCTCTTTTGCATTATAATAAAATCAATAGAATCAATAAAATCAATAAAATCAAAAATCAAAAATAAAAACTATGAGACTTTTCAAAATTAGCATAATGATTAATGATTCAATTCTGTCTCAGTCAGTAGTTTTGGAAAATAATAAAAAATTATTGAGGGGCAAAATTAAAAGAATATACGAAATAATCCAATGATATTGCAAAATAGAAAAAAAAAAAAACTACTTTTTATTCAACTTTGGAATCCATAAATAGATGGGTTCTTTATTTTGAATCACTTCCCTCCCCTCCACCTCCCCTCTTTTACTGTTTTTTTTTTTCTTCTTCTTCTTCTTTCAAGGAAAAGTTTTTGAAAACGATCTCTTACGATCAATTAAAGATTATCACTCATCCACTTCTTACCAACTACCAAACAGTTTTAAAAAAAAAAATTAACCTTCCATTCTTTTAATAGACTCTATTCTATCATATTAATCTACATAATAAATATACCTTTTTTGTTTTCTCTTTCTCAGATTGTTGAGTCCTATTGAAGTTGTTCTCCCCGACTTGCCATAAACTAACCAGGGTTCATGCTATACAAATGGGCAATTTCACCTGGCACTACCGCATTCAGAAGTATACAAATCGGTATATCCCAAGGTATATAAAAAAGAATTAAGACTAAATTTAGAGAGTCTCGCCACTGTGGGGTATGGTTTTTTTTTTTAAAAAAAAAATGCAATGCCTTAAACTTATTGTACATTTTCTTCAATTCATTATTTGGCCTCCCAAGTCGTTCTTTTCTCTCACTCGTTAAATTTCATGAGTATTCATTGATTTTTTTTTTTTTTAATTTTGAAATCTTTTACGTTAATTCACTGAGAAATTTTATTTTATTTTTTTTTTTTTTCATTTCCTAATGTCTTGCTTATCTCTCGCTATTGCTAATATATCCTCCCCCTCACTTTGGATTTCCTCCTCACTTTTTTTTTTTTTTTTTGCTTTCATGTCTGACAATTATTCAAGATTTGATATTATGAAAAATAGGCAACAACTGTGATATATAGACTATATAAAAAACGTCAAAAGAAATCGTTGGTGGCAAATAATTATTTATGTTTATTATAATAAACATAAAGAATTATCAAGGTTATTAATTTTCCCAAACTAAAGGATTTCATATGTCCAGTTTTTAATTGTAATGATCATCAGCTATATCTATACAATTCCTTCTATTCATACTATATATATATTAGTACTAATTTTTATTGTCAGTTATTACACTAAAGATTGTATTCTAAATTTTTAGGAATTTCTCTCTTAAGTAGTATTGTTAAATTGGCATTTCTTTTGTGTGTATTACAAAAATTAAAAAAAAAAATCAATATTGATTTTTTTTTTAATGCCAATGTATCTTGACCTGCACAATATTAATAATACAAAACTTGTCAAAATCATTTCTTCCTCTTGGAACATTACTCATTTACTTTTTTTTTTCCAAAGATCTTCATACATGAGCAAGTGTAAGCCATTTCCACTTCTTATTTTGCTGCTTAAATAAACCTTAGATTTTCTTCCCCTTAATAAAAAAAAAACAGTAAGATATTTGAATTGAATGTTTTCTTGTATATGTTCCTTTTAACAATGTCGGTACAAGTAGAAATAAAAAAATAAATAAAAAGTAAAAAAAAAAAAAAAAAAAAAGCGCCGTATGAGGGATTACCTTTCTTCGTCACTCCTCATGACTGTTAATAGAAGCTTAAAAAAAAAAAGAGCGGGGCATTTATTTTTAATAATACATAGAAAGAAACTTTGGTAACGTTGTAATGAAATATAGAACTTTTTTTTTTCAAAAACCAAAAGCTCTTTGTTTTTTGTTTTGTTTTTTTTTTGATCTTCACAGTTAAAAGAAAAGTGTGGTTCAGGCCTAGGAGCTATTATTCATAGAAATATCTCTTAGAAGTTCAAAAATAGATTGGTTAAATTAACGTGACAAGAAAGAAGAACCACTCAATGTTTTTGTTTGTTTTGAACCATCAAAAAAAAAATGTTAGCTTTAAAAGAAGGTTTATAATCCAAAAATTCCCCGTTGGTAAGGCTCGGAAGTTCGGTATTTGCCTTTTTTTTATTTTTCAAAAATACCCCGCTCTATTCATCTAAAAGAAGAAAAAAAAAACTGACAACAAAAAACGTTTAAAGGCTTCTTTAAATATTAAAATCGCATTGTCGGCCTTTTCAAATGCCCGTGATCAATTGTGGTAACTAAATAGTTTGAATAAAATATATACAAATCAAGATGAGGGGGGGTAAAGGACTTAAAAATGCTTGCTTAAAAAAAAATAAAATAGGGCTTCTGTTAAAAGGCACAAAAAAATTCCTTCCATTGAAATTGTCCAAAAAAAAAATTTTGATGATATTAAAACAAAGCCTTTGATTATCCGCCTTTTTTTAATATTTTTCGGCCGTTTAATGTTTTTTTTTTTTGGCATATGAAAGGACTCAATTATGTCTTTGAAACTTTTTATGGTCTTTGACTTATTTCACCCCTCTTTTTTTTATATCAAACGGCCCTTTTTTTTTATTTTTATTTTTGAGTTCACCAGTGTTTCTATTTACCGTTCGGATAATTCAATCATTTAAGAAACTACTTAAAAAAAATAAAGAAAATCTTAGTTTAGCGAACAAATGCAGGTATTAAAGATTGCGTATGATGGATACAGATCTTATTTTTTTTTTTTCTTCTCCATGAAAATTTGACTTATTGTTCAAACGAAAACATTTAAAAAGAAAGTTGGAGGATGTATTAAATCATAGATTTATTTTAAATTATTATTATTATGAATATGTAATTTATGAGATAATTGATACATTTGAATACTAGTGAAATCTTAGCTTTAACAGTATTGGAGAGAAGAAGAAATAAAGAGAAATGTCGTTACATCAAGAAGACTATTAAAGTTGCTCTTTATCAACCAAAATGAGGGGTATTCCAGAGATGAATATGATTATAATGAAAAAAAGCAGGTTTTTTCTAACAAAAGTTGATCTCTAATATGTTATGTCAAGCATATTTTATTGAATTCATTTTAAAAAAAAATGGGCATTATAATATAACCTTTATTTTTACAATGGGCCAACCAAGAAACATCAGTTAATTTCTTCAGCATATACGAAAGATAATCAGTAATTTCAGATTGACTTTTTGGTTTATAAATTGAAAAGTCCAATTATCCTTATCTGATTTAAACTATACTATTTATATTTATATTTTTAATTTTTGTTTTTTTTTTTTTTTTGGATCGGAAACAAAAAATGACATTCACTCTAAAAACATTTTGAAGAACATTTTAATCTTTCTATTTACATCAATTTTTTTTTTTTTTTGGTTCCATCTATGAATCACGCAATTTTTTTGTTAAATCCATTTCAAGGTAAGTTTAAGAGAAACTATGACTTACTTAGTCTTTCCCCTTTTTTTTTTAACATTCTAAAAACTACTCAATAATTAGCTATAAAGCTCCTCTCCTTTTTATACCAGAAAAACGGTGGGCATACCTTAGCACTCGTTTGTTTTTTTTTTTAAAGAGTTAATGCAAAACAGCTAAAAATAAATGATATACAGTTGCGGGTATGAGAACTTAACAAATTTATGGGCTCAGAAAATTTATGCGGATCATAAGATAGAAAAGAAGGAATAACAAATTGTAACCTAAAGTTTATTGGGGAGAAGGACGAATACGAGAATATGGAAAATGAAGTAAACAAACTTGAATTTTTTCAATATAATTTACATGCAACTTTAAAATAGCTGTTCCAAAATAAAATTTGAATTGAATTGTAAGTAGAAATGATTACATAATGATTACATACAAAATTTAAGTGAGTAAGAAGGGTCATTAAGTATATCTCAGTCTGAAATATTTTTTTTTCTTCATCAAATTTCAAGCGGATTTTTTTTTTAATTTCTTCCCTAAAGGGTTCCAAAATTCCAAAATCACAAAAAAAAAAAAAGAAGACCCTGTCAGTCAGCAGTTTTGTTTGATATTCATCTTTTCCATCCAGATTAAAAATGAGTACAGCCGATGCCATTAATTCATCTGGTTCGCGTCAAAACTCTTCCGAACCCTCATCTATACCTGTACGCCATCCTTCCAGTGTTTCTACTCTTGAACCGCAATGGCTGCGCAACCGTAAACTGACTGTGCTGTACTACCGTTCGTGCGGTATGCCAGTAGCTGACATTGCAGCCCGGGTTGGGATCCAGGCCAGCCATGTACGCCGGTATCTTGACGAGATTCTTGCATCCAATTCCATTTGAGACTAATTAAAGTAGAAGGTTAAATGGAATGTTCTACGTTTGGTTTGAAAAAATAAAATAAAATAAATGATGTCACGATGTTGCATTCAAAGCAAATTAAAGCAAATTCATAAGTTTTTAGCAACAATTTGGAAGGTTTTAAAGAATCAAGCTTTTTTTTTTTTTAGAAACAAAAATGAGCTCATAATTGTTTGTTCGTTTTTTGCTGTCATTAAGAGAGAAATAAGCGAAATTTGACATTAGCATATTTGTATGCCATCTGCGGCGTTACAGAGACAATACTTTAGTAACAAGTTGGTATGCGGATTTGTTTGTGATATTCAAATTGGTTGCTATTTTTTTTTTTTTTTTGGCTTGTGTGAGCAACAGGGGAAGATAATGGTTTGAAATTGTTCTGAAACTTAAACTATGACGACACAATAACATCATTTTTCAAAAAAGAACGAGGGGGAGGCAACAGGCTAAAGGACAAGACCCAAAGCAGATGACCAAATGGAATAAAACTATGGGCATAATTATTGTCTTGAGTGTTGTTGTGCCTTATTTAGAGCAAGGGATTTTCATAGATATTTGTCTTCAGCCTCTCAACATTGTTCGAAATCATTCTTTATTCTTCTTTCCCCTCGTTTTTATTTTATCCCATTTGGTAAAAAGATTAAATAAAAAGAAGCAACTGGTTATTTAGAGGATAAGCTGGTATATTGGTGTGAGAAAAGGATGGGGTATTTTTTTTTTTTTTTTTTTCAAGATGGTTAAATTTTTTTTTTCTCCATGGGTCTAAATGGGTTATATATTCGCTTAACAATTGCGAATAAATTTAAAAATCAGTTCATTTCTATGACTTTATATAGGAAAAAAAAATCTACAAGAATTACTTTTATTTATTTACATTAGATTTATAGAAAGAATTGACTTTTATAAAAAAAAAAAAAAAGTTTTATTTTAAAAGAAAATAAAGAATTGTTGACTTGTAAAAAAAAAAAAAACTTTGGACGCAATTCTATGGTCACAACTAAATAAAAAAAATACATAAAGAATGATGAGGAATTTATGAAGATGCTTGATAGAGCAATTGGAAAGAAATTAAACTCAAATATTCTTTAAAAAGAAAAAAAAAGAAAAAAAGAAAAAAATTTCCAGCTAATATCGCGCAAAAAAAAGACATCATGAACAATACTAATTGGTATTTTATTCTGTATTCTGTCGTAATAAACAGGCATTTAAGGTTTTATTTTTTTTTTTTTTGATTGCTGTGGGGTTGAGCAAGCAAAAAAAAAAAGTCATTGACAAGAGCCCTAATTAAAAGTATATCCGGCAGAAAACATTTATTTTATTTTTTTGTTTCGACACTGGTTGACAACGTATTATAGGAAGAGGGGTCTTAAGCACGTTTTAGAGATGAGTCTAAGGATTCAAGATGAAGAAGAAGAAAATATTTCAGTAGAAAGAAATTAAAAAAAAAAAAATTAACCAATTGATTTTGGAAACAGTTAAATCTTTTTTATTTTGGGAGGAGGAAAAGAAATTTCTGTAATAATCAGTGAGACCTGTTAAGACAAATTTGCACCTCCATTCAATATCACCAACTATTGACCAACTCAATTAGCAAATAAATGGTCAATTGGCTTTCAAAAAGAACAATTCACAAGTTAGAAAGGGATTATCTGTATATATTCAATTTGAATTTAAACACACGTCGTCTCAATTTAAGTTTTTTTTTTCTTCTTCTTATGATTTATTATTATTTTTAGTTATTCTCATGTGTTTTTTTTTTTCTTTTTTACAACTTTGTGCTCAATGCTTGCTACCATCATTTTGAACCTTAAGCTTCTATGGAAAAGGAGCAATTGTAGTAATAAAAAAATATAACCCAATATTAGTGAGAGAGCAAAAAAAAAAAATGATGATTCAAAACTCTGTTTTAATTGCTTTTCTTTTTTTATTTTTTATTTTTTTTTTTTGAGAATGTGATTGCGCAAAAAAAAAAAACAAGACTGGATTTTTATATTCAGTCAATTTTGAATTGACTTGAAAAAAAAAAAAAAAAAAAAAAAAAAACTATAAATACCAAGGCTTTTTCGTCTCATTTATGATTCTTTTATTTCTTCTTTTCTTTTCTTCATCAGCTTTCTATTTTATATCTTCTCTACTACTTTCTACTCAATTACCAACAACTATCTTCTTTATTAACAAACAAACAAACCAACAAACTCAATTAACAATGTCTGACGCTGGAAGAAAGGATTTCACCACCAAGGCCAAGGAGGCTCTTACTCCCGAATCTCAAAAGTCTACTTACGACAAGACTAAGGAAACCGTCACTGATGCTTATGATTCAGTTGCCTCTGCCGTCACTCCTAACTCTCAAAAGGGTACCGCTCAGGCTTTTGGCGATGACTTCAAGTCTTCCTCAAACTCTGCCCGCAGTGACGCTAACAAGGCCTACGCTGATACCAAGGCTGATGCCACCAAGAGCTACAACAATGCAAAGGCTGATCTTGACAAGGGAGCTGCTAACGCTAATCACGAAGGCCAGGGCATCATTGAGCAAGCCAAGGAGCTTGTTGGCCAGGCTGCTGAGTACCTGACAGGAAGCGGTTCCAGCACTACTGGCACTACTAGCACTACCCATTAAGGTGCCTAATTATAAGCATATATAGTTGCGATTTCTTTTTCATATTTATAATTACCAACTAATACATTTTATTATATAAACTCCATTAAAGTTTCCCTTATATCTTCTAATTATTAAAAATTACACTCAAAAAAAAAAAAAGAAAAAAGAAAAAATCTAAATTTACAACATAAGACCGGCAACAAAGCACAAGGCAACAAAAGCCATTGGGGAATAATGGGTTAATGTAGAAGCTCCACTCTTGCTAGAAGTCGAGCTTGCGGTGGCACTAGCACTAGCACTACTGGCACTAGCACTGGAGCTAGGCTGTGAAGCCAAGGAAACTACACCAGCAGCTTCCAAAACACTTTGCTCATTGATATCAGCAATGGTAGCTGCCGAAGGTTTAGAGCTATTGGTAGCACCATCCCAGCAATACTTGTTAAAGCAGCGCTTGCACTGTTCTGTTTGTTCAATTCCACGGCGCTCAACCTCACGCTGAATAATGGCACATCCAATACAAGCAGTGAACTCAGAATCAATAGTACCATTGCCATAAGTGGCCACGGCATAATTGTTTTCAATAATGGAATTCTTTTCATCATCAGAGTACTTCATCTTAAAGGTCGAAGTGTTACTCAAATAGGTATAGTAGGCATTGGATGTGTATACAATAACAGGTGGAATAATGCTTGACGATGAGTTTGTTTGTGAACGAAGAGTGGTAAAGTTGCTTGCGTAGCAGCCGAAAAAGGTGGGTTTACGAGTGAGCTGATCATTGATAAAGGTATTGTTATCGGGGACCGACGGGAAAAAGGAGCCATTATTCTGAGTGCCAAATTGACGGGTGTAAGTAGCTTGGATGGATGCACCATTGGGCCAAGAGTAGTCAGTGTCGGCTGAATTGTCATAGGCGAAAATGACATCAAGCTCACGTTGAGGCTGAATCAAAGGGTAGAAGGGCACATTTTGGTTATCTTCACCGCCATCAACGAGTGCCAAAAAATCCGAGTTGGAAATGGCATTGTTTCCAGAGTCGGTAAAGGGGTTAGGGGCGTAAACGGCAATATCATTATAATCTTCGCTCAGATCACTAAGAATACTTTCAGCCAGCTTGCGCAAAATTCCGGAAATGCCAGTTGAATTGATTTGTAAAATAAACTGGTTAAAGAGAGAAGAGGAAGTACCCATGGTGAAACCGGCCTGATCAAAGCCCAAAACGCATGTACCGTTATTAGGCTTACCGTTAGTCACGTTAGAACCGAGCCAAGTCAAATTGGTAAATTTGTGGAGAGAGGGGTCCCAAGAACCCAGCTCAAAGGGAGAGAATTCAAAGACAGTCGAGTTTGTAGAGATAATCTTAGTGTTGGGAGCACGGCCAGTGGCAACAACCAGGGGGAAAGGCATTGAGTGGTTTAAAAATACGGGGAAGTTTTGGATATCGTTCCAAGTCATGGCAGGTCCACCACGGTCAAGATCAATAAATTGCTGGGAAAGAGCGCGGCCCCAAATATCCGTAAGGGAAGTATTAAAGCCGGCATCTCTCTTGTCGTCGACATCATCGGCCAATTTATCAAAGTAGCTGGCTGTGGAGAAAACATTGATACCACCGGGGTTAAAGATGGAGTGCTCGAGATTCCACAGATTGTCATTGTACTGCAGATTGTCAATAGTTGAAAAGTTATTCAAAACAATGGAGCCGACAAGCCAACTTCCTCCGGAAAGACCGGAAAGGTATGTTGCAGATTGGACAAGACCACCGAGATGGCCAGTATTTGTCGAGTTGGGAGTACGGGAATCGAGAGCTGCAAACTCGCCTGCACCAGTTAGCATGGCACGATAACCGCCACCGCTAAAGGCAAGGCCAATTGTGAGGGAAGTATTTGTTCCGAGGAACGAGTCTGTGTCGATATCAGTCATATTAATACGGGCCAAAAAAGTTTTGAGAGCCTCGTCTGTTTGTTTCTTACGTTCCGTGATCCATTCTTCTTCCTGGTCTGAGAGCGAACTTGCAGAGCGTAAAAAGTTATCGACAGAGTCTGGGCAGTCGACATAGGAAGGTGCGTAAGAGTTTCCTGGGTTCCAAGCAGAGACCTGCTGAGGCATAGTCACAAGGACAGCAGCAGCAGCCAAAAGAGCAGCTGGAGATAGATGCATTTTTTTTTTTTGATATTAACTTAGAGGTATTTTTAAAGTTATGAACTTTTTTTTTAAAAAAAAAAAAAAACAAAACAAAACCAGGAATTAAAAAAAAAAAAAAAAAAAAAAAAAGCGCGGGAATTTTCAAGGTTTTTATATAAAAGTCCAACATTTGCAATTTTTTTTTATTTTTTTTTATTTTTGGTTCAGCCTCTCTAGTAGTTAAACCTGTCCAGCAGGTCAAACCAAATTAGTATCTTAGTGGCTCAAAAGGGGAGAGAAGCTGACTAAGTGATGTGGTGATTGCAACTTTTCTCTGTGGTATAATAGAGTGGGTTTTTTTTTTTTTTTGTCTCTGCAATTGGTATAATATATAGTACCCACCACATATATGGAGGGCTTTTTTTTTTTTTTTTTTTTTTTTTTTTTCTTAAACAAAGCTTTAACCATCACCAGATACTCTAATTTAGTCTTATTGAAAAATCCAACTTGCACAATAAAACAAATGAAAAAAAAAATCCTTTAAAATGAAGAATTAATTTTTTTTTTAAATGAGAATATAAAAAAAAAAATCAAAACAAAAGAAAAAAAAAAAGGTTTTAAGGCGTTCTATTAAACAAGAGCCATTTTCCATGATGACGTATTTCAAATTTTTTTTTTTTTTTTTTTTTTTTTTCAAAATGCAGCTGTTTTTTTTTTTTTTTTTTTTTTTATTTCATTTCATTCAATCATTCGTTAATTCATTTGTTCCATTCATTCAAAAGGGGATTTTTTTCTCTGGTGTCTTTTTTTTTTTTTTTTCAATTCTTCTTTTATTCACTTAATCTTCCGTCACAAAGATTTATCATCTTGTTTACCGTTTGAATAATAACCAGAAATGGCACGGCTAACCTGCCTTTTAACCAACTAGGCTAAGCAAAAAAAATAAATAAAAAAAACCCACAATTGATAATACCGCGCGTTGTAATGTCCCGTCAAACCTCCCACGCAAATATCGCCGGAACTCGATCACAGGACTCTTCATAGCCATCAATGCTTTCCCGATTCGGGCTGTGTATTAACCGTTGCCACTGCGCTTTCTAAAACAAAAAACAAATGTAATTATTATTATTATTATTAGACACTCCAGTTTCAATATTTGCTTTTTTTTTTTTTTTTTTTTTTTTTTTTTTAAACTTACCACAGATTTTTCACCTTTTAAATCTGTTCTCTTGTTGTTTCTTTCACAAAACCTCCAATATTCGGCAATAACTGAAACTCCTCTTAAAAACACACTTTGACCTTTTTCATCTTCTTGTTGTAATCGTGGCAGTACCTCTGATGGGTTCTCTTCTTCTTCTTCTTCTTCTTCTTCTTCTTTTCCTTCTTCATCTTCTAAATCATTCTGATATCTTGTTTCTGGTATTGTGTCATCCGGGAACTCGGACATATCCTCTTCCGGTGCCTTTCCATTCCAAATCATCCACCGGTACTCAACAAACGTGCGTGGAACTCCTGCCCATCCACGAATAATTTGAAATTCATTCTTTACTGACATTCTTCTCTTGAAATCTTCATCTTCATCGTCATCTTCTGCTTGATTCCATTCCGATTCTTGAATAAAAAATAATAACCCCCACACAATTGAATTCGCTCGCCAATTAACTCTACCATTCACCTCACTTCCATTTCCACTGCCGCGCGGCCGTACCCGCACATTAACGCCGTACTGCAAAACAAGCCCTTGTTGTTGTTGTTGTTGTTGTTGTTGTTCTTCTTCTTCTTCTTCACCTTTTCCCCTCAAACAAACCTTCAACGGAACAAACACCTGAGAATTGGCCCGCGTCGCCCTCATCAGCATCTCATCATGTCGGTCCCAATGACACTCAATGCTCACTCGTTCAACATTCTGGTCTGGGAACTGCTGTCTTTTAGGTTTCCCGACATTCTTCAACACTGCCCAGTTCTTTTCTTCCGTTTTGGTTTCTTCCTCACCCTCCATTCCACAACCCACCTCTTCAGCCTTATCATAACCAAGATATTCAGCCTCTTCTAGCTCCAAACCATATAAATCTGTTAGCACCGGCTCTCCTACCCTTACAACAATTCCAACTGGTGCATCATATGGCGGCACCCTCGCGGCTGCTGATGCATCTAATGGAATTTCAACCTCCACCCTTAACCGACGCACCACTCCCTGTCGCAGTTCCATCACATGGTTTTCAGTCACTGGCGAAGGTTTGCTGAACCGACCATCCTCGTCCAACTCAACAAATTGGGTCCTGACTTCAACACGAAATGTTTCTGGTGGTGATTCAGGCACATAATTCACCGGAGGCTCTTCCTGTAATGCGTCCCAGCTTGCTAACTTTTCAAGAAACCCGTCTCTCACTGTGCCATAAACTTCAATAAGCAGCTCAGACCCCCCAGCTATTTTTAAATATGATGGGAACCGAATATACCCATCATTCTTCTTCTTAAACAACATACTACCTCCTACCTCCATCACTGGTGTTACTGCAATACGCTCTACCGAAGCAACATCGCTATGCTCATTTCTCACAACAACTGACACCCCACAATGTACGTCTTGAATTTCCTCATATGACATCCCCCCTAAAAATATGGTATATCCATTGTCCCCAACCTTCTCAAGTCGCAATCGCCCAGCAACGCTATATGTGTATGGAGAAAAAACGTCTGCCTCTTCTGTTTCTCCCAAAAAAAAATTCGCTTTGCCCAGATATGTGAACTGCGGTTTCGCTCTATTAGTCATCTCCGGAACCATCATCTCCATGTACTGCTCAGGAGCTGCGCGCCGCACACAACCAACATTAGTATTATGAGGTACCATCCGACGTAGTGCACCCAAACTGCATATATGAACTGCACGAGTCTCAGAATGCTGAAACCGCACTGCCAACTTCTGCAAGCCTTTCCCTGGCCCTACAATAAATGTGTTTGTGCTAGTGGCACTACCTTGATCATAATACGGTGAATGCTGCAATCCAGTACTATCCACAACCATCAATTGAAACTGACTCGCAGGCAATCCAAACTCCCGTGCAGTTATTTGAGCCCGGCCAATGAGCTCAAGGTGACTTAAAAATTCACGCACAAATCGCGCATCTCTCTGCTGCTGCCACACTGCTACATACTTGCGGGCCAGCTCTTTCTCACGCGGCGTTAGATCCGTATCTCCAGAAATGGTAAAACTCGTATTGTCGTTTTCCGAGACAACAGAATGATCAAAATCCGGTCTCGACGAGCTGGCACTACTGGTGCGTAGGTGCCGCGACCGAACCACCCGGTGGTACAAACCTTCCAGCGTGTCGTCGTCTAGCAATGAAATGGCTTCATCATCCGGAACTTCCTTTTTAGGAGTTTTGGCTCGAGGTATGCTTCCACCACGCCGCAGCGGATCAAAAAACCGCACGACAAGAGATTTCTGGGGCCCTAAAGCTATCCGGCTATTATTAGTTAGTAGAGTGGGTGTGCTTACAGCCACTCCATTAACTGTGACAAGGGCACCATCCATGGGGACAAGGGTGGTATCTGTATCAGTGATAAACTTGCAGTGCACTGCAAGAATTTGCTCTCCCTGCACCTTAATGCTGGCTTCAGCATTACTGCCAGCTGTCGTAGTTCCATGTTGTAGCGTAAATGTAAAAAAGCTTGAGCGGCCTTCACTTACATTCATAATATATGGAAGTTTTAGCCGAGGAAGGTCATATAACCTTGAGTTGGGCACAATTCCGAGTGATTTGAGATCCCGCACAGGGCTAGCTGGTGTACTTTGCTCGGCCAATTGACGTTGAATTGTTTCCAACTTTTTCTTGAGCTCGCTGACATTCTCTTGTTGAGCCAGCTGGCTTTTTAGCCGTTCAATCTCTTCGCGCAGTTCGCGAACAAGTAATTTCCCCGAAACAGCTTCTCCCTCATTAATAATAGCCACGTTTTCAATTTTTTTGACACTCGATGCAAACCTCAGCGTCGACAGAGTGTGGTCAGCGTTTATCGGATCCGGCGATAATGTTGCTACCATGGCCGTCATTGAATTCCCGCCCAGTGCTTCCTTAAGAACCCACGTAAGCATGGAATCACGATATGGCACAACGGTTCCTGGGCGACGTTGTTTCTCAACTAGAGCAGAGATGACTCGTGCAAGTGAAGATAAAGACTTGTTGATTTCGCTGCCCTCACGAAGCCGTGCTCCTGAAGTTCCGGATGTTTTAGCACGCTCCGACCCGGCTAGATCCACCAGATGCATTCTTGAAACGCTACCAGCCTGGGCTAAAGTAATGCAGAAAATGGCATGTGACCGAGACGATGCGTCATTAAGCGCTGTTGCGGCCACACTTCTGTTTTGCGATCCTTGCTCCAGCACAGAGTATAGCTCTCCTGGTGATTTAATAGCAAGAGAAGTCAGTCCATCAACATATGGACCAGTCTTTGAATGCTCTCGAACTTTAAGCGGGGGTATTTGAGTATTGGTATTCTTAACAAGCAAATCTCTAATCTTATCGTGATTGTAAATTTCGTAAAACGAAACTGTAACGCCACAGGGTGGTCCTCTGCTCATTCGTTCAAAAAGCTCATGGCCCATGCGTGGAATAATCCCGGGCTCTTGTTGGGTTCCGATCATGGTGTGCGATTTGCCGGATCCAGTCTGACCATAGGCAAACACGCAGGTGTTGAAGCCCTTCAATGCATGATCTAGCAGCGGGGCTGCAGTTGCGTTAAACACGCGTTCCTGGGTAGCATACGAAACACCTTCGGGCATTTTCTGGGCGCTCCAAAGTACATCGTCAAATGCAAAAGCTCGTGACCCGACGACAACTTGGTTCGGGGGTCTAAATGTGACTGGGGATTCTGAAGATGCTGAGAATCCAAAATGTTAGTTTTGTATGTAACCCCCACTGAGGGTTTCGCAAGGCTGGAGGCTTGGACTAACTTACCTGAAGAGTTTGGCCGCAGCCGAGCAAGAACTTGAATTCGGAACGCAGCGCGAGTTTTATTTGGTGATTGTTCGGGCATTTTTAATATATTTGAAGTGTTGATATTTTTTTTAAAAAAAAGTGAAAGGTGGGTTCAAAGTAATAACGCTTTAGCTTGTCAAAAATATATATATTTATATTTATTGATATAACATCAGGGTCCCACCTAATCAGCCCAGTCTTTTTTATTTTTTTTTTATTTTTTGTGTTTTAATTTTCTCTGTCCAACACGCCGTTCTGAAATCACCAACTAGGGCTTTTCCACCATCCGCTTCCAATCCCACCTAAAATGCTTACCTCTAACGCCTAAAAAGAAAAAAAAAAGACCATCGGACTGCGGAGCCCCGACTGGTTGATACCCCATGTGTTGCGTCTTTTCACGCCGGTGTCGGTGCGCGCAACAGTTATATCTTAGCGGTGGGTCTTGTTTTGTACAAAAAAAAAATAATATCTTGCTGGCTGTTTTATGATGTAAATAATAAAAAAAAATAGTCTCAGATTGAACCTTTCTTCTTGACATTTACAACTATTATTCCATACACATAGAATATATACAGCCACAACAATGACTGAAAATCTTACACCGGCTCTCGCAACTCAGCCAGAATGTATTGTCTTTACGGACTGGGATGGAACAGTCACTTTACAGGACTCCAACGATGCACTTACAGATAACTTGGGTTACGGCGAAGAGCGTCGCAAGTTCCTTAACCAAGAGGTTCTCCATGGCCGCTGGACTTTCCGCGATGCCTTTCACGATATGCTTGAGTCTGTAGACATTCCTTTCCCTGAATGCATCACATATCTTAAGCAGCATGTTAAACTGGACCCAGGCTTCCGCACCTTTTACGAATGGGCTCGTGAAAATAACATCCCCGTCATTATCGTGTCCTCTGGAATGCATCCCATCATCCATGCGCTACTCGAGTCGCTGGTCGGCGCCGACGCTGCAGCTGAGATTCAGATTGTTTCCAACAACGTTAACATCGACGAGGCCACTGGCCGCTGGACTATTGTATACCGCGATGATACTGACTTTGGCCACGACAAGTCGCTTGCTATCAAGCCGTACGCCGAAAAATCACCCAGACCAACCCTATTCTACTGCGGCGATGGTGTCTCTGATCTTTCTGCTGCTCGCGAAACTGACCTCCTGTTTGCCAAAGAAGGCCGCGATCTCATTACCTTTTGCGAGCGCGAAAAAATCCCATACGTAACTTTTGGAAACTTTGGAGACATCCAGCAAGGAATCCAAGAGTACATGAAAAAAAACAAGACTGAATAATAAAGAATATTAATAACCATAATAATAAATTTATAAATTTTACACAAATCAATTCAATAACCGACTGAGACCCTCGTCTTCGGCCTCGGCAGCCTCCAAAGCGTCTTGCTGAGATATGCGCCTCAGAACCTCACGTTTAGACGATTCTTGGATCTCGCCGGCCAGCAGCAGCTCGTCCAAAATGTAGTATGCCTTTGTAAAGTTGAAGATAATGTCGAGCTCGCACACATTGCCGTAGTACTTGTCCATCTGCTCGACATACCGATGGATGATTTCTAGAGTAATCAGCTCATTGTCGTCTGACTCAATTCCTGCAATGAAAAACAGTGACGCGTACCGCCGGTACACTACCTTAGAGTCCTTGTATTCCAACACATTGCACATCTTGGTGCGTCGCGCAAGAACCAGCGTTGTCACTTCCCGCACAATCTTGGTTTTCTCCTTAGATGCAAGTGTTTCAAACCATTTGGCAAGACGTACTTTGCCTTGACGAGACAGCAGTAGGAGGTATCGGATGGCCATGTTGGTATGTCGTTTGTGTATGTGTTGTGCTGTGTTTGTGTGTATGGGGGGAATGGCAGGAATGCATGTGTGCTGGCGTTAAAAAAAAAAAAACGGTCCCTTACCCTAGCCCTAAAATCATCTCATTCAAATATTTTTTGAATATTTGAAATATTAACATTCAAGTATTTATCTCAAACAAGTTTGAATTGATTTAAGAGTAACTCTTACAAAAAATACTAATCAAAATTTTTTTTAAAAAAATTAAAGTGAAAAAACAAAATTATTTTACAATTTTTATTGAGATTTTTTTTATATATTTTTACCCCTCTAATCACTAGTATTAGTATTGTTTCCGTCAACTGGAACTTCCCGACCTGTTACCTTATAGAACAGAGCTGTGCAGGAATAACCCTTCCACGCAAAGTTTTCTTCTGGATCACAAACACACTTGTTATCCATACGAGTTTGTTTCAAAGTCGGACAGTTATTAAATGGCACATGCCAATATCCAATGTCTTCAAAATGATGTACCTCGCTCTTATTCAAAAATAGCGATGCACCAATCGAGTGAACGGGAGCATCACCCCAACGCTCATAGAAAAACCCACCCTCATGGTCTAAAAAGTCAAAGTACTTAGTGTATGCTTCCTCACGCCAAAAGTCGAGATCGGCAACCTCAAAGTTAGACCAGAAATGGCATCGATTGTAATCTTTCCCTTCATTTCCAGACACAAAACCCATAATATTGTCCTTGGCCAGCATCTCCGGATGCTGTTTCATAAATTTGACTGTGGAATCCCAAAGCGTTGGAATAGTAGCCTTGTATTCGTGCAAAGAAATGGTAAAGCCATAGCGCAGCTTGTGGTCTTCCATATACTTGAAAACGTCATAGTTAATATCGCAAAAAATTTTAATGCTGGGTTCTACACGCCAATAGTATTTGTACTTGTTAAGCGCTGGATGACGCCAAAAAAAACCAGACTCATAGCGACACATATGGCGGTACGATTCTGATCCGCCGTAAATGATCTTTGCTTCACGCATCTTTTTGCGGGCTTCCTTAGCCTTGTCTTGGTCGATCCAATCTGGGTAACTCCAATGTTCCTTGGGAATTCGCGCATAAGTTGTGTTGCCGGAAATGATCGCGCTGGTCAACTCTTTAAATCGATCATCAAAGTCTTCGTCATTTAAAAATACCCAGTCGTACTTGTACTTGTGGTTAAAGCGGTCTTCAATAGCGCGAATCGATTCAATCATGGACCACACGTCCTTGTTTCGAGCAAGTGTGACAAACGTCGCGTTAGCTCTAGGATGGCTAATCTCTGCATTTGATTTTAGAGACTGTTGTAGTTGTTGCTGTGGTTGTAATTGACCGTCGGATCCCTGTGCATTCTTTAACAGAGAACCATAATATGCCGAGTATGCATTACTGTTTTTTGTTGAAAGGTGGTAAATCAAGCCCACTAAAAGCAGCAGAATAGCTGCAAACCGCACGACACGGATAGTGACTCGGGACATTCTGAAAAGTTTTCCTTTTCTTTTATATTCTCTCTTAAGAAAAGAGAGCTTTTAAATAAAAAAGAAAAAGAAGAAGAAAAAAAAAAAAAAAGAGTTACTTATGGAGAAATCTAACCCCTTTTATTAGATTGGCGTCGATTAAGTAGGTTTTTCACAGCGGAAAGTATAATGCTATGGACGTGGTCTTTAAATCACCATAGACCATAATATTTCCCAGTCTCAGATTTACACATATATACTCCAAAACATATCTAAGACCTTCCCCACCATATCAACATTCGTCATTTCCCCAAATCCCACCCAGAAATAACAAAAAAAAACAAAAAAAAACAACAACGAGCCAACTCTCCTCCAATTTTAAACAGTCTGGCAGAAACAGAGCACAAGTTTTGCGCACGTTTCATCATCTTTTCTGTTTTTTTTTTCCCCCTCCTTTCCATTTCCTTTTTGGTACGCGCCTTTTTCCTCGTATGGGAGATCGGGCCCATTGACTTTAACAACACTCAACTGGTTGGTTTCATAAAAGCTTATCGAATTAAGATTCATTGCGCTCATCCTTTCAATGTCCCATTTTGCTCTGCACGAATACACTACAGCTCCACCCTGGTCCGTAAAAGACTCTTTTGCCGCCCTCAAAAACAAGGCATTGCACCATCCTTCCTCAGAGTACCTGATACCCTCCGAGTCCATCCCTGGCAATGAGGTTCCTTCCATTAGATACCACGGGAACCTTTTGGCTTACTTTCGACATGTTCAAGACCCTGATATACCTTCCCGTAATTATACTCTTTTGCGAGTCTGGTCCTTAGCACTTGAGCAGCCCATGATGTCTTTCAAGTACCAATGGTCCACCAGTACCCCACCTCCATGGATCTCTTCGCCAAAATTGCAAGTGGCCGATATGGCACTTTCTGATTCTATCATGGCCTTTACATCAACGGAAAAGTATTCCATTTTTGTCACTCTTGAAATCATTACTAACAACTTTTAAAGTCAGCTAATTTTTGTCCGGTTAAAAGGATCAGCACAGATTCCTTCTGAATTTGTTGAGTCTTTGGACCTTTCTCCAGTTTTGACGCACCATGGAATGACCCAGTCTTTATGTGTTTCACTCTCAGCTTATCAAAACAAACTTTCTCTTCTCCTCCAGGGATATTCAGCCACCCAAGGCCAGTACACCACTCTTCTACTTTTAATCAGTATCCCACACAGTCTCGAGTCTCCTTCAATTGTTCACTTTGTCATTGCACCTACCCTTTCCGTTCATATGTTTTCACCCGAGTCTAAGCTTGTATGTCTTAATCCAAGTCATTACGCACTTTTGATTGAATACTTGGATTTCCGTAAGTGTACCAACTTCAAACTCATCTTTATACCCACCAACAAGTCGCAAATGGCGGCTCCGCGGATTGTATCGTTTGCACCGCACTCGTCAAGATACCTTTCTGTGATTCACAATACCAAACTTAGCTACAATTGGAAGACCCAAACATCTCAAGCTACATTTGAAGTCATTAGTCGAAGCTCTCCTCACTCGGAACAGATTGCATCTTCGAGCTTATACGACCTGGCAAAGTCTTTTTCCACCCCGGTATTTTGTATCGTTGCTTCTGATACCTCCACTATTTCCACAATTTCTTCTCGTTTAAATTCCCCGTGGGCAATGCCGGTCGCATTAATGCATCTTTTGATTTTTTTAGTTTTATTACCCCTCCTCTTTATACCCGTCTCCGTCACACAGCTTACTGTAACGCTTACAGAAACTCAGGAAACCCCGCCACAAAAGGGAATATTACCTTGGCGACCCCATAAAGAACGGTTCAAAAAGTCTACACAAACTGTTGCCCTGGGGGATGGATCGGCAATTGCTACATGCTCTCTTACAACACGCCATTACTCGCGTGCAATCACTGATGGTGATGGACCAGATCCTTTTATGCGGATTATTTGTGCGGGGTCGAACCATTTTGCAGTTGAAGACAGCCATGGCCCGACAACTTCAGGAACTTTGCGGCTTGTTAAGTTTACTGATACGTTAGCATCTTCTTTAGCCTATTCACGACCAAGCACCTTACGACTGTTTTCTATTGGGTGTTATGTGGGGTGCTTGCTTGCATTTGCTGTAGCCATTTGGTCCGTTTTAATTCTGATGCCTCAGGCTAAAATGGATCTCTTAGTGCAGCTTGCAATTTGCGACGCGGCTTCAGTTTTTCTCTTAGCCGTGTGTCAAGACATTATGTTGCTGGGAATTCACACACGATATAGGTGGCGCAAGTACAAGTATAGTAAACGAAAAGATGTATGGGAAGCTTGAAAGATTATTATTTATTTATGTTCAGGTCCAGAATGTGAAGCGTAGATAAAGAAATATTGGAATAGTAAGTGTCAAACTACAAAGAATGATGCGATTCTTGACGGCTAGTGTTTCGCGCGCAGCCATATCTGCAGCTATATCGTCATTTACCACAATGTCAAAGTCTGTAAGAGATAGTCCCACATCAGCATTAACAATGTTGCGGTAATACCAGTGTGCGTCTGACTTTTGTAGATTTGCAATGTCACTGGCCTCGGGTCTTATTGCAGAGCTACGTGGTTTTTTGCGTTTGCGGTTTTCCGGGAACACACCTTCGTAGCCAGAGTGCAATGTTTTAAGGTGGCAAGAGAAGGGCATTCGAGGAGACAACGGGGATATCATTTGAGTTGCAACAAGAGCTTCATCAACAGACATATTTGCTTGCTGAGTAAGCCCAGGAGCTGGTTGATCTTCGCACGGTCGTGTTTCCTCGCAGCAGCTTGCAGCAGACTCAGAAATGACTGTGACGCGGTGTCGGATAAATTTCCCATTACGATAACAGAGCCAAGGGCTTGCTGATGACACAGAGGAATTTGAAAGTGAGACCCGGGGGAAAGATGATGCAATTGCCCTGGCCCCTACCTGTGGGTTATTAACAAATGAATCTAATCCTAGGTTTGATTCAGAATTTGGAATAGAATATAGCGGTGCAGAAGCTGTGAGAGCAACCCAACGCTCAGTGGAAGATTGGGGTGATACTTCTGGTGTTGAAGAGGTGTTTGTACAAAGGGTAATTTCGTCAGTGCTGACGACCGTCATGTTATGGTAAGAGAAGAGGATTGTTTCATGTTTGATTGTAGAGAGCAGTCTTAATAAAAATTAACTTTCATTTGATTTTTATTCAAAAATAGATATATATTAGATATATCTAAGATATACTCGTAGACATACATGAACAGATAAAAATCTTTTTTAATTTAATTTAATTTAATTTAATTTAATTTTTGAGATATGCCTTTCTTTGAATATAATTATATTGATTCTGCAGTATTTAAAAATTATTATAAACAAGATTCAGATAACCCTGCTCAAGCTATTAATGTTGGAAAAAAAAAACCTTTTTGACCAATCTGAAAAAATGAACTTTACCAAGATTTGAAAACTTCAATAACAGATCCATATTCAATAATTTTATTTAATCTTTAAGTCAGCAATGTATTCTGATAAAGAGCTATCATAATTACCATCTATTGGAGACAATTGTGGTTCAGAAATAAATAAATTTTCAAATATTTCAATTCATTAATACTAGTTGTCTGGGTCCATAAGCAAGTAGTCAAACTGGCGATCAAAAGCCTGAAATTGAACCTTTAAACAATCGAGTTGTTCGTTGTCCAAACAATATACACACGGTTCCACAATATTTTGCATTGTGAAGGGTTCAATAGGGTTGAAGAAGTTTGAAATAGTTTGATCTTGTTCCATTGCCATTGTGCCACACAAATAGCACTCAGATCCAAGTATTTTTTGTTCTGTTTTGCTGTAATTACTTAGTATTTCTCGTTCCTGAGTCATCGGTATAATATTTTCGATTATACAGGGTGATACAAAAGTATTTAGATTTTGATTTTTCCGTTGATTTTTCCGTTGATTTTTCCGTTGATTTTTCTGTTGATTTCTGAGTTCACCTAAGTTAATACCGGCACCAATCAACCAAGTTAGCAAAGTTACTGAAGGGATGACCTTTTCAAACTTATTTTGTAGTTCGTTGATGATTTTACCAACAGAAGGATGTTTCCGAGCATAACAAATAGCATACTCCTTAATTTCGGGTGAATAAGACTTGTGTCTAACTTTAGCCATAATGATATTGATAATAAGTTTATGATTTTTAAAAAAAAAGTGATAAGATATTAAAATGATAGAGGTATAAGAAATATTGGTATTTTTATAATTTTGAGCAATTTTTTTTTGCAAGTCAGATATATGATACCAATCAAGTGATTAGGATGAAAATATTGATATACACAGTAAATTTTCAAACATCGTATAGAAAAACTTCCTTTTTTATCGAAAATTTCGTAAATAAGCCAATAATATTCCTTAAATTTAAAAGTTCTGGCCCAAATAGGTGTGTTAAGAAGGATCTGTGCTCCTCAAATCCTTTTTTTTTTTTTAATGTTTAAAAAAATTACTATGAGAAATATGAGTTTTCCCTATGTTTGAAATTTTACGGTGATATATATATCGATATTTAACGATATTTTAAATTAAATTTTATCTTTAATAGTGTCAACGTGATTGACAAAGAAATACCAATAAAACCTTATACTTTATTATAATATAGCCAGCCCTTAGGGCAGTGTACTTATATAATATAAGTACTCTGCTGGTTTACCAAGTACATTAGTGCGCCTACCAGAAACGAAGATATCATACAAGACAAATGCCAACTTTGTGGGGCTGAATCAGAAATCCCACAGACACATGATCACAGTATTCCAATGCTATGGGTTTATACAAGATATCGACAGTGCCGACTAAGGTTTGATAAATAAATATCGATAAATTCCTAATTGACATTAATATTAAAATTATTAAAAAGTTACATTGAACACAAGCAAGGACCAAATCGATGGCTTTTCTAATTGATAAAGACTTTACTATATTTAGTTTTGTGAAAAAAAAAGACTTTTAAATTATCTAAATTTATAAATATATATCTATATATCTATGTATAGATAGATAGATATAGATAGATGCTATCTCATATTTTTCAATCATTTTTGTTTTTATTTTTTTATTTTTTTATTTTTCTATACTTAAACTGTGCCTTCGAGAATCCTGCAATTTAACATTAGCCTTTCGTAGCCAACAAGCCAAAGTTGACTGGGGTACTCTGACTTGAAACTTTTTTTCAAGTTCTTTTTTAATTAAATTGCCATTGGCAAGATTTTCTCGGGCAAATTGGACTGCATAGTTTTTGATATCTTTGGAGTACTTTTGACGGTGATGAGTTATTTCCATGGTGTTGATTTTGTGTGTGATTAAAACAGACTTATCTGTAATTATTTTCTTCAAAAATTGATTTATTCTTGCGTTCCAAAACTTAACCTGGTTTATATTTTATATTTTGGTTCTTTGAAAGGTAATGTAATGGAGTTATGATTAAAAATTAATAAAATGCAATGTTATTAAAAAAATTAAATTAAAATAAAATAAAGTAAATTCAAGTAGGATAGAATAAAATAAAATAAAAATATATGATAGTCGTTAAGTTTTATTTTAAATAATTTAAAAGATTTAAATGGCAAAAATGGTGATATTTATAATTAAACCTGATGAGGCTTAATTGAATATCGATAAACATAACGATAAAACAAATTTTATGTATATACGTATACTAATGCTAATAATAATACAATAAAAATAATAATAATATCATATCGTGTCATGCCCTTAAAAATATTAAATCAGCATTAAAAATATATATCAGAGATTAAGCAACAATTTCTCACTTTTAATTAACTCGTCACATTATATGTTGAAATTAATCTTGATTCATTTTTAGTGAAGGTCAGCTTTCAAAGATTGAAGTCTGAAGATTAACATCAAAATACCCCAAATGATAGTGTGTGAAATTAATACCATATTTTTTTTTAACAATACTTTATATAAAGTATTCGAAATTACGATTTTCTACAATACATTAAGAAAAAAAAATAGTCAATTACACTTATTTGTTTTTATTTAAGGTTAATTTGCACTATTAGAAATATCATAAGCTCAGTTTTAGCTAATTAGCAATTAGGTTGTTTAAAAAGCTGGTATTTATACTATCATACCCACGTTCAAAGTTGCTATTAATACAATATAATTCTAACTATATATAGTTATAATTATAAGATTAAAATAATATATTACGTTATATTAATCCGTTAAATCTTTATATTTAACAAGATATTAACAAGATATCGATATAATTAAGATGCCTAAGATATTATGTTTTATTCAAAATATATCGTTCAGTCTATTTAACATTCCTGTTGACCCTTCAAAACCCAAGCCATTAAATATTAAAAACATTGAAACGTGTTATTTTAAAGAATAATATCAAATATAAGCTATTTTATTAATATGTACATTTATTAATTGTCTTTGGGAATGACAACAACCCAAGGATGAGCCTCGGTGTAGTTGTCATACATGAGTCCACTAAAATGCTTGCGAAGCTCAAGAGCAATGCTGCCATCCTCAAGCGAGGGCAAAGGCACAGACACAGACTTGCCTTCAGGAGTACGGATCTCCTTGACAGGAGCCACAAAGAAAGCAGTTCCAATAGCAAAAGCTTCGAGCAGACGGCCCTCCTCAGCAGCTTTGTCAAGATCGTCAATAGAAAACTTTGTCTCTAAAACGGTCTTGTTTTCTGCACGCAGGTACTCAATGGCTGAACGACGGTTAATACCAGGAAGAATAAGATTGGTTTCTAAAGAGCAAGTAACCACTTCGACGGCACCAGATTTGGCATTCTTCCAAACAGCAACAAAGTTGGAAGCACCAGCTTCGGTGACAAGACGCTCCTCCTCACCAAAAAGCCAAAGAACTTGGTCGTAACCATCCTTCTGGGCAATGGAGTGTTCGCGAAGGGTAGGTCCATAATTGGCACCAAGCTTGGAGCTGCCGAAACCACCTGGCCAAGCACGCACAGCGTCCTTGGGGTTGGAGGAGTAAAGACGGAGAGGTTTGTCACTCCAGCTGGGCATGAGAACCATGACAATACCAAGCTTGACGCTGGTAGGAGCGCAGACACCCAGACCAGTCATGGTGCCAATCAAGTATGGTCTAATGTAAACAAAAGACCCAGGTTGGACAAAGTGGCCGTCAATAGAAAGCAGTTTGACAAGGACCTTGAGCAGTTCGTCTGCATCAAAAGTTGGGAGCGAGGCACGCTCGGCGGAGACATTGAGGCGAGCAAGGTTAAGCTCAGGTCTGAGAAGACGAAGCGACTTTCCATCTTGGGAACGGAAAGCCTTGAGGCCTTCGAAGCACTGAGTGGCGTAGTGGAGACACGATGCCGTAGGATCGAGAGCGAGAGGAGCGTACGGCACTATGCGGGGGGCGGTCCAGCCATCGGCAACGGTCCAGTCAATCTCGACCATGTGGTCGGTATTGGAGTAAGGTGGGAGGCCTTCTGAAGACTTGGGTGCAGAGGTCTTTGTGATGATGGTATCTTTAAACTGGAACGACGAGGAGGACATTGTTTTGACTATTTGAAGAAAGAGAATTTAGTATTGGAACAGGTACTTAAATAAGCATTTGGGGAAAATTTTCAAAGTTTTTTTTTTTTTTTTTTTTTTTTTTTTAAACAGAACAGACAAATCAACTTTTGACCGTTTTGCCTAATTTGGAAAACTAAATTTCACAAATAGTGCGGCGGTAATAGGCGGAACAAATTTTATTTTATTTTATTTTTAATTTAATTTAATTTAATTTAATTTTAATTTATTTTATTTACAGGACAAAAAAAAAAAAAAAAAAAAAAGATTGAATCAACAAACTATTAAACATCAAAACAAATCTTTCTCAATGGTGGTCTATATAGAGCGAAGACCCAGACCGTAGCGTTTGATGACAGATTCGACGTCGCCAAAGTACTCACGGCGGCCTTGGATCACAACAGTGGGCTTGCCAGAGCCCATTCCTGGATTGTTTGTGTTACCGGTAAGAACCCGGCGAGCCACGCGCTGAATGTCCTCAACCGTTAAAGCATCAATCTTGTCGCACATCTCGGATACTGGGACCTTGTATCCTTGGACAAGAATCTGGCGACCCATATCCTCTAGCTGGACCATCTTACTCTCAAGGTTCATAAGTAGTGACGATCGCAGCTGGTTCTTAGCACGCTGGACTTCTGTCTTAGTGAGTGCACCAGCTCCTGTGGTGAAGGTCATGGAAAACTGGCGGCAGAGAATCTCAGCAAGGTAAGGAGCAAAGTTAGGAACACAGGAGGCAGAAATACCGAAAAGACCGGAATCAGTGTAAGAATGGTTAAAGGCAATACAGCTTTCAATGTAGGGGAATTGATTGAGGACCTGAGTGTAGAGACGAGAGTACATGCCCTTGCCAGGCCCGCCGGCGGAAAAGGAACCGCCACCACCAAGAAGCATCTGGAGGGTGGCGAGGGCGTAAATATCCGGATCGGCGGTTGCCAGACCTTCAAACGCGAGGTGGAGGTGGAAAAACTCAGGAAGGTTACCAATGGGAGGGATGGAAGGTCTTGAGTATTCCCCACCAGTGTAGTGAGAAAAGTTTGTGAAAAGTTCTGTATTTGCAGCAGCGATGGTGGCCTGATCACGTTTAGGAATAGAGCCCAGATATTTTTCCACTAGCTTAACAGCAGTAGAAGTATCGACACCGACAAATGAGGCGACAATTTTGTCAGGATGGTAGAACTTGGTACGGTAGGCTTCGATGGAAGCTGGTGTGATTTCGGAAAGACGTTCCTTGGGGCAAAGAAGCGGGTTCCCAAGGGTTCCATCATAAGCAGTCATGTGTACAATCTCTGGAAGAATGAGCTCAGGCTTTTGCCAGATTTCGTCAACCTCGTACTCGGCGGTGGCAAGCTCAGCATTAAGTTCATCAGGGAGAATCGCAGGATTACGGACAGTATCGGCAAGTAGTGCAAACATGCCTTCAGTGTCTGAATTAAAGACTGATGCTTGGTAAAGCATGGATTCACGCGATGAAGCACACATGTAGTTACCTCCGAGAGATTCAAGGGTTTCCTGCATGGTGAGAGCAGATCGTGTAGTGGTAGACTTAAAGGCCAGTCGATCTACAATGTGAGAAAGACCACTTAGTTCTGGGGTGTTTTCATAACGAGACCCGGCATGGACGTAAAGGCCCATAGCTGCGAAATGCGAAGGACTTGGATCGACAGCCACACGGAGGCCATTATCGAGAGTGATGAGATCGGATGGGGCAGATGCTCCGGTGGAGTAAGGGTTGCTGTGAAGAACGCGTGTTATGCGGGAAGCAAAGCGTTGTGCCGGCCTCAGAGCAGAAAGTCGGAGCATGATAGTGGTGGTAGTATTAATTATGGTGGCTGTAGAACAAGATCTGTCTATCTATGGTAGATCTTTCTATTTGTCTGACTGACTGACTGATTGCCTGTCGGATCCGTTCTTGAAAAGTTGTTGATTGATGTTGGTGATGAGGGCTTTTTTATTAAGTTTGTAATAGGTGGGGGGGTGGTGGCAGCGCAGAAAAAAAAAAAAAATTAAAATTAAAATAAAAATAAAAATAAAGTGGCATGAGGGTTACTAAAAGTTACCGGGTATTTAAAAGTTATTTTTGGTAAGTTTTTTGATTCAAACTTGCAACAGACATTAAAATGAAAAAAAAAAAAAAAAAAAAAAAAAAATTGAGAAATTTCAAGGTTTTTTTAAACATTGAAAAGTGCCATCAAAAGAAATTTAAAACGGCACTTTCAATACGAATTTTTATTTTATTTTTTTTTAATTTCATGTAATTTTTATAAATCTTCTTCTTTATTTTAAAAATTAAAACTTCAATTTTTTGTACCCTCCAAAAAAAAAAAAAATCCCAAATGTTTTGAGATTTCTTGTTCTGTTCTGACTTCCCTCTAAGATTTAAACCAAACTTTAAGGCTCATCATCATAAACGGGTCTTTTCATTACTTTCAATCGGACCTTTCACAATTATATATCCCGTCTATAAACTTTTCATTCAATTCTTTTTTTTTTTTTTTTTCTCTTCTTCTGGTGCTTCAAATCCTCTTCCTTTTAATCATCTTCCTTTATGTCTCTTCTTACCCTAAACCTTGGATTAGCAGAATTTTCACCAGCCACCCGCAGCAAAGCCACCAACCAGTTTCTTTTTCTCACTTTTCTCATACATTCATCTGTCCCTCCCCAAAAAAAAAAAAAAAAATATAAATAAAACGAAGAGTCCCGGCCTGCGTCCCGACCCATCAGTCACCACCACCACCACCACCATCCATCGTTATGCCTCGATCCTTTAAAATCTCCGTCCCTGCATCGTCAGCCAATATCGGCCCTGGCTTTGATGTTCTTGGTCTTGCCCTCTCTCTCTTCCTCGAGCTCACAGTCACTCTCGATCCCTCTAAACCCTTGACCGAGGCCGAAAGCACCATTTTCAACGAGAACTGTAAAATCTCCTATGAAGGCGAAGGCGTCGAAGAAGTCCCTCTTCTTGCATCTCACAACCTTATCACCCGTGTGGCTCTCTACGTTCTTAAAGTCAACGGTCTCACCACTTTCCCTATCGGTACCTATGTCCACGTCAATAACCCTATCCCTCTGGGCCGCGGTCTCGGATCTTCCGGTGCTGCCGTTGTCGCCGGTGTCATCCTTGCCAACGAGATTGGCAGCTTCGACTTTTCTAAGCAGCGTATGCTTGATTACTGCCTGATGATTGAACGTCATCCTGATAATATCACTGCTGCTATGGTCGGCGGCTTTGTCGGCTCTTATCTTCGTGATCTGTCCGAAGCTGAACTTTCTCGAGTCGAAATCCCTCTTGCTGAGGTCCTCCCTGAACCCGCAGGTGGTATCAACACCGGTCTCGTCCCTCCTGAGCCTCCCTTTAACATTGGCCACCACATCAAATACGACTGGTGCACCCAAGTCAAGGCTGTCTGCATTGTCCCATCTTTTGAAGTCTCTACCGCAAAGTCCCGTGAAGTCCTACCTACAGCTTACACCAAGAAAGACCTTGTCTTTAACCTCCAGCGTCTTGCTGTTCTCACTACTGCCCTTTCTCGCTCTCCACCAAACCCAGAACTCATTTTCCCCGCCATGCAGGACCGGGTGCATCAACCTTACCGCAAGGTTCTTATCCCTGGTCTCACTGAGATCCTTCAGTCGATGACTCCTAAGACTCACCCTGGTCTTCTTGGTATCTGTCTTTCTGGTGCTGGCCCCACAATTCTTGCTCTGGCCACACACAACTTTGATGCCATTGCTGAGGAGATTGTGTCTCAGTTTGAGAAGGAGAAGATCAAGTGTCAGTGGAAGCTGCTGGAACCCGCCTACGACGGTGCTACTGTTGAGAAGTTGTAAATTTCTTTTGATTTAAAATGAATAGATATTTTTTTTTTTTTTTTCATGAACAAACCGGTTTATTCAAATCTTTAAATCTTATACATAGTTTGGTGGTGTTATTTGATCATTTTAGTCCACTCAAACATCCCACCTTAAAATTTTTCACTCACAATAATTACTACTACTACTACTATTACCATCACCACCAACCTGACCTTAAACTATTCTAATCAATTCCTCTCTCAAATGTTCCGACTCCAAACCCGGCGGTTCCACGCCTCGGCTACCCGGCAATTTGATCTCGGAGCTCTTCTGGAGCCCGTCCATTCCGCCGTACAAGCCGCCCAAGCATACTCAGGTCTTTCCTGGCACTACATGATCCCCCTCGCCACGCTGGCCGTGCGCGCCACAACAACCCTTCCAGTGGCCATTGCCAACCGCAAGCGTGCCCAAAAACAAGCAGAACTTCAACCTGTTCTCAGCGCAATGACACCTATTCTAAGAGCCCGTCTAGCTATGGCCAGTGGGAAAAACTCCCGTGGTGTAACTCTTACCTCCGAACAAATCTCTGTTCTTGCAACAAAGGAACGTCGTCGTCGTCGCGTCGAGTTGTTCCGCAAATATCGCTGTCAAGCTTGGAAATCAATCGTACTACTTCCAGCAGTCCAAATGCCACTATGGATCGCGCTTTCCCTTGTGTTTCGTTCAATGTGCGGGTGGTCCGGCTCTATTGGCTCATCGATTCCTCTAGAGCAAGCCTTTAACTCAGATGCATTTCTTTGGTGCACAGACCTCGTGTCCCCTGACCCATATGGTGCTCTCCCTATTCTTGTCGGCATCCTCGGCATGGCAAACATTGAGTGGAACGCCATTAACGTCATGAACCGCGCTGCCGCTCCAACTTCTACTGCTTCGGTGGCCGCTGCTGCTACCCAAGGCCCATCAGTCCCACGTATCGTCGCTAATATCTCGCGTGTCGCTGTCATGGGCTTCACTACCATGGCTTTTCAGGCTCCGGTCGCCGTATGTCTCTACTGGGTCTCTTCCTCTAGCTTTTCGCTGCTCCAAAACTTGGCCTTTGATCGTTGGCTTCCGCTTCAACCATACACTCCACGCCCACCAACCACCGAATTTAACTTCTCTCACGGTCTTTCAAGTTTACCATCCAAATAAACTTTTTTTCAAGTTCTTCTTCTTTTTTTTTTTTTTTTTTTTTTGTAACTTCTTACTATTATCTGTATATATATCATTAATTAGAAACATTTAATCCTGTGCACTGCCGTCCCGCGGACGGTACACTACGCCCTTAGCCTCCAGATCCCGCGCAATATCTTCAGGCAACCGGCCATTCACTTTGACTGCGTAAAGTCCAGGCTGGAATCCGTCTACTCGCAGCCACTTGGCTGCCCATGAGTTGGCTGTATCGCAGACCGCAAGCAGGCCTTCAAAAGCTAATGATTTTGTATTAGTTCTACGTAAAAACGCCACCCCAATTTTTTTTTTCTTTTTTCTCATTACTTACACGGACTAGTGCAGTCTTGGACCAGCTCGTCATCATTCTTATACGCGAGCAGCGATTCGCAGTTAGGACATCCTTGGCTCAGAAATTCCTATCAATAGAAATTAGAATATATATATATACATTCATAAATTTTATTCTGCCAACTTACTCTATATGGCTGGATGATGGCGCAAATCATACACGCGCGTTCAGTTCTTGTCGACATTTTGTAGTTTGTTGTTTGTTTTTATTTTCGGTTATGGAATAGTTTTGGTGGTGACAAAAAAAAAAAAAAAAAAATTTAAAAGTCCATTTTATTTCAAAATCCTCCACAATTTTCTACACTTTTTCAAAAATTAAAAAAAAAAAAAATTTCTTACTTAAATAAACAAACGGGAACTTCGCTTGTTAGCCACAAGAGTGTCATACCGGTTCTTCCATTCTTCCAGATCCTTCTGTAACCTCAGGGCCCGCTCCTTTGCGTCCTTGGCCTCTCGTTCGGCCCGCCGCGCTGATAATCGCTGCGCAGTCTCAGTGCTTTGCAACGCCTCCACCGTCTCCTGTAACTTTTTAACTTTGTGCTCGCTTCGCTGCAACTCTTCCTGAACTCGCTGCGCTGTCTTTTCACGCTGTGTCACTTGTCCAATCAGATCCTTCACCGTCCGATCGTTGCTTCTGAACGTCCGACTCTGTTCGGCGTGTTGCTTACTTTGCTCTTCCAGCGCCTGTTCAAGCTCTGCAACCCGTGTACTCAAAAACGTGGTGTCGAGCTTCTTGCTTCCAAGCAACTGTGCCTCCAAATCAACAACCTTCAAATGTAGTTCTTTGTTTTCTCGGTCAGTCATTGCTCTCTGCGTCCGCACATCTTCTAATCGTTGTCGTTCAGTCTCCAGTTGCGCTTTCAAATCACCCAAACTGCTTTCAGCGTTCCGAAGACGATCTATAGCACTCTGCGCTGCATCCTTTTGCACACGCACACTTTGTTTTAGCTCTTCCACAGAATCCATTGTATCATCCCGTGGTGCCTGCTCAGATGCAGCCAACTCTTCAACCTGCTGGGACACCTCGTCAAGTCGTTTCTCCAGTACCCGTTTCTCCTTCTGAAGCTGATCTCTATTAGATGTAATGTCTTCCATCGTAGCACGCATAGTACGAATCTGTGATAGCAAAGATCCAATTCGTTTTTGAGAGTCTTGGTGAGCAAGAACAGCTTCTTCGTTACTCTTAGTTAACTCCTTCACCTTATTCTCCAGTTGGCTCTTGAAAGTCTTCCAAGAAGGATCTAAGGTATCGAATTGGTTCTTCACCTTTTGCATCTCCATCTCGTGCTGCAAATGACGATATTCAGTTTGAAGTTCACCCATCGCAAGCTTCTCCCGTTCAAGTTCTTCGGACAAAGACTTGATTTCGGTCTTGTAGCGGTTACGCATGGTGTGCAACGAGGCTTCCATATCTGAAGAATCTTGTTTGCGCCGTTCCTTCAAATCCTGCAACTCTCTAGCCAGCCTCTTCTGCGCTTCCTTCGAATGAGTATAATCAATCGACATATCTTCCAACTGGTCTCCCAGCTGCTGTACCTGGGACTGCAGCTTCATATTGATATCCTCCTGTTTCTTGGTTTCGTTCAACGCAGTTGACAGTGAAGCATCGGCCTCCTTCCACTGTGCCTTGGCAAAAGCTTCCGCTCTTGTTGCCTTGAGCACCACAGTTTCTGCAGATTCAAGCTTACTGTAATAATCCTCAGCGCGACTCTTGTACAGTCTCAAGCTTTCCAAAAGATCCTGCGCCTTGGAACTCTCTGCATCAAGACGAATTTCCAAATCAGAAACAGTAGATTTGAGTACATCAATGTCCTCATCATCACTATCGTCTTGTCGAATCGAGCGCTCAAACTCCATCGTCATCCGCGACTTTTCTTGTTCGGTCTTGGCAAGCTTATCCTGAGCCTCCAAGAGCTTCTTAGACGTTTCCTGGAATACTGACATCAGGTCGCGCTTAGAAGCCTCGTAGCTGGCAACAAGCTCCTCAATCTCTTCAACAGACTTGTTTTTAATGTTCAAGGACTTAACAGACTCTGCAACAGAAGAGTCCATGTTAGGACGCGTGTAGAAACTGTCCTTTTGCAAACTGCGATTACGGAAATGACCACGTTTGACAGGCTGACTGTCATTTTCAAAGCTCTGATAGATACTATCAATTGCACTTTTGATACCATTGGTAGTACGCAACTGGCGGTGATCTGTAGGACTCATCGGCTGAATGTTTTCTTTGCGGAATGAAGGCACTGACTTGCTCTCGGTAATGCGCTGCTGAGCATCGCTTAACTGCTTTTCCAAAAGAACCTTGGCTTCTTCTGCCGCCTTGCGACGCTTTTCAGAATCTTCAAGTTGCTTCACTAAATCAACCGTTCCGTTTTCGTCCTTGTATTTAACAACTTTCTGTAATGCTGTAAGCTGTGTAGTCTTTTCATCAAGATCCTTAGTCAAAGATTCAACGCTTGAAGTAAGCTTACGACGAGCAACCTCAGACTGAGAGTGATCTCGACGTTGTTGTTCGATAGTCTTCTTAAGATCTCTCACTTCCTCCTGGAGAGAGTCTTTGGTTCGCATGACTGCATTTGCCGACTTTTGTTCTTGAGAAACGGTATGCTTTAGATCTTCAATCTCTTGAGCTTGCTTAGTCTTTTGTCGGGTAAGTGTTTCAACCTCAAGTTTGGCCTCCTCTAATTCACCACGCAGTTTCTTTTCGGAAGCCTCTAAAATGGCCTTTTCCTTGTTGAGCTTAGTGCGCTGAGTCGTAGCTTCATCCGTGAATGAGTCGCGAATCTTGCGAATGTTGTTGTTCTTCTTGTCAAGCTCAGCCTTGAGCTTATTGTACTCAAAAGTAATATTGGAAAGCTCCTGTTGGGCGTTTTGCAAATCCTGAGAGATGGTATTTTTTTCCAAAATCAAATTCTCCTTATTAGACAAGTCATCGTCAATAAACCGCTTGAGCTGCCCAATTTGTTGAATAAGTTGCGACTTTTCTACCTTCAAAGATTCTAAATCATTGTTAAGACGTGTTGTATTAGTGCTAGATTCAGAAAGTCTAGAAGACAAATCCTTATTTTCACTAGTCAATCGGTCAGTCTCAACTTCCCGCTCCTTCAGTTGCTCCTTCAAAACCTCGAGTTGACCACGCAAATTACTGACCTGTGAAGCCTTTTCTTGAGCAGTCTTTAAACTGGTTTCTAACTTGGTGTTGGTTTCTTGAACTGCATTCAGTTTAGCAAGCGACTTAGAAAGGGCTTCCTTTTCACTTAAGAGCTTTTCAATGTAATTTTTCTTTGCTGAAATTTCGCCCAATAGTTTTTGTTTTTCAGTTTCAAACGACTGATCTTTCTCTTGAAGTTTAATAGTAAGCTCATCCACCTTAAGATCAAGCAGACGACGGCCTTCGTCATTGTCAGATACCTTAGCCTGTAACAGACGGCGTGTTTCCTTTTCGTCAGCTTCAAGCTTAGCATACTTGGCTTGCAATTGCTGAAGTTCTTTCTCTACATGAGCAGTCTTTCCGGAGGCCTCTTTGTATTCACCCTGAAGCTTGTGGTAATTTTCATTCAAAGTGGCCTCAACACTCTTACTTTTCTCCAACAAGTCTTGAAGACTCTTTAACTCGCGCTCTTTTTTGGAAATAGAATCTTCATACTCCTGAGCAGCTTTGTACTGCTCGTCGAGCTCAGAACGATACTCCTCGATACTAGCAGTAAGTTCTACGATCTTAGACTGTGCCGTATTTAACGACTTCTCAGAATCCTTGACACGAACGCTGAGCTGTTGCTGTTGCTCTTGCAGCTGGGACTCAAGACCATTAATCTCCTCTTCACGTTCCTTAAGCTTGCTGCGAAGAAATTCAAGGTCACTTGCAACCTTGTCCATTTCAGAACGTTGGGTTTGGTGATCAGTAGAAGTTTGTTCCAGCTCCGCTTCAAGAAGAAGAATTTGCTCCTTGAGCTTGGCCTTTTCATCTTCCAGAAGACCAATCAAATGTGCCCCATTGGTCAACTCAGTCCGCCAGGTGTCAGCTTCAGAAGTAGCCTTCTTCTTAGCTATAAGAAGTTCCTCGCACTGAACCTCCAAACGGTCAAGATCGTCAAGAGCACCAGCAAGTTGAGTCTCTAAATCGGACTCTCTGATTTGAGAACGCTTCAAAATCTCGTCCTTATCAAGGGCTGTAGCACGCTCGCTTTCCAAAACACTTTTGAGTGACTCAAGCTCAGAATCGCGCTCCCGTTGTTCTTCTGAAAGCTGATTCTTTTCACCTTCAACTTTCTTGAGATTTGCCTCCAACTTCTTAATCTCAAGAGCTTGAGCCTTGTTGTTTCCAGTGTCTTGCGCAGCCATCAAAAGAGGGCCCATTTTCATGTAAAGCTTCCACCAAGGGTTGCTTTTCATTTCCAAGTAAATCTCAAAATTCTTCTTGATAATACTGACAGCTTGGGCCTTGTGAAGAGATTTGCGGATTTTCCGGCGCTGAATAAAACCACGAGCTACAGACTGGAACCGAGCCATGATTTCACGTGTCATTTGCTCACGACGTTCTTCAAGCTCTGCCAGAACGCCAGACTTGAAAAACACCTTGGTGAGACCTACTCGGTAAAGGTTTTCGTCTAGTTTAAGCTTGGATAAAATTAAATTGCAGGCTTTTTGGCCTTCAACATAGCCACTAGGCATCCCGGTAACTAACACCTCATAACGTTGGCGAAATTCGCTAAAGAAAAGTCGGTTAGGGTAACCAGTACGTGCGATACGGATACCTTCTAAAACACCATTACACCGAAGCTGATCTAGAACAAGGTGATTGTCTAATTTATAAGGTGTTTTGGTGTGATTGGGAATAATACAGCGAATAAAGTGAGGGTGTGTTGAATTCAGTTCATTCATAAGATGATTAAGCTGTTCTTTGTGACGCTGAGCAACAGTTCTGAATATACCCTTTTTAATGACAGTTCCAGGTGTTTTTATATTATTTTTCGCATCAGCAAACAACTTGCGAACTTGGACTTCAGAAGACTCAATAAGAAGTTCGGTGATGTTGTCGTTAAGAGGGTCTTTGTTCTTTTCAAGCCAGCCTTCAGTGTTGTATTCAACTTCAGCAGCATAGTGTGTGAGAATAAACCCTTGGGAGAGTCTTGATGGTTTGTATTTCGGTGATCGTTTATTCCAGTAAGAATTTAATTTGTCGGTAAAAGAAGCATCGGTAGCTTTAGGCATAACACACTCTTCATCTAGACAAGAAAAAATGCCAATGGGATTGCTTCGCTCAATCAAGTCGATAGTAGGCTGAAGGTCATGACCAAAATCAATGTATTTCCAAGCAATGTTTTCACGGTTGTACTCTTCTTGTTCCAGAACAAACATGTGATGGTTAAAGAATTGCTGAAGGCGTTCGTTAGTGTAGTTAATACACAGCTGCTCAAAACTATTGTTTTCAAAAATTTCAAAACCGGCAATATCTAAAACGCCAATAAAAGACGTATTGTCGCTGTTTCTATCAAGGGTATTATTAATGCGGTCCACAATGGCACCAAAGGTTTGCTCGTATAAAGATTTGGCAAGAGCATCAAGAGAGTGACGGACTTGAAAAGCAGATCTTGATTGACGGACCCATTCACGACCAGCTTTGACTCGCGGATGAATAAGACTTTGAATGAAGTGCTCAGCGTTAATGCCAAGAAGATGGCAAACACGTTCAACTTGAGCAACATTAAGAATTCTGGCTTGGTCAGAACGCTCAGAGCCAATCTCAATATTACCAATGTTGAGAATGGCAGACATGATACGGAAAAAGTCATTTTGTTCTTGAACACTAAAGCCCATAATTCGAAAAGAGCTGAGAAGACTCTTGTATTCAGCGGCATCGTCAACACCGTCAACAACCTTGTTTGAGTTCTTAAGATATGCATAGTAATTAAGGTCAGAGTCAAGCATGAGGGCCTCACGGAGGTCCTTAGGAGCGCCCTTAATGAGTTGGTAAAAAATGTGATAATTTCGTTCCTTATTGTTTTGGTAGATGACGCGGGACTTTTCCAAAAGATACCAGTCTATGGAAGCTCCAGAAATTTGACCGGAACGAGAAAACTCAATACGAATAAATTTACCGAAACGTGAAGAGTTGTTATTTCTGACGGTTTGAGCATTACCAAAAGCTTCTATGATGGGGTTTGCTTGAAGAATCTTCTGTTCAAATGAAGGATTAGTAGATGACTGGGTGTCTAAGATGGATTTCGAGCGAGAAGATGTAATTGCAGCAAGATATTGAATAACTTTTTTAGTATTTTCGGTTTTACCAGCACCTGATTCACCAGTAACTAGAATGGACTGGTTTTCGTGCTCTTCAAGCATATTTCGGAACGCAAGGTCCGTGATGGCGTAAATGTGAGGTGGGTTTTCTTCACGCTGTTTGTTTTTATATGCGAGGATAATTTCGGATCCATAAATTCCCAGGTCTTGATAAGGGTTGATAGCAACCAAAAACAGACCGGAGTAAGTCTAAAGATTGTTAGATTGAGCAAATAATTCACTCAACATGACATACGTAAATCATATCAGACATGTATCGAACATGAAGATTATTGACCACAGAAGCTTCATTGAGATAAGTAAGCTCGGCCATATCTTGTGCCTTTTCAAACTTTGGGGGATTAACGCGGTCTACATCTTCAGGAGAAACTATTCGATCCTATTTTGAGTTAGTTTAGTGAATAATAAAACAAAATATTAAAAGTACATACCGAGTCATCAACACATCGGACTTTAAGTTTTCCATCTTCAAGATCAGTGGTGACAAAGCCCTTGATGAAGGCCAGCTTTTCATCAGGGACCCAGACCCAGCGCTTAGATGCGAACTCGGCCTGGTTGATATCATCGCTTGGGGAAGGTTCGCTAGATGCATGTTTGGAAGCACCACTGGAGATGGCATCGACAAGCTTAGTAGTTGTAGAAATGCTAGTAGCCGGAGAAAATGTTTTTGAGTGCGATGGCAGATGATTCTGCGGTCGATGCATTGTTTTAGCCAAAAGCTGAGATAAATAAGTAGTTTAACAGAGTTTGTTAATTTTGAAAAAAAAAAAAAAAAAAAAAATTTTAAACGAGAGAATTGGTGGTGATAATTAACAAATGATGGTGGTAGTTTGCGGTTTGTTTATTTTTATATTTTTTCAGGTTATTATTCCAGTGTTTACATTGACAACATCAAAACAAGCCAGGGGATTCTTAGTTCGTTGCCGTAGCGACTAACACGCCTGCCTGTTTTAATTCCATGTTGCATTTTAGGTGTATATTCAGGGTTTTAATTATGTATGATATATACTATCAGAACTTGCAGCAACAGCCGTTTTGTCTTAAAAAAAAGAGGCGAGGATTATCTTACAAACGAGTTTTCTGTTCAACCCTTTAAATTCCCATAAATCTCAATATATATAAATCTCAATATATATATAAATATATATAAACCTCTTGACTCAATAAACATCTTTAAAATATCAAAAAATCAACATTTTGGTTTTTGGTTTTTTTTGTTAGAGGATCATTGCTGCTTCAGAAATGAATACCAACTCAGAATCTTCAGCTACATCGGACGACTCTCCCGTCTATAACCAGTCAAACATTACTAACGGCGAGCCCAAGCGCACTCAATCAGTGTACTCGCGTGCTGCTTCCACACGCTCGCTCAATGTGATTGGAGATGATGACAGCGACAAGGAAGATGGGAAAAGCATGTTGAGTGCTATCATAAACAAACCAGACTTAGTTCGTCGTTTGTCTACTACCCAGGTCAGCGAAATGGCTGTGTCTCCAGTAGGTGAAGATGACAGTGCTCAATACCACACCTCGCATACTACCAACCACAGTTCTAATTTACGCCCTCGTGACGATACAACTGAAGAAGGAGATGATGATGATGAAAATAGTGCCACAGATGACCACGGTGAAGGTGACAATTGTGAAGAAAATACCCAAGAAAATAGCTCCAAAATTGACTCGGGAATTTCTTCTTCTAACTACAGCAGCAACCAGTTTATCTCTGCTTCAATGACTGATTCTGCCATTGGAAGTGCAATTAAAAGACAAAGGCCACAGCAAGCAGTTATCACAAGTGCTCGTAGTGCTAGGAGTCTTCGCAGTTCTCGTAGCGTTCGCAGTGTGGCAAGCCACAAGAGCAATGCTAGTCAGACACCTATTGCTGACTTGTTTTCTGGAGACTACAATTCCAATAAGAAGAATAGCCAAGATGGTTTGACATTTTTATCATGTTTTAATTACACGTTTTTTTATTACTAACTTGAGTTTATTAAGGTTCCAATGAAAAGACTTTTTTTAATGAAAGCGATGATGAATTTTCTGATGAAAATACGGAAAGCGCTGGGCTAAAAAAAGGAATGGGAAAAATGCAAGTCTCACGAGAGTTTGGCCGCAATGAAATGAGTATGTCTTCCGGATCAAGTTTGTCTATACCACGTCGAACTTCAATGGATGACAGCGATAAGCCCTGGTATAAGCGGCCAATTGTATTTATTCTTATTTTCCTTGCACTGGTGTTGCTTTCGTCGCTCAGTGCCAATATATTTTTTGGAATGTAAGTGTCTCATTTATTATCATTAAACTTTTTTTTACTAATTTGCCCCAGCCGCGAAGCAAGACGCCACCGTGATGATTTCGTTCCCTCAATCACTGAAGACAATAATGATACTGTTTCCAAGCCAAAAAACAATATCGCAAAAGGTCCTACTCGAGACAAACTCGGTGGAAGAGTAATCATTACACGTGATGATCCTGAAGTCAAGCGACTTTTAAATGACCCCAAATTACGCAATATTTTCTGGGGTATTGACTACGCTCCACTTAATGTGCAGTATCCCAGCTGCGGATGTCGTCAGCGTGATGTGACATTAGATATTGCTTTGCTTTCTCAGGTAACAGACCGTATCCGTCTTTACGGTACTGACTGTCGCCAGGCCGAGTTTGTTCTTAATGCATTCATGGATCTTGATCTTAATATGACATTGTCACTAGGTGTTTGGCTTGACCGCAATGATGAAGGTAACAATCGTGCATTGGAAGAAATGAAAAGGCTTGTCTTGCGTTATCCGTCAAAGTATATTGATTCTATTTTAGTGGGTAATGAAGTTTTATTTCGACAAGATATGTCAGAGCACCAGCTCATTGCACACATCTTAGCGACTCGAAACTACCTCAAAATGCATAACGTCGAAATTCCAGTGGGTACTTCAGATATTGGTTCTCGCTGGAACAGTCGTTTGGCATCTGTTGTAGATGTTTTGGCTGCCAATATCCATCCATTTTTTGGAGGGGTTCCTGTTGAAGAATCTACGTCTTGGACATATCAGTTTTTGTACGAGAAGGTTTTAGCCGATATTGATCAGTGGAACAAAGTGCCTGATCAAATACTTATTTCTGAAGTCGGTTGGCCATCCGGTGGTGGTCGTCTCTGGGGGTCTATTGCTGGACTAAGTGAGCAACAGCGGTTCCTAGACGACTGGGTGTGCTCTAAAGAAGCTTCTGAGAAGATTGGCTGGTATTGGTTTGAAGCATTTGATGAGCCATGGAAGGTGATTTTCCACGAAGGCGAAAATAAATGGGAAACACAGTGGGGTTTGTTTAATTCAAACAGGAAGCTCAAAGATGGCTTGACTTTTCCTACGTGTGATGATGATGAGAGCTCCGGTTCAGATGCCGATGACGAGGGTTCTATTAAGATTCAGATTAGCCCAGATGTTTTGGGCTAGGTACCAATGTAATAAAGTGTTTAGGGCAGTGGGCCATTTCTATGTAGGGTAACTAATTGAAAAAAAAAATTTTTTTTCTGCAAGTATAAATTGAGACAGAACTCGGACAACTCTCCTTTTTTTCTCCTCACTTACATAAATACCTTCCATTAAACCTAGTACCATTGATATTTCACCGTTCGATGCTGCTTAAATGGCTGGAAGAAGATCAAACCGCTTAACTTTCCCTTGCTACTTCGCGGGGCCGCAATTTGGCGTTCACGTGCACTTGTGTGTGTGTTTCGTCGTACTCCATGGCCTTGAGTTTGCTTCTTGGGAAACATGATCTTTAAATGTTTTGTAAATTGAGGATTTATTTTTTTTTATTGTACATGTAAGATTCATTATTTAGACTTGCGGGGCTTAGGCTCAGGCTGTGAACTCAGGCTATAAAGTTTATACAAGGTGTACAGCCAGAATAAACCAAAGCACCCACATGAAATGGTGATGTTGGCCACGGGGTAAATGTCCGGATACTTTGCTGGGGCAGGCAGCAAAAGTTCTACGGCATGATAGAAAGCCATGGCGGCATAAGACAACACGAGCACAGAGCGCCAGAAAAATCCCGAAGATGGCAGCAAGTATGTTTGTAGCTTGTGTTCATGAGTCAGAAAGTTGAAATTACCCACAAGCCAGTTCCAACACAGTGTCATTACAAAGTACTGAAGTTGCAGGCCTTCACGCTGGAGCAGAGGCCACATAGAAAACATGGCTACATTGTTGATCCAGAAAATCAGCGGCAAGCTGTTGCAAGATTTCTTGGACTGGCCGCGGGGATGAGAGCTAGCAGGTTGCGACGCAATCAACAGGGTTGTAGGCATGAGCGGTAACAAAACAGACTTTTCGTGGACCTGAAATGAAAAAAGGTAAAAAGCCCAGGAGCACGAAGCAAAAGCCCATGGAAGCAGATGTCGTTTCGGCCTCAGAAAAATAATAAGCATGGCAGGAGCAATGGCTGCCAGTGTAGCAATCAAACTCAGTCGCTGAAGTTCTTCATTTGTAAACATATATTTGAGCTTGATAAATGTATTGGCCGTACACCAGACATTGGCAACCTTGTCTTCCCAAAGGCCACGCGAAAAGGGGAAAATTCGCACAACCATCTGCTGCAATGTTGCCACACCACCAAAAACTAAAAGCGGTGCCAACAAGACCACAAAAGAGGAGACAGTAGCAAGACCGATTGTCACAAGTCTCCATATGTCAATTTTGGGGAAAACACAAACACCGAGCAAGTATGCGAAGATAACTGGTGCGTAGTACAGTGCCATTTGTTTGAACATGAGTGCTGCAACGAAGAAAAAGCATGCCGTCAAGTTCTTTTTGTATTGTAAATTAACAATAGCTAGCAGCGCAAGTCCAAGCATTACCGAATTGTACTGAAAGTGGCCATGGTCAATAAGAATTAAGGCTGGTTGGAATAAGATTGCAGCAGCCGAAAGTGACTGAGCAATGGGGTAAACACCACGCTGTTTAGACACCCAGCGAACATAGGAAATCACAGCAGGGATATATATAGCAAGCTCCGAAAAAAGGGCAGTGGCACGCATGTATGACTTCAAATCGTAGTCGTCCAGACCTCGCGACGCGTTAAGCTCAAACCAACGTGGGTTAATCAACTTGCCAATAAACCCCAAGAGCCACGAGTGGTAAGCTGTTAAAGGTGGATAGTCAAGCCCCCACCATTGTAAATCAAAAAAATACCAGTCCTTTATAGGCAAGTGATTGGTGATCTCAAGCCAGTGACGTTGGGCTTCAAAATCACCGTGCATCGGCTCAATCTTGTACCCCGAATATGGGCCAAGCCCTACAGCCAGTCGCAGAATCAATGCAAATGATATGAAGGTATATCTGGCGACCCATTGTGTTGATGCAGGGCGAAAGGGAGAAAGAAAGTCACTAAGAGGGGTATCTGAAAGCGGGCTTTCAATCACATCAGAATTGTAAATGTGAGAAAATGACGGCGCCCGTTGCGGCTGTCTTCTAGTAGATGGCATTTGATGATGATGATGGTGAGTTAAAAGGAGGAACGTGAAATCCTCTATTTTGAAAAAGGGGTGTTTAAACCCTAACCCTAAGGGTATTTGCTGGGTACACTAAAAAATAGAAACAACACTCGTTGCTTAAGACTAGACCTAAATGCCCACCAAAGAATACCCTATTAATTGATATTGATTTATCAAGAGTATTTTAGGTATTGCGATTTCATAAAATGTTAAATAATTAATGCTGAAAGTCACAATATCTTGAAACTTTTTAATTAAAAAGATCATACCTTTAAGTTGGATTAGAAGAAGTCATGAAACACCGCTAGCTGCAAAAAAAATGGTAGCTTTTTATTTTAACGCTAATTGTATAAATATACAAACCTAGGTTTTTATTGGAGTGAATATACCTATTTTTTTTAATAATATCTATCCAATTTTCTTTCAGTTTTTGTTTCTAAATTTCTTGCAAAGTCATTTCTACCAAACCATTTTTTTTAAAAGTTTTGAGTTTGTTGTATTTAATTAAAATTTATCAAATACTCTTGATCTGTTTAAATAACCTGATATCTTAAAATGATTTTTTTTTCTAACAAATAGCCTCCATGCTTTGCTGTGTTGCCTGACTAAACTTTTGAATTCTTCTGAAATTTCCAGGTATACAAAATGAAGGACCATAAAAAAATATAAATAGTTTTTTTTTCACATTTAAGAGCTTTGATTCTAAGATGATGATACCTTTTACGCTTATGACTTGAAATTTTGTTATTCAATTGTTCTAAAAAATGTTTTTTAACAAAAAAAAGGGCTTTTGATAAATATATTACTTCACCTTATGATCTTTACGATGTGTTTCAGTGATTCCTTTATATAAAGTTATATAATATTATATAACATTAATTTTATTTCGATGGCTCAGGTACAATTTGCTATTTTAATCTTACTAAAAAGCAACGTGCCAAGTTCATTCAAACGCTTAAAAAAATAAAAAAATATCAGTATTACTAGAAAGTAGTTAAAGATAAAAAAAAAATCTATTACTAGAAATTTGAAATTGTTTAGAACTTTCTTCTATGATGGTTCATTAAATTAAAAACACCCATTAAATTATATTTACAAAAAAATCCCTCTCATTTTTACCGGCCTGGTGGCGCAGTTTTTTTTAGAAATTCCATAAAATCCATTTCTTCATCATTTTCTGTAGCACGACTTTCCACCTCATCTTCATGTCTATTCCCCCAAAGCCCTGAAATGGCTGACCAACTAGAACGTAATTGAACAGTCCCACCGGGTGAGAGTGGAACTGAAGGTGGCGTTGGAATCCCCAAAAATGTGGAGATGTGTCTGTTTTTAGATTCTTGTTCTTGAGGAACCGTTAGTGGGTCACAGGTAGCTGTAGAATGACGTTTGGTTTGCATGTTAAACCACTCTATGATTTCTTCTTGTGTGTTTTGTCTTTCTTGAATTGGCTCCAGGGGCGTGGAAGAAGAACATGGTGAGCAAAACATGGACTTCCATCCAGACATAAACCGTTTCTTTTTCCTGCCTTGGCCATCATCAATGTGTGCTTTTTTGGGATGCATAGGAAATTCAGATATTGTTGGAATGATAGTCGTACTTGGCCGTACGCTTGTTGGAGAGCATTTTGATTCGTACTCAGCCACGATTTCGCTTGTTATAGAATAGTTTTTATAATTACTGTCGCTGTTTTTCTTCGAAATCAAATTTTTCTTGCTTTTTGAGCTAAGGGTTTTAATGCCGCTAGGGAAATTGTCTGGTGTTTCATTGTTTGCGCTCAAAGTAGGCCTAGGTTTGCACATGAGTGAACATGGCTTTTCAAACTGTTGGCGTACTATAAGAAGCTCTTGTTGTTGAACTGGGGTTAAGCATCGATGGAATTTCCCGCTGTCTTTTGTGTTGCTTCGCAAATTTTTAGTATTGCTGGTAACTTCTATGGAACTCAGACCTTGTTGGTAGTTCTCACAATGGGCTAGTTGATCCTCTTCGTCTAATTTTCTTTGTTTTTCTTGATTTTCTGTAAAAAGAACTAGTTGTGCTTCAAGAGCTCTTTGAGTCGCGCTTTCATTTCTTTTACCTTTGAAAGATCCAAGGAAACTATTTTGTAGTTTTTCTGGAAGCCACACTTTGGACAAGCTGTCATCTAGAGTATCCAAGATGCGATCCGAGCGGTCTTGTGAAAATAACGCGCTTGGGTGTTTCAAAAACTGGAACCATGCGCGAAATAAAAATACACGGTACTCAGTCATTAAAAACAAAATTGTAAAAAGAAGAAGAAGAATGACTGTCACAAGTGTACGAATGTACATTCCTTGTCCTTCAAGATACTTTGTACATTTTTGTTGATTTCCTTTAACTAAAATACAGCTTACCCAGTCAATTGTGGCAAGCCGATCATTAATGCGTGAACCATGTCTTGTTAGCAAAACGTATTGAATTGTCACGAAAACCATTACAGCTGCCAGAAACATTGATAAAATATATGTACGCCACAAAAGCTTGACCGACTTGAAATAAGAAATGAGAATTATTTTGAGTTTTTGGCTGAACTTGAATTTGAAGTCTGCTGGTTGTTGAGATTTTATAATATTGGACCTGACAATCCAAAGAGTTTTGGTGACAGCTATTGTTGTGCCTAACTGTAACAAAATACCAATACATGAATAAATGATGAGTGGTATTTGAAGCAAAAATTTTGTTGTTCTTGGCGATGGAGAGCAGAAAACGCCACCTTCGTATGTGATGAAAGAACTTGAAGCGGATCCAAACACAATAGAAATGCCTAGTGTCATGATAGTGGGGTATACTCTTGGGATACTTCGAGAACAAACAATGGTCATATATATAGAAAAAACCCTAACAACCAAACTTAACACAACTGCATGAAAACCTAGGACAAATAGGACACCTTGAGTTTGGCAGTAGACATTTGATTTACCTGTTGAATGAGTAATGTGATCAAAGCAAACTGTTTTTTTGGCGTCAATGAGAAAGAAAGAAAATGGAATACAGAAAATAATGATGGAAAGAGATTGAAGCGTAGTATATGCGTTGATAGTCAAACGAATATTGACCATATGAGAGAGAACCAGAAATACTGACATTAAGAAACTTGCGTAAGCTAATAATACAAATGTTTCTTGGAGTTGCTCAACTGGACGCGACATGCTATCTAGAAGATGTTAGAATGAGTATTCTTTTCTTCTTTTATTAACATTTTACTTACGCTTGAAACCACAGGGCTGACAGCAGCCAGATACACATAACCGCGTAGATTCAAGATGTTGTTCATCGATTGCATCGAGTGGTTGCCATGGGTAAAGTGAAGCTGGACATCCTGTTGTACTTTCGTTGATTAAACGAGGCAAATCCCATGAGGTTTGAGCTTTTGTGACAAAATTATTTATTTGTTCAGTTGTTGCGAATAAAGGCAGAGATGGGGCTAATTCCGGATGTAATGTAGATTGGAGCTGGAGGCCCAAATAAATTGGGAAGTTGATGAGTGGAACAGGAGTATCAATATTTGAAAAAAATATTGAGGGCGAAAGAGTTTGTGTCATTCCATTAAAAAATGAAAACTAGAGAAATAATAATTTGGGAATATTTGAGGGAAAAGATTAAATCGTGGTTTGATTAAGGATGATTTTTGCGAGGCATTGCAATGGTTTTATACAATTTTGAAAAATGTAGAAAAGAAAAAAAAAATAAAAAAAAGAAATATGATGTTAAATTAAAAAAAAAAAAAAATGAAAGAAAATATGCTTGTTGCAAAGCCATGTAATGTTTAATAAGTAATGAGAACCTTAGGTTAAACTGTTGATTTTTTAAGGGTGAAGGAGAAAGGTGGAAGAGGGGCGGTGGCCTTAATTAATTAAAAAAAAAATAAAGTAAATTTTCTTTTTTTTATTTTTTTAAATTGTTCTTTGAAAAAAAAAAAGGTTAGATAATGTAGTGAGCAAAGAAACTTGAATCTGTTTCGTATCATGAACAAGATTATTTATAAATATATAATTATATATTTTTAATGCCGAAAGCGAGATTATATGTTTTTGATAAGGAGAATATTTCTAAGAATTGTAGGCTTCTTAGTCAACAATGATTGTAGATAGAATTAAATGTTTAGGGAAAAAAAGTTGAGGGGGTTTAATATGTGCATATATTCAAAAGGACCAGTTGCTTTTTCATGTTTTTTTTTTAAATTTTTAAATGCCCGCATTGTTTTTCTTCTTCGGATCGAATATTAGACCCAATCTTTAAAAGAAAAGGTCTTTTTACCAAAAGAAGAAATGAATGAGTCTGTTTTCCCTTGATGATGCAGTAACAAACACAGATTGAAACCTCATGCCCAGAGTATTGAGGAAATTTCAAGTGATTTCGGTTAAGCTGACACGCGAAAATAGACCAAAAAAAAGTATAGAATTCACGTCGCGGCCAAAGAAAACTAACTACACTAAAATCTGGATATTTCCTATCTCAGTTTTCTCCTATATTCTTATTTTAAACTTGAATTGAAGTAATCAAATAAACTTTGAGGTTATCGTGCGTAACAAACTGTTTCAAGCTTTGACAGTGCACATCCTGGCAATCAAGGTTTGGAAAGTTTAAAACAAAAAAATAGAATATAAAACTCGGATTCCGACGGGGAGAGACAGAAAAGACGAGTTTTGAAATATTAAAAAAAAAATGAAAGGGCTCCTTTAAAGCTTTGACAATCCCGATATATTAATGGGCGTAATGTCCAAATGGTCTTATTAAGGAAAAGGACATTGACATTTACTTTTAAACATGGACATTTCATTAACAGTTACTTTCTTTTTATCTTACAGCATGTTGAGAAAAAAAAAACTTGCATGCGCTTTTAGAGAGACGTAATCTCTAATCTCTCGATCAAAGCCACTGCATGCATTCTTACCAAAGAGCCATTCGTCAAGGTAATATATCTTTTTATTATTAAGGTAAAAAAAAAAATCTTCGTTATTGTTGTTTTGTTGGTTCATTATTCATTTCATTTTGCACCTTGTTTTTGCCGCAGTTGTCGCGCTGGTTTAGTGTCTTCCTCCATTTTTTGTTCCTCCTTATCTTCTTCTTCGTCATCATCGTCATCATTGGCTTCATCTTCGTCCTCAGAAAGACTGTCATCTTCAAACTCATCCTCATCCTCGTCATCATCTTCGTCTTCGTTGGTGCTGTCATTTTGGTCACGTTCTAGCTCCTCTATCTCATACTCGTTCTGTGGTACACGTCGAAGCCATTTCATGCGAGGGCCGGCATTTGAAAACTCGCTGATTTTAAAACCATAGATTGTTAGCGAAAATTGTTTCTTGCGGAGCTCTATGCATTCTTGTTCGATGGATGGGAATGTTTTAAGGAAAAGCCCGACAAAGGAAGTTCCAAAAAACGCGCCATCAATGCCAGCATGGCGCGACGATTGTGGGTGGTAAATATCAAGGCAGCAAGGGCAAAAGAGACGCAGGTTCTCGACGCCTGGGAGATCGTGGCGGCCTGTGGGGAGGAGTTTCATAGAGTTGCAAAGCAGGCGCGGGCATGTTCCAAAAACGCCATAGTCGTATTTGTGAGCCATGGCATGAATACCCTGGCGGGATGTGAGGTATCGCGCGTGAATCAATCCGTAGAGATTTTCTGCCGAGTTTTCAACGATGGACATGTTTGCTAGTTGCATGGGGTCTTCTGGTTCGAGGTCAAGGATAAGCTCCAGGGCCTCGCGGTAGTATGTAACAAAGTGGGAGAGGCCGGTGAGATTGAAGTCGTCTTCAATAAACTCTTCCGGGACCTCAACAAAGATCTCACGGCCGGAGACCGAGCAGAATTCAGAAATCCACGTCTCTTCCTCTAGAGACTCTACCGAGTCAGGGGTCAGGTCATTGTCGTACATGTGAGGGTCCATGGTATTATCAACATGGTGAGAAAAAGAAGAAAAAAAAAAAGCGGCAAATAAAAAAAAAAAATAAAATAAAAATTTTTGGTGGCAGTGACAAAAGTTTTTAGCTGGTCACATGACTTTTGGCCAGATTCGTTTAAAAAAAAAAGGCCACTCCCAAAAAGCAACCATCACCATCAAAACAAACCTTTAAAAAACATATCCAAAATCACAATCTCCACAATGATCTCTCTGCTGGTCCTGGTATTGCTGGTCGTCGTGTTCTCGCGGGCCATTTCAATAATTGGCAAAGACACCATCTGCGACGCTCTTTGGTCGCTTTATCTCCGCATTGCACCTCCTTCACCCACCCTCCGCACTCTACGCGCAAAGCAAACGCGCGCGCGCCAGGTCCACGCTGAAAGGGCTGCAACTTCTGCCAAAGACGAGTTTGCGCGCTGGGCCAAGCTTGACCGTGAAGCCGGTAAGCTGAGAACCGAGATTGACGTGCTACAGAGTTCACTGGTATCATCTAAAACCAGCTTTAATGGTGTTCTCAAGGTCACGCTTTTCGCTCTTACTACAGGCGCAAAACTGTGGCTCCGATTCTGGTACCGTAAAACTCCAGTCTTTTGGGTCCCCCCTGGGGTCTGGCCGAGCTACGTTTATTGGTTCCTAGCATTTTCGTCGGCTCCTCGAGGGTCTGTGTCGGTTTCATCATGGCTTTTTGTGGTGGATTGGAGTGTATCATTAATTGAGTATCTCGTAACCGACATCTACAAGGAGTTCATTATCACGTCAAAAGACTCTTCTTCCGCCACCAGTGAATCTGAGTCCAAGACTAAACAACCAGAAGTGCCTAAGTCTTCAGAAAAAATTGAGGAAATTAAAAATTAAAAATTAAAAATTAGTATATTAATGATATAATAAAGAGCTGTATAAATAATTAGGATAACTTTTTTTTCTTTTTTCTTTTTTTTGTTTCTTTCTAAATCTTCTAAAATGCATTCTTCATGGGGAAAACCTTTGTTCGGAGACCCCACTGTAACACGCCAGCTGCACTCACAAATTCACGATGGTGATCAGAGCTGCCAGATGCGTCGCTAAATGAAGAGGCTCCCGGCGCCAGCGCACGGTACACCTGCTCAAGCGCTTTGCATGCGCGTGCCTCCTCAGCCATCCAAGCACTAGCAACTGCCGATGAAGGACGACCAGGAGCCCCAGCACCAGATGAGCCAGTCACAGAAGTCGCAGCAGACACTGCAACCTCAGAGGCACCGGGAGCAGCACGCACAATGCGGCCGCGAGCCGTTATACTCAAAGGACGTAAGCCCTTGTGGTTGAGCAACTTGTCGGCAAGATAATGAAGCCAAAAGACATTTGTCTGAGGACAGAATGTGGCCCAATTGATATTCTTAAGACCACCACTACCTGGAGAAGTAGTGTGAGAATCTTCAGATCCAAGATCATTGAGTCGGTCACGCATTCGGCGATACACGTCGTATTGGTAGTCACCTTTGCCACGGAAAAACTCAGGCTGATCCATAGGAGTATATAAAACACTGGAGTTGAAAGATGCAGTAGCAGCGGCCGCACGTGAAAGTGTGTAGTCAATCAAGGTGACGCGAGGAGCAAGACCTGGAGCAGCGCCATCAAACAAGGCACGTTGAACTTGACGAATAAGACCAATGCGTGCTGCAGTTTCTGCGCTTGCACCAGGAGGACATTTCAATACAGATGGAGAACTGGGGGGTTGGTTTGCGCCCTCGTGTCTGGAAATAACAATGTTTCCCCAATGCAAGTCACGATGCTCAAACTGGTGCCATTCTTCAGCACTAGCAAGAGCCGCCGCTGTTTGCCAGAAAACACTTTCTGCATCTTGCCAGGAACCGATTTGAGCACGCTCTAGATCAGTGCCTGCATTGTTTTGGACAATCACGCAGTAAAGCTGGTCTTCAGAGTACATGTCTGGACGCAAGTTTTCGGAGCCACGGATCCGCAAAAACTTGTCCCATTCTGAAAGTAGCGTCTCGGGATAAGTTCCCTTGACAATCACAATGTCAAGGACTTGAGCAAACCCTTGAAGATGGGTCAGCAGACGAGCAATTTTCAGCTCTTGCAAAAGATCATGAATTGGTGATTGGGAGAGTTCATCATTTCCAAAGGGGATAATTTTGTAAACACGAGTCGATTCCTGGTCAATAAAGACTTCAGAAAATGCAGCCTCATTGAGTTTGGAAAGTGGGGAAGGGACAGAGGCCACAAAGTGGCCAAAGTCCTCAACTTTGTTTGACGACGTCATAGCAAGAAGCTTACCCATCTGGGAGGAGATGTGGACATCTACAGGCACGGCAATTGTTGCTCCATCAGTTTCAGATCGAGTGATTGAGAGCAAGGAAGAAGAGGCCTTGAGCTTATTTTTAAGTTTTTCACGCGACGCGTCCACAGGGACCGGCAACGAAATCATTGACTTGTTGAGGTCTGTAGAGGAAGAAGATGACGTTGAGTGAGAAGTTGACGAAGAGTTACCGACAACTGAACTTAAAGAAGAGTTACTGCTGCTTGAGGGGAAGGGGAATGTTCCGAGGAAAGATTTGCGGGAAGAAATAGATCCGGAAGAAGTGGAATTTGGAATGGAAGCTTCCGAGTCGGCAGTTCCGTTTGCGCGGAAAAAGGCAGCAGAACCTTGCAAAAACGATTTGCGCAGGTTCTTCTTGGAGCGTGAAGTATCGACCGTGCTTATTGAAGTAGTGGATGCATTTGCATGCTGGAGAGTAAAGCGTGATGGTTGAGAAGGAGAAGGCGTCTGTAATGTCTGTTGAGGTTGCTGTAGTTGTGAGCTAATGCTGTTGGAAGAAGAGTCCTTTTTGAAGGATTTGAAGACACCTGGAAGAGATGAGATAACAGAAGTGCGAGAAGAAAGAGATGGGGGAGCGGTTTGAGAAGAGTCTATTTGGACAGGAGTGAAGTGTGCATCTGCGTCCACAAGTCCTGTTGGAGCCGAAATAGTTGCCTTTGAAACTTTGCGTTTTGCGGGAGTTGCAGCAGAATCGCGTTTGAGTGAAAGCATACTTTTAAGCTGCTGTGGCTTCTCAGAAGTTTTTATAGAGTCAGTTCCTGGGATTGGAGGAACTGGTCTAGGTGCTGGGGGGTCCGAGGGTCCAGTTAAAGTCTTGCAGACTGTAATTGTTGAAGAGGATGTGGCAGTTGTAGCCACTGAAGTAGCGGTAGACACAAGAGATACTGAAGATTCATTTGCTCCATTGGTGAGAATCTCCATAAGGTTGTTATTTTGAGTAGATCGAGGGAGGGCACTAGGAGTTGGAGTTGGGGTTGGTTTTGGAATTTGTTCTGGAATTTGTTCTGGAATTTGTTCTGGAATTTGTTCTGGAATTTGTTCTGAAGTTGGTTCTGGAAAAGGAGATGGTACTTGTGTTGAGGCCGAGATTGTTGATGCAGTTGAAAAATGTTTAGAACGAACAGTATCAGAAGGAGAGATTGGAGGAGAGTCTGAAAAATAAAAGGAAGAAGATTCAGAAGAAATGATGATGCGTGGTACCTCATCGTACGAGTCAACCGATTCATTACGGAAATGGTTAGCAGTTGAGCTATTCCGCAGTAGTGTACTAGATCGTTTAGAACTAGATGGTTTAGATGCAGATGGAAACGGTGGGGGTGGTGGTGGAGAGCGGCGCTTAGGAGGGACTGGTGGCGGGGATGACCGTGTTAGAATGAGCTTAGGCGGAGGGGTTGCCATGGAATGGAATGCCAGGGGGTCTAAAAAGACAAAAGAATCATCAATACTTGAATCTTCGTCACAGTCATCATCATCATCATCGTCGTCGTCAGAGCGCATGCTAGAAGCCATAGAGGATGAAGAGCACATGCTTGAAGCTGAATGGTTGCGCATATGAGATTGTGAAATTGGAAATGAATCCAATTTTTGAGGGAGTTTTTTAGGAGTAGTAATAGCAGTTTTAGCAGCAGAAGTAATGTTGGTATTGATTTTGGTATAATTCTCATCAGTATTATTTCCAGCATCTTCAAAGTCCAAAGACAATAGCATTTTAGAGAACCGGGACTTATCAGGAGTGGGGAGACCATTTTGGTCTGAAATTTGATCCAGTTGGCGGGCAATTTCCAACCCCCAAGAAGAGGGAGTGGGTTGGGACTTTAATGGCATGGTATTGTTTTGTTTATAGTCTGGTGTAAAGTCAAAAGATGTAAGATCGAAGTCAATAGCGATTGCAGGAAGACGCTGAGGTCTTGGTGAAGGTGATGAAACAAGGAATTCAAAGTCCACTGATTTAGGAGTTGCTGGAGATTGTGGTGGAGAGTGCAGCTGTGAAGAAGAAGATGATGATAATTCTTTGACAATTTTAGGTTGTGAGAAAGTTGCTGAAGAAGGTTCTGAAGATGTCATTGCAGTTGTTGTTGGTGGTGTTGTTACTCTGGTTCTAGCCTTTGGAGGCAATGGTGGAGGAATTGCTGGAGGCTTTTGTTGCTGGATTGTATTCCAAAGTTTCTGGTCAGCATGGAGTTGAGCCAGTGAGGATGTTGTTCTATGTTTTGTAGAATATTTGTTTGTACTGTTATTGCTGCGAAGTGAATAAAGTCCGACCGGGTGGTCGTGATGTTGAAGCGAAGTAAATGTAGAAGACATTATTATTGATTATTAAATAGATATAGAAAGAAAGAAAGAAAAAAAAAATCTTTATATGAAAGATATAATATAAAGAATGAAGAAGAAGAAGAAAAAAAAATAAAAAAAAAAAAAAGAGAGAATAAATTTTTTTTTTAAAAAAAAACTATAAAGATAATAAAAAAAAAAAAAAAAAAAAAGGTTCTTACGAAGTTATTATATAAAAAATTTCCTTTTTGTGTTTTTTCTTCTTCTTTCTTTCTTTCTTTCTTTCTTTCAATTTCCTTCACTACCAAAAAAAAAAAAAAAAATTTAAAAAACAAAAGACTTTGCCTATTTCGGGCTAAAAATATTTTGGAAATGCGCGTTTTTGTGTGTATGTGTGTGTGTTTTTTGTTTACATTTTGAAAAATAAAATAAAATAATAACAACAATCTGGGAAATACATAGATATTACGTAAGTTTTTCGCGTTATGTACATTCCCCTTAACGCGTGTCTTTCGCGTGTCTTTTTTTTAATAAATTTAAGGTTTTACATTTCTTCATTCCGCTTAAGTACTAACGTGGCGTACGGCTGTTTTTTTTCCCCATTCTTAGCGCGTCGCCAATGTTGATCTCTGTTTTAATAAATAAATAAATAAATAAATAAAAGATAAAACTTAGAATATAGAACTTAAACAATTTTAAAGTTTGGAATATTTTTATTGCCCACCTTCTGAGCCTTTTTTTTTTTTTTTTTACTCTTGAATCAGGCAGGTTCTTTGTTAACTACACGATTTCTTACGACGCGTCACACTTTTCAATCCACTCTGGTTTATATTCACGGCTTAAATATCATGGGAAGAATCAAAAAGTGATAAAAAAAAAAAAAAAAAGAACAATTGCTTGTTACCGCTTTTTTCTTATTATTTTTCTTCTGCTTCTTCTTTAATCGACGCCTTATCAGGAACATCGACATAATCATCATCTCCATCCGTTCACCTCATCCAGAAATGGTCACTTTTTATCTCTTTCTTGTTAAATTTAACCATAATCGTTTGTTTAAATAAGACACGATAATAATTTCATTACTCATTCCAGCTCCTCAATTAAATAAAATAAAAAGCTACACCTTTACTATGTTTACTATGACCCCAAACCATATTCTCACTTTTCCTATTTCATTTAAGCTTAATTCTACTACTATATTACCCAAATAATAAAATTAAATGACTAGAATAAAAAAAAACAATTTTTTTTTTTCATTTCATTTCTTTTCTTTTCCTTCTATTAACTTTTTCTACATACTCTCTCTTCTCCTTTGTTTCGTTAACGTCTTCATCCCAGTTCTCAGTCTCTCTTGTAGATCAATTAACGACCCCTCCTCTTACAACATATCAACGCGTTCACCCCGCAATTTATTTTTCTATCAATAGGAACCTCTATCTCCCTTCCTTTGAACTTAGCCTATGTAGAATACAAAAAAAGCAAAAATCTTGTGATTAAAAGTAACATTTTTTTTAACTAAAGGGTAAATATTCATATTGACTAATTCTGTGTAATTTGAATCCTTGTAAGGATTAATTAATAATAGTTCGAGATTACGAAAAAAAAATAAAAATAAAAAAGTTTTACAATGTTCTAAAATCATTCATCATTTATACAAGCTGGTTATCTAGATCACTGTCAAACTGGCCTTTTAGCCTCATGTCAATGTCTGATGAAAGTCCCGCTAACTCAATATGATTTTAGTGCCCGAATATTTTTTTTTGTTAGCAAAAAATACTTTGACCTAAAAATTGGAAACCAAAAATATTTATGACCATAACAATTCAAGAGACATTGTTAAATTTTCATTTTAATTTATTTGAAACAAAGTTACCATAAAAACTTTTCGACCTTTTTTTTTGAAGTTCCCTGTTGGTCTCTCAATCAAATACATTAGAAACCGATCATTGGATCAATTAAATATATTTTTTTCCGGTTAAGATTATATCTATAAATAAAAAAAAAAAAAAAAAATATATCTATAAATATAGAAATTTTATTTCTTGAAAACCCCACGGTATAGTTCATTCATACAAACTGAACTCAATCAAGAAAGCTAACATTAGAATAAGTAGAATTTTATTTAGCTTGAAACAGTCGTTATTTTTTTTTTTTAGACTAAAGCAGAAGGTCAATTTTCTTAAAAGAAATCCAATCCCGAGCTTATTTCTATAAACAGAATATCTATTTTCCTAAAATGATTAAAAAAAAATTTAAAATAAGGTTAAAAATAAAAATAACGGAAATCAGGCTCCTTCAGACTTGAGAATTTTTAATTCATTATAATGAACAATCTAATTAGATTGTTTTTTTTATATCTTCAATCTCGCGTTTTTTTTTCATCTTTTTTTTAATTTTTTTCATTTAAACATGATGTAATTTGAATTCTCATGCCACTTCTTCAAAGTTCCAATACTTTGGGCTGGTGTTTTTTATTTTTTTTTTTACACATTTAAAAATAAATATACCACTATTAGGATTCTAAAATAAAAATATAAAGTATTACTACATGAAATGTCTTGGGTGGGTTTTTTTTTTCTTTTAAAATTTCATTTCATTTTAAGTCCAAGCGTGCTGGACGAATAAGAAATAAAAAATAAATCCCAGTCAACTATTGGGTGCCTTTAAGTACACACTACCAAATTGGCCTTCATAAAAAAGCAACAACAACGCCAATTTCAATTTCATCCTCAACCAGCCTCTCCTCAATTGAATCCGACTACAAGCATGCCAACATCCATATTGGGGAGATGCATACCCGCCAAAATACACTGTCCCACCAAAAAGTCTTCTTCATCTCATGAATCAATGTTACATTTAGTCGAAGTATTCCAAAAAAAAAAAAAAAAAAATAAAAAAGAAATGGTGACACTAAAAGTAACCGGTTGTTGTGCTCGTCTTCACGGCTGCTCAAAGGATGACTCGCTTGTTAATCAAGTGCTGATTCCTGATTCCTGATTCCTGATTCCTGATTCCTGATTCCTGATTCCTGTCTAGTTCATCAATTTATGCCATAGTACACGTGCATCACACACAAAAAAAAAAAATTTCTAGCTTTAAGAGTTTCTCAATTCAAATCTCAACAGCTCTTTTTTTTCTTTTTTTTTTTTTTCTTTTCAACTCCTAGATTCACGCTGTTGGACGTATGCTGACGTCGATAGATAAACCTCTATCTTGATGCTTTGCTGGCTCATGCCTACATCACATTAGCCACAAATAATCTAAAGTTATATGACTTGCATCAACACACATCATTGTATTGTATCGACCAACACTATAATCTATCAGACAAAGCATATCGGGGACTTCGTATAACTCCATGCAAGCTTGGAAAGGCTGTTTTTACTTGTCCCCTTTACATTTTGCACTCGGAAGCACCAGAATTTCAATGTGATGCAAGGGAAACTGACAATTTTTTTTTATAAAGGCAGGGAAAAGAATGTTAATATAAACCCTTTGATTAAAAAAGGGTTTTAATTTAAAGCTACAAAGAGAGAGAAAAAAATACTTCATTGCATAGAGGTAAATACGCCAGATGTTGGCTCAAGTAACAAAAAAAGAACTTATTTATGCAATTGCAATTTAATTAATAATCAAATAGTGTGTGAAGAACTACAACCCTTTTATGTTTCTAACATTTGACCATAAATGAACGAGAGATCATAATCTTTCTCAAGATACAACGTTAGAGTGGAGTATAAACCATGCGTCTTCAGTCTGAAACACTATCATGAACTTTGTTTCTATCAACAACATGACTCCCCTTATTGTCATTAGCAAACATCTAGAAGTTAATTCAATAAGTGTTTCAAGCCCTCTCCATCTTTTTTGTTCTTTGACTGACCTTCCCAAGATCTAATGTTTTAGTTCTCAGGGATGTTATATCACAAAACTTTAAAATCAAATACTTTTGATTTTTAAACCGTTATTTGTTTATTAGTGACAATTTAATAATAGAAAGTTGTTTCTGAGATAGACTACTTAATGACTGAAGAGTTTCTCAACCGTATTTATTTTTTTCTCACCATAGCAAATAATAAAAGCCATTTTAAATCTTTATTGGAATATATTCCAAAGCCTATATAGGCTTTGTCATATTCAAACCATTAAAATTTTTTATCCTGTAGTTTATTAAACCACTCAAATAATACCACCTTTTTCCAATTTCTTTATAACTTCAAAAATCAAACTTTATTATGAGCCATAACTCATAACTGCATTCTTAATTCATATTTTTAAGGGTTAGTTTATTCACCTCTAGAGTTTGTTTATTTTTTTTTTAAAATAAAAGAGTCAACCTGACTTAAAAAATTACAAATTTATGAAGGTTGAAGGATTATTTTAAAGGTCTCAGTCTATTGGCTAAAAAAATTGGTCTAGCGACAAAAGTTTACCCGTTGAACTTAGATATTAAGTCAAAACCCTATTCTGATTTTTTTAACAGTGATTTAACAAACTTCACTGAATTCAACTTACAAAATACCATTAATGTTATTATCGGAATAGAAAAAAAACTTTTTTTGCTGTTTTTTTTTTTTTTTTTTTCATTGCAATATGATTTCGGCTGATTAGCCAAAAAGATAATTATCTTAAAGTCTGTTAGTTATTGTGCAGACATTAAATTGTGCAGACATTAAAGTTTGCGGAAATCCACCGGTTGGAAAATCTACAATGGCTATAATTGGTAACGACGCGTGGTGAAAAAATATTAACAAAAAAATATTCTCGAAAGAATATGCACAAGTTACAAGTACCCAATTTAAAATCTTTGTGGCCTCAGCCAAAATGATTTCAGTTCCTTCAGACACACCGCAAATTCTTGGGTTAAGCTTCGACTACCAATATTCATTATTTACGAATCTCCATCAAGTAAAATATATATATAACACAAAATTGAAATGGCCAAAGTATATGTAAAGTAGTTTAAAAGAAATGGTTGTCATGAACAAATCAAGATTCAAAACTTTTATCAATAATAAGTTTAAATACAACCTTTTAAAAAAGCTCAAACTCTCTCTTTTCCACTAATATCAAAAGCAATTCAGTTTTAATACCAGTTCCAGTTCATTATATGGTCTTTTAGCTCCCAGCTGAAGAGATATAAGTTTACTTGTAATCATTATATGATGTCTACTTCATTTATTTCAGACAGTAGTGTCACAAGTACATGTGCCAAGAGGATTGTTTAAAAGGTAATTTTTAATGATTTCAGACTTTGTTATAGCTGTTGATATAGCTTTGATTTTTTTCTTACTATATAGATTGTGATCAACTATCTAGATACTCATAAGCTCTTGTATTCGAACCACAATTTTTGTTTTATCAAGACGCCAACTCTTTTTTACAGTTTTTTCTAAAAATGTTACGAGCTACGACCTCACTTGGACAAGAACTCTTTTGTAAATGTTAAATTAACCATATATTTTGCGTCATCAATATAAATTTTTAAAGCTGCATTTTTGACAAAAACCAAACGAAGTTTTTCAATCAAGTCACTGAATGTTTTCCAGTAAACCACTTTAAATGAAATGAAATCAAGCTCTCCATGTTTTATATAGTAGCTCCAGATACATCCACCATGTACTTTAACTGTAATCTTTAACTGTTTAATCCATTAGTTAACTGTGTTGATATCCAAGACAAGATTTTATGGCTAGAGTGTTAGACGCTCCAAAAAGCTACCTATAAATGTACTTAGGGTATAGACTTTATAGAGCTCTTCATTTGGAAATCTGTATTTCCACAATGTCGACAATTCTTTAACACCCACGTGTATTCAAGAACATGGAAATTTCAAATTTTCTTGAGTAGTGTCCATGCTGGCCATAGTAATATGAAAAATGAATAATAATTAAAAGGGTTCCAATATATACGTATTTACATTGGGGGTATATGTCAGTCTCCCCCTTGTTTATAGGAGAATTCTTGAAATGAGAAAAATTGGGTGTCGGTTACTTGCTTAGTACAATCAGTCAACGTACCCCTACCATTCCTCACTATATCCAAATTCAACACCCGACACACGACACATATATATTTTTTTGTAAGTAATGTGCATTAAAAATTGGAATATAAAATTTATCAAGTAATAAACTTTTAAAGCATCATTAAAATTCAACGTTAAAATGTTCTTGACAAATCGGCATCTGTTTTAAATATCTGTCAATAATGCCTATTAATTATAATTCTTTTTTAATCTGTCTAGCAACCTAGAATCCCCCACACAAATGCTTTTAAGCTCGGAGCTTGGAAAATTTATCATCATAGTATACCATTCTTACCATCATAAATTTCGTTTCCTAAGTCCAGTTTAATTTTAAAAATTTACTAATTTTCTTTATACAAATGTTTTTATAACCGGTAAAGTTTTTGTTAGAACAATTAGAATCGGCAAAGACTATCTCGGTAAAATCTTGATTGTTCAGCCTAATCAGCAAAATGTATCTTAAAAAAATCTCTTCTAAACTCCTAAAACAATTTTAATGAAATATGCTTTTTTCGTAGTAAACTTGATAAACTCAATTTGCTTGGTATTCTATACACACCCCTTCAGGTCAAATGGATTCTTGTTATCAACTTGTGAAGGAATAGTAACCTCCTAGGTTGCAAAAAAAAAGTCATTGGTTTCGGTATATGGAACTTTGATGGAACTGGTTCTGGTTTTCCTCAACACTGTAACGATTTCTACAGTAATGTCTTTCTCAGTGATCAAAAAATTGATTGAAGTCTTTTAAGTTTGTGTGATGTGCATTCTATTTGCAACAGAACCAGTATCTGACACTTAAAAAAAGTCACCCCAATATCCACTAACAATTGAGGAAATGATCACTAACCTGTTTATTTCATTGATTTTTATTTTATCAAATTTCAGGGTTTTAGATGCTATATTTTTAATCAGCCAAGCCATCCATTATGTTTTCAGTTGATGAATTAGGCAAAGTGTATATCTGCCTTTTTATATTCCATTTTGTGAAACCAGGTCTAAATAATCAACAAAACTAACCGATTCTCTTATAGTTCTGGCGAAGAAAAAACTACCCACTTCTATCATAAAAATATTTAATGTAACGATGATATTCTAATATTATATCGTAATTATCTTGGTCAATATAGTGAGTGATAAGAACACGAGCTTCATTCAAGGTCAGAATGCATTATAATGTTGATGGTGATTTGAAAAATCCTCCAGTATTGACACATTTTTTTCAACACAAATCACGTGAGCAATGTGAGCCGCATAACTTTTACTCAAAAGGGAAACCTTTAGAATTTGCCATTTTTTTTAAAAAATTTTCTCGATCATCACTCAAAATTTTTATTCCTACAACTGTCTTTTCAAACACTTATCAACTAAAATAAAAAATAAAAAAAATGGCACCTAGCAAATCAGTGACACTAGGCGACCCGTGTTCTCGATGCAGACCGCCAAATATCTTACCATCTACAGCTCTGGCGCGCAGCGAGCCTTTCTGCACCAAATGCTTTGCGCGATTCCTAAGCACTAAGTTACGCAAACAAATCCCAGACTATAAGGTTGCCTACACGCGCGACAAGAAGGTGATCCCCACGCGCCACCACGCTGTTGTTCCTGTGTTTTACCGTGGGGAAACCTCTACTCAGTCATCAGTTGTGCGCGAGTGGATATGGCAAGACAACACGGAAACAGCAGCAGCGGTTGTGCTTGTTGATCTTTTAGCAGAGCTTATCCGCGAGCAGCGTCAAAAACATGCCAAAAACCAAGGCTTTGTGCTACATATTCTAGTTGTAAGACCAACAACAACAACAACTACAGAAGAAACATGTCGAATCACTGAGTTTTTCAAGCAACACTACACCCAAGAAACTGCGTCGATCGAAGAGCTGGGTCTCGACACTTTTGCTGGCGACGTTTTGGACGCGTTACCATCGCGCGCATCACGTGCAGATGCACTTGGTCTCATTTCACGACGTGCCATTGCCCAGTATCTAAACAAACTTGCCGCTGACCATGCTGCAGATAACTGGCAAGTCGCAGAGCTTGCAGCGGAACCTGTGGAGGGTGTAGCTCAGCGTGTGCTTGCTTCGGTGGCAAAGGGCCGCATGAATCTCGTGTACCGAGATTTGGTGAATGTGTCGACCGATGATTCTGCTATTATTTGGCCTTTGAAAGAGATTCGGACTCAAGAGGTGACCACGTACCTAGATCTTTTTTTCAGCACTGACAGTGATCTTCAGTTAGGTTCGTCCGAAATACCTGCACAGGGCCCTGCAAAGTCTTTAAGTATTGATGCATTGCTACGATCTTATTTTGCTGAAATCGAGTCAGCATTCCCTTCAGTCGCCACCACCGTGGTCCGTACTGTCGAAAAGCTGGCAGATCCAAGCACATGTTCGCCACACATTCTAGAGAAACTCTCGTCGTCCTCCTCAGCGGCCTCGCCTTTTGCTTCGGTTCCACAGTACGGCTCATGCGCAGTGTGCGGCTGTGCGCGTGAAGCTAAGGTTAGCGAGTGGATCAAGAAAATAACCGTCAACGAAGGTGTCCAAGAAGATGAAGTAACTACAATAGAACTCCCGGAAGCAATTCAGGAATCTTCTTCAATCGACTCGTTATGCTACGGATGTATTGTCATGCTTAAAGACTCATCGATATCAACTCTCCCTGATTGGACTGCTCCACGGGCATCACTTTCTTCTGTTCTCTCTGAATATGAATTATAGAACTATTTCATCATCATTTTTTTTTTTAAATACAATTTGTTCTTTCTCTAAATAACATTGGCACTAAGTTTCATGGGGTAATGAACAGCAGGAATAACAGGAGTGGCGTCAAGCGCAGGATCATTATGCGCGCCAATCAATTCGTCCTCTCCTAAATGCACAGCACCACCTGCAACTGTTGGCACAGATGATACTTCTGAGCATGTTTCTGCGTCACGAGATTTTTCAACCGTGCCACCCACAGCTGCTGCTGCTGCAATTGTGGCTTCTGTATCAATGTCCAATTTATCTGTATTTATGTCCGTCACAATCTTGATCCCATTCGCATTGGATGAGGGCACGCTCATAGAAGAAGAAGAAGCTTCTGTTGGAATGGGAGGTGGGTCAGTTCTGATAAACACATCAGCAAAAATCGTAGTGTACCGGTCAATCAGCAACTGAGTACCGTCGTTGCGTGCTTGCATGTCAACAATTTCGCGTTCACCAGTAATGTGTCGTACAAGGGTAGGTGCAAACACCACAGCAAGATTGCGTGCCGTCATTAAGTTGACATCGGCATGTTGGGTTATCTTGACCAAATGTTGTACCACATAGCTCAAGCATTCCTTATAAGGCTGGGGTAAACTATTTATAAGGGCACGTAGCATATCTGTTGCATAGTCTGGAGACTTTGTGATTTCACGAGAAACCTCTACAAAGTCTTCATAGACGTCAAATGGTACGAGTGGGATAGGCAAGTGTCTAAGATATTGCTTAAGAGCACTCGTCACACCTGATATATCACCATCTAATACGGCATCGTCTACATCTTCACCACCAGCACGCTCAAAAGCCTCTTCAATCGAAGTTACTTGGGACCGTGCACCAGACTTGCGGTAGATACCCTCAAACTCCATGCCACGTTTCTCAACTTCTTGTACACACCGTGTCACAATTAGGGGAATGTTGGTATTTTCATACTCGATGCGTTTTTCAATAGGTACACCCATAAGAGAAATTACTGAGGATGTAGACACTGTAGTCGCCATATGTGGGGCATCTGTACTAGTCTTAAACCAGCGCTTGGACCGTTCTTCTCCGCTCTCAGAGGAGTTAACTGTATTATTGCTAATCATGGTAATAGACCCATCCAAATCACTATATGGGCCAGTAGAAATTAGCGGAGCGTGCAATTGTTGCGACTGATCCTGGTTGAATACCTTATTGAAACCTTTGACACCCTTGGCAACTGCAGCAGTGGGTCTTTTCCAAAACCGGCGTCCTCCAGACTTTTTATCATCGGCTGCATCATGTTGGTCTAGAATAGGGCCTACTTTTTCTTCAGCAGATCTAGTTAATCGCGAGTTGAGCATCAAAAGTTGCTTATTTTCTGCTTCAATGCCCATATTTTTCTCAATCCAGACTTCATGTATTTTAGCAAGTTCTGCATTTTTTTGTTCCAGTTTATTGCGCGTTAGCATTAGCTCTTCAATCTCTGCCCGCAGGGATTCCTTGTAGTGCGAGACCTCATCTACAAAGCGCTTGATAAGTTCTGGATAAACGTCTTGAAGGTTATTTTTCTGGGCCAAAGCCTGGTCTAGCATTCCAAGCTCCATTTTGGCGACTTCACCCTTGGCCTCGAGGCCAGCAATGGTTTTGCGTTTTTCGTTAATATTTGAATCGAGATTAGCATTACTGTTCTTAGTATTTCGCAATTGAAGCTCTAGCTCAGTAATGCGCTTACGTGCATCCATAAGCTCACGCGTTAGTGGTGACACAACAGAAAGTCTATTTTCACTTGCACTGCGATAGTGACCGCTAGCAGCGCGAGGTTCGAGCCGGTTGATGATATCATCTTCTGGAGTTCGAGGAATGTTATTGTAGCTGGGGGACATAGTTTGAAGGGCTGAGCGCTCCATCGTGTACTTTTCGAGGTTTTCGCTAGAGCTGGAGCTAGAGCTATCGAGATCCAGCTTGACACCTTCAATTTTAGGTAATCGTAATACCAAATCAGCATCGGAAAAGTCGTTAGGGGAGCTGAGGGTGCTGTCAATATACACACCTCCTCTGGAGGGAGTTGATTTAAAATCCAGTTCTGGAGAGGCAAGTTTGCGAGGGCTTGTATCATCGAGTGGGGAAGGAAGTTCCCGTTTAGGCATAAATTTAGATCCGAGAGCTGGTAGGGAGTCTTCCTGGTTGTTATTGTAATTGTTATTGCTATTATTGAAAAAGAAAGGTCCTGAAGGGACTACAGGCGATGAATGACTTGTAGAGACTAGCGGAGCCTCAAGTGTAGGTTTCGCAGACATTGGTTGCGATTTGAGAGGAACGCGTGGAGGAATACGTTCCAGAGGAGGAGGTGGACGAGGAGGTGAAATTCCCTGTGGAAAAGCAAGCCCTTGGTTATATGAGTTGCTACGATTAAGAGAAGAAGCTGATGATGGCGATACTGGGGCATCGTGAGGTTCTTCAGTAGGTAGTTGTGGGAGGGATTTTTCCTTAAAGGTTGCGGGGGCATGGTGAACCATGGAAGAATATTGTCCGAGGCTTGGGGAAGATGCATGGCCAGTCAGGGATAATGCAGGTGGTTGAGGGGGGTTTGCTGCAGATGCAAAAGGTAATGGGAGCAGCGGTTGTAAGTTTGGGATATTTGGAGCTACAGGCGACGTTTTAGCAGTAGAAATGTTTGAATTTGAAGTAGAGGTAGAAATTGCAGTAGTAGTAGTAGTAGTTGTATTACTACTACTATTTGTCGCTTTGAGAGCAGCAGCACGCTTTTTCCTTGCCAGCAAGGTTTGATGGCACTTCATGCAAAAAGTGCCTTGAGATGTGCGAGCATATTGAGTGTCGTCAATTCTTTTTTTACAATTGCGGCAGCGAAAGCAAGATGAACAAAAGGCTTGGTCGTCTGTTAGCACAGCAGTACCGTCAATTAGTTTGTTGCAGACGCTACATGTATACGAGCAGTTGGCACAAAATAGGGATCCGTTACCAAGGAGGTGGACATTAAAGTCGTGCTTTAGTAGCGAGTTGCAGATTGAACAGCGAAGACCTAAGAAGAAAGAACAAAGAAGTTAGCAAAGCCGTGCACTATTGGTAGTAGTAGTAGTAATAATAAAAAAAATAATAATAGTAACAATAAATATAAACATAAATATAAATATAGAAAGGTAATAGTTATAGTTGTATTTGTAGCGAGATACTTACATTCGACATGCCACCGATGCGGGCCTTTTAGGGGGGTGCCACGTTAGCAAAACATTTTCAAGCAAATCAAATCAAATCAAAAAAATAAAAAAAATCTTACTTACCATATTGATAAACCTGGCCTTCTTCAATGACTTGAGAGCATTTTTTGCAATGCTGTTTTGAATTTGTGTCAGGGTCAAGGGCTGCAGGTGCAGGGTCCACAGTAGTAACAGCAGCATCAGCAGCATGGTCTGTAGTAGTGGCACAAGCAGTGTGGTCTGCGTGATCGGTGAAATCCGCAGGCATGATGATTTGAATATGCTAAAAGAATTCTGGAGCAGAGTTCCGTGAACTAGAAGGATCCGGCGGAGCAGCAGCAGCAGAAAATTTTTTTTGATGGTGGTGGTGATTGTGGAAAGATAAAGAAAGGAGAAGGTTTTAAAGGTTTGAGAAAAAAGCGGTGGCAGTGAAGGGGGGGAATAAAAATAAAATAAAATAAAATAAAAAAAAACCCACCAAAAAGGGAAGCTCCACAGGGGGGACTCGGAATTACATTTTTGTTACTATTAGATTTCAAATTAAGATATTTTAATATACAATACGGCTGATGTTTTTTTTTATTTTAGAATCACCAGTTTTAATTGAAATTCTTCAACACAACCACCATTATAGGAAATTAAAACAACATTTTTACAAACACAAAATGGCAAGGAATTTTCAAGAAGGTAACTTTGAAATTAAACCTTCAGGTATTCCAACTTTTACTCGGAGACCAATGGCTCAACAACAACAACCTCAACCTCAACCTCAACCACAAATACAACAGGACTCTAGACCAGCTCTTTTGGAAGAACTAGAACGCACTCAACAAAGTATCACCCAAGCCCTACGTCAGATCGACCAAAACTTCTTCACAGCTCAGCAAATTGTTCATACTCGTATCATACCCCAGATTGAATCTTGTGGAAGAGAATGTGCTGCGGTAAAAGCCAGCCTCTACATGTGGAAAACCTTCTTTGAAGCCAGCGCATACGTCAACCTAGACACATATGAACAAGACGTGGCTGGAGAGGTAGATATCCAAGATTTTTCAGAACAAGAGCCTGAGTACGACGAATCTGAGCATCACAGCATTCTTTCCAGTTCAATCGATCCAGATAACCCATTTGTATCTCCAGGCACAAATAAAAAGTTCCAGCGCCAATTGGCATCCTTAGAACTTGAAAGACCACCACAGACCCCAGTAAAATTAACAACTACACAAGCGCACAACAACGACGTAGCTTCAACAGAGTCATCCCCATTTAATTCACGAATTGAAGAACAAGAAACCGTTATACGATCTACTCCCTTTTCCCGAAATATTTTACCAGATACCGATGGCTTCCCACGTAGCGTACTTCGCCATCAGCTGCTTGACAAGAACGTCATGGTAGTAGCCACTCCAAGGTCTAAAACCAGAGGCAATATCTCTGCAGCAACTCCAATTGTACGAACTCCAGGTCTTCGCAAAATAGAATCACCTACAAAGAAACAAACACAGCAACAACAACTGTTGGCATCATCTCCACCACCAAAATACTCCATTGAGTACTTAGAACAAAAGTATGGAACTCCAAGCGAATGTGATATCCAACCCCCAGTCATGCTCAGTAACCTAGATATATCGGACTCACCTACCCATAAACCAACTCGCAAAAGTACACCAAGCAGTGGATCAAAGTCCTGGCAACCTTATATGACCCCACGCAAAAATGCAGTTTCGCCTCCATCGCCTGATATGTTACCTCCAGTTCTCTTATCTGCACGAAAGCAAAACTCTCAACAAGAAATTGAACAAAATCAACATGAACAGGAACAGAAACACTCACAAGAAACTACCCACGCGTCATCGCCTACAACCAATGATCCTCCCCGTACACCTACATCACATCGCACGCTATTCCCTTTGCTCCCAGACTCTGCCAGTAGTAACGAGGAACCTCCAGAAATGACATCGCAGTTTGCTTTTGAACAAGGAATTGGTGGGGGTGGACGACTGGTGCGCACACCAGCAAAAGATGCTGCCAAAGCTTTGGTCAATGCAGCCATGCAAGCCGCTTCTGGAGATGACGGGCACCCACTGGATCTAGACCATCATAATCTTCATAATCATCATCATGAAATTAGTTCGGGGTTTGGAAGCGATGAAGACGAGGCAAATAGCTTTGAGTTCCCTGCGCGGGATATAGGGGGTGACAGTGACAGTGACAGTGACAGTGACAGTGACGGTGATAGCGATAGCGATAGCAGCAAATCAAGCGGATTTACTAATGATTAAATGATATTATTTTATTTCTTAATAGAATAAGAGTATATTTATGAAGAAGAAGAATTTTATTAAATTATTTACAAACGAAGCAAAACTTATTAGAGAATAGAATAGAATAGTTTTTTTATTTTGGTCATTACCACTTGAAGCCAGAACGGCGATCGCGTTTTCTCTGGTCCATCTATAGAAAAGATAAAAGTTAGCAGCAAGATTTCTCCAAAAAAAACAAAAAAGTATATACTCACCCACTCTTGACGGCACTCCTTATATGCCTTGAAGTATTCGATACATGCCTCCTTATCGTAGTTGTTGCGTTCCAAGCATCCTAGAGACATCTGTGAAGCTTGTTGGCATGGGTCATAATACTGCGAAGGTTCCTTCCTACAATAATCTATTAGCATAACTTTCCTCTTTTTTTCGTCAAAAAAAAAAAAAAAATTAGAATTAAAACTTACGTGGTGAAGGTAGCCTTGTGTGAGTAATGTGTTGGGTTATCAGGGAAAAACTTGAGATCTTTGGCCGCTTTGTTCTTGTTATCAATACCAACATCGGGCACATAATTAGAACTCTTGGCTGGAACTGTCGCTTCAGATTTGATTTCAGGCTTCTTTTCAGATTCGCTCATTTTTTTTTTCCTTGTTTGTTTGTTTGTTTGCTTTAGAAACCTTTACTTGTGGAACTTGGTGGTGGTGAAAAAAAAAAAATATTAAAAAATGGCAATCCCTCATCGGACCAAATCCGTTTGTCATGAGCTAATTAAAAAAATAAAAAATATATGGTTACCTAGTACTTTTGAAAGCCTTACCAGTAACTATTTACAAGTTACCTATTTAAACAACTTGTTTTCGCCCCACTTCTACAACTCTTTTCTTTCTTCTCACCATCTATCCCAACAGCATTCAAGTGATATACCCAAAAACCATTCCAAGTTCCCAATTTTACTATAAAAAATGTCAATTGCATTAGCAATCAGAAACTCACTTGTTATTGCAGCAACTCCCAAGCTTTCAATGCTTGCCGGTCGTCTTTCCTTTATCTCAGGAACGATAGATTCGTCCTCGTGTTCTGTTCATTGCTATCCCTCCACCACCTCTGGATTAAAGTTTCGTCGTCGCCACCATCGCACTTTTTACTACCCCTCTTCACGTCTTCTTCACTTTTCAAACCCAAAGCTGCAAACGTTATACCTGGCCTTTTACGGTGCCATGCCTTATTTCCGTGTTATTGCTACAGCGGCATGTGCACTTTGTTTTGCAGAAATGTATGGTGTTCTTGATCCGTTTAAGTTTTTGCTTATGATGGATTTTGTATTTTTATGGAGTTTGCTTAATACCCTTCGTGTTGCTGACCGCTTGTTTTTTGAAGAGGTCATGGCGCCTCTTTTGAACATGCTTGTTAGAGATATCCCATACAAAAAAGAAGATGATGAAAAAGAAGAAGAAAAGAAAGAAAAAGAAAAAGAAAAAAAAAAGTTTGATTCAGAAAAAACTGATAATTATGATGACAATAAAACTGAAGATACTGAAGATACTGAAGATGACATTCATAGTGAAACTAGCACTGTCGTGGAGGATTGCCCCATTACTGCTACCAAAGGTCTGATTCCCTTTTTCGATTTTACAATTGTGACATTGACCATTCTCATGGCTGTGTTGTGTTATGCAGGAACTACATATCTGACATTGTCATATATTCAATACCATGCTTTGTGTTCTGTCAATGTTGTGCTACCTTCAGAGCTTGTGCGACTCATTGTTGGAAATCAGATTTGCGTGCTTGCTGTCCGCTGTCTTTTTGGTAAATTTGCGCCCTGGCGTTCTGATAGAAAAGAAACTTCTACAAATGAATGTACCTGCACACCAGCAGTCATTTCTGACATGGTATCAAAACTGCTTTTAAAAGATTTACAACCAGAATCAGTTTCTGTAGATACCCAACCCAAGTCTCGTTCTGTGTCTTTGGATACCCTTGTGGAATCTGACTCAGATTCGGATTTCTCCGAGTATATTTCAGCTGAAGAATAGTAAATGAATTTAAAAATTTATATAATTGTAGTAGTATTTAATGCTTTAAAATTATAAATTGTTATCGTCGAGAACTTGGGCCTTCACCGGCAGACATTGACCTCGGATAATAGATGATTCCATGCCTGGGAACAAACTCTGTATTAGATCTCTTCATTCTCTTTGTGGAAACACGCCGGATTAGCGGTGGTGGAGGTGGTGCAAACACAAGTGTATCATCAGCACTATAATGTCTTCCTGTTCTCTCAGCATTACGCTCGGCTTGCTCTTCTGTAGCTGATACAGCTGCAAAAGTCGTTGCAGCCTTAACACGTCTTTCCTGGTCCTCATCATGTTGTTCAAGATCCATTGGAAGCAATACTGCACGATCAATAGCATATGGTAAACCACGATGTCTGCCTCTCCAAAGACATAAGCAAATGATGAGTTTCCCCAAAACTGAAAACTGTGCGCTCAGTGCTGGTGTAGTGTTTGGGTATCCCATGCTCAACCCGACTGTACAATATGCAGAAAGAACCTCAAAGATTACGTTAAAGAGAGGAATTTGACCCTTAGATTGATCATTTCCAATCTGGCCGCCATCAGTTATGCACAGTACAAAAAAGGAAATAAAAAGGAACCACATGTCAAAAGATAATTGGCGCTGAATATGTGACCCCCAAGATGTAGAAATCCCAGGAATACCAAGAAGCGGAAGTTTAGAAGGTAGTCTAGAATGTCGTTTTTTAGCCTGGTCTTTCAGTTCTTGTTCATCTTCCTCATCATCTTCATCCTTATCTGGTCTCCGTTGCCTCAAAGTTTGTGAAATTACACCTGGCCGATCACTATCGGTACTTGTGTCATCACTTTCATCCGATGCACTTTCGCAATCATCCTCAGACCCGCTACTACTACTTCCAAGGCTCCGGTCTTCCTCTTCCTCTTCCTCTTCATGATGAGGTTCTTCTTCTTTGTAAACAACCAGTGGTCGTTCTTCATATACATTCGTATTACGTACCGAGATAGTGATGGGATAAATAGAAATGTACATCATTATTGCATAAATAACAACCACTGCCGGATGTAAAATATTCAAATCAACAACCGAAAGCCCACTAGTTCGCGTGGCTGATGAAGAAAATATAGCATCCATAACATGTGATGCCCATGACAATCCAAGAAAATGAGGGTTATTGATGTCCAACACCAAGTAGAAAAACACATCAATGCAGTTTAGAATGATAATAATAAAAAAAAGCCACCATGTAGGATTAGAGGGAAATAATAAAGTAAAGCACCGGCGTGGATGTTCCAGTAAAAATGTCACTGACTCATGAAGTTCTCCTCGGGGATCAGAAAGTTGCTGCATGAGCCAAATGGTAAGGCGAAGCAAGCAAGGGAACCCAGAATATCCTATAATCATGAGGAAAGTTGTTATGACTAACAAATACTTTGCATCTTTAAAAGACTGTAATGAATCTGGGGTAAGTGCAAACCCTACATTATTAAAGGCGGATTGTGCAAGAAAAACGGCCCACCAGGCTGGGTTAACTGCATCTAAATGAAATATTTCTGCATACTTTTTTGTAATGTGTGCCCATGGAGCTAACAAAATGATTCCCACAAGATTCCAGCCAAGGTAATATCCAACCAAGATTTTGGCTAGTAGTTTAAGAGCTCGATATTCAATTCCACCCATTTCTTCCTTTTGCTCTGAAGTTAAATGCACAAACATGGAATTACCATGAATAGTTGGAGTCCATTGCAAGTAGTTGCTAAAGGATTCCTTTGGAGGACCAAAAAAAAAAGAAAACCTCCACCAATGCTGTTTTTGATACCTTGTGGACTTGGTCCGCGGCAAATCCTTGTCATGCGAAAACCACTTCCAAAAACGTAGAGAAAGGATAAATCGACGTAAAGGAGGGTCTTCGTCATTCAAAGCCTTGTGTTGTTTCTGGCGCCATTCATATAATCTTTCTTGCTCTTCTTGTTCATTATTTTCGTCTGAGTGTGTGCGGTGACGAGTAAGAGTCCAAAGCCGATGGAAAACAGGGCTTTCTGCCATTCCAGCTTCCAAATCAGGCATGTGCCGTTCTGTCAAGTCATTTGAAAATTTGGTATGTAGATTGATAGGAGGGGGCTCTACAATGGATCCAGCAATACTGGGAGCCTTGAGAACTCCAGGCTCTGGAAGAACCGGTTTTATAGGGTTTGGGTCACACACCGGGGCTGATTCTGCAGATCCGTTTGAGCTTTGGGACTTTATGTGGGTAAGGCTGGCGACATCGGCGTCTTCTTGTTCTGCAAGGGTGGGTACCACAAAAGTTTCGGCGTCCTCCAGTTCTTGGTGCGGCTTCCTAGAAAGTAGGTTTTCCATAATGTTTAATGAGTGGGCAATATCAGTTGGCTGCGCGCTTTCATGGTTTGGGTATCTAGTTGGAATACGATGAATTGCATTTGTTGACGGAGGTTCAGGCAGATTACTGGGGAAATGAATTGCCGTGTGATATCTATCAGCATTATCGGGATGTCGCTGAGAAAAAAAATGACTTAAGGTCTCCATATCTTGGGGGTTCCTTGTCATTGCGCGTTGAAACAAGTTGAATTTTTTAGGGTTGAGAGTCTCCGCAAAAGTTTTTCTGCGCATGTGCGATTGCTCCTTAGCTTTTTGACTGATGCCTTTGAACCGCCATTCAAAATACTGTAAACGCACAAAGACAAGGGCTCCATTAATCCATATTGGAGAAGTGAAGATTGGGGTCAAATGTAGTACTACCTGCTGATAAGTATTTAGCTTATTAAAGTCGACCCTATCAGAGTTAAAATGCAATTTAAAAGCAAAATTTAAAAAAAAAAAATTCTTAGATGTGAATACTCACGTAGCAATGCCACCCTGAGTGCAGGCAGAAGATGCTAAAAACAAAGCATCAATGTATTTGATTCCTCCACAGATTGCGATAAGAAATGACGAGCCGAAGATGCAACCAAGAATATAAATGTAATGGATTTTGATAAAGTTTGGTTCTCCGAACCTCTTAATGAGCCAACCTATAACCCAAAGACGACTCATGGCCGGAATCTCTGCTTTTTTAGCTTTGCTGGCACTGTGGACTTTTAACAATTGTCTTCGTGGGAATCCTGTGAGGACCTTTCGACGCTTGCCCTTTTTTTTCCCTGGTATTGATGATGAAGCATTTGTGGATAAAATTGGTTCTTGATGGAATGGCCTTGGAGATGGCATTGTATTAAAAGTTGATGCAGGAGTATGCGAAGCTTGGTCTGCCGCAAAGTGCGGAACAGTCTTTGGAGAGGTCGATTCGCTCCGAGTACCAGAGGTCATTTGTACTTGCAGCAAAAAAAAATGTCTTATAGAGATTGAGATTTTTAATGAAATGTTTTATATATGAAAACCAGCCAGTTTTCCTGGCGGGTTTTTTATTTTTATTTTTTTTTTGGTTTTGGATTTGCACATGGTGGGACTTAAAGTGTAGGCTTTTGCAGCTGCTTCACAAAAAAAAAAAAACAAAGACGCCTTAAAATACTGTATCTGAGGATAAAATGATAACTACAAGTCCCAAGTCCCAAGCATCAAGTCCCAAGTGTTTACGATTTGATTCGGAACTCGGGATACTAAAGATCTTTTCAAAGCACCCGGAACTCTTTAGTGGGTTTCCAGTATATTCAAACCGTTTTCTGTCATTTTAGAATTCGTCATAATTGGTTTTGATTTCGTCATTTCACAGCTTGTAGACATATATATGACCACCAAACTGCCCTTTTTGGAACATTTTTAAATAATTTTTTGTTGGCCTACCATCCAAACTCATCTCCCGAAATAAACGAAAAAAAATGACTTCGATTTTACCATACAACTCTGCGGTGCTTGTTCTTGATGGCGGTTTAGGCTCAGAACTTGAGACTCGTGGCGTGCCAGTTGGCTCGTCCCATCTTTGGTCTGCTGAGCTTTTGATCTCTGATCCAGCGGCTCTTCGTGACGTTCATGCTGCATATATTGCCGCTGGCGCTGACATTGTGACCACAGCTTCTTACCAAGCAAGCTTCCCTGGAGTTGTGCGCTACTTTGAAGAAAAGCAAGGACCTGGTGATTATAATGATCTTGCGAAAAAATACATTGCAGATTCCGTGTTGATTGCGCAGGAAGCCCGTGATGCCTTTTGGAAAGAAAACGAGGCCACTACAGACCGAATCAAGCCCCTTGTGGCCGCAAGTATCGGGCCCTATGGCGCTTATTTGGCCGCTGGTCAAGAATACACTGGTGATTACGGATTTACAGATGATAAAGAAGGCGAGAAGATTCTACAAGAATTCCACAAGCCCCGGCTGGATGCTCTGCTTAGTGCCAATCCAGACATTATTGCCCTCGAAACAATCCCAACTTTCCTGGAAACCAAAGTCTTGCTTGATCTTCTGGCCAAGACAAAAGTAGAGAATCCACCATCTGTTTGGTTAGCCTTTTCAATCAACTCTTCCGATGAAACTGCTCTTGCAGACGGCTCTCCATTAACTGCTGTTGTCGATCTCATTGCAAAATACCGAGATTCACCTGGTCTCCGCGTTACTTCCATTGGCACCAATTGTCTGCCACCACACCGTGCCCATAAAGCCCTCCACACTCTTTCGCAAGAACTGGCACGTGTGAACTTGCCTCTTCCACTCGTCGTGTATCCCAATTCGGGCGAGATCTACAATGGAACAACGAAGGAATGGGCCCCAAACCCAGAAGGTGTCTCCAAGGCAGATGATGAGACTAATCTCTGTTTCCACGAGTTTCTGCCTAATTGGTATGCTTCTGGTGCGCGGCTTGTGGGCGGCTGCTGCCGTACTGGACCCTCCGATATTTCCGAGTTGCGCGGGCAGCTCCAAGCTCTGGCGCGACAGGCATGAATAATGATGACGACCATAGAGATCTTCTCGCGATCTATTTTTCAGATCTCACAAAGTTCCTTTTAGAAGAAAAGAAAAAATAAATAAAAATTGCAAAAATGCTCAAGTATATAGTAGGCTGGATTTCCTCTTCGGATTGAAGAATAAAGAAAAAAAAAATCTCAACAGAGTCGGTCAGACATATTAAGAACTAAAAAAGTATCCGAATTTAAAGCCCTTGAAAATGGCTCCCAAAAAGCGGACTAACAGACAGTCTCAAAAGTCTGCAGGGCCTTCTTCCAGACCAAGAATCCCAACCTGGGCTGCAGTAGTCGGACCAGCCAGAATTGTAAAAACGCCAACGCGTACCTATTACGTTCTGACTCGACGTCCAGTACCGCCAGCCACACTAAGCATGTCCAATGGGGGATCTTCGGCAAGACCTGCCCAGCTGCAGCAACAGCAACAGCAGCAGCAGTATGAGCAGCAGTTGACTGGTTTTGGCGCCCAAGTTGAACATTTAACAGATGCTGGTGATGGTGCTACTACTGCCAATGTTAATCCTACTCCTGCTGTGCGGGCACCGCAGGTAGCTACTACTATCGCTGCTCCCGAAAGACATGGAGTCGTGACTCCACCTCCATCTCCGCCTTTTCGCGGTCGCCCTGCAAACATTGCAGGAGCCATGGAGTGGACGATGGGGGCGTTTGGATCTACTACGAGACTTGTGGGGTACCGAACTCTTTCACGCCGGGTAAGCGTTTCCAATCGGGAGTCTGCACGCTTATAATCTAAGCCCAAAAACACAACCTATTTAAGAAGACCAATCTGTACAACTTTTTCAAATCTTATACATTTGTTTATTTGTTCCACTTAATTCTTTTTTTTTTAAAAAAAAACATCATAATCAGTTTTAGTTTAATTCTCCTATCTATAATATATAACAATGACTAAAGTTTTGCTTACCGGTGCCTCTGGATTCGTTGCTATCCACACTCTTGAAGCCCTTCTGACCCGCGGCTTCGTTGTTAAAGCCACTGTGCGCTCACAGGAAAAAGGCCACTACTTGCTTAACAAGTTCCCTGGGAAACCTCTTGAAATTGCAATTGTCGAGGACATTCAAGCTCCCAATGCTTTTGAGAATGCGCTCAAGGACTCTGCTATCACAGCCGTCATTCATACAGCATCACCCTTCTTTGCTGCCAAAAACGATCCTCTTAAGGAACTCCTGGATCCGGCAGTCAAGGGCACTAAAAATGTGCTTCAGGCAATCAAGACTTTTGCCCCGCAAGTCTCCACTGTAGTGGTCACATCATCATATGCTGCCATCTCTAACGTAACCAAGCGCACCGACCACAGCTTTGTCCACACAGAAGCCACCTGGTCTGAAATTACATGGGAGCAGGCAATCTCTGACTTGAATCTCTCATACCGTGCAAGCAAGAAATTTGCCGAGCGTGCACTTTGGGACTTTGTTGCTGAGGAAAAGCCAAACTTTACTGCCACCACCGTCAACCCACCTTTGGTTTATGGCCCTGTTATTCAAGATGTTACCTCTCCTGAGAAACTTAATACGTCCAACGCCATTTTGTGGAAAAATGTTATTGAATCAACTCCTGGAGACACCTCCGATTCGTATGCCAATGATGCGGCCCTTTGGGTTGATGTTCGTGATGTTGCTCTTGCTCACGTCCTGCCTCTCGAAAAACCAGAATTGGCTGGCAAACGCTTGTTTGTCACTCCCGGCTTCTGTTCCACTCAGTCTATCCTTGATGTACTAAATGAAAAGTTTCCCGCGCTTAAGGGCAAAATCGCAGTGGGCCGTCCAGGCACTGGCGACAAGCAGTTGCCCGAGTTGTACCAGTACGATAACCACGTTACCAATGATCTTCTGGGCATCAAATACCACACACTCGAAGAATCTATGATTGACACTTTCAAGTCTCTTGTGAATCTCCGTCCCAAAAGCTTTTTGTAAACTTGAAATCTGTAATAATGGCGCAATATTGTTTTGATAATTGATTATTGATTAATGGTTCGGAACTCCGATATAGAATTTTAGTATATAAGTAGGAGGGAGAATGTTCTTCTATAATTTTTTTTTATATATTTCACGAGGAACATTTTCTTCAATACCAATCATTCTTCAGATTAAGTTCTTTACTAAAAAAAAATGACACATTCTAAAGTTTTACTTACCGGCGCTTCCGGTTTTTTGGGCATCTATGTGCTTAAGACCCTTTTTGAGCACGGATACTCTGTTAAGGCCACTGTTCGCTCAAAGGAAAAGGGCGACTATCTAATTGCAACTTTCCCCAATAAACCTCTGGAAATTGCAATTGTCGAAGACATTCAAGAACCTGATGCCTTTGACGAGGCTCTCAAGGATACATCCATCACAGCCGTCATTCACACAGCATCACCTTTTTTTTCTGCTAAAACTGATCCAGTCAAGGAGCTCTTAGATCCAGCAATCAAAGGCACCAAAAATATTCTCCGAGCTATAAAAACACACGCCCCGCAAGTTACTACAGTGGTCATCACCTCTTCTAATGCTGCCATTAACAACGTCTCCAAGTATTATGATCACAGTTTTGTTCACACCGAAAAAACCTGGGCTGATGTAACTTGGGACCAAGCTATCTCCGATCTCAACTTGACTTACCGTGGCAGTAAGACGTTTGCCGAGCGTGCATTTTGGGACTTTATTGCAGAAGAAAAACCAAACTTCACTGGTACAACTGTCAATCCCACACTTATTTTCGGACCCCTCTTGCAACAAGTTGCTTCACCGGAAGCCATCAATACTTCGAATGCTTTTTTGTGGAAATTTTTGATTCACTCTAAGCCAAACGATACTACAGACACATATTCCAATAACCCAGATCTTTGGGTAGACGTTCGTGATGTAGCTTTGGCTCACGTCTTGCCTCTCGAAAAGCCTTCTCTTGCAGGTAAACGTTTGTTTCTGACTTCCGATTTTTACACAGTTCAAACGCTTCTTGACATTGTTAATGAAAGGGTTCCTGCACTTAGAGGAAAGATTGCAATTGGCCAGCCAGGTACCGGAAACAAAAATGTAGAGAAGGTGTATCAGTATGATAACCATGTTACCAACGAATTACTCGGCATCAAATATCATACTTTGGACGACACTATTGTTGAAACTGTGAATTCTCTTTTAGAACTTAAGGATAATAATGCTTAAATATAAATACAATTTTTAGATTGATATTTTTAATATTTGGTTCATTGTTTTATTTAAAAATTATAAAAATTATTTGACATCAGTATCAACTCTATTATTGTTTTGATATTTCAGGATGTGCATCTCGATACCGGCTAATAAGGAACAGAAAGAAACAACAGGTCAATCTCAAACCTACTCAACATATTTTTAAGTATTCTCATGAAAGTTTTTGTATTTCTTAATTTCCACTGTCTAAAATACTTTCCGGAGTCATATTTAATTAAAGCTTATAAGCTAATTAAACTAAACTGAAAAGTTAGTTTTTTTTACTAGGATCCTCTGTAGTATGGCAATGAGAGTCGAACTCATGGCCTTCACGGTCAAATGAATGTCCTTTTCTGTTGCAACAATAAAACAAATTTATTTTGCGTATAATTTTAATTTATATTTTAATTTATATATATATATATTGTTATTTTTCAAATATTCGTTTGTTACCATTTAAAGTTTATTAACTTTTTTATTTGATTCTATTCAAGGGAAAGAATTATATCCTTTTTGTTCTTACTATATATCTTTTCGTTTCATAATGAACATTAAATTTGATTTCAACATTGCATCTCGAACAGCCCGAAAATAATTTCTGACGCCAGCTAAAAAGAAACAGAGCGTTAAACAACAAAATTTTAAATAATATTCAAACTGTAATATCAGTGTCTGTTTGTTTGTTTGTTTTTATTCAAGTTTTTTTCTGGCGGGAACGAACCGCCGCAGTGTCTGCGTTATTCTTCTTGTTTTCATTATGTATACTTTTGTTTTAATAATAAATTTTTAAACAAAGAGATAATATTTTACAGCGTTAGTGGTTTAGCGGTAAAATTCTTCGTTGCCATCGAAGAGCCCCCGGTTCGACTCCGGGCTGACGCACTTTTTTGAGTATATTGGCTTAAATTAATCAATTTGTTATTTTTTATTTAATTTTTTTTTTTTTACTTATTGAAATATTTTGAAAGAAAGAAAGTTTCATAATTATAATACAAAAAAAATTACTTAAAAATATTTTTTTTAAAATATGTAATCGAGAATTTTTTCCCATAGGTTCATATCTTCTTTTTCCATGACCACAAGTTCTTCTTCTCTGCGTCCAGTGAAAATATCAATATCTTCAGGTGCCTGCAAAAGAGGACCTCTAAAGATCACAAACTGGAATAAAACATAGAGGAAAATAAAAATAAAAAGGGAAATATATGCAGCGATAAAGTCAGAACCATTAAAGTTCCAGAACGTGGTAAAACCTTGAATGATTGTGATGCAAATAACACATATCAGTGCATACCAAACATATCCAGCACCCCCCTTTCCCTTAAAAGGAAGTTCTGCTCGTTCAATTCCATGGTACTTAAGTGCTTTTAAAAATCTAATATGAGAAAATGAGATTCCAGCCCAAGCCAAAAGAGCAGCTACTGTTGAAATGTTAACCAGCCAGTTAAAAGCATTTGTTGATCCATCAGAAACAGACAAAAAGCCAAGAAGACCAATAAGAGATGTAACAGTTACACCAATAACAGGAACACCATTAGTGGTTGTCCAAGTGAAATGTCTGGGAGCAACTCCAGAAGAACCAAGGGCGTAAAGAATACGCGAACCAATGTATACACTTGAATTTGCCGCTGAAAGAATAGTGGAGAGAATCACAGCATTAAAAATATGGTTAAGAACTTTGGTACCTGAGTTCACAATTGCAATAATAAAAGGAGAAGAGGCAACATATGATTCATCAGAACTAAGTAGAGGATCGTTAAATGGAACAAGAAGTCCCATGAAAAAAATGGAGCCAATAAAGAACACACAAATGCGGATGTAAAGACGGTTAATGGCACGTGGTACGGTTTTACGAGGATTTTCAGTTTCACCAGCTGTGAGGCCTACAAGCTCAATACCTTGGTATGTGAATGCAGCATTAACCAAGGCCGAAAGCCAGCCTAAAAACCGACCAGTGTTTTTGTTTGAAGCCAATATGCCAGGACCCCAAGGCCCAGGATTGCGCCAGTAACGAAATCCTACCGGTCCTGTTTCCCCTGCTCCGCATACCATGCAGAGTGCATAAATAAGCCAACCCACAATTGCTATGACTTTGATGGAAGATGCCCAGAATTCAATTTCGCCATAGACTTTAACCGGAAAGTAGTTGAGTAAACTAATCACAACAAAAAATATACCAATCCATGCAGCCAAAGGAACTGCAAAAGTCCAGTATTGAATAACTTGCCCAACAATTGAAAGTTCAATGGCATAGGCAATAGCCCAACAAAACCAGTAAAGCCAGCCTATTGACGCACCCAATGCCGGTGAAACAAATCGGGTGCAAAAAACGGTAAAAGAACCAGTGATTGGAATAAAAGTAGACATTTCACCAATTGACTGGGCAAGTGAGTAAACAATTGTGGCCATGAATAGATATGCAATGAGTGCACCTACTGGCCCAGCATCTCCAAGGGCAGAGCCGGTACCAATAAAAAGACCGGTGCCAATAGTTCCTCCAAGAGCAATCATAGAAACATGACGTTGCTTAAGCTCACGCTTTACTTTGCCTTTAGTGATATCTCCTGACAACTCCACAGAAGCTGTATGTACTTCTTTAAGAGACTGACCCTTTTCGGTATCCGCCGGAAAGCCCGAGGAGTCATGTTGAGTATTATAACCAGGCGCAGGATGTCTGTGAGTTGTGGTTTGGAATACTTCTTCAGGAGCGTTATTGTTGTATTGGGACATTTTTTTTCGATGCAAACGGTTATTTGATCTTTAACTAATTCTCAAACATAAGAAGAATTTTAAATCTATTTATAATATTGAAATTAAAAAAAAAAAACACAAACTACTAAATATATACTTCAAACAAAGTCATGAGTATTAAGTAAACAAAAAAGCCACTTTTTTTATTTTGTAAATCAGGAAAAAAACATGTTTGTTGAAAAAAAAATTGAGGCTGTTGAAAAAAAAAAAAAAAAAAAAAAAAAACTCTGCCCCTCAAAGAGTTCAATTTATTATTTTGGAACACGCAAAATAACATTCTACACTAGTATTAACTTTCCAAAAGAAGCTTTTATATTATTTAACTAAAAAAATACCTATAGGTATTTTTTTTTAGAATATGAAGAATTTGTGTATGGGGTAAAAATGAAATCAAAAAAAATACTTCGCGATATAAATTACACTGGAACTTATAATTTGTTAATTTTTAAAGTCACTTTTTTCTTTCAAAAAAAAAAAATAGATTTCAAATTATAAAATAATTCGAGTTTCAAAACTTATTAAAAAAAATTTTTCAATTGATTTTGCTTTTTAAAAAAAAAATTTTTTCTTGGTTTTCATTTAATTTTCGGGATTTTCTTTTTCCTTTTTTTTTTTTTTCATAAACAGAAGGGCCGACAACGGAAACCTTTTTTTTTTTGTCAAATTAGTTACATGATGGGTTGAATTCCCAAACCGAAATAACTACGTAGTCGTTTAAAATGTCATACTACTATCCTCGATCTCAAAAGACGCAATTTGACGTGAAAATTGCGAGCTACCTCATCTCTTTGTGGACATCCGGGAGGTTTTTGCATGGCCGGTAAAACCCTAGCTGCAAATTTGTAACGTTGAATAAGCGCGCTTTTATTTACGATATTTCATGGAATTATATATTTTGGTGGGATTGAGGGATCAAAAGTTGTGGCTTTTAAACGTGCTATATATAAAAAAAAGCCGTTATTTATTTTGTTATTTTTTACTGGGTATTAAAATAAAGAATATGATCATGATCTTCTTCCCCTATTATTAGTAGCTGACAATTTTTTTTTTGATATATCAAACAAACTATATATACAGTTTGTCAAAATTACAAAGATTCGATTTTATTGCGTACTTTTGGAGGGTAGCAAAATATATTTGAATATTTTTTTATTTTTTTCGTTTTTTCGTTTAATTTAATTTAATTTAATTTAATTTAATTTGATTGATTTTGCCCTTAATTTTTTTAGAAAAAACCGTTTCTTTTTGTAAATATCTGGAAAAAAGTTAAATTCTTAACGAAAAAAACGATTGGTGGATTTAGTTTCTAGTTTTATTTTTTCCAATAAATATGGATTCCACAATTAGTGCTTTGTGCGGCTTTTTTTATAATCAAGCATCCATTTTTTCTTTTTATTAGTATATAGGAATTAAATAGTTGACACATGAGGTTGTAAAAAAAAAAACAATAAAACCTAACATGTGGGTCATACTCATAAAGAAAAAAAAGACCCATCACAGTTTATTATTATTTTCTTTTATTTTTAATTTAAAAAGTGTTAAATAACTTTTAATTTTTTTTTTGATATCTATCAAAAAAGAACTTATCTTTTTAACTCTGAAAAAAAAAAGGAAAAACTGTGAAAAAAATTGTTGTCCAATTATAGACTATTCAGTATACATAGTTTTCATAGAAATATGAAGCCAATAGTTGCTAAAACACCCATTGAATTAATATCAACATTTAATTTTTACTTTTAGCTTTCGCATATGGACCTACTTTATTTTCATTTAAAACATTTAGATATAGACATTATAAATATATCTACTAATTTTAGCCTATAGATTGCTTTTTTTTGTTGCTTCCAATCTTCCTCCCAATATGACTACACCAAATATGGATACGACATTCATTGATTTGATTTTTTTCTTTCAATTTTTATAAATAAAATATATGTATTTTTTTAAAGCTTTTGATCTTTAAAAGGCAAAAGTAAACTTCGAAGTATGATACTAAGTATAAAATCATTGTTACTCAAAAAAAACCTTTATTAGTGTGTTAGAATGAGTTTGTATAAAATGAAAATACAGATAAATGATAGCCCGTAAATCTCCCCAATAAAAGATGAAACAAATATTTGTTAATAGTTTTTAAATACTTTGACAAAAAAAATTATTTTTTTAAATCTTAAAAGTGTAATATATTATATATACACTTCTTATATAAGAAGAAATGATGATTTTGAAGTGATGGGTGTTAACATTTCCTTTTCTCATGGAGTGGTTTTAACACGCCAAGTGTGTACTGTTTGGGATCTCAGTCGTTTTAATATACCCACTTCCATAGGAACTTTATAAACGTGAATAATATTTTTATCAATATAAACTGTTTGAAGAGAAACGAGGTCCTGTGAGAAAGAAAAGGTTCTATCCGACATTTGAAAAAATATTTGAATTGAATTAATGGATTTCATGGTTTTAAATTAAGAGGGATCAATAGCAAAAATAGGAATTATAGAGAACAAGAGACCTCTCTTTAAGTTTTATGCTAAAAACAGTATTTACTAATCAGAAATTAAATAAATATACATAAAATATATAGAATAAAAAAAATTTATGAACTGGATAATACTACGACTTTAAAAAATAACACCCTGAAAAGGTCAAATGGCCTGCTGAACTTCGACTCATAGAAGAAAAATATTTTTAAAAAAAGTATGTAAAAAAAAGGAAAGATTTTTTTTATTAAATGACTTTTTTTTAAAAAAAATTGAAACCTTGGGAGAAATCGAGTTGTTTTTATAATAATTTCCTTCATTTTGCTAAAGGATAGCATTCTAAAAAAGAAAATTTCTCTGGGGGGACCTCAAAGTATCCTAAATTTTTTTCCGTTTAGCCACTTTATGATTTTATTTTGATATATATAACATTTGTTATTTGAATTAATTGAAAAACCAAGAGCTCTGGACGTCTTGAAAAACACTAATTTGTAAGTGGGTGATTTCCTGTGATTTATGTAAGTAAACTGTCCAAAAAAAATGACGACAAGAAAAGAAAAATAGGTAATTTCTATATCTTAGCATTTTGATAACATGGAGTAAGCAATACTGTTATCACAAAATAAAGCGAGTCTTGATTCAATTTTCTTACTCTAGTAATTTCATAGGTAAAGAATTACACTTTAAGCCTGTTAAAAAATTTGCACTTTGTCAAGTTTTATGGTGGTAAATATTAGTGATTTAGTCTATAATTATTTTTTAATTTTTATTTTTATCTCAGATCAACTCACTTTCTATTCCATTTTTGATTTTAAGATTGACTTGTTTTCCTCCTCAATAATATACTGTTCTGTTCTGATATGTTGATGTTGATGATGATGATGATGATGATGATGATGATGATACTTCTTAGTTTTGAATTTTACATACATAACCCTAACCTCAAAAGTCACGGGGCCCCATAACCCTATTACATACACCAAAAAAATTAAACATTTGTTCACACCCAACTCACCAATTTATACAAACTCAACACAATAACAAATCTCACTTTCAAAATTCATTCTTTCAATAAAAAAAAATGTTGAAGTATCTAAAAAGTATTAAAAAGTAATGGTCTCTGGCGGGATCGAACCGCCGATCCTCGCGTATCTCAAGGAAGTTGCTTGTTTATTAGCACGATGCCTTAACCAACTGGGCCAAGAGACCTTTTAAATTTTTAAATATTTACCCTCCAAGAGATATAAAAACATATGCAACCTGACAACTATTTTAAATAATAATTTTTTTAACAAAAATGAATGACAATAGGCAACTAAACAATTTAATAAAAAGAAAGTACAAATTTGGTTGGCTTAATATGAAAAATATACTTTTTTGACCGCGAATGGTACTGGGTTCGATTCCAAGATACCCTTCCTTTCCCTAGATAGAGTGTATGGGAGTATAAATCTCCTCTGAGTTTCCAGGGTACTTTGGAAAGCAAGAAATCAGATTTCTCTGTTCAGTTTAATTAGAATGCCGGCAATTGAAAGTTGCGTATTTAGTGGAGGGGATTAAGGAATACCTGAGAGACCGTGACGATAAGTAAAAATAGGTCGGGCAAGTTTAGGACCAGCAAACTGATTTTGCTTGTTCTTAGAATGCTGGGATTAAGACCCATCTTCCAGACTACCTGAGACACATCAATCAAAACAACCTGATATGAAAAAACCACAATATTAGATAGAAAATCATCAAATCTAGGCAATTAAATGGGCAGCTTTGGGGCTGATTTTATTAATAAATATTGAATCAAAACAAATAAACAGACATTTAATGCCAGCTCTATATTCTACTATATATATATTCAAAGTTTTTAATATGCCATAACATTTTTAAAGGCTTTAAACGTTTTAAAACTATTGATGATGACAATTTTTAAAATTAATGGCTTTTTTTTTTATAATGTAAGAGAGAATGATATCAAGATAAAGAGCATTTAGTAAAGATTTTGACTGTTTACAGTTGATTGTTTACAATATTAATATTGTTGAATTTTTTCTCTTTTTTTTTTTATTTTTTTCAAGTAGTACATGTCAAACTTTAAGTAAATTTTATCATGAAAATGTTTCAAACACGCACGCGTAGGTATTTTTTTTAGAAGTCATTGTCGCCGCGCAAAAGTCTGAACAGTTATGTACTGGTGAATTCTCACTGTTCCATCTTTTATTGTTGAGTAAATTTTGTTTTAGAATAAAGATATTTTTTATTGTTTTTTTCTTTTTAGTAAAGAAAGATTTAATATTGATGCTTTAAAGTTTATTAAAAACCAAGAGACACACAATCGCTAGTCTATTCTCCCTTTTCAGCTCTGTGAGGCTCAAACGAGTATCTAGTTTTGTGAGCCCAAGAAAGCTTTCAACCACTAAAGGATTAGAGAAGAAAAAATTGAACTTTTGTATTTAACTATCAACTAATTATATTAATAAAACCTTTAAATTATAATTTAATACTCTGGAGTAAGTTAAGGTAAGATAGGTAAGGGTCATGCTTGGATTGCTTGATAGATTTATAAAGCTTTCAGCACACAGGCTTGATGTAAGGAGTTGGTGGTGGAGGAGTGTCAGGAGGCGATGGAGGATCCATTATGAGCTTAATCAGTTAGTTAAAATTTTAAGATAAGTGACTTAGGTTAATTTGCTAGACTATTATCGTGTGTAGATGAATATATTTAATTGAATCAGCTAAAAAAATTTGATCTTTAGGACCGACTGCTTCGTGATATATAAATAATAATAATAAAAAAAAAGGGATTTCATTAATGGAAATCTCTGTGAATTTATATATTCCTGCTGATTACTTTTTTTACAAGCATGCCCTTGACTGACATTTTTCCACTAAACTGCTTGTCAAAAAACTAATAAGTCACGTGGAAATTCCTTATAGGACTTTAAAGTGTTTATAGTTGCTTTCATGTCATTGTCGTTTTTTTTTTCTCTAATTTAATATTACTATATATATATCATTTCATTCAATCATTACAAAATAAATTTATCCCAAATATAAATAAAAAAACTCCAAGTTGTTGTTAAAAAAATGTTAATATTTGTTTAATATGGATGCTGTGGGGGGTAGTTGTTGTATGGAATGAAGGGCTCCTTTTCTGGCTCGTGTTTTTTGTGTGTAGATCCAATGCAGATTGAAAAGAACCACCAAAATGTAGCCCACAGCGCAGCCCCCACGCCACCCCAGGCAATACCCAGCATTGTCGAAGATAAACTGGCTTCAATCCCATACTGGCCCAGATTATTATTGATCAGGTTGCGCAGGATGGTGTACATGCCTGTGACTAACCCTGTTGCAACAAGTACTAGGGCAAATGAAATGAGTGAGAGAATAGTGGAGCAACAATTTACACCGCGCGACGAGCACGAAAATGGACCCACTACCAGTGTCAAAAACAAAAACACCAGCGAAATAATGTATATAACAAAAGATGCTTTCGAAACACCTTCAATAGTGCCCATGTACTTGCGAACATCATCAAGATTCGATGCAGTCTCAATGGCGGTCGTCAGCACATCCGAAACAGTTTCTGAAATCACAGTGGTGTTTGAAGAGTTAGAGCCAGCACCTTCAGTTTCAAGGAGAACTTGAGTCGCGTTAAACCAGTACATGGCTTTTGGATCCGAGCAATAAGTGACGTGGTACTTGCCATCGAGGTTAACAAGAGATTCTAACTTGGAGAGGGTGCGGGAGGAGTTTGATGAAACGTTACCGTAGCAGTAGTTCCATAGGGCCGTGGTGTAAAAGTCTGGCAAGGGGGTTTCCTCATTGATGATGGTATTAATTGCAGACTCTAGTGACGAGTCTACTGTAGTTCCTGATAGCATTTCTAGCGCACTAGAGGCTGTGAGGTTTGAGATATCAACCCGTAGAAAGTAAACGTTGGTTAAAACGTTGGACCGAATTGAGCCCAGCACCACGATAAGGGTGAGGAAAAAGGCTCCGAGTGAGCCAATATAGGGGAAGACTGAAATGAAGCAAGAGCGACCAAAACCCATTTTTATTAGTGATAATGGTAGATGCTAAATAATGTTATGAGTAAAGTTTGTAGTTGATATATAAGAAAGGAAAATGATTTAAAATTTCCTAAGATGTTTGTTTATAAAAGAATAAAAATAAAAAAACTAGAAAAATTTTAAGGGGTTGTTGTGAATGGAAAAAAAAAAAATATCATTTGGGGAATCTCGGTGGTATTTATATACTTTTCTGCCTCTCTGCTACAAAGACACAACCATTAAAAAAAAAATATAAATTCCAAGTGGCTGGGGGGGAAAAATAAAAATAAAAATAAAATAAAGGCTGGGCTCACATGAAAACCTTCTTTACATTTAAACTCACAGATACATATGTATACGCAGAATCTTAAAATATCTTAAAATATATATATTTTAAATTTATTAATACAATATCGAATATTTCCATTTTTATTTATATCATCATGATATACACACCACTAACCACGGGTTCCGGGTCTTGGACGTATTGCTGGTGGTAGTGGTGCCCCGATAGATGCTCGACTTACAGGACGCACTCTCGCCGACTGGCCTCGTAACGGCGCGTGGCCATAATCCCCATAATGATACGCTGCCACCGGTTTACTCATTTGACGGCATACTGCAGGCAAAAGTGGCTGGAATCCAACATAATCTCGATTCGACAATGAGATTGGCGATGCAACAACTGGCGACATTACTGCCCCAGTTCCTCCCATTGGTGCTGGTGAGTTCGCAAGGCTTTGCTGCTGCTGTTCTTGACGACGCATTTGCATTTGCAACGCAAACTGCTGCTCAAAATGTTGCTGAAACTGAGCCTGAAACTGGGCTTGGAATTGCTGCCGCCGTAACTGCTGCTGTTGTTGTTGCTGCTGCTGCAACTGGAAATGTGCAGCTTGTAATCCAGGCTCACTTCGCTGAGAAACTGGCCGCATCAATGCCGCAGAATTAGTCCCTACCCGGCCTAAACCTGTCCTAGTTGTTGAACCAGGCGACCCAAAAGTTGCCCTACGATTGGGAATTATTTCAGATGCTGGCTGCTGCTGTTGCTGTTGCTGTTGCTGATGATGATAATGATAATTTGATCTTCCTAAAGATCTCGAAGGGCTTTGATGGTAGTCTCTTCTTCCTACCTCTACTCCTCCTTGAAGTTCTTTTCCTTGCGGCTGAGCTCTGCATCCTTTCACCTGCCCTTGCGGCTGCAGACGTTGTAAATTATCAACCTTTTCAGGACGTTTTTGGTGCTGCGCCTGCAAGCTCCCAACACTGTTCTTGCTGCTCGATACTGGTGTTAAACGTCTGCCTTCCCGCTGCACTGAATGTGGTGGTACCTGATGATGCTTCTCCTGCTTTGGGGGTTTTTGCTTTTGCTGGTGGTGATTATAATTCTGTGGTTGCTGCAGAGGTGTCGTTATCACAGGCTTAGATACTGTATTCCGTACCTTAATCGGAACCTTAACAGGATGATCCCTAACTTCAGGTACCGTCGAACTATTAATTTTTCTCATTAAAGCCATCACATCTTCTTTTTTATTATCATTTCTAGAAATGGAAATCATTGACTGCTGCTGCTGCTGCTGCTCTTGTTGTTGTTGTTGTTGTTGTTGTTGTTGAGACCCTTTTTCGTCATCACCGATATCCTTTGTCCGTCTCAATTTACTCATCACTCGGCCAAGCCCACTTTTTGTCCATTTGCTTTCGTCACTGTGCAAAGCCACCACATCCTCATTTGACACCTCAATCTTTTGGCTTAAATCCACCAAAACATCTTCTTCTGTCTCTTCCATACTAGTCTTGCTTCCACCACTGCTTCCACTACCACTTCCACTACCATTACCACTTCCAACCTTGGTAACATCAACCATACTGTTGACCAAACTTGTCTTATCCAAGCTTCCATTGGATTCCTGCTTAATCACTGACCGAACCAAAGGCTCACTATTATTGGCAAGACGGATTCCATCGCGGGTACTAATCTTGAGAGGGACAAGCGATTCTGAAGAATCACTCGTAGACATAGCCCCAATCTTAGAAGACGACACTGTTCCACCGGTTTCATCACTACCACTGCTTATCTCAGTGCCATTACTAATTCCTATCCCATCACCTTCGGAAGACCCAAACATTTCATAGCTCGCAATAATAGACTCGTAAAAGCTTCGATACGAGGCCCTGTAGTCCCGGCCATCGTCATCACATCCGCTCAACTCGCTGGGGCCTACTCGTTTTCCCTCATCATCAGAGCTTGTTCCATCGTAATTACTGCTGCTTGAATCAAACAGTGCCACATTACCTAAAGTCGGTCCTGTCAAATTGCCCTCTTTTAAATCACTATCTGGTTGCTGTGGTGTAGTATCAATTTCATCCTTAAGGTAATCAAACCCACAAAGATAATAACTTGACCGGTCTCTTTTGGCACTTGTCGCAGCTTTGTCAAGTGACAGTAAACTTTCCTGCCTCTTTTCATTGTGTCCGCTGTCATCGCCATTGTTGTCGTCTTCGCAGTCGTCGTCGTCGTCGTAGTCGTCGTCAGAAATAATTGATAAACGCACAATATTACGTGTACTACTATGCATCTTCACTAAATCCCCAGTATCAGTCACACCATCAAGAGCAGACCCATTAGTGCCTACAGCAATGCCATTAAACCCTTCACCTAAACTATCTTGTCGTCTTGAATCATTATTTATAGTAAGGCCAACTGAAGATCCAAACGTCAAATTACCTCCAGTCCCAACCCAGTTCCGTACATACTCAGCACGGCCTGCACGAACGCTAGCTGTAGAATTGACTGGACTTTCTTCAACTTCACGCAAAAGTTCTTGCTGTAAAGGGACTGTTTGTTGCAAAAATCGAGCAAGTTCAGCGTCCTCGTAGCTTGTGGCTATTGTTGTCGTGGTTCGTGTGCTATTGTACTGGCTTCGCCTACAATTATGCTGCTGCTGCTGACTACGGCTGCCATAGTGAAGCTGGTGGCTTTGTGTCGATATCGGTTGGCCTCGTATAGAACCCTGACTTGACTCGATATTATAATTACCAACAACAACGTCGTCCAATGGCTCAGCCTTTTCGCTGGGCTGACGTGAAACATCACCACCAACAGAGATCGACTGCTGGTGTAGCCGCAGTTGCGGCTGGCTGGAGAGCTGCGGCTGAATCGGGTGCGGCAGCTGCTCTTTGGCTGTGGGGGCTGTGGGGGCACTGGAGGCTATGGCAGCTGCCTTGGTGACAGCTGTTGGTACCGGGGAGAAAACGGCTGACTTAGAAATATTTTGCACCTTAGAACTTATGCCTAAAATCTGGTTAAACTTTGTCCAAACTTGGTTTTCCCCCATCTCATTTTGTAAAAACTTACCATTAAACCCTGACTGCTGCCTTGGATTTGCATTGTCCAAACAATTGATTTTATTTTTCGCCCTTGATTGCTCTATTTCTGATTTTAAACCTTCCTCTCGGTCAGCTTTCAACTGAATTTTTTTGGTTATTTGTGGTTCACACTGTTCTGTGTTAACCATTGTTGTCTTCCAGTTAGTACCAGAATTAACATCTGGCTGCTTAAAATCCGTCCCTTCAGAACTTCGAAATGAAAATCGTGCAACATTTGGTTTCTCCACAATCAACGGTTTTGTAGAAACTTCTCTAGCAGAGGCTTTTAATACTTTAGCTTTTGGTGGAGCAAGTGATGAAACTGTAGCCGGAACAACCCCTGTCAAGCATTCGACAAGTTGCTCAGTCTCAGGCACCGGCGGCATTGGTGGTAATGGGGTCTTAAGTCCAAGGCGTTGTCTTTCTTGTCGTCTTTGACGTGGTAGCACTTGGTCTTCAACCTCCCCAGCCATTTGTTGAGACTTTTCCCCATTCCTCTTTGACTTTACATTGCTATTACTCTTCACCACATTTTCTGCAGAGACATCTGTAGGGAAAACCAAAAGAGACGAGGATGAAAAGTTTGTTGGAGAGTTTAATTGAACCTGTTTCAACTGCAGTTGAAGTGTATTTGCACTGTAACGATTCTTCATAGATAAAACAGAAGAGGTGGAGTTATTGCCTCGAAGACATTGCCGTAATGATTTTTGGTCCGTCAGAGGTTTAGATACAAGGGGAGTGGAAGCTGTTGTAACTGGATTGAAATGACCAACATCAGAAACAGGGTACCCGCTAGAAATGACAGAAATGGGAACCATTTCATCACCAGATTCTCCCTGTCCATTTTCTTCTTTTTCTTCTTCATCGGCATTAACCTCAAGAAAAGTATCAAGTCGTTGAACCGCACTCATATAATCTCGCAATTCTTGCACCAATTCATCATCAATGTCATCTAATTCAAGCTGAAACAATGGAGCTGGATGCCGCTTTTGCTGTGGCTCTGGTGGTACTGTTTGTGGTAACGAGAAAACACTTGCTGGAATAAATCCACTGGGTCCATTACTTGGGCGCTTATAGCAAGCGTCAGCACTATTGTAATACTTGTTAACGGCAATAGGTATTTCAACAATAGGGGTGGATGATGTCATTTGTAATTGTGGTCGTGTAACTATTGGACGTTCGACTCGGTGAAATGCCTTGACACTCAAATTGGGTTTGAAACTAGAACAGCTTACAGGTCTAGTTTCACACTCTGGAGGATCACCAAATTCACCAGGCTCTTGACGCCCAAAATAGTAGCGCTGGGGTGTAGGTGCAAAACTTGGAGCTGTAGAAGGTGGTCGTTGTAACCCGACAGTCGGGGCTGCAGAAGGTGGCCGCTGTGGTTCAGCAATCTGGACAGTAGATGGTATAGTAACGGCCGAACCAGCAAAAGGTAGTATTGGAGGTACAATATTTGGATATGGAGACTCAAAAGATGTGGCCACTGTAATCTTTGACTTTTGTGTCCGAGGGGGAAGAGGCGGAGGTTGTGGGAATAAACTTACGGGAGTCGAAACAACACTCGCATTATCCCGATCTTGCTTTACATCAACTGGGTTCTTGATAAAAGAATTAGGACGGTGAGGAAGAGGTTTTTCAACAACATTTCCAGTTCTTAAACGCTTGGGAAATGCATCAGGTGTAGGGGGAAGTGGCCTGTTAAGAAGCTCAGAGTTTAATGGAATAATTGATTTTGGATTTTTTGGTGGTGGAGGAACGACAACTGATGATGTTTTTTTTTCTGGAGTGGTGGTGCTTAACAACGGGATCTTAAGTTCCAGTTCTTGTCGAGACGGGATGGAAGTGCTCAAATGATACCGTGGGCCGTGAGCCGCACCCCAAAACTGTTGTCGATGATGCTCATTACGTTGCAACAACTCCCCAGGCTCACGGCTTCCAAACGCAGATGCAGATCCCATTCTGCCTGTTTGCCGGTTACTGTTTCGAGTAGCCAAGCTGGCCGTGCGTGCCGCACGCATTACTCGCCCACTTTTTCCAGAGGCTTGCAACACCACAGTTTCTGCTGTTACAGCTCGTCGTGTTGGTATACCATTCTTATCAAAGTATAAAACTACCAGACACTCAAGAACGGGACTAGCAGCAACACAGTGACCGCCAGCACTATTAGTAGATGCGTCTACTGAAGCATCGCTAGCAAGTCGAGACATAGAAGAAGAAACTGGGGGATGGTCATACACTGCCACGTTGAAAAGAGCTTGGACATTGGTTGTCTTGTTTACGGAACGAGAACTGGTATGCTTTGAATCGAGAATAGACATGGCGTCTTTCCAAAGTTGCTCAGTGTGTTTACTGACTGGAGGAGTTGCAACAGATTCAATGCTGGTTTCTGCTGTGTTTTCAGTAGAAAAAGAAGACAAATTCTGGGAGTGAGAAAAATTTGTGCTTTCAGACAAAACTGCTACTGAGCTGTCATTCGAGTCTAAATCTGTTTCATCTTCCTTTTTGCTTTTTTTGAACCAAAACCATTTCCGGAACCTACTAGCTTTCTTTTTCTTTTTGGGCTTATCGGTGACAGTCTTTTTGTTTTTTCTCTTGTTTTTCCTGGTGCGCGTGCTACTCCGACGCCGGATCACGCGAATGCTTCCAGATAATCTAATGGACGACGAAGCTGATCTGTTAGTCTGAAAAAATAATGATTCTTTGGGCCCATAGATGCTTGGAACATGTTCGACTTTGAGGTACTCTGTAGAAATCGACATGGCAAAGTATTTCCAAAAAACATCATCATAGCAAATTTTTCTATCCGAATTATATTTTTCATTCTTCAGTGTGCTTGCAGCAACATGTTTTGCATACTGTTTTTGGAGCTGGACCATGTGATACTTAGCAGTCTTGAGAAATTGAATTAAAGGGACCAAAGATTCAATTTTCTCCTCATCGTCGTCATCTTCAACTATACCAGGCTCTTCTAACTCTTCAAAATCTTCATCTTCATCGATATAGTCATTGACAAAAAATCGGTTGCGACTTGGTGCGGCTGGCTCATTTTTGGGGCCCAGTCCAGGAAGAATGCCAACTTTGTTTTGAAGCAACGACCGCCGCAGCACTTGGATTGTATGTTCAAGACTTGAGCCGGAAAGAGTGGGGACAATAGTGCCATTTTGATTAATGTATGTGGTCATTATGGGCGACGGGAGTGACAACGCCAGCTTGTGTCGAAGAGGTGGGTCGATAATAGTGACCTTCTCAGGAGTAATGATAACTCGCAGGGATTTTCTTTCTTCAGAAAGAATGCCAGTAGGTCTAGATTTTCTACTAAAACAATGTTAGAACAATATTCATTTAAAGAATATAATAAAAATAGTTACATACCTAATTGGATCAAATATACTGCTCGACCTGTTTTGGGGAGGTTTGTTTAACAAGACTCTAGAATTGATGGAGCTTCGTATGTCGACAGGTTGCGATGATAAAATACTACTGTTACGTGCAAAATTTTGCGAAGATCCAGAATTGTTGCGTAGTATAAGTTTTTGCTTCTGTGAAATAGTCAGCAGCTTTGGCTGCACATGGTACCTACGTAGTCCCCTTCTGCTTACAGAGGTTCCCACAGTACTGATAGAATGTTGTCTTGATATTGGGATAGAGTGAAAGGATGAAGACCTTGAGTTGTCACGAGAGTAAGGGTATGGGAGAGAAAAGTTTTGAAAATACTGTTGTTGTTGCGAATAGCCATGCGACATCTTGCGTTTCAAATTACTTCCAACAGATGCCGAAGATCTAGGCCGATAACTTGCTCTCTGATAAATTGTAGCTACTCCCCCAGTATACCCATTGTTGGTTTCTTCAAAAGTAGAACTTTTTTGAGGAAAACAACTTTTAGGCTGTATAGACTTGGATTTACTAGTAAAGTCTTCGATGTCATTCGTTTCATTAGCTTCACTGAATGGAGGTAAATATTGAGTAGATTTCCTCATAAATGTATATTAAAAAAAAGTTCACAATTAATAAATTAAAAATTAATAAAAATAGTTTTAACAAAGTAAAGATTTATACAAGGAAAATTTTTTTGAAGAAAAAAAAAACAGATGGGATATACAGACATTATCAATGAACCGGGGATAACATTTTTCTTTTTTTTGGTGAGCATTCTTCATTTTGACATTATGCTTTTGCATACTGAAAACAAAAGAGGCCAGGAAAATTCTCATGAAATGCGATACTGCTTCGGATAAAGAGTTTCATTCTGTATATTTTTTTGTTTTTTGTTTTTTTCATTCCAACTTTTCCCCCCTAAACTATTCTTTTGGAAACTGTTACCAAAATGATAATGGTAGTGATAATACTAATTATCATCCATTGTATCTGATCTATTAACTTAAAAAGGAAAAAAAGCTTGATATTTTTTTAAAAAACTTGTAAACCATACAAAGAACAAAATGTTTCAAACAAAAGTCGTAAACTTTAAGAAGATAGTGTGGAGTAGCATAAATATCAAAGAAAAAAACAAAGTGGAAAAAACCCCTAGTTGGATTCCATTGTATTATTCAAACAATAACAGGAGTTCATGCAACAGACTACTAAAAACTTTAAAAAGAATAAAATCTTTAACTATTTTGATTGGGGTTCCTAATTGCAATAAATTGAAGGGATTTTTTAAAACAAAAAAGCTTCGATTCATTGTATAAAATAGAAATGTTGTAGAAACCTTACAAAAGTCCAGAGTGTCAACTTTTTCTTTTTGGAAATGTAATCGTTTAAATCATTTATTATAGTCATGATTAAACTTATCTTATCCAGTCGATGAGAATAGTTTCATATTTAAAAAAACAAATTTTTGTATTGTATGAAACAAATTTATTTCTAAAAATCTTTATATGTTTGTTTGTTTTTATTCAAGGGTTATAGAATTATATAACATCAGCATCTGCGCTATCCTTTTTGTCCATACTATATATCTTTTCATTTTAATAATAAACTTTTAATTTTGCCTTCAACATTGCATCTCCAACAGTCCGAAAATAAGTCCTGATTCCAGCCTACGAGGAACAGGGGGTTAACAATAACCAAACCTTCCCAACTTATCTCCACTTGTCTTCATCAACGCTGTAATTGTATTTCTTAATCCCTCCAAGCAGAGATAAAGCTTACAATCTCTTGTAAGCCAGTTAAACTGTTTAAGAGAGTTGACATGTCCATCTCTGGAGATATCCGTTTCAGTCCTTTTCTTTCCTCTTTGAGCAAAGGACACTCAACCAAAATGTGATGAACTGTTTCCAGCTCTCCACATTTGCAGTTGTAACTATCCTTTTCAATTCTAAACCTTTTAAACCATGCGCCAAAGTTGCCATGTCCTGTGCGAAACTGAGTAATATTACTCAAGATCCTTCGACTATCTTTCTTCATAAAAAAAATCTTTATATATTCGTTTTATAAAAAAAGTTCAAGTGAATCGACCAAAATTTATAGACCATTTTGGTCACTTTTTTCAAGGTCTCTTGGCCCAGTTGGTTAAGGCATCGTGCTAATAAACAAGCAACTTCCTTGTGATACGCGAGGATCGGCGGTTCGATCCCGCCAGAGACCATTATTTTTTGTTAATTTGAATCCTTTTTAAAGATTTAAACATTGTTAACAAAGTGGTTTTGGCGATAAAGACATTTTCAGCGAGTTTGATGGTGGTAGTGTATTAGGGGTTAAAGCAGATTTGTTAAAATTGAACTATAAACTATGTGGTTAGGGTTATGTATGTTTAGTGACCACCATAATCAGAAACTTACAGAAAATAAGACATACTGCTAGCTTACAAAAAACAGGAACCTCAATGCCAAATAGTCATAACTTATTTATTCTTTTACTTACCAAGGCTTTAATTTTATTTTTTAATCCTTTTTTTTTAATTTTATATAAAAAAAATTTAATGTTTGTTTGTTTATTTTTATTCATAAAAAAAATTTAAATATGTATCATTAGTAATAAATGACTAATAAAATTTACATTATATCATTAAAATTTATTTTTAATTTTAGCTGTTTATTCCTTGTGGCCCAATGGCAAGGCGTTCGCCTACGATTATTGAGTTGCAAAGCGAAAGATTCCAGGTTCGACCCCTGGCAGGGAAGACGATATTTTTTCATTTTTTCTAAAGAGAATATAATAATAAAAGAAGTAAATTTTTGTGAAAATCTTTTAATTTTTTTAAAATAAATTTCATTAAAATAAACTAACTAAGGGTAAACATGTCTCTGTAGATAAAAATTTGATGAAATATTTTTGATTTGATAAACAAGGCATTGATGTATAATAGTTAAGATTAGTATTATTCTTTGAACTAAAATACCGTAATAGTAGCTCTCTCATTGGAATCTTTTAAAAGACATATCAGTAAAAAAACAGCCAGCTTTAAAGATCGCATTTAAAAATACATGAATATGGCACTTTTTTGAATACAGAACCTCTTAACTATTGATCTATGAGATTGTTAAAAATTGTCAAAATTATGCTGCCGTATTTAGAAAATTATGAGATGGGATTTTAGAAAGCCTTAATTTCCTTTTTTTTTTTTGGCATTAATGTAAGCATCTTGTTTTAATCCAACCTCAAAAAATTATAGTATTAATTGCTCGCATATGTAAGCAACGTATTGAAACCAGGTTGTAATATCTAGAAGTAATCATTAATAATAAACATTGACATTTAGTATTCTCATCTTGTGCTCAAATATTTCTCATAGAAACAAATATCAACATCTTGAAATCAGAATGTCATAATTTCCTATATTATTCACAGTTGCAGTTAGTTTTTTATTTCAGAATCTTCAATAATAATTTCATAATTAGGTTAATTTAATAAATATCATGATAATCTGCTAATTACTGTATTTGCATAGAAAAACTTTTAACCCAAAATCTGACAGATACATCCAAGCATTTTTTAAAAAAAAAATTAAAAAAAAATTAAAATAAATTAAAATTAAAATTATTACATTCTAAAAAACTGTTCTACTACTAAACTTATTTTCTTTATCTTTTTCTTTTTTTTATTGGATTATATCTAAAAGTCCTTCAATTTCAAGAGTCAATGGATCACTTTCAGCTCCAATTTCATTATTATGATTTTCTCCATTTTCGTCATCAGAAACTGCAGAAAAGTCAATCAAAGAATCACTCAAAATTTCATTTCGATTAAAGTTCATTTGATGCATTTGAAATACTTGAGGAGTGGTAGATCCAGCATTTTCAATATGTGAAGCCTGTGAATTTAAAGAAAACTGATTATTGAAAACACCAGATGACTGGTTCTCGCCTAATGGCTGAGTCCCAAAGTGTATAAAAACAGGTTGTTCATTCAAAGAGTTCCATGATTCACGAGATCTTGAAATTGGAGGACTATCGTCTGGCAAAACAGTTTGTGCGTTAGAGCTCTGAGAAACTTGAGCTGGAGAACTTTCTTCGGGGACAATAGTTTGTGAATTGGAACCATCAGAACTGGAATTTCGACTTGTGGTTTCTTGCTGGTTTGGAAGTTCTTGATTTTGAACTTGTGTGTCATTTTGAACCTGAGATTGCTCCTGCTCTTGCTGCTGCTGCTGCTGCTGCTGCTGCAACAGTCTTAGTTGATCTTGTTTTTCTTTTTCAATACGAAGACGCTCATGCAATATTTTCTGATGTTGTTCGTAAAACTGGAACTGAGGCTCTATTTGTGGTAGTTGACGTCCTGAGCGTCGTGCCCGCTGCTGCTGCTGCTGTTGTTGTTGTTTTTGCTTTTGTTTCTGCTTTTGCTTTTGCTGTTGTAAATGGAGCTTTGCTTGTGATTGATTTTGGCTTTTTGACTGCTTCTGCACTTGTGACTTTTCCTGTTGTTGTTGCTGCTGTTGGATCTGCTGTCCCTTTTCCTTTTGAGGTTGTTGCTGTTGCTGTTGCTGTTGCTGTGACGGTTGGTTTTGAGCATGCAACGTTTGATTTTCTTGCTGTGCCTTCTCATGCGCTTTATTACGTATTAGCTGTAACAATTCAATACATTCCGCTTCTGTAGCCTGGCATTGAGCTTCTGCCTTTTGAAGTAAAAGCTTCTGTTGAGCCTCATATACTTTGATTTTGTTTTGTAACTGGTGTCGCTTGACGTAAAGCTCTGACTTATCGCCATTAGTATTATTAATTTGAATTGAAACTTGAGCTTCCGTAAGCATAGTTTTTATTAAATTTTCAAAAACTCTCAAAGCGGTATTTAACTGGGAACACATTATGTTAGCTTTTCTCCCTCCTTCAGGATACAGAAACGACGTAATATCAGTGAATGGGACAGGAGTATCCAACTGCTCTTTAAGAATCTGGCGGATTCTTTTATTAAGAAATGACTTCAATTCCGAAGAAAGTGGAAGTTCTGAAAGAGGAATTACAGGCAAACCCAATTTTTTTTTTGCAGGTGGCTGTGATTGAACTTGTTGTTGCGGAGAAGACTGTGATTGAACTTGTTGTTGCGAAGAAGGCTGTGATTGAACTTGTTGTTGAGGAGAAGAATGTGGAGAAGGCTGTGGGGAAATTGGTTGTGTTTCCTGAGCAAGCTGTTGAGAGATTTGTTGAGGAGTTGGCTGAACAAACTGGTGAATGGGTTGCTGAAGTACTTGCTGGAAGGGCTGCGGAACAAGCGGTTGTTGCTGAGATTGCAACATCTGCTCTTGATCTTTGTGCTGTTGCAAAAGATGTTGTGCATGGATTCTCTGCTGCTGAATCATCAAAGCTTGGACTCTCTGTTGTTGAATTATAAAAGCCTGAGCAGTTTGCTGATCCATTTCTTGTTTTTTCTGCTCTGCTAATTGATGCCTTGGTTCACGATTCTGTGGTGATTGTCTAGTTATAGACTGTTGTTGTTGTTGCAGCAAAAGCTGTTGCTGATAAGACATTTCTATTTGCATCAACATTTGCGGTTGAGGAACAGACGTTTGAGAAGAATGTTGAGCTAAGAAATAAGATTGTGCTAATGCCTGAGATTGAGCCTGAGCTTGTGCTAAGACTTGGGCCTGGGCTTGAGCTTGGGCCTGGGCTTGGGCTTGGGCCTGTGCTTGAGCTTGAGCTTGGGCTTGGGCACTTGCACTAGCAATGGCAAATGCATTGCGCTGAAGAAGACGAGTTTGTCTTTCCTTTTCTTGTCGTTGTCTTTCAAGTTGGGCCTGGACTTGAGTTTGCTTTTGAAGCAAAAGCTGTGCCTGTTGCTGTTCATAAATACGAGCTTGAGCTTGCTGTTGCTGCAGTTCCCGTGGCGACTTTTTCCGTCCAGGTGGAGGTGGTGTTCCATTTGGTGCTTTATTAGATGACTGCTTTGGGACAGGTTGTGTGTGTATTGCTTGAGTCTGTACATCTTTTTGTTGTTGTTGCTGGTTTAATTGAGTTGCTTGTTGTTGTGTCATAAATTGCTGGGCAAAAACAGCTTGTTGTATTAAGGTAGCTTGTGTGGGTGTTGGCACAACAGGAGAAGTGTTTGGTGTTGACATTTCCGAACATGTTTGAACAATAGAAAGTGGAGATGGAACATGCTCCTTGCGTTTTTTAATATGCACCGTGGTTTTAGTCACCTTGGAATTGTTAACCTTGGGTTTAACAACAACTGTTTTCTCAAGCCGACCACAGCAGGGCTTAGATTCCTTTATGTCTGAGAGTGGAAACTCTGGTTGTGAAGGGGAAATGACCAAAGAAATTTGCTTAGAACCGGATTCAGATACAATGTTTGTGTTAGGTGAAAGATCATGTTTGTTAATCGGTGTAGATGTAGCATTAGGCTCGTCCCGAGAGGTATTTAAGTATGCAGAGGGAAAGAAAATTTGGCTAGGAGAACTCATTTTAGGTGCGTCCTCAACTTTTTTAGGTTCAATGGGGGCAGGATATGGAGAAGCAACAGAACTAGAAGCGGAGGTATTTTGAGGGATGGCAGGAATTATGAGTTCAGGTGTTTTAATAGGAGCAGGGATAACAGTTGGAGGAACAATGGGAACAATTGGAACAATAGGAGCAGCAGGAGGAGAAACAGTGGTATGTTCACAAGTCTTTTTAGCCGACTCTTCTTTTTCTTCTTCTTCTTCCTCCAAAAATAAAGAGCTTAGCTCGCCGTAATCCTCGTCGTCTTTAATACTTGTGTCTACCGTTGAATTTACCGTTGGATCAATGATAGATTTTTGTGTAGTACTAGAAGATGGGGAGATTTTTTGTAGCTGAACAACTTGGGGAGAGAGTTGTTTTTTTATGGAAGGAGAATTTAACAAAGATGGGGAAAAATTGAGTTTAAAAGTAGTAGAAGAAGAATAAGAAGAAGAAGATTCATCTACTTTTTGTTGTTGTAGGGTTGTAGAAGAAACAACATTATTTGTTAGCATGGGTTGTTCTTCATCTATCCCAAGCATATGCAGTTGTTGTGGTTGCGGTTGTGGGGTAGCAAACAAATCTAATGGAGAAGCAGAAATTATTTTCTTATTACCCAAAGAGTCGAAGGGACTTTTATCAAAACTATTCTTCAATATATTTGAATTTGGAGGGGTTGTAGATATACTACTATTCCCACTTATTGGGGTTGTTTCATTAGTGGGAGGTGTAACCTGATAATCAATAGACTTGTCCTTTTTATGGGACAATGGAGGATGTGAAGAAGAATTTTCATTAGGTTTATCTTTGGGAGGCCTTAGAGGGGATATGGCAGATTCATGACTAATTGTAGAAGGATCAGGATCAGGAAAGCTATATATCTGAGAATCCAACATATTAGAGGCTTCAAGGAAACCAATAGGGGCAAAGTTGTTATTGTAAAAAAGAGAGTTAAATTTATTATTCCCTTGATTTTCAGAAGTTTGGTGACTTTCTTTATAAGTTTTTTCAAAAACAAAGCCCATCATTAAAGATTGATAAGATAAAAGAGAGAGAAAGAGAGAAAGAAAAGGGGAAATATGAAAAAAATATAAAAAAAAATTAAAAGAAATACTAGCTAGTATTTCTTTTAACTTATAAATTAATAGTAACCAAGATAATAATCAATATAAATGTTTGATATGGAACAAAAAGGAAAAGAAAAAAAAAAGATAAAAACTAGGGAAAACTCTCCCCATTTATAGGTCCATCTTATTCAAATTCCTTGAATTCTTAGGACACTCAGTAATACCCAATTTTTTCCCTTAGTTTTTTTAAAAAAAAAAAAAAAAAAAAGAATTTGTTGAGAAAAAAAAATTTTAGAGTGAATCTATTTATTTGAACTGCATGTTATTCCAAAAATGGCATGGAAGTTACAATTGAAAAAGAGTTGACATTGAATTGTAAAAAAAAAAAAAAATTGTGTGTGTGTGTCAAAATATATATATATATTTTTTTTTATCAAAAGTTGAAAAAAAAAAAATTGATTTAATAACATTTTAATGCAAACGTGAAAACGATGCAAAGGATAGCAAAAAATCTGATTATAATGTTAATGAAAAAAAAAAAAAAGTCTTTCTTGCTCTTGAATTTAAGTAAAATATTTGAGCAAACAAATAAACAAAAAAATATCAATAATAATGAATAAAAAAAAAAGAGAGAGAGATAGAAAAAGGCAGATGAGCTGAATGGAAATGATGAGAAGTTGAGGAAATATCAAATTATTATCATTGTAAGATGATCTATAAGAGAAGGTAAAAATATGGGTTACAGCCCTGTTTTTTTTTATCTACATTTTTCGGAACCACTTTAGATATTTCTAAACCATAATTCCAATATATATTTCTCTATTTCTTAAGTTTAGTACTTGTTAAATTTTAATTTTATTTTATAAAAAAAATAAATTAATGAATTCATTCGAATATATTTGTTTTCTTTTTTCTCTCTTTTAACCTTCATTTGAATTTAAAAGTCTCTGCAAATGTAGTAACATGTTTCTGAGATTACAGAAAAATTTATAAGTGTCCTAGTATTTTAATCATGAGTTTAAACAGAGGATAAGTTATATTTAGCATTCATTCATTTACAAGTCGTTTAATCACAGGTAGTTTTTTTTTTTTTTTTTTTTTTTTTTTTTTTTTCTTTCTCAATAATGGATCTATCTTGTTGAGGGAGGAAAAAAAAAAAAAAGGTCAATTAAAGCAAATTTACAAGTAACATTTCTATAAGGAACTTCTTTCTCCCCCTGTCATCAGATTTACAAAAAAATAAAAGGCCATTCAATATATAAAAAAAAATTTAATAAATTGATAGATAATAACTAGAATTTTTTTTTATTTTCTATCTTTCTTTTCAAGTTATTTTTTTTTTTTTTTTTCAAACTTAATCGGACAAATCACCATATAAGTTTATATATATATATATATATATATATATATATATACTTGAATAAATTCAGACACCTTTTCTAGAGTTTTATTTTTCTCAAATTAATTAAAAAAAAACATAGAAAAAATTAATAATAATAAAAAAAAAAACTCTTCTTCTTATTTTCCTTACTTTTTTAATGCAAATATAGTCAATTCAATAAAAAAAAAAAAAGACATTGTTGAAATGCTCTTTTTATATGTTTGATAATTTTTTTTTATAAATTTGACATCCGATCGCAGAAAGTACTCGCGTTTTTATTTTTTTATTTTTTTATTTTTTTTTTTTGCCGAATGAGAAAACTCAAGAAGGGAAATTCGCCATTGAATGAAGTCCCCTCTCTCCTCCTCCCCTCCAAATTTTAACAAAAATTAACAAAAATTAACAAAAATTAACAAAAATTAAATAAAAAAAAAAAAAGATCTTAAAACAAAAAAACATAGAAATCATCAATTATGGTTGAGTATTGTGCTTATAGATATTTATAAAATATTATCATTATCTTTTGTCAAAAGTTAAATTTTAAGTTGTTTATATAAAGTATATAGTTTATAAACTATATACTTTTTTGCGCCGCACATATTCATCGTTAACTGTTTTTGAGCTAGAGAGAGTGGAAAAAAAAAAAATTAAAATTAAAGAAATAAACAACAATCTAGATAGAAAACGAATTTTTTTTTTTTTTTTTTTTTTTCAAAGTCTAACTAAAAAACTCTAATTCAGGGCATCAAGACGGACCTTGACTGCATTCTTATGACCATCAAGGCCTTCGACAGCAGCAACTGTCATGACAGCAGGACCAATAGCCTTAAGACCTTCCTCCGTCAGTTCCTGGCTGGTGATATGCTTCATAAAAGTACCAGTGTTAACACCCGAGTACATCTTGGCGTAGCCGTAAGTAGGAAGTGTGTGGTTAGTGCCTGAAGAGTAATCACCGCAAGATTCTGGAGAGTAAGGACCCAAAAATACAGAACCAGCGTGCTCAACTTGCTTGACCCATTTGGTGCTGGCGTCAGCAATTTGAAGAATCAAGTGCTCAGGTGCATATTGGTTACTGAGAGCCATGGCCTGTTCGTGAGTCTTGACGCGCAATGTAGTGGAGTGAGCAATGGATCCCCGGACAATATCGACACGTGGAAGCGCCAGCGCCTGCTTCTCGAGCTCTTCGTCAATGGCCTCAAGCTCAGCATCAGTAAGATCGACTGCCAGCAAAATGACTTGTGAGTCGACACCGTGTTCGGCCTGGGACAACAAATCGGAGGCAACAAATGCAGGGTTGGCAGTCTTGTCAGCTACAACAAGGACCTCAGAGGGGCCAGCAGGCATATCGATGGAGACAAGAGCACGGGTATCATTTTGGACATGCATCTTAGCAGCAGTAACAAACTGGTTACCAGGGCCCATAATCTTGTCGACCTTGGGGACTGATTCAGTACCGTAGGCCATAGCGGCAACAGCCTGAGCACCACCAGCAAGCACAATCTTTTTGGCACCGACCTTGTGGGCGACATAAACGATTTCAGGAGTGATGGTACCGTCACGGCGAGGAGGGGATGCAAAGATAATATTTTTGCAGCCTGCAACCTTTGCAGGAACACCAAGCATGAGTGCGGTAGATGGCAAGACGGCAGTACCACCTGGGATGTAAAGACCGACAGACTCGATAGGTCTAGCGAAACGCGAGCAAATGACACCAGGTACTGTTTCAACACGGAGTTCGGACTCATCGAGTTGAGCAGCGTGGAACTTTTCAACGTTAGAAATACTGAGATCAAGAGCATCCTTGACATCCTGGGGGAGTTTCATAAGTTCATCAGAGAAAGGGGCATTAATGACAGGAGTTTTGAGCTCAACTTTTTCAAACTTGGCGGCATATTCGAGAAGAGCCTTGTCACCATTGTCAATGACATTGTTGATAATGGGCAGAACGAGTTTCATAATGTCGGAAGTTTTTTGAACAGGACGAGTAAGGACCTTTTCAATTTCTTCAGGAGAAGAAGAGGAAGCATCAATGCAGTTCATCTTGATACGAGCGGGTTGTTCAGGGGCAGCAGCAGCAGGAGCAGCAGCAGCAGGAGCAGCAGCAGAATCCTGTGACTTTGTAAGTTCATCAACCTGCTTAACGTACTTTGGTTTTGCGTCACCTCTTCTTCTTGAAATTTTGTAACTCTTAGAATCCAGATTGTTCATAACATCAGCGACAGAAACACCCTCCTTAACTACCTTGGCAAATGCAAAGTAAAGGAGATCGGCAGCTTCCCAGGAAACTTCATCTTTAGTTTTCGCAGTAGCAAGCTCTTCGGCTTCTTCGAGAATCTTGGCTGTCAGTAGTTTCTCATCATTGAACAGACGCTTGGTGTAGGAACCCTCGGGTGCAGAAGCGATGCGAGCACGTAGGGTTTGTTCGAGAGACAGAAGTCCACGGTAGGCACCGAAGCAAGATGCAGTATTGTTGTGGCAGAATCCGGGGCCCTGTTGAGAAACGGTGACTTTAAGACAATCGCCATCACAATCGAGGCCCATGGAAAGAAGAGTTTGGGTGGCACCAGAAGTTGCACCCTTGTACCAGAGGCCGTGACGGCGAGACTGGTAGACGCCAGTGTTAGTGCGAAGAGCTTCCTTGACTGATTCTGGGGAAGAGTAGACAAGACCCAAAGCAGTTTGATTTTCGTCAAGAACAAGGGTAGTGAAAAGACCATCTGGACGGTCAGAAGAAAGAGCAGTTAGAATGAATTCTGCCACGGGGAGTTTATCTTGGATCTTATCGGCAGCGTGTTCGCGGGTCAGCTTGGCTGCAGACACAATGGGGGTTGCCGAAGCAGCAACAATAGCGGTAGCATCCTTGAGAGCGATGGAGTCTGGGAGAGAGACATAAAGGTGTTTAGCACCACCAGTTTCTGGAATAAGTTTTTTGGCAAGGTCTTTTGCGGCAGAAAGAATAGAAGAAGAAGAAGAAGAAGAAGAAGAAGAAGTGTCTGTGACCACGAAGCCAGAAACATCTTGGTCATTGGTAGAAGCTGGGGCAGCAGCGAGGATACGGAGAGGACTAACGCCTGCAGAGACGAGATCGGCGGCAAGGTTAGGAGTCACAATGACACGGTAAACACCTGCATCTAGGAGTTTAATTGCGGAATCAACGGATTCTTCTAGGGTTGAGATGTCGACGTAAAATTCGAGGGTTCCGAAGTTTGTTTTGATGTAGGTGGATACTTTAGAGAGATCATCTGTTGGAGTGAGAGTGATAAGAAGCTGGCCAATAGGTTTTGCAAGAGCCTGAGCACTGCTTATTTCGGCAAAGGAGGTCTTTGGCAGCAGTGGGAATGACATTATTTTGGTGAATGAAAATGGTAAGATGGAAGATTATGTTGTATGATTGTATGGTTTGAAAGAAAGAAAGAAAGAAAGAAAAGTATTTTTTTTTTTTAGTGAGAGATCAAAATGGTGATTTAATTTAATGGCGGGTTGGCAGTGGTGAAAAAAAAAAAAAAAAAAAAAAAAAAAAACTTTTTTTTTCAAAAGAGTCATCATAAAGAAATAAAAAAAAAAAGCTCATCAAAGCTATGCGGTAATCAATTTATTTATATTTATATATAAGAAAGTGTTAAAAGGGTAGGAAATTTAAAAAAAAAAAAAAAAAAAAAGTTACCCGGATTGGTTGAGAGAGAGGAGGGATGAGTTTTGAAAGAGCGTGCGGCTCATGGCTGAGCTTTAAGCTGTACAGTTAAAAATAAATAAATAAATAAATAAATAAAAAAAAAAAAATGATATTAAGAATACAAATATATAATAATAATAATAATAATAATAATAATAATAATAATAATAATAATAATAATAATGATAATAATAATAATAATAATAATAATAATAATAAAGTAAAATAAAATAAAATAAAATAAAAAGATGATAATAATAAAAATAAACTCCTTTTTTTTTTTTTTTTTTTTTTCATTATTCCTACGTCATGGTTTATTTAACGCAGACGAGGCTTTTTGTGAGCTATTAGAGTCTGTTGGTTGGGTTAGTCCAGGTGGGAATTAACATCAAGTCATCACTTACCTTTAGTTTCTTCATCTTCTTGTTCTTCTTCTTGTTCTTCTTCTTCTTCTTCAACGTCTTCTTCTTGTTCTTCTTCATCTTCTTCTTCCACTTCATCACCATCATACTCATTTCCATTCTCATCCTCCTCTTCACTAGCCATCGAGCCTTGATCATCTTCACCAGCTTGAGAGTCCTCTGACTCGTACCAAAAATCATCGTCAACAACATCCTCCTGGGCGTCATGACGGCTTTTGGAAGCAACGTAAGCAGATTTAAGTGTAGAAGGCATAACAAAGCCCTTAGGGATATTAACTTTGGACCGCTCAACCTCTTCACGTACCCGTTGCTTAAACTCCTCTGGGTTTTTTGTATAGGCTACGCTGGCATCCACATTTGCTGGAGAGTTAATATTAGGGTCTGAAAGTAGTGATACAATCGATACAAGTACACTTTCAACAGTTTGAACAGGAGACCAAGTCTCACCATCTGGTTCACCGCTAGTTACGTCACCAGACTTGTGAAGAATCGAGATACAGAGCCGGCCGTCTCGGTAAACATTTGGATGGAAAATAGGTGGAATGAATTTAAATGTTGGTGGGCTATAAGGGTAATCTGATGGAAATATCATTCGGGCCTTGGTGAAAAAAAAAAAAATAAATAAATAAATAAATAAAGAAAGAAAGAAGGAGGAGGAAGTTGTTAATAAGGAATAAGTTTTGGTTGACTATTGTTGTTGGACTTACTTTAAAGTAACCGCCGTTGTATGGGGAATCTTCTGCAAGAACCATGACGCCGATATTCCTAAAATAGAAAGGTTAGAAAGGTTAGAAAGGTAGGGAATAATGTGTGAAAATAGATATTATTAATGCTTTATATATATAAATATTTGGAGGAGGTTTTTTTTTTTTTTTAAGTAGTGATGAATATATAATATAATACATACCAGTGATAAATGTCATCATTTTGCAGAGTAATGTGGAAAGATGGTACACAAGTTTTAGGATCAGTAAGCTCCTTGTATTGTTTCATGAGAATGGCAGCCGATGCCATAGGAGTTGAACTTCTACTCATGGTTTTTTTTTTTTTTTTTTTAAAATAATGATGATGATGATAATAATAATATATATATAAATATAAATGGTATTTTTTATGCTGAAATGGTATATATATATATTTAGTTGATTATGATAGTCCTTTCTGTTCTTAGTAAGACAAAGGAGATGCAAAAACTAAAACGAGACCTTGTAGGGACAAAAAAAAAAAAAAAAAAAAAAAAAGAAAGCTTCCGAGAGATATCTTTAATATATTATAATTTAAATATATTTGAATATTTAAGTTGTTGTTTTTTTCTTTAAAAATCAAAATGAATGTAATTTAATGAATTTTGATAAAAAAACAAAAAAAAGTTGAAACAGAAAGAAAGAAAGAAAAGAAAAAAGAAAAAAAAAAAAATTTCGGAGGGTTTTTTTTTTTTTTTTTTTTTTTTTTTTTTTTAGATTTTTGTATTTTTGTATTTTTGTATTATTTTTTTTGGATGGTTGTGGTGATGGCAAGAAAAAAAAAAAAAAAAAAAGGAAAGGAAAGGAAAGGAAAGGAAAGGAAGAAAAAAAAAAAAAAAAAAAAGCGCTAAGAAAAGGAAATTTAAATTTAAATAAAAAGTTAAATTAATTAAATTAATTAAATTTAAATTAACTCATTTTAGATTAAGTAATAGTAGATATATAATTATATGTACGGCTTATCACATGATATTATTATTAATAATGATGACACATAATCACGTAAATTATGAACTGCCCACTTTTTTTGTTTTTTTGTTTTTTTGTTTTTTTTGTTTTTTTCTGCGGGGAAAAAAAAAAAAAAATATATTTTTTCCTGCCTGTTTTTCTTTCTCCACTTCATTCACTTCATCCATCTAAGCAAACAGCAAACTTCCCCTTAAATTATTAAAAAAAAAAAAAAATACTCAAAAATACTCAAAAATACTCCTTTTTTTCCACCCCATCTATTATCTATAAAAATATATATATATATATATATCTTTACAATGTCTTCTTCTTCTCCATCTTCTCCATCTTCTTCCTCCTCTTCCTCATCAAATTCAATACAAAAACGTCCTAGAGTGGAACCTTCTGATATGCCGGCTTGGGCAAACGCATTCTCAGGAGCTATTGGCGGTGCTGTTGCAGGACTACTTGTATTCCCCATTGATTTAGTAACTACCCGTCTTCAAGTTCAAGATAAACTTAACCTTCAATCAGCTCTTGTTTCTTCATCAAAGTCATCATCGACTCAAGAACAAGAATTTCTGGGAAATGATGGGAAAAATTCTAAAAAACAATTAGCTACAAAGTCTTCTTCTTCTTCTTCTTCTGTTGCCACCACCACCACCACCACTACTGGACCAGAACCATATAAAGGTGTATGGGATGCAATTTGTCGTATTTATCATGATGAAGGTGTTCTTGCATTCTATGATGGAGCAGTTCAAGATACCCTTTCAACAATGATTTCTGCCTTTTTCTACTTTTACGCATACGACATTTTACGTACCGCACGAGTACGACATGCATCCAAACAAGCTGCCAAACGAGCTGCTGCTTTAAGATTAAAATCGCAAGGTGTTGAAGGAGTAAATACAAGGGTAGTTACAGTAACAAAAAGAACAAATGTACCTGCTACACTTGGGGTTATAGAAGAATTGGCTATTGGATCACTTGCTGGAATTTTTTGCAAATTTTTTACAGCACCACTTAACAATATAGTAACTCGTCAACAAACTGCAGCTCTTACTGCTGCTACTTCAAAATCTTGTTTTTCCAAATCTACAATTGATGTGGGACATACACAAGCACGACACGTTTCTGCAGCACGTGTTGCTCGCGACATTTACAATGAGCGTGGGATTTGGGGGTTTTGGACAGGATTTAGAGCTACAATTTTACTTAGTGTAAATCCATCATTGACTTATTATTTTTTCCAATTACTTAAAGTACTTTTTATTAGAGGTGAGCGTGGAATGACAAGGGCACAACGTCAACGACGACGAGATAATCCTACTTCAGCAGAACTTTTTTTCTTTTCAGCATCTGCTAAAACTTTGGCAAGTTTAATTACATATCCACTTATTTTGATTAAAACACAAATGCAAGTACGCCGTGAAAGTAATGGTCCAGCATTGGGAGCTACCTTGATAGATATTGTTAAAACAAAAGGTGTACGATACTTGTATCAAGGAGCCATGGGCCAAATTTTAAAGGGATTTTTTAGTCAAGGCATTACAATGTTAACCAAGGATCAAATTGCAAGAACAATTATTTACTTGTACTTTGTGTTGCACAAGTTGAAGAAAGGATATTAAGATATCTTCTATTAATAATTGTCAAGGTATTAAGTATAGTTAAAAGAGAGAATTTAACATTAAAAAAATTAAAAAAAAAAAAATTAAAAATTAAAAATTATAAATTATAAAGTAATAAATAAGATAAATTAAGTCAAAAAAAAAAAAAAAAAAAAAAAAAAAAAAAAAGAGTTAGTAAATAAATCTTCAATTTCTTATCGTGTTCATCACTTGTAGTGAAGGTGGTAGTGGTGGTGGTGGTGGTGGTAGTAATAATAATAATAATAATGACATATCAATGCGTAGGGGGGGGAAGACTAATGGGTGTTATAAAGTTTAAAATCACGTGATTTAATAAATTGAAAAGTCAACCTTCTCATTAAATCACGTGACTTCATTTACAACCAAAAGTCATCATCATCATCTTCATCATCTTCATCATCTTCATCATCTTCATCATCTTCATCATCTTCATCATCATCCACAATTCCTTGATTCTTCTTCTTCTTCTTCATCTTCTTCTTTTCATGACAATGACGATGATTACAACGACAAATAGAATTCAAATCAAAATCATCCGCTGCAACTTTGCGTTCCATCATAGCCATAAAAAGTGTATTTTTAACTTGAGACTTCTTTTCAGCCCAAAATTCAGACTTTTTGCGACGACGTTCTTGCTTCATCAATCTAAACTTTTCAACCATAAATGATAATAAAAAAGCTTTAAATATAATAATAATAATAATAATAATAATGTATAAAGTTAAAAAGAAAAAGAAAAATAAAAATAAACACACACAAAAAAAAAAAAAATGAATGAAAAGAGTTAGACAAAAAAAAAAAAAAAAAAAAAAAAATCATCACAAGAGCTTTATCTATAGAGAACTTTTCTTCATTCTCTCTCTAAAAAAAAAATCATTTCAAAAAAAGAAAAATCACCTCCTCTTCCTCCTTTCCTTCCTCTTCCTTTTCCTCTTCCTTCATCAAACAAAAAAAAAAACTCAATAAAACTCATGTGGAGCCTGTTTAAACTCACCCAGGCCATGTCCGCTAGGCGGCTTCACTGGTAAATCATGATTATGTCGGTTATTTCCACGACGAACATTTCTACTAGCATCCAACAACTTCTTCATATCTTCTGCAGTTTGTGTACGTTGCATTGTAGCCTTTCGATTGGCTCCATTATCTCGTGCAGCCATTTCTTGTGCTGCAGAAAGCATTCCAGAAGTTGAAGAAGGTCCTGCAGATACAACAGTAGCACCAGCATAAATTCCACCATCTTCAGAATTTCCATCCTCCAAGGGACAACTCAAAAGAGCATCTTGAGGCTCAGGATCAACACAAGTCATAATCTTGCGCATACAAGGCATAGCCAAAATGGCCCGAGCTGAAGGTCGCTTCTCAGGAAAAGGTAAAAGCATTTGTGCCAACATACGCTTAATACCTTCACCAGCAGAGTTTACCATAAACAAAGGTTGTTCTTCATTAGTTTGTGAATGGTAAAATGACAAATCATAACGAGGCACACGAGGACGACGCTTATGTTCAGCAATAAAGGCATCAACAGCTTCAACTTTAGGAGGTGCAGGTGCAGGAGTAGGCTCAAACTTATCAGCTTGGCCTTCTGCAGTAAACTTTTCCTTGCGCTCCTTATCCTTCTTCAAACGATCATGCTCTTCAACTTCAACATCCCACTCATCAATCTCCTCTATAACATCCCTCAAATTATCAACCAATTCTTCAAGACGCAAAATATTAGCCAGTCCAGACTTTTGTGGGCCTTGTAATTGCTCATTTGCAGCAGCATCAATAGCCAAAATTTCCTCCGTAGTAGATTCATCCATACCCTTGTATCCATTATAAATAGGTAAAATGGAAATAACATTCATATAAGCAGAGTCCAACTCTTGAATCCAGTAATTGTAAATTTCACGCGAAAACTTTTTAAACAAATTATCCTTATGAAAGTCAGCAACCCCCCAAAGGTTGAAACCATAAAAAATGTTAAAAAAGGTAACAGCGCAAGCCCAAATATCAACCTTGCGAGCATCATAATGTCCATCACCTTTACCCTCCTCCTTAAGTTTACGACGAGAATGAATCTCAGGAGCCATATAAAACTCAGAACCACAAAGACCAGAAGCCAGCTTAACTGTAGCATCAGCCACAGCTTCATCTTCAGGAGCTGGGTTACCATCATAAAGATAAACAGAAACACCAAAGTCAGAAATCTTTAATTCTCCACGAGCACTGATAAGCAAATTTTCAGGCTTAATATCACGGTGAGCAATACCTCTAGAGTGAATATAATTGATACCATAAAGTAGCTGCTTAAAAAGACAAGCACGTTGTTCTCTAGACATGCGCTTCTTATACTTGCGAGTCAATTCCAGCAGAGAGTGAAGGTCACCATTTTCACAATATTCCAAAATAGTGCACCAGGCGCCTTTAGAATCCACCATCAAATCAAAAGCGTGAACAACATTCATGTGTTGGAGATTGCGCATAATTACATACTCATCAGCAAATGTTTCATAATATTCGCGAACTGTTTCTGCAGATTTAGGGGGTCGCTTCTTGTAAACTTTGCAAGCATACGTCTCCTTTTCTTTAGAGCCTGGGATAAGGCTTGGTCCAGTAACAACAATAACAGTAGCAGTGGCACCATCACCAAGAGTCTTCTTTTTAAGTTTACCAAAAGAATACTTGTGACCCAAGTGCCAGTCCTTAACGAGAAGATGGGAAGGAAGATAATCAGCAGGATTTTCCTTTTCATGACCTGGAGATGGAGGTCTAGAGGAAGAGACTGAAGAAAAGGAAGATTGACGTGAAGGTTGGCGAGAGTTTTGACGAGATGGGGGGGTACTACCTGCAGGGGTTGGAACATTCGAGTCACTAGAATCTGAGCCAGAGCGGTGTTTAGTAAAACGAGAAGTCAAGCGGGATACACTAAAGGATCGTGATGAAGGGACAGGTTGGGGACGTTGGTTTGCAGCATAAGATTGCATAGTGTTTGCTCGATTAAGCTCAGCAGCAGTAGCCACTCCAGTTTCAGCACCAAAAGACATGGCAATATTATTAGCTGGGGTTGCAGTAGGGCCAGAAGCTTTTGGTTTACGTTGAGTTGCAGCAGAAGAAGAAGCCGAGACAACAGCAGCAGCACCGGCACCGGCACCGGCAGAGTTTGGTCTACCAGTGGATGTAGCAGTTGTATTTCTTCTAAAGAGACTAGAATGTTTAGTTCCATGGGCAGAAGGAGGAGAAGTAGCATTAGTAGCAGTAGTAGCATTGGCATTATTATTAACATTTGCAGCGATAGCAGCGGCTGAATCAGCAGTGGCAGCAGCCGAGGAGGACGAATGGGGCCTCGTGCCTGGAAAATGGTTTTGTTGTGATTGTTGTTGAGAAGCAGCTAGAGTGGCTGCTTGGGGAGCAGCAGGTGCAGACAATTTTCTAGAAGAGTTGTGGTGCGATTCGGCCGCGCCATTGGTTCCAGATAAGCTTTGGCCATGATTAGAACCCCTGTGTATAAGTTTTGAGAGTCTTGAATAGGAAGAACTATTAGAAGATGGGGATAATGGTGGTGTATGATGGTTTGAAGACAAATTATTAGAGCCATGGCCTGTAATTGTGACAGAGGCAGAGGTAGCAGAGCCAATGGAAGAGGTAGAAGAAGCTGAAGAGGTTCGAGAGATTGGTGAAGGGGCAGCAGAAGTTGAGTGTGGGGAAATTGGGCCAGCAGTAGAAGACTCAATGGTATTAAAGGAAGGTTTACGAGATGAAAGAGGAGAGACACCACCAGATGATGATAATGATGATGATTGAACAACGGGAGCAGCTACAGAGGTATTGACACCAAGGGGGACAGCTGGGATTTCAGAAGAGAGGGCAGAAGATGGGCTGAGTTGGTAAGGGCCTGGAGCTCTAGCCATTGCAGCAGCAGAAGGAGGGGGGTTTGCAATGGAAATGGCAGCCACTTGAGAGGAAAGGCTAGTTGTTGTTGGAGGAGAAGAAGAAGAAGAAGAAGAAGAAGAAGAAGAATATTGTTCTTCATTAGAAGGTTCTTCTTCATGGATTGTATCAACCGAAGTCATTGGAAGAATAGGTCGGTCAGGCATTATTTGAAAGATAGTGGTGGTGGTGGTGGTGGTGGTGGTAGTGATAGAAGAAAAAAAAAAAAAAAAAAAAAAAAAAAGAAAGAGAGAAAAAGAGAGAGAGAGAGTGTGTGTGTATGTGTGAGAGTGATTGAGTGAATGAGTGAATGAATGAGAATGGACTTAAATAATAAATAATAAATATAATAAATATAATAAATATAAAATAAATAAATAAAAAAAAAAAAAATGATGATGATGAATATATATATATATATATTATATATTGAAAAAATATATATATATTAGGTAATATAAGTTTGTGTGATTAGGTAAGAAAGTAGAAAAAAAATGTGGTGTGTCTTTTTTTTTTTTTTTATTATTTATTTTTTTTTATTTTTTTATTTTTTTTATTGCTAAAGTAGGAAATGGACTTTATATTGTTAAAAAATTAATCCACTATCGAATAATTAAAAATTTTAAAGAAAAAAAAATTAAAAAATAAAAAAAAAAATTAAAAAATTAAAAAATTTAAAAAATTTAAAAAAAAATAAAAAAAAAAGGGCGGCTTTGGTGGCCTTTTTAAATACCAAGAAAATAAAAAAATAAAAAAATAAAAAAATAAAAAATTAAAAAATTAAAAAATTAAAAAATTAAAAATAAGCAGCCACTGAAGACAATGGCAGTCACGTGGAAGACGGCTGGCTGACATTTTTTTTCTGATTGTTGTTGTTGTTGTAGTAGTTACTACTAAGAATAATAATAATAATAATAATAATAATAATAATTAAAAAAAAAAAAAAAGGGCGGCGGCGTTGGTGGTGGTGGCGGTTTCTTCCTTTCATCCTCCTCTTCCTCCTACTTCTTCTTCTTCATTTTCTTCTTAAAAAAAGGTTTCAACCAAAAGGGATTTTTTTTTTTTTTTTGTTAGGCGGCGGCGATTTGCCAACAGTAGTTGCAGTAGTTGCAGTAGTTGCAGTAGTTGCAGTAGTAAAAGCAGCAGCAGCAGCAGCAGCAGGAAAAAAGACGCTCAACAAAACCCTTTAAATTATTCAACAATCCACCCTCCCCCTCTCTCTCTCTCTCTCTCTCTCTCTCCCAAAAATAAAAATAAAAAATTAATCTCATCTTTCTTTTTCTTTTTTTTTTTTTCAATTGATTTTTAAAAAAATATAAATTTAACATCATCATGCTTAGAAAACTTCTAGGAAGGCATAGTAATAATAATAATAATAAACAAGGACATAATGGAGATATCGATGCGGTAGACGCCGATTGGCTTGCACGAAATGGAGGCCCTGAAAAGTTCAAGAAAAGCAAGCAGAAGAAGCAACAGAAGTCTAATAATAATAATAATAATAATAATAATAATAATAATAAACAGCAACAAAAGGCTATCAATAATGACCCAGTTCATATCAGAGTAGAATTTAAACCTGGAGTACCTCCATCGATTCAAGATCATAATAATCATCTTATTCAGTATAATAATGGTTCTTCCATAAGACCTGCAACTCCAAGAAGAGAATCTCTGCAACAACAACAACAACAACAACAACAGCCTCAGACAAAAAGACCAAAATCTGCTCAATTAATGCCCTCACAAAACATCCACAATAACAATCAAAGTAATCATCATCATCATCATCACCACCATAATAATAATAATAATAATAATAATAATAATAATAATAATAACATTTCTAAACCTCCATCTAGATTGGCAAGTCCTGGACCAATATCTTCTTCTTCTACTTATAAAAATAACACCATGGTAGACCTTCCTCTCAGATCTACAACTGCTTCTCCAAAACTTTCAGGATCAACAAGTTTTAATAACCTAAGTTCAATCTCTTTAACAACTACACATAATCATAATCATAATCATACATCAAAAGTAATAATACCTACAACTTCCACTTCTAATACTACAAAGCATAAACCAGCTCCTTTGACTCTATCAAATAAACCAATTACTTCCTCTTCTAGAACTTCAATATATTCCCATAGTCAACCTTCATCTGCTGGATCTCCTGCTAGTTTGATTCATGCAACATCAGCCCAATCAAGAAATACCTCATCTGTTTCTCTCGTAAGCCCTACCTCTCTGAGCTATCAGCATCACGCCCGAAGAGCTTCACGGACTTCTCTTTCTGGTAATATTCCCTTTTCAGCTCCTGCTTCTCCTGCTTCTCCACAACCACTACCACCAACATCTGGAAATATTCATAACCACCACCACCACCACCACCACCATCACAATCACAATCACAATCACCACCACAATCAACATAACCAACATAACCAATACAAAATGGCAACTACCCATAAAGTCGTTCTAGTCCCAACTGTTGCAGCAGTTTCTACTCAAAAACGAATTCTTGAATCAGATCCTCAATACCGTGTTAAAATAGAAAAGGCTGAACGTAAAATAGAACGTGCAATGCCCCCATTTTTAATGCTTGATTCTCCTGATATGGCTGCTAGATTTAGGGCTATTCAAGATGCCCAGAAATCTAGACTTCACCAAATTGCAGCTGCCTCGTCTTCCTCGACCCATCATGCAAAATTGTCAACGTCATCATCATCTTATTCTTATTCTTCTTCTTCTTCTTCTTCTAAGGTACCCCCGCTTTGTGATCCTGCACAAGGCTGGACATTTAACGATGCATTACGCAATATGGACCGCAATAGGTACACAGTAAGTTTCCTTCTATCAATCTATCAATCTATCCATCCATTTATCTATTTTTTTTTTTTTTTGAAAAAAAAAAAAAAAAAAAATCAGATTAAAACTTTGATTTAAAAACTAAATCTTAACTAAATCTTAACCCTATATTAACTCTATATTAACTCTATATTAACCTTTTCTTTTTTTTTTTTTTTTTTTTTTCTTTTTTTAAGAATATTCTTCCTTTTAACAATAACCGGATTCATATTGCTGTTGTCCCTGGAGGTAACGATTACATTAATGCATCCCTTATCACTCTCGACCTCAATGTTAATCCATTAACAAAACAACTCCAATCATCCAGATTGCATTCTTCTCCTTCTTCTTCTTCTTCTTTTTCTTCATCTGCACCTTCCCCATCATCATCATCATCTTCTTCTTCTTCTTCTTCTTCTTCTGCCTCCTCAGGCCAAGCAATCGGACCCAAACAATACATTGCAACTCAAGGTCCTACCCGCTCAACCGTCCCTCATTTTTGGCATATGCTTTACTCTCTATCAGAGTACTCTAAACAGTTCCATTCTGATACAATGGTTGTGCTCATGCTTACTCCTCTCACTGAAAATAAAAGAGAAGCTTGTGCATCTTATTGGCCAAGAGTCCCAGGATCTGTCATTGAACTTGCTGCAGATCCATCAAACTTTCCTTTAGATTTGAAAATTGTATGCAATACTGTCACCAAGCATGATCCCAAAGACTCTAAAACTGCTTCTGCTTCTGCATCTGCATCTGCATCTGCATCTTCTTCATCTTCTCTTAAACGACCAAGATCAATGTCGTCTTCCCTCTCAAATCCTCATCTAGCAGCAGAACTCTCAAACGGATCCTCAACATCAACTTCAACCTCTTGTTCATCTGCTTCTTCTTCATCTTCTTCCTCTTCCACGTCATCCTCTTCTTCTTCCTCTTCTTCTTTGCCTACAACTACTTTCCCATACACCCATTCCGTGCTCTCACTCACTTGCCCCCATGATGGCCGCACTAAAACAGTACACCATTTATATGTTGATTCCTGGGTTGATTTTGGTGCTCCTACAGCCGACCATGATATTGCTGGGCTTGTTGCTGCAGCCAATGCATTGCTTCCAGCTGCTGGGAAAATGCCGCTCGTTGTCCACTGCTCCGCAGGTGTTGGAAGAACTGGTACGTTTGTTGTCATTGACTACATGCTGACGCGATCAAAACTCCTGGCCCAGTCTTATGGATACCCTTACCCTCCAACCACACCACGATCCAACCCTGTGTCACCTAGCTCCCCTGATGACGCAGTGGCGTTGGCAGCTGCTGCTTCTGCTTCAGCTGCTGCAACGGCAACAGGGTTTGGTTCCATGCAGACCCCTACAAATACTCATATTGCACTGGTCCCACCAGGCTCAGATCCTATTTATGAGCTGGTGTCACAATTGCGGTCTCAACGCATTGAAATGGTTCAAAATAAAACTCAATATCAGTACATTTATGCCATTGTAAAGCGTGCATTTTGGACCAGGCAATGGCTTTCTGCTCTGAGTAAAATTGCAAAGTAATGATGAAGATTATAATCTATTAAGGATTTTAAGGATTTTAAGAATTTTAAGGATTTTAAGGATTTTATTTTAATGGGGGGGGGGGGAATTACAAAAGTTAAAAGTGATAATAACGTTTTAAATTAAGATACAGATAAATTAAATAAAAAAAATAAACAAACAAAAACCCATCATAGATATAAATATATAGAAAAAAAAATAAAAAAACTTAATACATTAAATAAAGCCTCTTAAATACCAGAAACTTCCCCCCCTTTTTTTTTCCCCCTCCCCCTTCTAACCAGAGCACATTTCACAAGACTCAGGATTGTTGATAGAACAAGCAATAACCTTTGAGTTATAAATATCAATCTCGCTCTCACCTGTTGAAGTCAATCCAGACTGGCCCAATTGTACTGTTAGTTCATCAATCTCCGTCACCTTGGCAGCTGGCGATGATGAAACTGACACTGTAGTTTCCTCCACAACTGTTACCACAGATGTGGGCTCTGGACGCTTACCAACACGCGCCACATGACGGTATGGCTTTCTATCAAGTGCACGAGCAACGCCTCGTTGAGCAATCTCCTGTTTAAGCTTCTCTTGATCCACAGTAAACTGAATGGGTGCAGAGGCTGCCATAGTACGAAGATAATACATACCAGTCTTAAGCCCCTTCTTCCAGCCGTAAAAGTGCATGGATGTAAGTTTGCCCATGGTTGGCGATTGAATATAAATGTTGAGTGATTGTGACTGATCAATAAATGGTGACCGATCTGCTGCCATATCAATAATGGTCTTTTGCGAAAGTTCCCATACAGTCTTATACAGAGCCTTAAGATCATCTGGAATAGTAGAAATGCCCTGAATCGAACCATTATTGGCAATAATACGATTCTTCATGTCCTCATCCCAAAGTCCCATCTCAACAAGATCCCGCAAAAGCCATTGATTCACAATCTGAAACTCGCCAGCAAGCACTCTTCGAGAGTAAATGTTAGAAGTGTAAGGCTCAAAGCACTCATTGAATCCGAGAATCTGAGAAGTCGAAGCAGTTGGCATGGGTGCAACCAATAACGAATTGCGTAGACCATACTTCTTCAAGTTATCCTTAAGTTCAGTCCAATCCCACAAATCAGTAGGAGTAACATCCCAAAGATCGTATTGCAAAAGACCCTTAGAAGCAGGCGACCCTTCGTACGATTCATAAGTGCCTTGTTCACGAGCAAGCTCAATCGATGATTCAACAGCAGCATGGTAAATGGTCTCAAAGATTTGGATATTCAACTGCTTAGCTTCAGGAGAATCAAACGGCAGCCGCAGAGACATAAAGGTATCAGCAAGACCTTGAACACCCACAGCAATAGGACGATGACGCATGTTAGATTTCTTAGCCTCAGGAACCGGGTAAAAGTTGCGGTCAATAATCTGATTCAAGTTGCGCACCACAATCTTAGTCACTTCGTGCAGCTTCTCAAAATCATACCATGAGTCTTCGTCATTGCGCTCCACATAGGTTGGCAGAGCAATTGATGCCAGATTGCACACAGCAACCTCGTCTGGAGACGAGTACTCCACAATTTCGCAACACAAATTCGATGACTTGATGGTTCCCAGGTTCTGCTGGTTTGACTTGCGGTTGCACGAATCCTTGTACAACATAAATGGATTACCAGTCTCAGTCTGGGCTTCCAAAATGGCATACCACAGCTTTTGAGCCTTGACTGTGCGACGACCACGACCCTCGCGCTCATACTTTTCATAAAGCGCTTCAAACTTCTCACCCCAAACGTCATCAAGACCGGGGCATTCATTGGGACACATCAAAGTCCAATCCTGGTTAGCCTCAACACGCTTCATAAACAAGTCAGGAATCCAGAGGGCATAAAACAAGTCGCGTGCGCGCACTTCTTCCTTACCATGGTTCTTGCGTAACTCAATAAACTCAAACACATCATCATGCCAGGGCTCAAGGTAAACAGCAAATGCACCAGGACGCTTGTTGCCACCCTGATCAACATAACGCGCCGTATTGTTAAATACACGCAGCATTGGCACAACACCATTGGATGTACCGTTGGTGCCAGCAATGTACGACCCAGTCGCACGGATATTGTGGATGCTCAAGCCAATGCCGCCTGCAGACTTGGAAATAAGCGCACATGTCTTGAGGGTGTCATAAATGCCATCAATCGAGTCATCCTTCATGTTGATCAAAAAGCACGACGACATTTGGGGCTTGGGAGTACCAGAGTTATAAAGCGTAGGAGAAGCGTGGGTAAAGTACTTGAGCGACATAAAGTTGTAAGTCTCAATTGCCTTCTCAATGTTAGACCCGTGGATTCCCACAGCGACACGCATAATCATGTGTTGTGGGCGCTCAGCAACCTTGCCATTAATACGCAGCAGATATGATCGCTCCAGGGTCTTGAAACCAAAGTAGTTGTATGAAAAGTCTCGGTCGTAGACAATGGCCGAGTTAAGCTCGTCCTCATGCTCTTGAACCACCTTGTAGACTTCCTCAGAAATCATAGGTGACAGCTTTCCATTCTTAGGATTGATGTAGTGATACAAATCATAAACAACTTGAGAAAACTGCTTCTTAGTCTGCTTGTGAAGATTAGAAATGGCAATGCGTGCAGCAAGAATTGCATAGTCTGGATGCTGTGTCGTCATGTAAGCAGCTGTCTCAGCAGCAAGATTATCAAGCTCAACAGTGGTGACACCTTGGTAAACACCAGTAATGACACTTTGTGTGATTTTGGCTGCATCAACATGGGTAGGGTCCAGGCCATAACACAGGCGAGACAGTCTGGCAGTGATTTTGTCAAACTGAACCTTTTCCTTTCTTCCGTCTATAGAGAGTTAGTCTAGGAGGTATATAATGCAAAATCAAAAAAGATTACTTACCTCTTTTATAAACAAACATCATTTACTTATTTTTATTATTTTTTTAAAATCTAATTTGGTTGATGGTAGGAATAAAAAAAAAAGTTTGAAAAGAATGGGAGATTTCAAGCTGTTTATATAGTTGCAAGTTTTTCTTATTTGTTTTGTTTGTTTGTTTGTTTTTTTTTTGTTTACAAAAAAAAAAAAAATTTAAACAACCAACAAAAAAAAATAAAAAACACGCATACCTGACGCGTTAATGACAAATCAAAATTCATTACTAATAACGCGTAAATACGCGAGTACACACTATGTTTTGTTTACAAACGATGGACCCGATCAAGCTTGATCTGCTTACCCGACAAGTACCGCTCCTTAAGCTCAGTAAATGTTTCGTTATAATACGCGTCGCGTTCCTCGCGCGTTTGAGGATCAACTTCTTGTGTAGCATATTCGCTAATTGCTGTCAAGCGTGATTCAAAGAACGGACCAATTGCTGCAAACGTGTCTTCGGGTCGCTCCATAGGCACCAAGTGCTGTCCATCCGGAATGTCCACACCAACAACATTTGGCAACGCTCCACGAATTGCTTCCACGCTTTCGGGTGGATTCCATGTTGCTGCACTGCCAATAACATGGCATACTGCGCAATCAATAGTTTTAAGCTGGTCACGTAAGTACAGCGTAGTAAAGTTGGAAGACGCGTAAGAAGTTATCTGGGCTCCGCGAGGTGGGATTGCCAGTATAGAGCCATCGTCCCGTTTAACAAATCCGCTCCTGATCAAGTCTTCTAGAATACGAGGGTGCACTGTGCGACCTACACCACCTTTCTTCAAATATTGTGCATACTCTTCTTCACTCGCAAATGTGTCTTTGATATACTTGTTGAGCTTGGTTAAAAACCCAACCCATGTCTCACGGCCCTTTTTAAATTTGTGCAGATCATGGTTAAAATATGCCACAGGCTCAATTGAAATTACAGAATCAATAACCCGTCGCTCAAACGCAGCCGCATGCAGTGCTGTCCCCCCACCCATCGAGTGTCCAATTAGAATCGCATTGCTGGTGATATTTTGTGCAGCCAAAATCCGGAGCACGTCCCGCGCACTGTCTTCCCACGAGCAGGTCAGCCCGAGTTTGTGTTCGTTGAGAATGTACGATTCACCGTGGTTAACAGCGTCAACTGAAATCACGGTCCCCAGCTGTGGACCGTACTTTTCGTAAAACATTTCAATCCAGTACTCCCATGATTCCTTAGTAAACCCAGTGGCATGGAGGAACACAAGGTGCACTTGTTCTTCAGGAGAAACCTTGGCTTGCTTCCCGGGCCGCTCATCAGTATAAACATTGTAAACAACTTGGAGCTTGTCAAAAGGTTTAATAGTAGAAGTTCGGTTGAACCGAGGGAAATGGCCGTCAATAATGCGCTTTTCAACTGTAAGATAGGTCATGGTGAGGTAATGATGGTTTGCAAAAATGTGGTTAATAATTCGCAGGTCTTTGAGCCTGGTTTTATAGTTTTTTTTTTTTTTTTTTGTGGGGTCGTTAACTCTATATATATATATACCTCGGCTATTTATGCTCACATGAAATAACCTAATCGTCCATTTTTTGGCGCTTAGGCTCTGGACTACCAGTTGATGCAGGAGCTGTAGGCGCAGAAGGCGCAGAAGGAGCCGGCGAGACCTCCGGGGCCTCTGCGCGGGCAAGCTTGCGTTTGGCCTGTTTGTCAGGGTTGTAAAGATAGTACAGTTTGCGGTCAGTAGCCTTACCCATTTGATCGGGGACCTGGGGTACAGATTGAATCATCTTGCGGCATTCTTCAATAATTTCTAACAGCATTTGCAAATCAGATACACCTTTTGTGTCGATGACTGGGTTATCTTTGCGTAACAGTTCAATGCCATCATGGCCAAACTTCTTCTTCAGATACTCCATAGTTAGTGTTTCGTCAGCAGTCATGAGTGCGGCCAGCGCAATCTGAGGCGGCGTAAAGTGGAACTGGACATCTGAAAAGAAGGAATCAATGATGGCCTTTTTAGTCTTTAAACGTAATGGTTCCAATGCTTCTGGGGGCGCTAAGTGAGGAATCACTGCTTGGATATCGAGTAGCAGACCACGCATTGGTCTATAACCATTGTGGACGAGCAGGGTAAAAGAAAGTGATTGTAGAACCAGAAATTCGCAGTCAAGAATCTCTTTTTGGTTCTTCCTTAAAACCTTACATAAATAATCAATTTTGATCAGGTTGTTCTCAACCTTAGCTGCGAGGAAAATGCAAGTTGAAAAAATGTCTTTGGGATGGTGTTCCATGGTACTATGTACCGTATAAAACTTGCGAAAATAAGAAAGTGCTGTTGCGCTGACCTGTGTAGGTTGTTGCAGACCATCTCCTAAAAGTAGCAGTTTGGTTGAATAGTATTGGATCAACTGCTGCTCTTCTTCATAAGAAAGTACTTCAATGGAAGTCTCTGGTACGTTTTTGTCTTTAGCAATTGCGCCGGGCACATTTCTACAGGCCCGCTCGTAGACGGCACGGCGCTTAGATTCTAGTTCTTCGGGAGTCAGGGACCATATCCGGAACTGGGAAGAGTGTCTATACAAGTCATCATCTGAGATGGGCTCGTAAGCTGGTACAGTCATTGTTTAGAGATTGTTAATATGTGAATGTATGTCTGATGGAAGTGGGAGAATGTTGCAGTTGCAAGATTAATTTTTGTCAACAGTGAAAAATATAAAATTAAGATTTATATATTAGTGATGATTACTCATCTTGTAATAATAATAATAATAATATATTTTAGAGATTGTTTTAAACGGAACACGGCTGCGCAAATTTTATAAAGCTGACTCATCTTTACAAGATTACCTAATTTAATTTTCGTTGCTTGTTCTCTTAAACAATACTGTGCGGCTTATATTTATGTCCAGGCCGTTGAAGAGCTCCGTTATCTTCCAGTTTACAAGCTTCAAGGCCTCGTCCAAGGCCTTAATTAAAAATAAAAAGTAGGCTTAGAAAGGCTGCTTCTCCCGTCAGAGCCATTGACCGGGAAGTAATTTAAAAGAAAAAAAAAAAAAAAAAAAAGCATTTTGAATCTCCTCGGCAGTGCGAATCCCGGAAACTCATTCTTTCTAAAAAAAAGATCATGTCATTGATCATGACTCTTTGAAAGATTAAAAGGAAAAAAAGACGCTTTTTTTTCGGAAAAACCATTAGATAATTTAAAATTAAAAGACGAAATAATCCGGGATTATCTATCTCTAAAGCTATCTAAATAAACATATAAATATCCAACATTTCTCTCTCCTAAGCTCAAGAGATAAATAAATACCTCATCAATCAAAATGAAAACCTCCATTATGAACCTCCCCGAGGAAATCCTCGAAGAAATCCTTACATATGCTGCTTTTGACTGCCACGGTGACTGCTGCGATAAACAATACGACCGGGTCTGTTACAATCAATACCGTGGAATTGTTCAGACGTGCAAAAAGTTTCGCAGAATAGGCGGAAACATCTACTGGAAACAGCTTAATGTGTAAGTCTTATCATTGTTTTTTTTTTTTTTTTTTGGACTTTTATACCTTTAATCTAACTTTATATATATATATATAGTCCTTCGATTTCAAATGATAACTCTTTGGTACCACGAAGAGTGACCAAAACATGTATTCCTCATGATATTGAAAATTATGTGACAGAACTCAACATTGGGTCCACACACTCGGTAGTCTCACGCATTGACGGCTCGCGAGACGAACAACAGCACGTCGAATGGTGGGGTGTATTGCTCAACTGGGACGTGCTCCCCCGTTTACGCAAAATTACAATCAACGGGACTGTGGCAGCTTCGCGTGTCAACTCAGGGCTGGCCAAGTCACCCTGCCACACTCTGAATGACCCGGAGGCTCTCGAACAACTTGCCTGGTTTGCAGAGTCCACACCTGCGGGTCGCCAGCCACCAGAGATGCATATTTATGGTGTTGATGAAACAGTTGTCATGGCCATGAGCAATTATCCAGCACTTCAAAAATGTATTCGCACGTTGTGGTTCCATGACCAGCTTGATGATACGGGATCGTCGATTAAACGTACGCTGCCAGATTTTGGCCGTGCTTTAGCTGGAATGACGCAACTACGAGACTTGTCCATCTCGGTGGGTGCCCCGGCGGTTGCCAACTTTACCCACTTTCTGCAGGTCCTGGGGAAGTTCCCGTACCTGAAGAAGCTCCACCTTTCTTATGGCACGCGACCAGTTATGGATGATAGCCCGCTGGCATTGGGTGTTCATAATTTTCGTCCTATAGTCCCGCCATCTTTGGAAGTTTTGGACTGTCCTTATAGCTTTTTGGAGCTACTTAATTTATTGGAACCTTTTACTGATCGTACATTCCAGGAGATTCATGACCTGACGCTGCATGTGGATCGCAGACGGGTTACTTTAGATTTGCCATTTTACAGCCTTGAAGCTTTCCAAGTATATATGCAAAATTGCGACAATGTGCGGTCATATACGGTTGAAGGGTTGCTTGATATGGTTGCTCATAATGCGCGCACACTAAAACGCCTTGCGGTGGCCAAAATGGATTTCACTGATGTCATGGACCTGCCGCACGTCAACCCAAACCTTGAAGAACTCCACATTGGCATTCTCATTACTGGCAACCTTCCGGTTTGGACTCCAGTGCTTGACTACTTGCAAGACTTAAAGAAGCTTAAGCACCTTACACTTAATGTCAACTCCATTCGTCAGTTATCTACTCGTATGTTTGGCACGCTGTTAACACGGAGTCCTATTTCTGAAGATAGTTATGAGCCTAGCACTCAACTTCAAACAGTCACTATTAAGTTTAACCGCACAGAATCCATTTCTAAGCTGCCTAGTATTGTTGCTTCTGTGAATGGTACCAAGAGCTATAACCTAACAAGCCATGCATCTTTTCATAAGGCTCGCTATATGATGGATGAGGTGCCAGGCGTTGATAATCATCGGGTTCCGGAGTATCTTTGGGAAGACGGGTCTATTTGTGCGGCACATGTTGTGTTTGATGCCAGAGCCATATCGATGGATTTGTATCCTGACTACTATTCGGGCAAGTACAAGACTAGAAACCCGTATAGTAATACCAGCAGTGTTGCTAATAGCGATGATGAAATGTATTAAAGAGTGAAATCAAGCACACGTTTATAGCTGGACTTTAGGCGGATTTTCCTTTTTCCTTTTTTCTTTTTTTTTATTTAGTCAACAAGCAGGTTTTGTTTTGTTTTTTTTTTATATTTAGAATTGTTTTAATTTAATTTGTGTATATTAGAACTGGTGAGATCATTTGGGAGGCCCACAAAACAAGTTTAACCTTAAAATTCTTGCAAAAAGACTTGATTTCTTTTTTTTTTTTTTCATTCATTCATTCATTCATTCAAACAAACTTTCACTTTAATTAATTATTTCCAAGATTTTTATGGTTTAACTGGACCTTTTTTTTTCATTCTGTCTGTTTGCTACTTTTGGTTCTTGCATGATGCTTCCAAAAAAAAAATCTTTTTTTTTTTCGTCATCGTCATAATCATCATCACCATTGATTAAACAATTACTGTTTAAAAAGAAGATTCTTGCCAATGTTTGAGGAAATTCTTGATAGGGTGTGAGATCAAAAAAATAAATAAATAAATAAATAAAAACGAGCCTTTTATTAAGGTCCTATGCACTTATTCATATATACTTTCTGTTTTTTCTTCTTCACTGTTCCCTCCATTTTCACTACCACCGTAAATGTTTTTTTTTTTTCATTGGCTTTACTTTTCCATTTAATTTAATTTGCTTCAAGATTTTTTGATTTATTTTTATTTTTATTTTTAAAAAAAAAAAAAAACAATAAAGGCTTTTTTAGTTCACTACAAACAACATAGCCAGTTATTATCTTCTTTATACGGCTCATTTTAGAAAGCAACAAAATGAACTTATCGGCATGATCAAGTGTGCGAGAATCCGGTGTTGAGTTTTTGTTTTTTTCTGCCCCCACTTACCACATTCATTCATTCATTCATTTATTTATTCATCCCAAACTGCCTTTCCACTCTACGGCTTGCAGTCCCCGCGTTATGTTTAGTTCCGACCGCAAAATAAAAAAAAAAGGGATTTTTTTTTTTTTTTTGAAATATCGGTGTTGGAGATAAATAACAAAAAAAAAATAGTCACCTGGACTCGGTTTTTTTTTTTAATATCCACCAGTCATTTTGGTTTTTTTTTTTTATTTTTTTTAATATACTTGTTGAATGTTCGCGTGTTCGGAAAACGGAGCATGAATACGGGAACGAAAAGTTGATAGTCCGAGCGGTTAGTTGAATTACTTACAGACAATATCATTTGTGATTTCTTTTTTTTTTTATTTTTTTTAAATTTTTTTTTCTTTAAAGAGAGAGGAGTGGTGTTGAGGAGAAAGAAAAGAAAAAAAAAAAAAAAAAAAAAAAAAGGCTGGAGCTATGCTTAAAAAAAAAAATGGTAAAAACGACTATTCGCACATGAACAATATTATTATTTAAAGGTCCATCACTAATTTCCAAAATTGGAATATGCGTTGTGATATGCGTTGTGATATGCGTTTTTTTTTATTTGCTCTTGTAAATAGGCACTGGGAATTATAACCTTCGGAAACCGTAATTTGATTTTTTAAAAAAAAAGTTTTGGATAAGATAGATCTTTTTTTTTTTTACAGTTATTATCAAAAGTGGATTTTTTTTTCATTTTGAAATTACTTTAATTCATTTTCAAAGTACTCTCTTTGTACCAGTAGTTGTTGTTTTTTTTTTTTTTTTATTGTCGCAACTTAGTTAATTCCGTTTAGATTTCTTCATATACAAAAGTATTCATTTAGATGAATAAAAAAAATAATCTTTTTTTTTTTTCAAATCTATTTTGAAACATTTAACATCATGTCAATGTTGTTTTTTTTATTTTTTTTATTATTTGAAAAAATAAAAAAAAAAATTTATTGATTTCTACAAACAACTCCTCTTTCAAGATAATCTTTTAATCTATCTTCTTTCTCTCTCACTCATTTATTTATGTAAAAAAGTGCCATGCAAATCGTTTAATGCCGAAACGAAATACCCCTCTCTCTTTCTCTCTCTATCTTTTTTTTTTTTTGTTTCTTTCACTTTTTCCTGAATTTAGTATTTTTTTTTTTTTTTTCAACTTGTGAAAAGAGGAGAATGAATGAAAAGAGTTGAGTAATTCAGTTGTAACAGTCAAAACTATTGGACATTGGTTTATTAAAATCATGCAAAAATAAAAAGAAAAATAAATAATACAAAATTTGTCTTTTTTTTTTTTTCTTTATATATATCTTTTCCTTGAGTGATCTAAAGTCTTCAAGTCTTTAAGACAAAATAGTTTTATCTTTTGAGGCAAATTTAGATCTACTAAAGTTGTTATCACATTTAGCACCAAAAAATAAAAAATAAAAAATAAAAAATAAAAAATAAAAAATAAAAAAGAATAAGTCTGTGCCTTTTCCGAAAGCTTTATTTTAAAATAAATTTATTTAAATGAAATATAAAAAATCTACTAGTAGTATTAGTTGTAATATTAATAGTACTACTAATGATTACTTACAAATAAAAAAAAATTTCATTTATGTTATCACCCCTCTTATTATTAATTTTTTATTTTTTTTTTATTTTTTTTTTTCATTTCTTCTGTCGTCTAACCCTTTTGGTAAGCCCATATTATTATTCAAACTTATTTTTTTTTTTTTTTTATTTTCTGTCATTATGTATTCTCATGTTTAAATAAAGTTTCCCTATAAATGCTCGTTTTTTTTTTAAAAAAAAAATATATATATCTGTGACCTTCTTTTACCCCACCTTTTCCCTTTTTTTTTTTTCAAATCGTTTTATTTCCATGAATAAATAAAATCTTTTTTGAGACAAGCTTCAGGCTTTATTTTATTTTTTTTTTTTTTTTTTTGTCATTTTCCTATTTTAAATAAAAAAAAAAGATGAGGGGGAAGGTAAATACGATTGCTGGTTGGCATTATGTCTTGTCCTTAAATACTTCAACTATTAAACTCTTCTTTAGTCTCCTATAAATAAAAAATTCTTTCTATAAATATTTTATTAATTTCCCTTGAAAATCTACTTTATTTTTTTTTTTTTTTGTTCTTTCTTCATTATTTTTCTTTATTTTTATTAAAATATAATAACTTCTTCATCTTTATTACATCCATCTTCATCTTCATCTCAAAAACATTAATTATTATCCTCAAATCATGGCTAGCTTATTAGGCTCAACAAGCAGTTCCAGTGGTGGAATGCTGGCCCTCGTTACACCCGCAGGCAAGGTCCCCGGCACAGGCCTTCTCCAAGTTACAAAGATTCTTCATAGTCTTAGCAGTGGTGGCTCCAGCAGCTCAATGAAGGCTCTTTTAGCCACTGCCGTTGGAGACCTCCCAGGTCTTTTTGGTGACTACCCGTTCCATCGTGATATAGCTCCCAGCGCCATTTTTGTTGCTCTCTTTTCCATCTTTGCCATTGCCCACCTTTATATCTTTTTCCGTAACATGAAGTGCGGCCAGTCTTTTTGGCCATCTTTTGGCTTGGCTTGGTACTGCATCTTTCGTGTGATTGGATTTGGTCTCCGTATTAATTGGGCTAAAGACGTGATGCGTGTCAAGGTTGGCATTGCTGCAACTGTCTTTTGTGTGGTCCCCGTTGTTTATGTTTCTATTATGAATATGTTATTTGGGCACCGTATCTTTACCTGGCGACACCCGGAGACTGGTAATGCTGTGTGGTTTGCCGTCATTATGAATGTTACATATGTGGTTGTTCTTGGCGTCATTGTTATGGGTATTCTTGGACAAGCTATCCCCTATATTTACTTTTTGGACCAGCATCATTTGAATATGTGCAGACGAGTTGCTCGTGCTGCTGCCATTTTACAGACACTTTACTCTTTTGCCGGTATCTGCTTGATTGTCAATGCTTACACATTTAAGCCTGGTCGTATTGATGGACGCTTTGGCAAGTTCTACAAGCATGGAGAAAAGGTGGATTTACCTGCAACCATTTCCCCAACATGGATTGAAAGCACCAATCCCATGTACTTTCCCGAGAAGGGCTCACAGCACGTTATCATTAAAGACACTCCAGAGGCTAATGCGATTCGTGTTATTTCTAACCGCCGTCCACCTGCTGGTGGTTTGAGTAACCACCACGGTCATCACCATGAGCGTGCTCCCAAGATGACTACCAATGTTATTCTCATTTTGTCTGTAAGTGTGTTGCTTTCTATTTCTGCTGCTTTCCGTACAGCTTCTACATTTAAAACCAATCCTCGTGGTGGTGTTAATGGCAATCCTCTTGGTCACTGGCTTTATCACAATTGGCTCATGTACTTGTTATTTGGTGTTTTTGAGGTTATTGTTAATGTTTTGTATCTGGCTATGCGCGCTGATTTGCGCTTTTACATTCCCGACATGGCTCGCAAGCGCAAGAGCACAGATCCTGCATATGTTCCCAGTGATAGTACTGGTGTTTTGGGTGGTCCCGATAATTTGTCAAAGCCTGAGGTTGACCATATTAACAATGTATCTTACTCATCTTCAGATGCAGGTGTTCCTGCTGCTACTGCTACTGCTACTGCAAACCCAAGAAACTCTGATATGGAACGGTATGGCAATGCCAATGTTCCTCATGGTGCAGTAGTGATGCCGTTAGATGAAAAGAGACCTTTTTAAAGAAAATTGAAACATTTGTTACCCCGCATTTTTTTTCTTCAATGATTTTCGGGATTGAAAAAAAAAAATAAAATAAAAATAAAAAAAAATTGTGTTTTCTTGTAATTGTTTAATTTAATAATAATAATAATAATAATATCTAATAATCCGTTTGAAGTTGTGTCACGAGAAAATTTGGTATTAATGCCTTTTTAGCATTTTGTGAGAGTTAATTTTAAAATAAAGATTTTTTCCCCTCATTCTAATGCAAACAAAGAGTTTAACTGATTGTTTATTTGGTGCCGTAAAATATATATGAATGAATATATATATTTGAAAAGTAAAAAAGTAAAAAAGTAAAAAAGTGGGGAGAAGATATATTGGTCTTTATTGAAATGTTGGGCATTTTGGAATTTCGGAATAACAATGAAGAAAATAAGAAACAAAAAAAAATTCTATTTTACGGATCGGCATTTCGGATTTATAGAACAAATAGAGTCCAGATTATGATATTTTCGGCAATACTTTTTTTTTTTCTTTTTTTTTTTTTTTCATAATAGTTTTGAATAGAATATAATAAAATAAAATTTATCTTTGTAAAGAGGGGAGTTGAGGGGTGGGTGGGTAGGAGAAAAGGGTATGTAGTATTTGGGTCTTGACAAGTGCCGGTATTAATCCAGACGGTAGCACAAGTTATTTTGCTTTTCAGAAGAGGGGAAATGGAATCTTAAAGTCCATGACTTGAAAGGGTAGATGATTAAATAAACTTCACAAGTGGGTGAGAGAGTGAGAGAGTGAGAGAGTGAGTGAGTGAATGAGTGAGTGAGAGAATGAGAAAAGAGTGATGAACATGTCTTGCACTTTTTTAAGGTATAGAATTTGACTAAAAATTATATATACATGCCCAGCAAACGAAACGAAATAATCTTTATTTGGTTGGTGTGGTTAAAATGGAATTAAAATAAATAAAAATAAGGCCACCATTAAACTTGGAAATAGAAAAATTTAATGATTCACACACACACACACACACCACGATAATAAATTCTCATAGTCTTGCTTTGTTCTCCCCAGTATTATTCATAGCAGCTTAACATCGGAATCTTCACATTCAAGACTTTGTGGGGTGGATACTTTCGGGAATTCATTCAAGCAACAGTCGAATCTTTCATGTGAAGATGAGCAAAACAACAAGTGGGGAGAGAGAGAGGGAAGAAAAGAAAAAAAGGAAGATGCCGGTAGCAACCAGTTTGGGTTCTATATATAATAGTGTGTTACACTTTAGTCACGCATTATTTTTAATACATGTAATAATAGATTAAAAGTATTTTCAATTCAAAAATAAAAAAATTTGAGTTCGGATTTAATTCTGTCTTTGAATAAAAAAAAATTTATCACCAAAAATACGCTATATAAACTTCGATCTCTGCTCTTCTTAAGCGGTAAGAGCAAGTCTGCGGAAACCACCACAGGAAGCGCACTCTTGCTGAAGTTCCTTCATCTTCTTCTGAGCAGTGGTAGGATCCATAACACCCTCACCAGACTCAGCAGGAAGCTCCCAAGAGAGAAACTCATTGGTGTAGTTGGGAACAAAGTCCTCGGGAAGAACCAAGAGACGCTTGCCATAGTTGGTTACCTTCTTCCAATCACGGGTGACATTAGCCAAAGAGGCCGAGAGGTAGGCATAAGAGCGTTCGTAAATCTTGCGATCAACAACAGTGTTAAGCTGGGGGTTGACCTCAAGGTACTCAACCCAAGCCTTCTCGGGCTCAGAAATGACAAAGTCCGTGGCACGCTTGCAAGCACGCATAAACTTGCGAACCTTCTCCGGGTTGGCGGCAATAAAGTCCTCGTTACCAATGTACAAAATGGTGCAGAAACAGCAGCAGCCAAGCTCAGCAAGCTCATCAATACGAAGCATCTCAACATCGTCACGGGGGCGGCCCTGGGACTCAAGCCACTCAGCAAGCTCGACCATCTGGACGTTCTCCAAACCAATACCAGCGTCAATAGTGCCGTTGATAATAGCCTTAGAGACGTTCATACCACAACGAACAGCAGTGTAGTCATCAGGGGTCATGCCGTAGTGACGAGTAAGCTCATCAATTTGAATCTTACCAAACTCACCCACGTAACCAATGCGTTTGCCCTTAAGAGATTGGAAATCAGTAGTGATACCAGAACCCTTGAGGTAAACAACACCAGTAAAGGGCTCGTCAAGGAGAGAACCAATAGACTTGATAGGGTATCCGCGAGCCTTACCAGCAAGAGTGTGAATCATGGCCTTGAAACCAAGGTCAATCTTACCACTGCCAATAATCTCAGTGACATCACTAGGATCATTGGGCTGGAAAATAGCAACTTGGAGACCCTCATCCTTGAAGAAACCCTTGGAGTGAGCAAGGTAAACAGGAGCATGGTAGGGAGTAGCACGCCAGTTCAAGAGGAAAGTAATCTTTTCAGTAGTAGAAGGAGCCATCTAAATAAACAAATAAAAAAATTAATCATCGCCATCCTATAAAAAAACTTACAAAAGCTGGCCAATTTCAATTCATTGAAAAAAAATAAACTTGACAATAATTATTACTGAATGTGTGTCCCTGCGCTAGCATTACCCAGATCAAGTGGTTAACGGTATCATCTCAGAGCCTTGATATACAACAGCATAACTATGGATTGCAATCAAGTCCCACCCGTCACACATTACAGCGTAATAATCAAAGAAGACTATTTACCTCAAAGAATAAAAAAAAACCAGCAAACTATATAAAAAAGCCTTACTGTAAATTATTGCAGAGGCTAGTTAGTACATAAAAAAAAGATAAGATGGCGATGACGACAATGTGGTTAGAATGATTAACCATCACACATGTTGGAATATGACCCTACTTGTCACCTAAAGTTGTCGAGAAGTTATAAATATATAAAAAAAAAAAGTAGTTGAAGGATAAGCTTAAATTTATCTCAATTGATAGAGAAAATAAAAAGATGAATTGATGAAGAAAAGAAAGAGATAAAAAAAAAAATAAAAAGAAGTAAAGAAAAGACGAAATTACCCCAATATTTATACTTTTCTGGAGTGGAGAAAGTAAAAGCAACCCGGCTGCTTGGTTCCCCAACTAGTGGCTTTATTTCTTGGGGGGAGAGATGCACTAGCCAACTACGCAGCTGCAGCTCCAACAAATTAAATGCCTCGATTTTAGATGGCAGCATTGTGGCATTATTATGGCCTTAGTTACAGTGTTGATCCGGGTTTTTATCATGTGGCAGCATTTTGGCAAGAAAAGGCGATTTTGTTGACTCCATTGGTCTTTTTTTTTTTTTTGTAATTCAACGACACAGATTAGTTTTTTTTTTTTTTTTTGAACTTCAATTGATTATTTATTTTATAAATTTAAATTTAAATAGACTGGGGGGGTTTTTTTTTCCTCCATTTGTTTTTTGAGAAAATCTATGTATATATGATAACTAGTTGATTGGGTCAATCCAATCCTGGTGTGAACGTGGCACAATTAGACCGATAACTACTATAAGTGTGTACCTAAAAAAACTGATTTACATTAACGAAAAAGTCTACAATTATAATTATGTAAGAGCAAAAAAAGGCTTCATCTTCTACTTCTGCTTTTACTTCTCAATTTGTCGTTCTAAAAGGCTTCATATACAAACTAATTTCAATGGCCATATCCAATAAACTCATTCATTTTTAAACACAATTTGTAGGCTACCAAAAAACAAACCCCGAGGAGGTTTGTTTTTAAAAAGAAAAAAAAAGCTATTTGATGACTCATCTTCTAGTAGTCATCACTCCTAAAGTTGAAACGTTTGTGTCAACTTAGTTGCAACAGAATCTAAAATGTAACAACAACAATAACCAGCATTTGAGCGGCGCTACTAAATTGCACGGCTAATGTTGACAAAATATCAAAGCCTTATTTATTTTTTTTTTATTCAAAATGAATATTCAGGGAAACTACAAGAAGATTGGGTTTTGGCTGAAAATGGATTGAATGCCACTTGTTATTTACAACGAGAAACACTAAAAAAAAAAATTGAAATTCATTCTAATTCCAAATTTATTCTAATTCTAATTCCAAATTTTTTTTTTTTTTTTTTTTAAAATGAGCTCTTGTAAAATTGTTGCATCGGTGGCACAACGATATCAATCTTTCATTGTACATTGTGCTCTCTACCTTGAGTTCTAGAATAAAAATGGCCAAAAAAAATTCATTTAAAATATTGACAGTTGAAAATAAAAAGTGTCTTTCATAAAAACGTATATATTAATTAATTAATTATAATGACTTAAATTGGGTTGAAGGTTTTATTTGAATATCATTCTATTGCGATGTAACGGTTCTTAAATAGGAAATACTTTTTTTTTTTCTATATTTCTCTTTTCCAGTTGTATAAATCTTCCCAATCTTCCACAATTTTTTTTTCTTTCTTCTTTTTTTTCCCCCTATCATTATCCCCACTTTTTTTTTTCTTCTTCTTTTAACTGAAGTTTTTTTTTTTTATTCAACGTATCCTCAGAGATTCCTACTTTTCTTTAAACAATCACAACCCTTTTTAAAATGACTGTCATTCTTCAATTAGACTTGGTCCAGAACTCACCAGACTTTTTTACAACGTTTTCTTTATTTTCAATCCATGGCCTTGGCTCAATATTAGATGCTAGTGTTTCCCCACAAATGTTGCTTCTTCTTTCCAACATTTTTACTGGTATTTATCTTTTTGCGGTAATTGTACACTCGGCAATCATTTTCCCTAATCGTACACTCCCCTTGCTTCAGTTTGTTTACAAACACATTCCTAAAAACCCAAATGAAGATATAATCAAGTATTGCGAGTTTTGGATCCTCTTGACTTCTTGGTGCATTTATGCCATTATTTCCTTTATCATTGTTCCTAGTCTTTTGGTGTGGAACACATATATTAACGACTTTATGTTTTGGAGGATCAGTTCCATTAACCTTGACATTTCCTACTTCCCTTCGGACTTTCTATGTCTTACAATGGATACTCTCAAGTACGGTATAATAATCTCAACGATTTACTTGTTTCAAATATCTGTGGCTTGGTCCAATTATGTCTTGTTCCAAACCAAAAATCAAGTTGAAGCGCCCATCACTCTTGAAGATGAAAAATCATTGAGCTCTGAAAAAACTCATACCACTACTTCTTGCAACAATGGTACCGTCTCGAACAATTCTTTGGGTGCTGGTATGACTGCCACTCACTGGGTTGTCTACACTACTCTGTGCTTGATGATGTATCAATTTTCAAACAAAAGAGATATTTTAATGATACCGGTTGTTGTTATTGGACTACCTTTACTTGCTTATTGTATTAGCTACTTTTTTTTAAGAGAGCTCGACTCTGAACAAGAGACTAATGCATCTACAGACAACAAGGAAAAGTACCCAATAGATGTCAAGGTTTAAATGAAGAAAAAAAAAACAACGATGAAGATGGTTAAGAATTTAAAGTTTAATGCCTTAAGCTTATTTAGAAGTTACAATCGAATGCATATTTAGAAATATTTCTATCTAGCTGATGCCGTACTTCTTTTTTTCCAATAGAAGTGTTTCTTATGATGATTTAAAAATAAAAAAAATAATAAAAATAATTATGACAGAGAATATTTTTTATTTAAAAAAATAGACAATTACTTGCATGTAAACCTTTTAATGATCAATCTAATAGATTCTGTATGACTTAAAGTTTAAAATTGGTTTAAACCTGACAATTCGCTAGCACAGGATACATTTCTCCTCATTATTTACTTTTTTAAAATCATAATAATCGTTTAATTTTATTACTTTATCTATAATATTACACCAAAACTTTGTTAAAAATTCTTTTTTTTGATTTATTGATAAGCCAGGATATGAAAATCTCACCTTTTGAAAAAAAAAAAAATACAGACACGAGAAGGGGTTTTCTATTTGCCACTATTGTACTTTTAGTGAAATAGGGTCATGTTCGTTGCATAAAAGTTAATTACTAACATAATCAAAAAAATAAAAAAAAAAAACGAATTAAACCAAGGTTTTAGACAACTTGATCATACCCACAAATTAAATGAAAAAAACTATAAAAAGACTATTTGATTGATTGTTGTAAAAAAAACAATTTTGCGTCAGCCCGGAGTCGAACCGGGGGCTCGTCGATGGCAACGACGAATTTTACCGCTAAACCACTAACGCTTTCACTTTTAGTGATAAGAAAAAGTAGATCGTGACATTTTATATTTGAGCAATTAAATTGTAAAAAAATTAGCTTTTAGAGAAATTGATGATATTACATATTTTAATAATATTCAAACCTTATAAAACAAAATAAACAAAAAAAGATGATAAAATGATTGCTAATGGTATAATTAACACATTATTTTAACTAAAAAAAATACTCTTCTTTTCCTTAGGGAACGTACAGGTGTACATACCTTAACTAAACTGTCATAAAATTTTAGTCTAATTAACTTAGAAATTATTACTAGTAATATAACTTATAGAAAAAATTAAGAAAAGGACAGCATTCTGTAAAAATAAGTGAAAACGGGTTGGGTAAGCTTGGGGTTTCCTGTTTTATTTTATTTTATTTTATTTTATTTTTTTGACAAGCTGGCATCGGAATTAATCCTTTTGATTATAGAAAGAGCAGGGATCAAAAACAACCTGTACTGAAAAGGTATACCAATAAATAGCAAGTCACCAGAGTTGGACAATAAAAGGATCGCTTTAATGAAGATTTTGTACCAAATTATAACTTTTAATTAAAATATATTTATTTTCAATAAATTCTTTTATATATTCAGGAACGTAAAGTTTCAATAATATGCCTTTTTTTAAAGGTTGGTTTGTATTTGAATGATGACAATGGCCAACAAGGTACTGAATTTAAAATATATTTCAATTGTGACAAAAATTTCACTTTGCATATAGTTAATGAATATTATCATAACATACAAGGTACTATTTTTTTATTTTTTTATTTTTTTTTCATCAATCAATTCAATTAAGCTTAAAAATATGCGATGACCTTTAACAGTCCTGTTTTTTATCAAACGGTTTTTCAAAAAAAAAAAAAAAAGTTTTATAACCTGGGGTTACTTTTATGCTTAAATTATTTTTTAAAAAAAAATCGGTCAATTCTTTAATTACTAAATGCCATTTTTATCCTATTAACTCTTCCTTCGAGATACTAACCCTAAAGGTGCTCAGGAACCAAAAATTATTAACCTCCCTCTACCACTTAAATTTTTCTCTTAAAATAGCAGTTGAAATATAGTGATGAGCCGTACCTGTCAATTGTTGACGTCTGTCAAAATACGTAAAGTGCGGGAAGCCTTTAGGAAGTCATACGCGGTAACTTACCCTAACCCCAATGGAATACTTGGGTCAGAGCGGGAAGCTCGATAATATTTGCAGATTTTAACGGACGAGCGGGCCGCGAAAGAGTCTTTAGAAACTACAACCGACAGAGGTGCAGCAGTGCCAGGGTAACAGGCCAGGACGCCTAGACACGAAAGAAGGTACTACGATGGCCCTGAATCACAAAGGAACAATAACAATAAAGGATGACAAAAAAAAAAAATGGAAAATGGAAAAATGATTATAAAAATAATAATTAATATAGTTGCTTGCCATTAATACCTAAATAAAATACATAAACACCGGAGACAACATTAGGTCCCAATAATAATAATAATTTATATAAAAATTATATAAAATAAAAAATAATATATAAAATTAAGCTCAAGTTGCTTCTTTAGCAACACTTCTTGTCGACACAAGATTCCTCGGCAGAGATATTTTTTGCGCAATCCTTGTTTACACACTGCTCATCGGTGCACGACTTGTCGGAGCTAGAGTTAGCACATTCTTCTTTGCACATGTCATCTGTACCACAGCACTTTGCATCAATGCAATCTTTGCATTTACATTCACCTTTAGGGCAAGAACACGAGTCGGTGCTGCAGATTCTTTTAGGTTGACAATTCTTTTTACCAGCAGAACAACAACAAGTAGAATCTTTCTTGTCCTCACATTGACAATAACCGGTAGAAGAGTCGCCACACCGGCAAACCTTTTTGGTGGACTTTGTTTTTTCTTCACAGCAATAATTTTTGGTCGTACTGTCAGAGGGTTTGCAATCAGAAGTCTTGCAGTCAGAAGTCTTGCAATCAGAAGGTTTACAGGACTCATCGGATTTAGTGCAAGATTTTTTAGATTCACAATCTTTCACACAAGACTTTTGCTTAGAGCTGTTGCACTCACAAGTAGATTCGGTGCACATGCATGAATCAGTGGTGCAGCAGACAGAAGATGGCAAAGGATCAACAAGAGCTTTAGTCTTTTGACCGCAGCATGAAAGAGAAGCACACTTGCAAGATGAATCACAGGCACACATCATTGGAGTTTGGGAAGTAATAGTAGAGATGCAGGACATTTTTGTGGTTAATATAGTAGATACTAGTGATTGTAATAATAGAAGTAGACTGGGAATGATAAGTGAATTTTAGATATAAGAAAAGAAAAATTGATTGATGATTAGAAAAAAGAAAGAAAAAAAAAGATAAACAGAAGAAAAGTTGTTCCTTTTATATTTGAAAAAAAAAATTGACTTAAATATAGAAATTAGTTTTTTGACAAGGTCTTGCCACTTTTCGTGGCTTTCTTTTTTTTTTTCTTATTCAAAAGCGCAATTTGTGCCTCCATCTACACCAAAAAAGTACGTCAGCCGCACATATAACACATGCGTGATAATGGCCCTGACATTGTGCGGCTGACTTTAGTCATCTTAATCGCTTCATTCTAGTGTGGCTTGCATCGCATATCAAAATAGCCATTTTTGAGATTTATCGGGGTCACTTGTGAAACGACTTGCGTGGGCGGTTCCAGAAGGTTTGTGCAAAAGAACAAAAAGAAAAAAAAATTATTATGATGTAAACATGGAGTCATTTTTTGGGTTTATCTAAGTCAGATCATGAAAATTTCCTAAAATGGGACATATACAGGAAGTACCGATCACGTCAAGTGTCTTATCTCATATGCTGATAATTTTTTTTTAAAAATTTTTCATCTCTTGTGATCTAATCTCGTTAGTAATCTGAAATCAAAAAATGAAAAAAAAAAAAATTCCTTTTCTACATAACTGACTTGAAAATTTCTAACATATCGCATTTATAAGCATCAAAGATTTTTCTTATCTTGATATAATTTTTCTCCATTATTTTAATTTAGGTTATTAATAGAAAGCAATTTTGATTTTATAAATAAACAAATCACATCATAATGAATTTTTTTAGCATTCAGATATATATAGATATTATTTAATTATTCGAGATTAATAAAATTTAAGTTTACTGTCAAAACAAAACCTCGCTCAATCAACATTTCGTATTACTTCTTGTACTCAATTTCATAAACAGCATTGAACCAATCAACAGCATCTCCAAAAACACGCTCCTTTGCATACTTAATCCAAGGTTGGGAAATGTCACCACGAATAGCAAAACCATGCTCAACACCAAAGTTAAGAGTAAGTCTGTACTTGGCTTTGATTTCTAAAAGAACGTCTTCGGTCTGACGACGAAGAGGTGCCGTAAGCATGTAGTCGTCTTCACTAGCACCAATATATAAAGCACCTTTGATGGCTCTGATTTCATCAATGGTAACAAAAGATGGATGAAAGATAGCCGAAACTTTTACAAAGTCTGTCGCCAAGAGTCTCACAGCATACTTGGCACCAAAACAAAACCCAGTAGCCACAACAAAAGTGGGGTTCCATTTGCTTTGAATTGTTTTCACAACTTGATCAACAATTGGCTGGGTAATTTCAGGAACATGTTTAGGGGCCCAATCGCGAAAAACATCGTAACCCTCTGGGGGGTTGAGCAAAGCAGGGTCACCAGAAAACAAGTCTGGGATGACAACAAAGTAGCCAGTTTTAGCATACTCGTCAGCAAGAAGTTGAGCATTAATAAGACGATGACCAATAATATCACTTAACATCAAGTGGAACTTGGTAGAAGCAAGAGATTCGTCACCAGTAACATAGTACTCAATGCCATCAAGAGTGATGAACTTTCCAACAGCTTCACCAGTGTGTTTAAAGCCTTTGGCGCAGCAGTTTCCAGGAGCAAGAGAAGCCATTTTAGTGATTTTGTTTTCTTTTTTTTTTATATCGAGAGAATTGTAATTTTGTTTTTATTATTTTTTTTGTAAAATTAAAGATGATAATGAATTTCTTTTATATCATTTTATTTGAAGTCCATTGATATCAAGGTTAGGGTAATTTTAAGTGTTAACTAAGCACCTTGTTTGGGTTTCTAATCAACAAGACAATCTTTGTAAGCCCTCTTTTGAGCTGACAAAGTTTCTTTCGAGTATCCATAAGCACCTCGAGGTGCTGAAAAATCTTAAGAAAAGAAAGTAGAAGCGGTAGTTTCTGTATTAAAACAAGGTAAATTAAATTAAAAAATTTTTATTACCCCAGGTTTGCTTTCTTGAATAGTAATCAATAAGTCTCCCAAAATGATAAATTCCTCATTGCAAAGTCAGTCCGATCTCCCCGAAAAGTATCTTGAATGATATCTCCAGAATCTCTTCCAATATGAAGCATCAATTTTTCTTTATCATCATACAATGGCCACCATTGTAACCCCCCATTGTTTGTGTTTGGATTGTAGTGATTAGCAAACGAAATAAAATACTTGCGGTAGGCATTACTGGGGAAACTCTCTGTTGCGTAAAACTGGTATGAAATGTCGCTATAATGGGTACTCCCTAAGAATGGAAGCCGATTGTGCAATGGGTCTGCAAAAAACGTGTATAATGGCGATTTCCTTGTAGGTGTGGCTCCATACTTGAGCATGATTCGTCGCGGCATTGTAAAAATAAGATCAGTGAGAATTGCCGATAGCCATTTAAAATTGGGCCAAAGTTCATTATGTGGGCCAGTCCTAAAGGGAGCTCCTTCAGCGGGATTTTGTGGGTACATGCTCAAAAAGGAGCTTAGTATGTCGCGTGCATACGGGAAAATTCGATGCAGTGCGTTTGCAAACTTTTCAGTCGATGTTGTTAAAAATGCAAAGGCAATTAGTGTTCCTTCATCCTCCAAGCATCCTGCAATAATAGGTATATCAACCAAGTTTTGTGCTGCTACAAAAGAATTTTCATCCCATAATATGCCATCAGGCTTAGGCCCCCAGACGGTAAATAATGTTGCAAAGTCAAAGGAATTGCGCAAACTATGGTCATACATATGCGCTCTAGCAAGTACTTTACTATTCTTTTGTCGCAAGCATGCTAATGCTTCTGTTTGGTTTCCTTCGTGCTGACATCCAGCTGCATTTGAAAATTTCCAAAATAATTTGTTTGAGCTTTGTGAGGTGACTGCGTGGCTAAGAGGTAACAGTCCGCCGCTTTGTAAAATTACTGCATTAAATAAAGGATCTTGTTTAAAAACCTTGGTGATCATTAAATGCGACAAAAGCATAGCTCCACTGCTTTCTCCAAAAGCTGTAATTCTATTCTTATCACCATTAAATGCTTCAATATTTTCCTTGATCCACTTGAATCCGTTAATCAAATCCCACATTGCTGCATTTGTCGAATTTTCAGCTCCAATACCATAACCCCCTAGAAACCCCCATGGTCCTACACGGTAGCTAAGGGAAACGTAAATGACTGGTTCATTCAATTCCACACTGTCTTGAATAAACCTGTCGCCTGGGTAAAGCATGGTGGATCCAAACTGAAACGCGCCTCCGTAGACCCAAACCATGACTGGCAACTTTGCATTCCTTGAAAGACCAGTAGGTCGGTACACATTAAGTCTTAAACAGTCTTCACTTTGCTCAGAGTTTAAATATTTAGGGTTGGATGACCAGCCAGCAAAGGGTACCAATTTTGCCAAATAATCCATAATCTCATATGAATCTAAACAATGACAGGGGTTGCCAAAATGTGTTGCTTGAAACCCATTCAAACTGCCTTGGTATGGGACTGATGGTTTAAATCTCAGATTTCCAACTGGCTTTTCTACAAATGGAATGCCTCTATAACTTTCAACATCGTTTTGAGTTATGCCTGTAATAACATCCCCATTTTTCATAACCACATTGACTGAGACAGTAAAAGCAGTAAATAGAAACCATACAATTAAAGCCAGAGATTTCATTTTTTTAGTGTACTATATTACATCGTTATCCCTTGATTAAAGATTTTAAAAGATATTTATATTTTTCATCATTTGCTTTTCATTAAAAAATTGCATAAACTACATTACTATAATAAGAAAAAAAAAATAAGAAAATTGCATAAAGCAACAGTTATTCAAACGCTTTAATAACTGTACAAAATAGACAAATCCCCCAATGCATAATCGGTTCTGTCTCTGCGGAAATCATCTTTTCTAGTGCTGCCACTGTCAGCCATAATATGAAGCATCTCGAGATTTTCGTTAGTGTACTTGGGCCAGTAGGGAAGGCCACCATTGTTGGTATTAGGATTGTAATGATTGGCAAAAGAAATAAAATAGTCACGGTAAGCTCTTGAAGGGAAAGTATTGTCCAAGTAGAATTGAGGAATGAGACAGGATGCATGGGTGGTACCCAAGTAAGGAAGAACATTGTGAAGGTTGTCAGCCCAAAAAGTGTAGGTTGGTGCTGATCGGTTCTTCTCACTATACCTGAGCATAACACGGCGAGGAATTGTAAAGATAATATCAGTAAGTAATGCAGAAAGACGCTTAAAATTGGGCCAAAGCTCATTTGCATCTCCAGTTCTAAAGGGAGCACCTTCAGAAGGAATATCAGGGTACATTTTCAAAAAATTATTTAAACGTTCACCACCATTAGGAAAGATGCGGAGGAGCTTTTCATCAGTGGCAGTGGAATTAAAAGTCAAAAAGAATAGGGAAATTAAAGTGCCTTCATCCTCTTGATTACCTGTAATTATTGGAATGTTGGGAAGGCCATCACGTCTTACATTTTTAAAAGAGTTGCCTTCCCAGAGAATTCCATCAGGTTTAGGGCCCCAAACAGTAAATGTGGTTGGCAAGTCAAAGAAATTTAAAAGGTTTTGATCATAAGTTTGGGCCTGGTAAAGAACCTTTTCATCCTTGGTTCTCAAGCAGGAAAGGGCCTCGGTTTGGTCACTCAAACCACCACAGCCTGCAGCTTCAGAAAAAGTCAAAAATAAGTCATTGGAACTGTTGGAGGTAATGGCATCACTTAAGGGAAGAATACCACCACTTTGCAAAATGGCAGCATGGAAAAGTGGGTCTTCTTCATTAAAAGCAGTACTAGTCATAATATGAGACAGAAGCATGGCACCACTACTTTCACCAAAAGCAGTAATTCTGTTTTTGTCACCATTAAATCTGCCAATATTTTCCTTGACCCAGTTAAAAGCATTGATAATATCGTAAATTGCAGGATTAGTAGAATTTTCTGCACCAATAGCCTCACCACCAAGGAATCCCCAAGGACCAAGACGATAGTTGAAAGTGACAAACACAACGGGTTCACCAAGTGTTACCGAGTCTCTAATAAACTTATCTCCTGGGTAAAGATTACTGGAACCAATTTGGAAAGCACCACCATAAGTCCAAACCATGACGGGAAGTTTCACATGCTTGGGGATACCGGCAGGTCTGTAAACATTGATTGTCAAGCAATCTTCGGCTTGATCTGCAATTTTGATGGCATCAAGAAGAGAAGGAGTTTTCCAACTAACCAAAGGAACAGCTTTTGCAAGATAATCAAATGATTTGTAAGGGTTAATGGAATAGCAAGCAGGGCCAAAGTCAAAAGCTTCAAATCCATCCAAACTTCCCTTGAAAGGCACAGAATGTTTAAATCTCATGTCACCCACAGGTGGCTCAACAAAAGGAATACCTCTGTATGATTCAACACCTCTTTTTTCGTAGCCTAAAATGTTATCTCCATTTTTTAATCTTGCTTGGACAATACTTGGTTTAACTGGTTTTTCGATTGTAAGAGCAGGCTTAAAAGATTTGAATCCATCAAGGTCTGGTTTGCTGGGAAGCATTTCTGGGGAAGGAATCATAGCGTTAATGCCGCCCCAAAGAGCAGCACTGGTATACAGTAATTGTAAAAACTTCATTATTTTGTTTAATTGTTAAAAATAAAAGATATATGAAGCAATTCTATTTGATTTTATACTAAACCCAAGACGTTTGGAGATAAAGAGGGGATTAAAACGGGTTAAAGCGAAGCATTGATACAATGGATGCTTTGAAGGATAAAGAGGGGTGTTGATTGAAAAATCCTGTAATGAAATTTAACCAATATTAAAGCGAGTAAATAATTTATGCACTTTTTGGGTAATCAATTTTAACAAGAATAGCATTTAAAATGTGGTCTGTATAAAATTTGATTCAAAAAAATACTATATAAAGATCGATGCATTATGATTTTTCGGAGTGCAATCTTGAAAGAATGTTTAATAGCTGTTTACAAAAGCGTAACCATATTTAATTTTAAGACTGTTACTTTTCTTGATTTTTACCATTTTACTGAAATTTGAAGCATAATCAAATATTTATAAATCAGCATTGAAGAAATGCTATACCATTTATCATTGAGAAATCTTCAAAAGTTTAACGCAGTTAATGTGATTTCCTTATTAACTTACGCAAAGTTATTTAGAATATAAAAAAATAAACAAACAGTGTGATTTAGTTACTATGGAAGGATTGGATGGTGAAAAAAATACTATTTGTAGCCTTAACTACGAGCCAAACAGGCCGAAAGGCTGGAGTGATATTTAAAGTTTAAACTTAAAGAAAACGTTTTGTTTAACCAAAATCTGTTACCTGCTGCAATTCCTTAACTTTTATGAAAGGGTCCACTCTTTTAAATTTTCAACTCAATTTTTTTTTTTCACCATTGAAGAAAATACTCTACTTTGATATTTTTTTTTTTTCATTCGTCAGAACTTTTAGTGAAGCATATGCTTTAGTAAAAAAGAAATAATGAATCCCTATATCGCTACAGATATTTTGTACCAGTAACATGGAAGGTATGCAAAACCAGTTTCTTAAAAAAAATTAAAATAAAAGTTGTGAAGAGTAAAATCACTGAATAAAGTAAAAAATAAGGTATCGTATTGACAAAACCTAATTGTATGATAGGCTGAACCTAAAGTGTCAATTTTTGATTTTCATTAATCTTTTAATTGTAACGTGTGAATATTTCAAGTCTAACAAAACTCTCTATTATTTTGACAGCTTGAAAGTGTAGATTTTTTGGTAACTTTAATATACTAATTAAGAATTTTTTTTTAAAATTAAATTAAATTAAATTAAATTAAACTAAATAATACTTTTCAAAATTTTTTCAAACATTAATTTTTAGAAAACGAAAACGAACAAACTTTTTTTTTAATAAGCGCTGCTGGCTTATTGACTGTTTAGCATGGCTTTCAAGCTATTTAACAAGGCTTCTTGTTCTTAAGAGAGTCCTTAGAAGGAACCTTGCTCTTCCATCCAGAAAGTTTGCCATTCATATCAGACTTGGAAGGAACCTTACTCTTCCAGCCAGAAAGTTTGCTGTTCATACCAGACTTGGAAGGAACCTTGTTCTTCAAGCCAGAAAGCTTGCTGTTCATACCAGACTTGGAGGGGACCTTCTTTTTCCAAGAGCCAAACTTGGATTTCCAAGAAGAAAAGTCACGCTCAGCAAGAGTGTTTTCATCAGAACCTTCCATCTCGCTCAAAAAGGCAAAAACATCTGCAGCATCAAATTCCTCAGAAGTCTCATCGACAGCAGCCTCGTCAAATTGGAAATCATCAGCAGTTTCATCAACTTCAGCATTGTTAGAGAAGTCAAACTGCTCATCATTGGAAACCTCCTCAAACTGGGACTCGTCAAAAGGAGAGCCTTCAAATTGACCGGGTTGGGAATCAAACTCATCAGGCTGGGCAGCAGCACCATCGTCAAGGAAAGCAGGAGCAGTGGGGACAGCATAAGGAGTCTTGGTCAAGCAAGGAGTGGTAGTAGGCTTAGGCTTAGGAGCCCAGGTAGGCTTGAAGGTGGTGCAAGGAGTGGTAGTAGAGGTAGTGGTAGTGGTGGATGTAGCAGTGTGGGTAGATGTGGTGGTGGTTACCTTAGTCTCAGGGCAAGGAGTAGTAGTAGTGGTGGTAGTAGAGGTAGTGGTTGGCTTAGGAGCCCAGGTAGGTTTAGGGGCCCAGGTAGGCTTTAAGGTAGTGCAAGGAGTGGTGGTAGGCTCAGGGGCCCAAGTAGGTGTAGCAGTGGTGCAAGGAGTGGTGGTAGGCTTGGGGTACCATGTGGAGGAGGTGGTGGTGTCACAGGGGAGTTTCTTTGACCAGGAAGACTTTTTGCCAGACTTGGAAGGCATCCAGGCAGAGAGCTTCTTCTTCCAGTTGGTCTTGGAACCAGAAGCCTTCTTGGAGGCAAGGAGCTTCTTCCAAGAGTTCATCTTGTCAGTCCAAGCGCTGAAATCACGGACAGAAAGATCAGCATCAAAGTTTTCAAGGGCAGAAAGATCAACAGGCTCATTGGATTGAGGGATAACCATGGCATTGGCAACAGCCATGATAGAGGCACCAGCAGTCAACAATTGAGTAAACTTCATTTTTTTTTTCTTAAGAGATTTAATTAGTCGAAGAGATTGATTGAGAGAAGCTTACCAGAGTTGTTTAATTGTTTGTCGATAATGAAAAAAAAGAAGATTTCAGATGAAATTATCATTTATTTATAATTGAAGAAATTGAATGTCAAAATGTCCGAAAGATACAGTAGAAGATCTAGAGATCAAACAAATCTGTATGAGAAGTGATCTTGGTGAATTTTCATACTGGGAAAAAGGTAGCAGCGTTTGGTCTGTAAGATAAGAGCATGTTTGGAAAAATAGTTAATAAGTCTAATCAAATCGAATTCATGTTGAAATATTAACCAAAAAAAAATTATCACAGTGATACGATTGCATTTTTGTTAAAAATAAACAAAAAAAAAAAAAGCGATAGCATGTTTATCAATGAAAAAGATCTAAAAATATCAATATGAATTTTTTTAAAAAAAAGTAGTCAATATATAATAAATATCATAGTAAATATTATCTAACGTTTCTAAAAAAAACTTTTGCATAGTAGTTGATTAATTTGACAGATCAGGGTTCACGATAGCATGTTGGGCCAAAATACAAGTCACAATAGCATAAAGAGTCAAGTTGATGAATCGGCAAAAGGACAGGATTTTTGATTTATAAAAGGCCAATTTAAAATAAAAATTAATAAACACGATGGCATTGTAGATATTTATTTATAAAAAAAAGTTGAAAACGAATGATGGGAATTCGATAACATAGCATGGCCGATATGACGATCTGGGAGAGGAGTAGTTGATTCAAAAAGGCGGGGTGCGGGTGGTTGTGTGTAAAAGACTGACGATAAGCCGTGCATGAAATTTCAAACGGTTATAGATGTTACAAAGTTTTTAAAAATATGTTGTAACAACAAACCCTAATAGGGTTAATTAATTACAACAAAAACAGTCCCGTTTTTTGTTACACTAAAATTTTTTCACACTAAGCATTACTATTTCCAAATTTTTTGTGGCCACCACTAAGCAATTTTTTTTTTGTTAAAACCTCCTTTCCTTTCTCCTCTTTTTTATTCTATACTCCACAGCAGTCTATTGATCAGCACTAAATTCAACAACAATGGGTCGTCTTCACAGCAAAGGAAAGGGTATCTCTGCCTCCGCCATCCCCTACTCTCGCCGCGCTCCTGCCTGGTTCAAGCTCACTCCCGAGTCTGTTGTTGAGCAGATCACCAAGTACGCTCGCAAGGGTCTTACTCCCTCGCAGATTGGTGTCATTCTCCGTGACTCCCACGGTGTCTCCCAGGTCAAGGTTGTTACCGGCAACAAGATTCTCCGTATTCTGAGAGCCAATGGTATGTAATTAATTTTTTTCACTTGGTTATAGTGTCGTAGATGTAGACATTTGATGGGTTTTTTTTATACGAGTCATGCAAGGTGATTCTTGAGACTTGTTTTTCAAAAGACCTGTCTGTCGACATTTTTGCACATGTACCTCTGCTTGGTGAATTATTGCTGACAGAGTGGCTTTTTATAGGTCTTGCTCCTGAGATTCCTGAGGATCTTTACCACTTGATCAAGAAGGCTGTTGCCATCCGCAAGCACTTGGAGAAGAACAGAAAGGACAAGGACTCTAAGTTCCGTCTTATTTTGGTTGAGTCCAGAATCCACCGTCTTTCTAGATACTACAAGACTGTTGGTGTCCTTCCTCCCACTTGGAAGTACGAGTCTGCTACTGCCTCTGCTCTCGTCAACTAGACGTGCTCTTTGTTGAAGTAGTATACAAAAATAAAAGAAAAATTTTCCCACTTATAGACTTTAAACTTGTATTTTTTTTCCATCTTTAAAATGGGGTTGCCACCTGCCACAACTATTGTATTTGTTGGATTACCTGACGGTATTAGTATTGGACTGGATACGTTTTTTTTGCAATCTGGGCCTACGCTACACGGGATTCGTTTAGTAGGACCCGGAGTGCATACGTTACACTGGTCTCACGGCGGGCCCGTGGACAGTGTTGCTCGGCACGGGGTTTTTTTTATTGGAGAGGATGAGTCAGTTGTGAGTTGTCGCTGGGACGCGAACTCGGAAGAAATGCAAGTGGAGCGGCACGTATGCGGTCAGTGCGAAGATGTGCCAACGTTAGAAGCGTTGCACAGGTACTACGAGGGTATGTTGGAGTATGAGCAGTTGCAACAGGCTTATGGGAGCAACACTAGTGGAGGACATCCCCGAGTTGAAGAGCTTGACGAGCACGGGGCTGCACCCAGCGACGTTAGATTTACATGGTCCCAGCAAACGGCCGAGATCATGGGCGAGGATATTGCTCGGGTTTTACCCCAGAAGAGTCAAATAGGTATGTTCTCGGCCGACTCGATGATAGCGACAACTGCAGATGCTCGGGAATTGGATGCACAATTGGGTCATGAGTCAAAAGAAAAGACGGGCGAGTCGTTTGAAGTACTCAATTTTGCCGAAATTGATCTTAAGACAGCCTGGAGACCTGGAGCAATAGGTATGCAACGGACATTAGATTACCTGGACCGCAGCTGGTGTTTGGAGAAGGTGATTGGAACGACTGCTGGGTCAATGCGAGGGTTTGTTGCAGAGCTGGAGCTTGCTTTTGCGATTTTTGTCTTGTATGGGAACGTAAGCTGTGCAGCGCAGTGGCGGCGGGCAGTGACATTGTTAGTGTTCAGCGAGACATATGCAACAGGACCACACTCAGCAGCCTATCTCGGAGTCATGGAGGTTATTGAGCGGCAGCTGCGGGTAATGCCCTCCGAGTATCTGACAGAGGTTGTGGGAGACAAGTACGTGAGAGGCATGTTTGGAACCCTGGTGGAGGCTGTCTGTACTGGCGAGCCACCTGAGGACCGGTGGTTTTCAGGCGGGCCCGAGGGTGCTAGATTGCGGTCAGTTGTGGAGGCAATAGTCCGATTGCTGGAGACCCGATATGGGCTGGAGGGTGTGGACGGCGGCGAAGACTTTTCCCCGCGGGACTGGAGGTGAGCCGCACAGAAATCGGATCCTGGGAGGTTTAGGTGGAGGGCCCACCAAGGCCAGAATGCACTTTTTTTTTTTTCAGTCATCCACAAACAAAAAAGCCCCTCATTGAAAAAAAAAAAATGTATATATATATCCATATATAAGCCGTGGGTTTGTTCAAGACATTTATTTCTTCATTTTAAATTATCACCACAACTTTCCTCATCTTCTTAAGACTTCTTCACTACAAATGAATAGAGAAACTTCGCCGCCTTTAACGCGCGCTGATATGACGCATGACCGGCAGCGAACGTACCGCAAGTTCCCCCGGCTCCACGCAGATAAACACCTGCACAAGCTCAACATTGATGTAGACAAACATCTGAATCCATACTTGGTTTCATCTGCTTCTTTTTTCCAGTACTTGCCAAACCCAGTATCGCGGTTTTTCGGGTACCGCGACACTCGTGGGAATGATGTTCCTCTGCGGCGACGCGGGCCTCCACTACGCACAAAACCGCTACCAGATATTGTTCGGTCCGCTTGGGTTTTAGTGGCTACATTTTCCGGACTTATCACAACCATGTGTGTGATGAAGTACGCCAACACATTTAACGGCAATAACAAACACCATTGGACGGCTCCAGTTATTGTACCGTCATGGGCAGCGGCAGCCATTTTAATTTACAATGCTGTTGAGTCGCCGTTGGGACAACCCCGGAATACATTTTGCGGCAACCTTGTGTCGTCATTTGTGGGAGTGGCCATCACCAAGCTATTTATGTTACGCGCAGCTAACGAGGAACACCTGTGGGTATGTGGCGCGCTGAATGTGGGTGTCGCAAGCATTGCCATGGCGGTCACCAAGACGGTGCATCCTCCGGGCGGTGCAGCTGCACTAATTGCAGCCGTTGATCCGACAATTCGCGGGCTTGGATGGTTTTATATAGTGGTACAGATTGTGACCGGGTTAATCATGTTGTCGGTGGCTTGTTTGTTTAATAATGTGCAACGACGATACCCGCTATACTGGTGGACTCCGTTAACGTTACGAGCGGTTGCAACGCCTGAGGTTCTGGAAGAAGAGCAAAAAACAACGCAGCAGCCGCAGGCAACAACGGTGACGGCACCGGGCGCAATTGTTGGTGAAAGCGGGGGTGGTCCAGTTGAGAGAAAATTGCTTATGGAGAGAAACGCCGCACGGCAACCTCCCGAAGAAACCGTTCGAGCCGCACCACCGGGTAGCAGCGGTAGTGCGGCCACCATGTATGGAGTGGCAGCAGCAACTGCGGAGTCGACAGAAGAAAGAGGAGGAACGGCGTTGGATCTTTTGCCCATAAAAACCGCTGTGGATTCTCTTTCTTCTTCTCTTTCTTCTTCTTCATTAAACTCGTCTGGGTCTTCCAATAATTACTTTGCAAATATGGGATCAGTTACTTCAAAACATAGACGCGACAGAAATGCTCAACAACAAGAAGAAGAAGCAGAAGAAAACACTCCACAGGAGTATGTGGGACCTGCAGTGACAAATGATAATAGGCGGCTTTCACACTCGCTGTCACATACACTTTCACGCACAATCACTCACGTTGTATCAGACACAAACTACACTCAGGTGGTCGGCACGCGGCCCGACGACACAGGAGACCTGGTTTTATCTGGCGGGACTGTATTGAGTCGGCGGCCGACTCGGGTATCAGATGTTGCTGTCAATGGGCAGCAGAGTGATAACCAGGCGGAGGAAGAAGAGACGATAGAGCCGCTAACAGCAAGTGAGGAAGAGGGGCCTGCGGTTGTGGTTCTGCCGTCACATTTTATGTTACCGCCAGGATTGGAATTGACAGAGGAAGAGCAGGTGCTTTTGGGCCGGATCCAGGAGCAGCTCAAAGCCTTGGCAGCTGCCCGGCAGAACCGGTCTGCAGATGATAATGTTTAAGGAGATAAGATTGAATGGAATGTGGACAATTAATGGATTTAGATGATGGAGAATTATTTATTAGCTGATTAAACAAAGAGTTGAGAGATTTATATATAGAATAAACAAAAAAATAATAATAATAATAATAATAATAATAATAATAATAATAATAATAATAATAATAATAATAATAACAAAAATAACAAAAATCTATAAGAACTTCTTGGAGAAAAAAAAAACATTTAAGTTCAAGCAAGTCGCAAGGCAAATATATATATATAAAAAAAAAAAGTCTATCAATTCATAAAAGCCAAAAAAAAAAAAAAAAAAAAAAAAAAAAAAAAAAGAATTAGGGTCGTCATTGTGTGGTGTATTTTACACTGTTGGAATGTATCACTGGGGAATGGAATTAAAGGTTTCACTTGGTGGTGTTGTTGTTTTCCCTCATACTAATAATTGCTCCTCATTGGGCAGACTTGCTACCACTGTCTCCAGAAACATTGTGCACGGCCGAAGATCCAGGCCCCGAAGATTGGGGTCGAACCGGGTCTCCTGCTGCTCCTCCTCCTCCTCCAGCACTCAATGCTGTTGACGCTGTTGTTCCATAACTATACGTCGAGTACCGCGAAAGAGTTGTAGAAGATGATCCGGCTGCTGGCGTCGTGCTTGTAGAAGACGCCTGAAGCTGTTGTGAAGAAAACGCCTCAGAGGCCCGGCGCGGCTTAAAGTCAATGGGAGGTAACCGTAAGGCCAGAGGTGCGACGCGTGGTGATGACGCAGATGACGGCGTTGTGGCAGACATGGGTGGCGACGGGCGTAGAGGGGTGGGCCGTTTGAGAGGAGACAAACGTGTTGGCGACAACCGTGACGGCGATGCGTGTGGGGTTGGCGAGTGGGACCGTGGTGATGATGTTGATGGCCCAGTTGTCTGTGCTGCTGTAGAGGAAGAAGAAGGAGGAGGAGGGGGGGGCACTGTTGCTGTTGCTGGAGCCGAGTGGAGGGGCCGGGAAGATGCGCGCGGGAGCGGCAAGCCAAACTCAATGGTTGGCGGAGCAGGTGGTGGAGGTGAGAGCACTGCGACTGAAGATGTTGGTGGTGCTGAGTGTCCTGTATTTGATGTATTGCCTGAGCCGGTGCCTCCGTGGCCGTCCGGCAAAATGGTGCCTGTAGACACGCGGGTTTCTGAGCGCGGAACAGGTCCAGGTCCAGGGATAGGTGCACGCGAAGTGACACTCCCCACAGTTGTATCAGGATCAATGGCAGCTGACGAGGAACCGCCGCCGCCGCCGCCGCCGCAGGCCTGTGACAAAGACGCCAACGTAGTTGCTGCTGCTGTTCCACTGCGGGACCCACAAGCCTTCCCGTCATCAGTAAGTACGCTTGTATTTGCGTCCATCGAAACGTCCATATCCTGAGCATGTTGTTGGTTGTGGTGACTACTTGCATGCAAATGTGATTTGTTTGCACGGTCATCGTCACTCATTTCCACATCGTTATCTTCTTCCGTGTGCCCAAGTATCGTTGGAATTGGTTTGCGGTCCTCGTCACAGTCTTCTTCTTTCTTTATAAAGCCATGCTTCAGAATCCCATGGGATCCACTGGTCCCGCTGCCGGCCGCAGACCCGGATCCATCTGGTGCTCCACGAGCCTCGGCCTCTCTCAACTGCTCGTACGTTCGCAGCTGTTGCTGCTGGATTGTTTGACCATGCTCTAGACCTGTAGAACTACCACTAGCACTGCCTTCATCACTGCTTAATAAGTGTAAGGGCACCGGTGGTGGTGGAGTTTTTGTTCCTGCACTTGGTGCATATCCATGCCCCGTGTACCCGTAGGCTGCTGTTGCTGCTGGTGGAGGAGGAGGAGGAGGATGATGATGATATTGCTGATGGTGTTGACGAGCATAAAGAGCCGGTGGAGTACTTGTTGATCTCATGATAGACGAACCCGAGTACTGATGATAATGTTGTGGGTACTGTGAATGAGATGGTTGTTGTTGAGAAGAAAGGTCAGGTCGAGACCCGGATGCTGGGCTGCTATTGCTATTGTATGCATAAGATTGTGTTCCTGGGTATGCGCTTGCCGATGCCGATGCCGGAGCCGATGTCGACGTTTGATGTTGTTGTTGTTGCTGTTGCTGCTGCGGGTAGTGCCGCGAGGGTCCAACTTGCGCCTGTACAGGTGTTTGGCCAGGTGGAGGTGCTGATGCTGCTGCTGATGCTGTAGATGCTGCTGCATTCTGTGGTGTGGCGGTTGCCTGGGCACCTACTGTGCTGGTTTTGGCATTACTTACACTCGTGCCAATGTTGCCGCTGCTGCTGCTGCTGCTGCTACCATTGTTACTACCTGTATTAGTTGCAGTATCACTACTAGCTAAGACGTTATTGCTGCTTCCACTGGTGCTGGTGTTACTGTTGCTCCCGTGTTCAGAACTCGTGTAATATGCCGCGTACTGCTGAGCACCATGTGGGCCGCTAGTACTACTATTACCCCCATGCTGCTGCTGCTGCTGCTGCGAGTTCACCGGTACTTGAGAATGATTTAGTGGAGAACGTTGCTGTGATGTTTGAATTTGTGAAGAAGCAGCATTAGAAGAAGAAGAAGAAGAAGAAGAAGAAGAAGAAGATGATGATGATGATGATGATGTAGAAGAAGAAGACGAAGACGACGAAGAAGAAGAGGTTGTTGTTGTATTTGTATTTGTATTTGTTGTATTTGTTGAAGACGCATAATATGGAGCCGCATACTGGTGGTTGCCCGAGCTTTGTGCGTATCCGTATCCCTTTGTTGTAGATGCTGAGGCTGAAGAAGATGATGGTGCTGACGTTGAAGATGCAGTATGTTCATATCCATAACTAGAATACCCTGTGGGCTGTACTGGTTCTGATTTTTCAGGAGATGAGCCAGGAGGTCGTGGTGTAAGATGATGAGAAGGTGCAGGAGGCCCTAATTGAGTATGTCGTTGAGATCCTGGTGGATGAGGAGGAGGTGGTGGAGGAGGTAGATGTGGAACTGGTCCCGGGGGAGCACTTGCTGGAGGAGGAGGACCCGGAGGAACCCCATGAGGAATATGGATTGGTGGTGGAGGTGGGTGTCTAGCTTGGGATTGTTGGGATTGTTGTGATTGTTGTTGTTGCTGCTGTTGTTGTGTTGGTCCTGTCCCTTGAGCATGTTGTTGTTGTTGAAAAGATTGGGGTGGTGGAGGTGGAGGGTACGAGTATTGCGGGTATTGAGAGTACTGTGGTTGTGGCTGGCCCGGTACCTGGCCCGGTTGTGGTTGTTGTTGTTGTTGTTGTTGTTGCTGCTGCTGCTGCTGCTGCTGCTGTTGTTGTTGTTGTTGTTGTTGGGGTCCTACTGGGGGATGTTGGCCTGGTTGTGCTTGGTACCTCAATTGGGTGAGCTCTTGTTCCAAGGTCAAAATATAGTCCACAGCCTTTTTCAAAATCATGGCTTTAGAGTCCTGGGTACCCTTACAAAATGGCACGCATGATCTGAGCAGCTGGAATCCGCCGTTAATGTTTTCTCTACGTCGTTGCTCAGATAAAATATGGGCATGCCTCCTGCTAGACATGGACGAAGAAGATGTCCCAGAGGTAGTATTAGAAGAAGATGATGAGGATGTTGTTGATGATGATGATGTAGCAGAGGTTGCAGAAGTCGTAGTAGATGATTGGTTTGTAGAAGATCCGGGTCCACCAATGGATCCAGGAGGAAGAGGAGGTTGTTGATGAGGCGCAGGAAGCGGTGGTGGTTGGACTGAGTATTGATATGGGTAGTTGTACGGGTATGGTTGTTGTTGTTGTTGAGAAGGAGCAGGAGCAGAAGGTTGTTGTTGAGGAGGAGCAGGAGGAACAAGAGGTTGCTGTTGCTGTTGCTGTTGATGTTGATGTTGATGTTGTTGATTTGGTACTGGAGGTGGAGGTGGTGGTGGTGGTGGATGCTGTTGATGAGAATACATGTATTGGGGATGCTCTGTTTGGAGATGGTACTGGACTGAGTGTTGCTGCTGATGCTGCTGATGCTGCTGATGCTGCTGGTGCTGCTGGTGCTGTTGGTGCTGCTGGTGCTGTTGGTGCTGCTGGTGCTGTTGGTGCTGCTGGTGCTGTTGGTGCTGCTGCGGAGCATTTTGCTGCTGCTGTGGAGCATGTTGCGGACCTGGCGGTGGAGCATGTTGGTGCTGCTGTGGAGCATGTTGCGGACCTGGCGGTGGAGGTGGATGTGGATGTGGAGGATGTTGCTGTTGTTGTTGTTGTTGTTGCTGGTAATAATAGTATGAAGAGTAAGGATACTGCGAGTACTGCTGATGCTGTTGATGCTGTTGTTGTTGATTTGCATCTTGCTGAGCCAAAAGCGCTGGGTCTGTTTGTTGATGAGATGTTGCATGTTGTTGTTGTGGAGTTGAAGAAGATGAAGATGATGATGCTGGAGCAGGAGCAGGAGCCGCCATGTGTTCTGGATTCTCATCAGCTCGTTTTTCCTTCTTGACAACCGAGGGGTCTGCCAAAATTACTGATAGAACTTCAGAGGACTTGCGTTTGCGGAGCGCTGAGCGGCCTGGAGCTGGCTGTTGTGGAGGAGGAGGAGGAGGAGGAGGAGGAGGAGGAGGAGGCAATTGGAGATGAGGATGATAAGCTTGTGGAGTTTGCTGGTGGTGATGTGCTTGCGGATATTGCTGATGGTGTTGTTGTAGCTGCTGCTGTGACTGCTGCTGTTGTTGTTGTTGAAGATGATGATGAAGATGACTATCTGAAGGCCGCCTAGGTGGATAATCTTGAGGAGCCTGCTGGGCTGAGCCCGGCGGGTTCTGAGGCATCATTTTGAGAGATGATATTGTGGCAAGATTGTTGTTATTGTTGTATGGATGGAATGTAAAGAGAAAGCGAGAATTAAAAAAAAAATATATATATTGATGGATAGATTGGACCTATTTTTATTTTTTTTTGTCTAATGCTGGAGAATTGGAAATGATGGTGAGGATTTAATTCTATTATTGATAATCCAACAGAGTCTAAAGATGATGGTCAAAGTATGAATCAAAAGGACTTTTGATAGGACTTATTATTATATTTGTATTTTTTTTTTTTGAATATATAAATGATTGAAGGTGGCCAAAGAGGGGAGAGAAAAAGGGAGGGTTATTTTTTTTTGTTTTTTTTTTTAGGGGATAAAAAAAATTTACAAGAAAATGGATTTAAAAAAGGAGAATTTTACTTGAGAATGAATGAATGAATAAATGAATGACTTTTGAGATTTAAAAAAAAAAAAAAAAGAAGAAAGAAAGAAATAAAGGAAAAAGAAGTGAAGTTGATGATGAAAACAAAAAAAAAAAAAACAAAAATAAATAAATAAAAACCAAGAAGAATGAAAAGACAAAAAAAAAAGGGGAAAATATTTATTTGTTATTATTATTATGATTTATTATTTATTTATTTATTATTTTGGTCTTTAAAAGTTTTTTTTTGTTTATTTTTCAATAACAAAAAAGAATGGACGAAATAATTTTTTTTTTTTTTTTTACTTTTTACTTTTCTTTGGGGACATTCCAAAATAAGAAACGCACATTTCGTTTCTTTTTTTTTATTTTTTATTTTTTAAATTTTATTTATTATTTTTTTGTTGTTGTTGTTTTTATTTTTTATTTTTTAATTTTTAATTTTTAATTTTTAATTTTTAATTTTTAATTTTTTTTTGTTTTTGATTTGAAAATTCACAAGAAACGGCGACCTTTTGAGGCTGTAAAAATAAATAAACAAAACTTAATATTTATAAAGCGATCACGTGGCTGCATTCCACACCCTCCTCTTCTGTATGGGAATTTTCCTCCTCTCTCCAAAAACTAAAAAAAAAAAAAACAAGCCTTTATGGCTTATTGAAATTGAAATAGAAATAGAAATAGAAATAAAAAAAAATCTTAAATATTTATAAGTTTCGTCTATTTCTCTCAAAAAAAAAAAAAAAAAAAACCAAAAAATCGGATCGTTATATATTTGTAATTCAATTTATTTCAATGTTAATCTTATCATAAACAAAATCAAAATTAAAATTAAAAAAAAAAAAAAAAAAAAAAAAAAAACCGTTCAAGTCGGGTCTTCTTCCCCTGCTTCTTCTCTCCACAGTTAAATCTCACTATTCCACCCAATAGCACCCAAAGATCTCTTTCTCAACTTTTTTTTTTTTCTCCGACGTCAATATATTTTATTATGCTTAGTAGACTATTTTTTTAAATAATTTTTATTATAATTATTATTATTTTCTTATTTTTATTTTCACACTAAACAAACAACAAAAACAAAAACAAAAACAAATCATTTTTGACGTCGTCGGGACTACACTATATATATATATTTATTTATTTTAGTTGTGTTGTCTTTAATAAAATCCCTTTTTGATTTGTGTGGTAGTATCAATCAATATCTTCTCCAATGTTTTCTTCCTTTCGTTAATACTACTACAAATCAAATATAAATAAAAAAAAAATTTTTTTGAAAAAAAACACAACTTTTTGTCCTGAATATTCCTGTCTTTTGGAAGAAGATGAGAAAGAAAGAAAGAAAAAAAAAAAGGGTCTTATATATATACCTTGATTAAATCTTAAGCATATCCATTAATACATTGCACCCAAAAATATCAATCTTCTCTCATCCCAAAAAATGTCTATTTCTTTTCCACAAGATGTGTGCTAAGCAATCCATCCATGCGCTAGTGGGCTTCTTGTATCGCAGACTATTATTATTATTATTTTTTTTTTTTTGCTCCTTCCATCCCTCGTGAACTGTGCGCGTGAACTTCCATGTGTAAGCGCCTTGTCCTTGTTGCTTTGTGTGATAATATCAAGTCCTTGTTTGTTTCTTAAATTCTTAACAAAAAAAAAAATCAAAACAAATAAAACATTGTGTTCTCTCTGGTTACCAAAGCTTTGACCTTTAATTGATATTTTAATTGATTTCTTTAATAAAATAAATAAAAATAAAAATAAAAATAAAATCTCCATTTTGAATTACCTTTTTGTTAATAATAATAATAATAAAAACAAAACAAAAAAATAAGAAAACCCTCCTTCCTTTACTTTGCCGCGTAGACGCGAGTATCACATTTGCGATGCTTCTCATCATTGCTCTTTATGCCCATGTGTTCTCGCATACGTTTAACTTTAAAAAAAAAAAAAAAAAAAAAAACCCTTCCTTCCTTCGAGACCAGCCGCTAAAACAGTTTTAACTAAAGTCTCTATTTTTTTTTTTTAAGCTCAAGTACCATATGGGCAAGGCAGGTGTCTGACTATCCCTGGAAACGAAATGTAAAAAACAACGATGAAAAAAAAAAAAAAATTTGGCTTGTTGTTGAGTTTTTTTTTTTTTTTTTTAAAAAAAAAAAATAAAAGAGAACGTTGTTGGGTCCAAAATGATGATGTCAATAAAAAAAAATAAAAAGATTTTGTTTGTTTGTTTGTTTTTTGATATTACTATATGGACACCACCAATATGAATATCCAGAACTGGAATAAAAAAAAAATTGCCAAAAAGCTAATCATTTCAAATCGTCATATCCATATAAGGAATATTTAAAAATTTTAAAATTTCTCTTTCTCTTACTCTTACTCTTTTAAAAAAAAATAAATAAATAAATAAAAACCAATTGTCACAATATTTTAAACAAGGACCATTAAATGTTGCAGATATTAATATTATTATTATTTAAAAAAAAAAAAAACTCATAAATATTAACTAAATAAACATTGCAAATTTTGATGATGCAATAAATTTATTTTTTAGAATAAAAATAATAAAAATAAAAACTAAAAACCTCTCCCTACTAACCTCCCTAAAAAAAAAAAAATAAAAAAAAAAATCTTTTCTCCTTCTTCAACCTATAAATTGCCTTGAAAGATAAAAGTTTGAAGTTTTCTAAATAGCTTCCATAACAAAAAAAAAAAATTAAAATTAAAATTAAAATAATTCCATCATCTAGTCTAAAAGCCTTCCAATCATTTTTGGAACTTCGCAGTCGAACATCATCATCATCATCATCATCATCATCATTTGCAGCAGCAGCAGCAGCAGCATGCCTAACAGAAGCTTACAGGTTTCCCAGAAAATTATAAGCTTAAGTTGGTCAATAATAACTAAAAAAAAATAATTAAATAATTAAATAATTAAATAAGAAAAAAAAAATAATTAAATTTTTCATCTTTTGGGTCTCACTCCGCTCTATCATAAACCTCTACCATATCTTCTTCTTCTCCCTCCTCCCTCTTCTTCAACACAACATCAACCCCAAAATGACCCGGATCTGGGTGCAACATAGGGAACCCGACAAGCTTCCCGTCAATGTAAACACATGGCTGCACGCGCAAAACTTCAGCTGGCTCACTTGAAAACTCTCGCCACCTGCTCATATCCCGTGCATCTATCCCCACAGGGTACCCCACACTCACTACTGGTTTAGGTTCTCCTACTTTCAATTGTTCCTGGTCATCTTGTCTCTCAGGTCTTAATCGCACCCAATATCGCTTGTCAAATAAAACCCAGCCCTTTTCTTCTTCTTCTTCCTCTTTAGTAGCTCTTCTCAATACTTTCAATTGCTGCTGTTGTCGTTGTCGTTGTTGTTGTTGCCATTGATCCCTTGTCTCCCCTTGACTGCTATCACTGCCTCGCTCAGCCTGTCGTCTTATTTCCCACACAAAGACAGTTTTAAAACATCCCTCGCAATTCTCTCGTTGGTTCTTCAATCCTCCTCCAGTATAAACACCCCATCGTGTCCATTCCAATCCTCCCAGAGTAAATCGCTCGTTCTTTTCTGCAAAAACACTCTTCTTCCGACGTGCCTTTTTCTGTATCCTTTGCAATATGTTAATATCATCCTTCTTCTTCTTCTCTTCTTCGTCTTTGTATCTCTTAATATTGTTGTTATTATTATTATTTCGCTCGTTGTCAATCCCTAAACCCCCCAATGGATAAGCCTCACAACTACCTTTGGATATCCACTTTGGTTTCCCCACCGCCTTCTCCTGCAAATTCCCTCCCTTTTCTGTCAACTTCCTCCTCTTCTTTTTCGTCTCCTGCATCCGCATGGCCGCGCGATACAGCCGCACATACGCGTACCCGTTCTGAGCCCGCTCCTCTCCAGGCAAAACCCGCGCAACAAGCCTCCCCACAACACCGGCCGCAGCTGACACGCGTGCATCCATCAACCCGTCCCATTCACCAAAATATACCGTCCCCCGAACAACATCCAAATATGATCCCAACGGTTCTACCGGGTCCCCTAAACTTTTTTTGTTTTGCTCACCCCACTCTTGGATCCACGCTTCAACCCCGTCTTTACGGGTCTCGTACTTCTCGCACTCCACGTGCGGAACCTCACCATAGATCCGCGCAGCTTCGGCATCTGCTGCAGCTCGGCGCTCCTGAAATTCACCAAGACATTCTAGCAAATTGTCCCGTCGCAAAGCCCGAGGCAGTTGAGTCTGATCGGCCAACATGGAACGAATCGCATTGCGTAGTGTAAGTCCTGGGTCAGCATTGGTCGGGTCTTCAAACCATTGAACCCCGTGGCTTTTGCACATACCGTACAACTCATTTTTGCTGAACCCCAGCAGCGGCCGCACCAAAAGCACATCAGCCCCAGTTCCTGGAGGAGAAATCTCCCAGTATGGTGCTCTCGCTGCCATTGCCGCGAGCCCCCGTAGCGAGCTACCTGTAGTGAGCCGTAGTAGCATAGTTTCCAGCTGGTCATCCTGGGTATGTGCAAGCAACAAGTGTCTGGCACCTGCCCGTTGGCATGCTTTCCGTAGTAGCCGCAACCGCCGAGTACGTGCCTCAAGTTCAAACCGTGCAAGATGTGCCTCATTAGGTTTGGCTCCTGAATTATTGTCATCGCTGGTCCCATTGTCGTTCCAGTTAATTTTCAAAATTTCATGTTGTGCACCAAGTTCTCTTACTAGAGATCCCACAGCTTGTGCCTCTTCCGCACTTTCTGGTCGTAGCCCATGGTCTACTGTTAATCCAATGACTGTAGTTCCGAGTGGAGCCAAGCAGCGGGTTGCTAGGCTGGTAAGAGCCATCGAATCGACCCCTCCAGATACAGCAATGCAAACTGTTTTAGGGAGAGTTGATGTAGAACCAAGGGAAGTTTCCAAGGCTTTTGTAAATCTAGCAAGCATTGATTTTTTTTGAGTGATTGAATGGATTTTTTTATGTCCAGTTGTGATGATCTTGTTGAAACATTTTGCCTAAAATTTTCAACTGCTCAACTTATTATTTTACGGTAGTTATTTATTTAATATATATGTTTTGAACCCTAACCCCCCCTCCTCCCCCCCTCTCTAAAACGCTATTAAACACCCAACCCATTTTTATTTTATTTTATTTTATTTTTATTATTTTTTAAACCTTTTCATGATCTTCCCACCAATAAATATAAACATTTGATCGATTGCCCACTCTTCCACAATGCAAATGGTAAGTCTCTTCGATCCTTCGATCTTTTAAATATTTTAAACAAACTAAATTCTAAATTCTAAATTTTAACCTTTTTTTTTTTTTTTTTCATTATTTTTCTATTAGCTCCCTGCTGACCATAAGCCTAACCCAGAGATTGAGGTACTCTGGGAAGACCAGGAACGTATTAATACTTTCAGCAAACTCAACTCACGTATCCGTGTACTGAAAGACCGTCTCAAGACACATGAACAAGAAAAGGAATACCTGAGTGACGTGGAAATGGAGCTTGAATTACTTGATGAGGATGATCAGGTTCAATATAAGATTGGAGAGGCGTTCATCTACCTTTCACAAGAAGAAGCATTGGAGCGACTCCAAAGAGATACAGAAAATGTCGATAAGCAGATTCAAGAAGAGGAACAACAAATTGGAGAGACTGCCCAGCAAATGACGGCTCTCAAGGGATTACTTTACGGGAAATTTGGCAATGCAATTAATTTAGAAGCTTAACTATTGTTCATTATCATTAAAATTATCATTATCATTATCATTGTCATCATTATTATTATATGCTTTATTATTATTATTATTAATACATTGTTTTAATCAATTATTTTATTTTTTTATTGGTTAATTTTGGCTTCTTGGTCCTTTTCAACAAAAAATGGATAATCAGCATCATTTATTTCCGCAAACTTTGCCAGCACATCTTCTTGGGTTTTGTAAGTGTCTGCAAACGTAGCAAGGTTTGTAGGGGTTACAGCAAACCCATTGAGTACTGTATTGTATCTGTAGACAATGCTAAAGCCCAGGTCTTTAAGTTTGGACTCGACTGTGGAAACGACTTTGGAAGGAGTTTTGAATCCCTTTTCAAAAACAATAATGTAACGGCTGGAAATGGAATCGTCAGCGAAAACGACTGCGACAATGAGGGCAAAGAGAGTGAAAATGGTGGCGAAAAGGCGCATTTTAATATTTAAATGTGTTGAGTAGTTGTGTGTGTGTGTGTGTGTTTTTTTTTTAAAAAAGAAAATAAAAAAGGTTTTTGAGTTAGTTTTAAAATGAAATGAGAAAAAAAAAAAAGTTTTGAACAGAAAGAAGAAACAGAAGAAGAAAAAAAAAAGAAGGAGATTTTTATATGGAGATTTTAGAAAAAAAAAAAAAAAAAAGGAGAAAGGAAGAAGAAAGAAAACGAAGGCAGCCGCGGGGTTTTTTAATATAAAAATAATACATAATACATAGTACATAGTACATATTACATATTACATAGAACATGAAAGTTAAAATTTATTATATTAGATATAAGACATATACCATATGACTTATATAATTTTAAAATGACTCTACTACTACCGCCACAAACTTTCTTTTTCTCTCTCTCTCTCACCCCCCCTCACAAAAAAAAAAAAAAAAAAAAACGCTTCTCCCTCATTTTTCCAATGGCTTCCAACCCCTCCCCTCAGAAAAAATTTTCCTTCTCCAGACACGGCAAAAAAAAAAAAAAAAAAAAAAAAAAAAAAAAAATTAAAAAATAAAAATTAAAAAAAAAAAAAAAAAAATTTTTTTTATTTTTTTTATTTTTATTTTTTTTTATTTTTATTTTTTATTAATATCATCATTACCATCATCATCTCCATTATCATCATCATATAATAATAAATAACACCAAAGGATCCATTTTAATACCTTATAATCAATACTTTCTATTAATATCTATCATTTAACCCATTTCTTAAACCCTTTTAAGTAGTCCAAATATACAACTCAATAAACAAAACTCCATTTATCCATTCACTTAAACCCTGAAACCCTTCAACCAACCAACCAACCAACCAACCACCCCACTACTACCACGGACTGCTTTTCTTTACGAAATGCTCTAGAAGCCAACATTTAAAAGGCCTTTTCATCATCATCATCATCATCATCATCATTACTATCATCATCATAATAATAAAACAAACAAACAAACAGTATAGATAATCCAACATTTAAATAACCTTTTCTTGTCTTCTCATCAATAGCCCCCTTTTCCATAAATATAACTACTACAACAAAGAATTAAAAAAAAACACACACACACACACAGTTTTAACTTAAAAAAAACAAAATAGTTATCATCATGTCTTCATATTCGGCTTCTACTGCTACTCGCCGTGGCTCTGTTGTTCCTCCACTTGTAGGAATCGAAAGACCTTTGGTCCAACCTTTGCCTGAAGAATGTGATGTCCTCATCTCAGGAACTGGTCTTGTCGAGTCCATGCTTGCCTCTGCACTTGCCTGGCAAGGTTCTCGTGTCATTCACATTGATCCCAACCCTTCATACGGTGACGCTTATTCCATCTTCAACATTGAGGACCTCAAGTCTTGGGTACAACACGTCAATAGTATGTACTTTATTCTCACATTCAAACCTTGTCTAACCTCTTTTTTTTTTTTCTCTCTCCATAGCATCAAGAGATTCAATTTATTCTAGTGCCATGCTCTACATCCCCCAGCCACTTGAGAGTCGTCGCTACTTCATCGACCTGACACCTAAAATCCTCTTTGCTAAATCAGACGTCCTTCCTATCCTCATCAAGTCTCGTGTCAACCGTTACCTCGAATTTAAGCCCCTCTCTTCCTTCCACACTTTTGAAAATGATTCCTTTGACCGTGTTCCAGGCACTCGTGAAGACATTTTCACCGACCAGAGTCTTTCTCTAATGACAAAGCGTAACCTCATGCGCTTTATGAAGTTTGTTCTCAACTACGATGACTCCCAAACAGATGCAAGGGAAAAAAATACCCCCATTTGGCTCCCATATGCAAACAAACCTGTCGTCTCCTTTATCCGTGACAAATTCAAACTCGAGCATCAACAAATAACAGAGCTCGTCTTCTCCATTGGCCTAGCTACCTCTCCAGACATTTCTACAATTAATGCCCTTGCTCGCATGAAGCGTTACCTTGTCTCACTCGGTGTCTTTGGACCTTTCCCCTCTCTCTACTCAACCTATGGCAGTGCAGGTGAACTCGTCCAAGCCTTTTCGCGGTCAGCTGCTGTTGCTGGTGCCACCTATAAGCTCAACACTTCTGTCGTCTCATACAAGGAATCAACCAAAAACGATGACAATACCTCCGAAGCTCTCGTCACTCTCTCAGACGGTTCCAAAATCAAGGTCAAGGAACACACTATTCTCTCACCCAACTCTCTCATGAAGCTGGCTGTTTCACTCGACCCTTCAGTTTCGCTCGATGACCAGTCATTGGAAATTAATAAGCGCGATGTCAAGCCTACAATACCCACAACTACAAGCGGCATTGGAAATAGCTTATTACAGCACCAGCAACAACAAATACCCAAATTCCCCTCTACCCCTACATCTAAATCTACTACATCCACATCTTCATCGTCCTCTGCTGGCCGTTCAGAGCTCACCCGTATAGTCGCCATTGTCGCTAAGGACTGCAAGGAATGGTTCTCGGAAAACGAGCAGGCTGCCATTGTTGTGTTCCCTCCTAAAACGCTGCCTTCTGAAAACAGGTTTGCCGTGCAGGCTATTGTCATGGGCAGCGGCACAGGACAATGTCCTAGGGGCCAGGCTATTTGGTACCTTTCGTCAACAGACCCCATCACGTCGCGCGCACGTGTTGACCTTGAAGAGGCTCTAAAGAAGCTTGAGTCCAGTATCCTGCGCGAATCTACAAAGGACTTTGAATTCTCTGACATTGCTGAAGGTGACGTTTCTGTGCGTCCAGATGGTATCCCTGTTCTTTCTTCCATCAAGCTTGGCCAATCTCTCCAGAACTTTGTCCCTAAGGAACGTCTTCAATACTTGCTTAAGTTGTGCTATTCACAACGTCTCACAACCCCACCAAACGAGTATGTGGCTGCTGTTGAAAAGGCATGGGGTACCCCAATGGATCTGACCAAGCCCAGCAACCGTATTGGGTCTAACAAGAATTTAACTGGACAAAATGAAGAACAAGAAGATTCTGGGGAAAACTCTAAGGTGACTGTTGCTCCATGCCCGCTTGCGGAGATTTCTTATGACGGTGTTGTAGATCAGACGTTGCAAATTTACGAGAAGATTGTGGGTTCTGACGATGACTTTTTCGATCTTGATTTCGAAGATGATGATGAGTTGCCACCCCAAACTCACCAAGATAGAGGTGTTACCGGTGGTTCTGATGCTTCAGGATCTACAGCTGGTGCCTTGGTCGGATCTACAATTACTGCAACTTCTACTGGTCCAGGAATTCCTTCAGGTTCTGCATCATCTGCGGCCACCATTGCTGCTGTCGCTGCCGCAGCCAATTCTTCAGCCATTGTTGATGATGACGATGACGATGATGTGGATATGGATGATGATGACGGTCATGTTCCGGATTTTGGCGATGACATGGAGCTGTAAAACGTTGTATGTTTAGGCCCTCCCCCCCAAAAAAAAAAAAAAAAAAAAAAAAAAAAATTGTTTTCATTTTTTCTTTTGTCTCTTTTGTGTGTTTTGGTTTCCGTCGATCGGTTTCTTTTAAATTTTTTTTTTCTTATTCTCTCTCTCTCTTGAAAAAAAAAAAAAAAAAACCTAAAAAAAACTTAAAAAAAAACTAAAAAAAAAAACAAAATCTTTAAATCTTTAAATCTGTATATTTTTTTTTTTCCCACTTTGATTCTTTATCTATCTTATTATTCTTTTTCTTGTATTTAGTTGTTGTTTTTCTTCTTCTTTAATTTCTTTTTTATGATACAGAAATACTTTTTTTTTTTGGTGTTTTTATTTTATTTTATTTTATTTTAGAGTATGCCTTATTTCATTTTGAAACTTCTCTCTCTTCCATTTTATACACTCTTGTCAATTAATGATGATGACTATGACTATGATAATGATAATAATAATAAAAAAAAAACCTTTTAATGAATCTCCAATTTAATCACCTGAAAAAAATAAATCCCAATCTTGATTAATTATTACGAATTGACGTATCTTTTATCTTTTTTTTTTTTTTTTTTTTTTTTAACTATTATTAGGGATACTTCCCCTTCCCTTTTAATTGCTAAAGCTTCTATTACTTGGATAACCCCGTTTCCTGAACGACTTTTTGCACAAACGTGTCAATAAATAACGCTGCCTCGTACTTGGCAAGACTCTGATTCACTGAAAAATGCTCCGGCGGCGATGACACCTCCTCCTCACCATCATCATCTTGAGTCCCACCATTTTCGTGCAACAATGTTTGAGCACGCGCAGTGTCGGCCAGCAACGCGCGCACGCGCTCTCCTAAAAATGCAACCGTATCTTCCAGCGGTAAAATCTCCCGATATGCTGCTGCTACTTCTTCAGTTGTCAGCCCACTCATGTCACCGTTGCTACCATCTTGCGTTTCTGCAAAACTTTCATTTCCCAGGTCAGCTTTAAACTCTAACACTGCACGGCACCGCGCTTTTGTAGGCTCCAGAACCTCAGAAATTAGGGTAGACGTGCGTGCATTCTGCACAGCAATGAGACGCGATAACGTGTGTTCAAAAATAAGTTGGCGCTGTAGATCTGCTATTTGCGAGTACAGCGCATCTGCATCGTTTTCAACACCAAGTCCAGATGAGTCCAGTGACGTTTCTTCAGACGAATTTGCGGCCAGCGCAGTGTCTGAGGAAGATGTTTCTACCGAGGATTTATTTGGAGACGAAGAAGAAGAAGAAGAAGAAGAAGAAAAGGAAGAAGGTAATTGGGGACCTTTGGAAGCCTTCAGTAGAGGTGAAGGCTCGGGTATATTTTCAACATTAGGGGTGTCTTCAATTTCAACTGTGGTACTTCCACGCGTTGTTGCAGCCCGTGGTTTGACTATGGCTTGCTTTTGTTGTGTTTGAACAAGTGGGGGTAATGTAAAATCAATGCCACGGTGGTGGGCCAGACGGATCCAGCCGCCTTCAATGAGTTCTCCTGGAATTATAAGTAAATTTCGCAGCAAGTATAGTTCGTACTTGTCAAAACATTTATCGACTATACTTTCAAACAATGTTTCGAATTTGGCTGTTCCTAGCTCCATTTCCGCCGCAATGTCAATTTCTCCATTTTCTTCGTCGTCCAACGCGTCACGAACCTCAATTTCAGAAGACGATAAATCTCGTGATTGAGATGGTGAAGAAAAATTACTGTTGTTAAGTCGTCTGCGTTTGAGTAGACGCGCACGGTCACTTTCTTCGACGCGTAAATGCCCAGTGGGGTATCTGCTTGCTAGAAACTGGTCCAAGGCTGCTGTGCATTTATATAAAATCTCATTTGCAGCGTTAATAACGTCGTCCACCAGCGCAATCGGCACGTATCCTAGATGTTCAGTCAGGATTGCCGCACTACGAATGAATGGGTTTTCAGTCATTGAGATATAATCTTATAGCTGTTGTTATTGATTTGGATGAAGGAACGGTGATTTCTTTAATGATTGGAATTTGACAAGACCACTGACAATAACAACAATAACAACAAATATAGAAGAGGCAGATTCCCTGATGCAAATCAAAACACTGAATGTTACAAGTGAGGCTGTAATTTAGGGCTTTATTTAGCCCTAATTACATTATTAAGATTTGTTTGTAACATATTGAAAAGTTATTGTTATATATTACATAATTTTTTTTTTTTCACCAGTAAGCAGCGCCTACCACCAAAAAAAATTTTTATTGAATGTTTTTTTTTTTTTTTTTTGTTTCTCTTTTTCCTCTTTTTTTTTTTTTTTTTTTTTTTCCCCAAGGACGGAGCAGAACCTGTTTTTTACCTTTTGAAACATTTTTCTTGACGAAGAAGTCCCTCGACTCTTAGTATCATATCCTTATATCTATAATCAAAATGGTATGTACTTGATACTTTTATCATACTAAAAAAAAAACAAAAGACAAATACCTTTATTAACGCCTTATCCTTTAGTCTGACGTTGAAGAAGTCGAAGTTCAGGAAGTTGCCGTTGAGGCCGTTGGCCAGGGCGAAATCTCCATTGAGGATGCTCTCCAGGGTGCTCTCCGCATTGCTCTTGCCCACAACGGTCTTGCCCGTGGTTTGAGATCTGCCTCCAAGGCTCTCTCTACCCGCCAGGCTGTTCTTGCCGTCCTCTGCGACTCTGTCACTGAGGAGTCTTACGTCAAGCTTGTTGAGGCCCTTTGCAACGAGCCCGAGAACAAGATCCCTCTCATCAAGGTTTCTGATGCTAAGCAGCTCGGTGAGTGGGTTGGTCTTGCTCAGCTTGACCGTGACGGCAACCCCAGAAAGGTTGTTGGCTGCGGTGTCGCTGTTATCACCAACTGGGGCAAGGACTCTCCCGAGAGACAGGTTCTCCTTGAGCACTTCAAGTCTCTTTAAACAAGTTGTAACGGTTGTATAGATGTATGCTTATGATCACTTGAAAAAAAATTACAAAAAAAAAAGAACAAAAGGATTTAAATTTTTTTTCATTGGGAGGTGTACTCAGATTAGTTTTTGGGTGCATGCTCTCTTTGATGAGTCTTGGTCTTTTTTAGACCCTTTGTAGTGTGAAGTTGTCTTGCCTAGAAAGATTTGCACCTTGTAAGTTTATGAATGAATGACCTTGATGGTCTTAAACTGTCTACATATTGCTGGATATTTGGAATGACCTTTGTGCAGTTTGCCTCTGGTTGCTGTTTCCAAAAGACTAAAGCGATTTTAAGCAAAAAAAAAAAAAAAAGCGTATAAGAAAGTGGATATATATATTTGACCTAACAGCCATTTATATACACTTATTTTTTTTCTTTGACTTTATGCTGGCTGTTATCTATTGTTTATTTCAAGAAATAGCTCCTTTAAACTTCGTTACTTTGCTATTTAACCAAAAAGATCACTGCAATACTTAATGAGAAGTTTCATCATCATCTTCTGTTTTCAAATATATGTCACGTGAACTTATTTTTTTTTGGGTTCTCGGTACTGATGAAATTTTTTATTAGAAATAAGGCAGAAATTAAATAGATTATGTAATTTCTTTAAAAAAAAAAAAAAAAAAAAAAAAAAAAAGAAATTTTTTATCATTGCTACGCGTTTTTTTTTTTTTTCTCACTATTAAAGACTTTCTAGTTACTTTTAAACTCGAACATACTCTTTTCCTTTTGGAGCTATTTCTGTGAGGTTATATAGTCACTTTTTTAATACCTGATATTTCACAAGTTTACATACCCCTTCTTTTATGACTTGACTTTAAAACTTTTAAAACAAAAAGACAGAATCTTTCAAAGAATTCGAGCTAAAAAGGAGTTGTTTGAATCAGGTATAAATTTTAAAAATTGTTTAGATTTGATAAGTTTTTCAGCTTTGGATTTGATTTTGCAAACTACCGAACTTGCACAGGCTATTGAGCTGACGTGATGGGATAATGACAAAAGAAACAACAATCAAAATACCGCAAACCTTTTTCACACATTGAAAGCAACCATAATTAATAACTAGTTAAAGTGATTTGAAAGTTGCGCTAGTTAAATTAAAAGTCTCTATTACGAACGAGCTCTTGTATCCTTATATTAACACGCGTTTTTAAGTTTTTCATAACTATACCCTTATTGAAATACCAATACAAACATGCCTGAACTTGTTTAATAACATTGGAATCAAGTAACATGCAAGATATGAAATTTTTTTTTATTTAACATGGTTACCATCATTTTTTTTCGGGTTTAATCGTTATACTACATCAGATTATTCTTCTTTTCATGTATTGAATTGACTTGTACTGATATTAGACACAAATTTTTCACTTCACAAAAAGGTTATCACAGTTAATTATTAATCTTTGGAAAAGAGAAATTATACCTACTATGACTAGCGATTTAAATTAGTACTTATGGTGACAACTCAAGGAATATTTTAAACAAAATCCTAAACCAAAACATATAAAAAATCTCCTATCTTCCTTTTTTTTTTTTTTTTTTTAATTATACCATAGACTTTGATTCAACTTTAGTACACCTTGTTTTTATCCTTTATTAGTTACTTTAGTTTTGGAACTTTTCCACGTTCTCGGTTGTCTGGTTTTCAGCACATTGGAGTGATAAAAAAGCATTAAGCATAAGAACCTTATCTCCCAAGTTTGAAAAAAAAAACAGTATATTTTGAAGTTACATCATGAAAAACTACAGCTACGTTGACAACTTACTATCAATTTGATTCTTTTTCTTTTTCTTCTTCTCAATAGCACTTAAATACTAATACCCATGCTTCCTTTCCCATTCTGTCTCTTTTTTGATCAATCTATTGGAGACTTGATTAGAATACAATATATATTAACTATAATATGATGTTATTTAAATTTCATTTGTATTTTCTCTTCAACTTTAGCATCTACTTTGGTGTTTATAAAAAAGCCATAATTATGGATCATATCTATCTTAACGTTTACGCCTACATCCACGCCCGTGCCTGCCCTGTGTTTTTTTTTTCTTCCAAAGCTTTTCCTATTTCACTTGCTGCTTTCTACCTTTTGCAGCTTAGTCGCTAAAAAGAAAGGCTTTTTGAACACTTCAACCTTTTGTTTTTGGGACTCTACCATCGATCTTTAAATTAATGGCTAAGATTTTCTTGGTTTAGCCGAGTACTGCTGAATTCATCACGAAAAAAAAAAATTCCCTATTTGCTTGTTTAGAAATGTTGGAGAAAAATGCAATTTACAAAAAAACAACAACACAGGTATGTTAAACTTGGTTTTGGTTTTTGCTTGCTTTTCTCTAAAGTTTCAATCTTTTGAATTTTAAAATTTGGTAGAATTTAATAAGATACAAGCCCACTTATGGACCTATTTGTTACTACGGCACACTTTAGGTTTATAAATACACGTTTTAAGATTTTGGAAAACAGTAATGGACTTCATTTTAGATGACAATTGAGTTTAAATTTTGGGAAAGATTGGAGAATTACATGTGTATGGGGTTTGACAAACTGTTGATACACTACAATTAATTAACTAACACAAACCAACATTCTGAAAACAATAATCACCATCATATACCATAGTATTCTTGTTTCATTTAAAAACGCCGGAATATACTTGACTTTTTGATAAAATCTTTAAGTCAGGACTTTAATTCTGAAGAAAGCTCTGTGTTGGCATTCTATAGACGTGTTGTCGGCTACTACCTTTATGTTTTGATACTTCAATTTCGTCACTTGAGTACAAATTCATAGCGTTTATCCTATTCATGAATCAACATACGATGTTTCTATTTTTTTTTTTTTTTTTTGCCACAAAATACTGTTAACTTTAGTTAAATACTTTTTCCATATCTTGACTACACATGATTACGTGTTAATTTAACATTTCCAGTTTCCTAAATGAAACGAGTAATTCCCAATCTGGACTTTATTTAATTGTATAATTACCTTTCATTTTTTGAGATTAAGACATATGGTACCATTTTTTAGTCGAGTCAGCAAATCAATGTTTGTTGCCAAGCTTTGGCACTTTTTCCTTTTTTTAATAAATAACTTAAACATTACACTATCCAATAAGACTTATATCAGCTTTCTGAAGTTAACTTAATTATTGAACAATAGGCCTGAAACCTGACTCTCAGATGCCAGTAAACCAAATATAAACTGTCTAATTATACTTCTTTGCAAACCACTTTAAGAAAGAGTTAACGAATTTGATACGATTTAAGCTTAGAGTGGGTTTAAAAGTTAAAGTATGGTCATTCAAGGGTTCAACAGATCAGCTTCTTAAATCATAAACTAGTGGTAACAAGATATGAAGGTATTCAGAATTTGTTCAGGGGATTAATTTATAACCTGATGGCGATAAATTTGGAAAAAGATAATCACTTTTGTTTAATGACTAAAATCATTTCTCGTCAATCAATATTAAAAGCCTGAGTGAGTGATGAGTGATATTCGATATTCAATAGGTATGAATTAACATATTTTGATTTTAAAGCTGATAAAATAGTGTTTTTTTTCAGTATTATTTTTTGAATTCTATAATGAGTATTGCTGCTCTTGAAGGTATCATTTAACTTTTCATTATTAGCAGCATGGTATTCATAGCAGATAATTTCGTAACAAATAATGGTATTTAGAATTTTAAAGCCATTTGATTACCAACCTGCTAAAACACTAGGGCTAGGACAACACAAGTTGATTTTAGTAAAAAAAAAAAGGACACCAGCATTCAGAATTTGAAGAAACAACAGTGCTCAAATATTTGCCTAGTACCTAAATATTCCGAATCCTTATTTCAACCTATGATTATTAAGCTTTTTGTAAAATTGGAATCCTTAAAAAAGTGCTGAATACCATCATCGAAATATATATGCAAAGAAAACCAATAGTGTCCTTACCAAAACTTTTATTTTTCAATTGAAAACAAACAATTAAAAATATCCGAATTTAGATTATGAAAATACTAGGCTTGTCCAGCTAAAACGTTTGAGAGACTTATACTAAAGCACCCCCCAATAGCTTTTACATTTATGCTTTCTTTCGCAGAATATCACGCTTTCATTTTTTAAATATTTTAAACTTAAAAATAGAAAAAAATAAACATATCACCAAGATCTGCAAAAAGTCTAGTTAGATTTTGATATAAATATCTTTTAAGTTGATCAAAATGACTAGAGTCTACATTAAAAAGTTAGGTTCGTACTCAAATATATTCCTGCATCATTGCTGGATATACCTGTCATCCTAAAGATACCTGAAATTTAATTTTTAAATCTTTCAATAATTATTTTATCACAAAAACAAAATTTTCAGAGTATTTAAAAAGTTATCTTTATTTTCATGTTAATATTTAAGAAATTGACAAAAAAAAGTTAGGTTGAGATGATCGTACATATTTTGAATATACCTACCAACCTTAGGATACCTAAACGCCAACATTTTGACTTTTTATTAAGTATTTTGACATAAAAATAATTTTATCTCAATTCTTGAAAACATATCTACATTTCCATGTGCTTTTTAACCCAACTTGAAAATATGGTAAAAACTCTCAAATTGCATCTTTTTACTAGCCTGGGGCATCAAACGGTACCGTACTCAAATATTCTTAATACTCAAATATTCGTTCGTTTGTTCGTTTTTATTCTAGTGTTATAGAATTATGTAACATCAGTATCTGTGCTATCCTTCTTGTCCACACTACATACCTTTTTCATTTTCATAATAAACTTTTAATTTCACTTCAACATTACATCTCCAACAGCCCGAAAATAAGTCCTGATGCCAACTTACGATGAACAGGGGGTCAAAAACTAAACCTTCCCAACTTATCTCCACTTGTTTTCATCAACGCTGTAATTGTATTTCTTAATCCCTCCAAGCAGATATAAAGCTTACAATCTCTTGTAAGCCAATTAAAC